CATCCTCTCCCGAACTTGTGAATACGTCAATGGGTCAGCAAGATAAGTTGGCCGTCTCTGGAAACCATCATCATTGCCGTTCTGCCGTACCACGAGAGGTACATTGCGATGATGAGACGCAGACGAGGACCCCTCCCCGTCAGCTCTCGGGGTCTCAGACCCATCCCACTTGCCCTCCAACTTCAGTAATGTTGACTCCACGCCTCCATCGTCTTCGTCAGGGATCTGCGCAAACTTGGCAATAGCAGCCTCAAACGAACGCCTTACATCCTGGCTCGAATTCGTCTGGACAAGGGAGTACCGCGGGTTAGGCGGAATAAGACTAGTCTGCCGTCTCGATTGCACATCTCGAGCAGAAGCAGCAGTGAGGTCGCTCTCAGCAACGGAGATGGTTGATCTTGACCTCAGGTAAGACAATCGGTTTTTGCCGTTCTGCATCTTACGCAAATCACCGCCAGGGCGTCTACGTAGAATTGGGCCCGTAGGCGTCTCCGGTTCATCCTGGAGAACGCTCAAGTCAGCAACTAGCGGGACTGGCTCCCCGTTCGCGCTGGCGGCCGGACGACGTCTCGAGATGATACTTTGGAAAGATGCGTACTTCCGGAGACGGAGTGAGGGTGATGTCCTCTTGCGGAATGACGATCCGTGTCCAATGGAAATCGACCTCCGTGAGGCGGACGAATCGGAATCATTGTAGAATGTCTTGGATGGCTGGTGTGGTGGTCCCGCAGGAGCTCTGTCGTCGTAGAAGATTCGCAGGGAGTATTCATCGTCTCCGCGGGTAGACGGGACGCGCAAAGAGTTCGTCTTCGGAGTTGCAGTACCATTCCCCGCGTTCAGGAAACCCGGCGACCGCTCAAAATCGACAATAGGCTCACCGTTCGCCCCGGAGACCATCGGTATGTCCAAGCCCGTATCATCTACAATAACAATCGATTCACTCCCCATCGTCAACCCGCTTTGTGACCTGGCCTGCGAGCCAATCCTCGATGGAGGTACTTGCAGACGAAGCGTAGAAACCTCTTGTTGCGGCGTATCTTGTTTCGTGTCTTCCTGCTCCGCAATAACTTGACGGTACTGCTTCAGGACTTCATCGCAGAGAGTATCGATCCGTGTCGGTTTCTTGGCCTGCGCACTCGTCTTGCGATCCCGGTAGTAGTCTGATCCGAAAGCGACGTTATTCGGAAGGGTCGACGTCTTCCCTCGCAAGGGTGACCCTGAATATGCCCGGGTATGTCGTGAGATACTCTGGCTACCATGTTTCGCGCCGTTTATCGCTCTGCGGATGGATCCGATTATGGTCTTGACACCCGAGCCTGAAGTTGTTGGTTTGGACGTCCCGTCGGTCGTGCTTTGACGCTCCAGGGCAGGAGTGACAGAGCCTAACGGGAGTGGCGGTGACGCCGGCGCCATCATTATCATGTAGGATTCAGCGGGAGGGTACAAGGTGCCTCGAATCAAGCTTGCAGGGTCTAGGACTTCTTGCGAACCGATGCCCCACTGGTCAAGTTTGAGCAATGGCAACGGAGCGCGATCATCCCGGACCGAATCAGAGAAGCTCCCACTGCGCTTGTGGGCATGGGTATAAAATGGACGGCGTTTTGAAGAAGCCGCTGCTGACGACTTGGGCGGTTGAGTAGTGTGGGTGTACTTTGCTGGCGAGAGAGGCACAGGATGCGGTGCCGTCTTGGGAGGAGGGTTCGAAGGACGTCTGTGGGATTTGGGTGGGAATGAGCAGGATGTCGCAAGACAATGGTCATCGCTCTGGGCGGTCACCGGGGCGCTTTGGTTCGTGGCCCCGGAATGGTTTCGATAATGCTGCGCCAAAACAGGTTCTTGACCAGCATCCACGTTGACCGGGTAAGCACCATCGTCACCTGTGCTTAAGGCCAACCCAGGCTGGCTGAAGTGCTGAGTGGGTTCACCCTTATCGCTATGTACGGTCTCAATTGAGCCCCCTGGAACAACAGGGCTATCCTGGTGATAATATGCGGACGATAGCTCCGGTGCATCCCAGATCATGGCGCACTTGCCATGCCAGCAACGCTTAAGATCAATGAGGATCTTCAAGTCGCTTGTTCCACCGTTTTCCCGGGATCTAACATCGCTATAAAGCATGTTGATGATCTCACAAAAGTAAACCCGGAGCTCATAGTTCTCTGCGAAATCATCGGCGAAATAGTTTAAAATCCAATGGCGGAGCGCCGCAAACGTGCGGATACGAATGATCCGTCCGTCATCTTGCCAGCGGTTGATTGCCCACTGTAGTCGAGCAAGTAGGAGGCGGAGAAGGTGACTAGGAGAAAGGTAGGAACGATAGGTGAGGAAGAAGTCTGAGACGAGCTCATAGTCCATGAAAGACTCCGACGAGATTTGCGCAACAATGCGCGCGGGAGTCGCGGCGCTGAGCTCCCTCGTTCCAGGGATATACCGAACCACTGATTCGTCGTCCATGTCTGAAACTAGGGCTTCGAAGACAGAAGGCTCGATTGGTTCCTTCATCTCGTAGAATATGGGGACTTCCGTCGCCGTGGGACCTGGACCCAATTCTACACCAGTACCGGACAAAATGGAGGAAACGAACGACGGTCTCTCTGGTACCACAGAATCACTCAAGACATTGGACAACGGATGACTATTCAGATTTTCGCCAAGAAGAGGTGATGCGCGAAAGTGGTCTTGGGTCGACCCACGCGAGCTCTGCAGGGGTGGACTTCCAGTGTTATTGAACTGCGGCAAACCCAACCGGTAATTGGGGATGGAAACATCCAATGTTGGGAAGACAGAAGGCTCCTCTGCAATGTCGCTCCTCCGTCGATCATCCGACCTGTCAATGACGATGCGGTGATATTCCCCACGAGGTCTGATGCTCGAGGTAGACTGATGTTCCGAGATGGTGGAGAAGGAATGCGGTCGTTGGCGCTGACGGTATTCAGATCGTGCTGATTCCGTGACGACCGACTCGCCATCATCGACCACGCTCTCTTCTCGAGTCACGTCCGGCTGTGATTCGGACAACTGCGAGTTCGACCAACGAGCGGAATCATTGGCACCTTGGCCATCACTGTGCGCAGTATTCGGATGTAGGCGCTCGGTTTGCGACGGCTCTGTCGAGGACGAGAAGGGTTGTTGTTGTTGTTGTTGTTGTTGTTGTGCGCGAGGTTCTTTTACGGACGGGTTTCGAATCGGCCTAATCCGGTGTAAAATAGTCATGTCAGCCCTTTGCTTTTCTCGCACTGCCTCTTATTTCCTCTCTGCTATACAGAGCCACCACGGTCAAGACAAGCAATACCTAAGAAATATTTTCCCGTTCTGACCGACGCTACCCACGGTGAAATGCGATCCTCCCCTGCCATTCGCCGGCACATCCCGCGGACCACGCTGCGTGAGTGACCGCTTGGGCGACAAGGATTTCTGAAGAAGCTCATGGCTGTCCCTGCTACGCAGCTGCGAGACCTCTGCGGGTTTCTCGCTGGCCGCCGCCGATGATTCCAAATTGTTCTTCGAGATGTTCCCTCCCCCTTGTGCTACTGTGTTCGCGCGACGTAGATTGGATATCGCAATTGGCGACTCTGTTGCGCTACCGGAGGGTTTCACACTAGAACGGAATCCGGCGGGTTGAACGAAGGACGACGCATGGGTATCTGTCGGGGGATCGCGAACTTGGCGTTCCTCCATCGCGGAATAATGTGTCGTATTCAAGCTTCAGCAAAGAAATTGCCTGTACAAAAATAAAAATAAAGATAAAAATAAAAAATAGAAAGAGCGTCAAAACCCGCGACGGGATACTCCTCTTTTTCTTTTTCCGTCCTCTCTTTTTGCTTTTTTATCTCACCAAGACCTCGGTCTCACACACGCGGCGAAACGAAGTCCCAGAGCAGAAAAGAAAAGAAAGGAAACCAATTCGCGAGGGAAAAGATGAACCTAGCGCATAGACAGCGCAAGCCGGAACCCGAATTCGTACTCGTGACACGACATGACCGACCAGGCCTGGAAGGAGGGGAGTAGCGGTAGCAGCAGTTCGTATATGATGTACGCTGGCCGAACAAGCGAAGTAGGCTAAACTCGCTAAGAGTGCGCGACGGTGTAGATCTCCATCTGAAGATTAATTAATGGCAGATTTTCGGGGGCAAGAAAAGAGCGAGAGACGGCGATCGACGGTCGAAAAGGGAATGGCGAACTGAAGATTGAATCTCTCGGGTTGGATCTGTTTAACGATTGACGATGAAGAGAGGAGAAAAGTGAAAAAAAGAGTGACCGAGGAAATAAAAAGAAACGGCGCGGTGGAGAGAAAGAGAAAGTCACGCGGTTCGTTTACCTTTTTGGGGGGGCAGTGGGCGAGAGTGCAGAGGATACTCTGTATATATGGACAAAATCTGTACGGAGTAGTATACAGGGGCACATTCATACAGGGATTAGATAGGAAAACAAAGGAGTCAATATGTATGAGCAGTGATGTGGTGTTATTACTACTATTACTGTACTATGTAGGATGGAATGCAGGTGTATCATCAGAAAGTATGCTATGCTGGCTGCAAAGAATCTCAACCATACAAAACATCCTGAATTGAAACTGGGGCTGATCGGAGCTGATTTTTGAGGCGTTCTCCAGTCATATCATATTAAAATCACCAGCATCTATTTATTCTTAGCAGCAAAAGCGTTCCTCCGGCGCATCCCAATGGAGCCCTCCGAATGACTATTGAAGATCCGGCCGGACTATTAGGGGAATATCCTCCCTTTTCCCCCTTTTGTCGGCCGTTAACTGCCACTGCTCCAGGCAAAAATAGAATCTTATGGAGTCATAATAAAATCGAAGAAAGTCTCGGAAAATAACCGTCGTCATATTGGCTCGAACCACATGACCAGAAAAGGAGAACTACTCCGTACATGTAACAGGTGTATGATTCAGGTACCCCCGTCCACTGCATAACATCATACAAGTACTGTATGTAGCCCGTAACTCGTTACAATAATAACCTCGTGAAGCCTATGCAAACTTACCAGAGCTTGCAGACAGGCTCGCGACTCGAGCATTGAAACGCTTCTTTAAATTCCCGAGAATTCGCCATGGTTCCCTATGGTCCCGTTAGCCCCATAGCCTATCCGAAAATGAAAACGTTGGAGGGACTTACAATAATCCGAGCAGGCTTAGGCGCATGTGGGTCATTGTAAATAGCTGACTCGGCCGCCTCTTTCGTCGTCTTACTACACCACCAATTAGCATACGAGACGAAAAACAATTGCTCCTTGCTAAACGTCGACAGGCCTGGCAGAAGAGAGTCGGGCTTGGACTCGTCGCGCTTCTTCCATGCATGGAACGCCGCTCCAAGACCTCCCGCGTCGGCAATGTTCTCGCCTAGAGTCAGGCGACCATTGACGTGCAGTGGCTTCGAATCCGGTCCGGTGACGGTGAATTCGGAGTATTGATCGACAAAGCACTGTGCGCGCTCCTCGAATCCAGCCACTGTCTTTTCATCCCACCAATCGGTATAATTGCCAGTTTCATCGTAATGGCGGCCGCTTGAATCGAAAGCTGAAAGTAGTTATTAACGATTTCATCTTCAGCCCAAAGTAAACGATTAATACTCACCATGTGAAAGCTCATGTCCACTGACAGCTCCAAAAGCACCATAAGTCAAGTACAAAGGTGCGGACGGTCCGTAAAACACAGGAGACTGCATGATTCCAGCCGGGAAGGCAATCTCATTGCCAGGCGTGTTGTAATATGCGTTGACGGTCGGGGCACTCATGTCCCACTCATTCCGATCAGTAGGCTTGCCCAGTTTGGACCATAGTCGTTGGATCTGGAATTCCGCGGTGGCCAGTTGGTTCTCAAAGAAAGTCCTATCGGACAGCTTTAAGTCCCGATAATACTCTTCGACATCGGATGGGTCCATTACATCCGGGCTCTTGGTGGGATATCCAATCTTCTGAGCGATGTTACCGACTTTTTGGATACCCAGCTTCTTCACCTTAGGCGACATCCAAGAGGTTTGGTCCAACGTGAATACGAAGCGCTCCTTAATGTCGGAAATGACCTGATCGCCAAGTTCCTTGGACGCACGGGAAAAGGAGTCGAGGGCATAGAATCGACTCAAGCTCCAAGGAAGACCCCCATCGAGCACATTGATACATTTACGCCACCTCTCTTCCGTGGCTTGAGGACCCTTGCCATCTAGTTTGTTGTTAAATTCCCGGAGCGGTCGGACCTTAGGATCCTCAACACTGTCTGCAAACGATTGGATTATCTTCCATTTGAAGAAAAATTGGACAGTCTCGCGCGACGTCTCGCTTAGGATACTCGACAAAGACTCCATGTATGATGGCGAACCCAAAATCAAGCGATCATTCTTGTAGTCGGATGGGGCCAGTGCCGAGATAATGTCAGACAATGAGATCTCCGGCAACAGAGTTTCGGTTTCCTTGATGGTTCGAGGGTGGTAAGACTTTGTGATATCCTCGCGGGTCTGCGTATCAGGCGTGACATTGGCGAGTTTTGCCTCAAACGTCACAACATCCTTGATACTCGCTTTGCTCGAAACAAAGCTTCCTAGTACTTTCTCAACAACCTTGGTATATTCGGCCACGGTATCCGTGTTATTATAGTACTCCTTAGCAGGGAGCCCGATCTCATCTACCGGGACAACGAAGATGGCGACAGAGTCCGGATCACGATCATCGGGCTGTACATGTCAGCGAAGTTAAAACGCAAGGGATTTTTGAATAGCCAAATAGGGTTCCTTACTGAAACAAATGGAACAACCAGTGCCTCAACGTCAAACTTTATAAGTTGCCGTACCGCATCGGTTAGGTTTTTCTTGACATCCCGGTCGGAAACCCCCTTCACGGAGTAAACGTCCTCCAATTGGGCCAACACGTGCTCCAGCGGCTTGCTGCCGCGATTGCTGATAGTGGACTCATCCAAGCACGCTTTATATGCCGCCTTCAATTTGCCAAAGTTCTCTTTATCTTCCGATGGCGGTGCGTCCGGAGCCTCCAGGATGTGACGAAGCCGCGTCTGGGCATTCTCTGCCATTGAAGTGCCCGCAAAAATGGACCCTTGATCCGGACGCATATCATGACGAGCTCGCCAACCTCCGCAGACATATTGGTCGAAGTCATCGCAGGGGTCAATATTGGCGAAGTTGGGGTCTAGATTATAGAGGATTTCCGAAGCCGCGTGGACACATTCGGGGGATTCACAATGCGTAGGGGCATCAGGCCGTGGTGAGTTCTCGCATCTGCGGTGTATCTCTATATTTTGACTATATTAGCGATAAGAGTAACGATTGGGGGAAGGAGGTGAGAGTCGGTACCAGAAAAGAAGTTCCAGAAAAAGTAACCACCAATTGCCAACAGTAAAGCTGCACTCAATCGAAGCAGAGTAGACAATCGCTTTCGATGTTTATCAGGTATAGCTCTAATGGGATGTCGGAAGAGGCCATCGGCGGTGAATTGACCAACTCGCGACGATCTATGGGGGTGTGGATGCTCTTCATCCCCAATAGGTGATACTTCGTCTATGAGATACGCCGTTTCAAGCTCATCCGAGCTCCTAGTAAATTTAGTCTCAAACGGAATAAAAATGAGAATAGAGGCTGTGCTCAACGCACTTGAAGTTGGACATGGTGTACTTCCAGGGGCAATCACGAGACATCTAACCCACTTGGCACGAGGGAAGTCAAAGTATATACGGTATTCGGTCAAAATAGCATTGAAGTTGGCTTCACTTAACCAACTCACCCAATGCGTTAAAACCACGACTCGAGCGTAAAGTTATATTAAGAGTGGTGAAGGCGATTCTAATAACGGTGGTGATGGTGATGCAGAGTCACATGCCCTGCCTCGGATGAGTCAGCCAAGAGGCGGTCGAAAAATGAATTCAGGATCGAGAACATCATCATTGAAGCGCCCATTTTTGAGAATATGAAAGTCTGGGGTTGTTGGAGTTTCGGAGAAAGTAACCACAGTTCGATTGTTTGAAACCCCGGGTCCACAACTTTGATAACCTTAAATCCAATGAGTGGTAACGGTAAATGGTTCACGATTGGAAACGGATATGGGGTAGGACCCATCAGCAATTATTAACAACGGAGTATTATTCCTAGTTACTGAACTCCAAATCGAACCACGTGCGATTCAGGAGCTTATGGCCATGTGTTTAGATACCGATAAGGACGAGCTATTGATTGTACGGCAGTTCCCGCTGTCATTGGTCAGTGCTGCTTATAGAGTAGGAGACTCGCTTTTCCTCTCTACCGAGGTGCCCCTATTGTATCTGCATATCGTTGCATCTACGACAACTGCGCATAGTGGTATTGGCTCGTACTCTATTAAACCTATTGCTAGGTGCTCCTGAACAAAAAGCATACTCACCCTGCATGAGACCTTGAACTCCGCACTGATATCTGGCTGGCTGGAGCACAGTGGCAGTACGGAGTACCCTCTATACTATCATGGACAAGTACCTCTGTTCCCTGTTTTGTGCAGTTTGCAGAACACGGATAGAATCCGCCAAAAAGACCCGGACTTCTCTCGGCAGAGACCGCAAGGTTCAACTCATTGGGCAAAGATCAACACGGGTATGTTGTAGGCTGAGAAATGCCGGCGAAAATTCAGGCCAATGCATCCTCATCTCCGAACTCCTTTTACCGGTCTGCAGCCAATGTAAATTATTATTTTTGCAGAATTAAGAAAAAGGAACCCCTGTCCGTGGAGAATGCTTAATTTTGACCAAGTCCTTTCCCTTTTCAACGGTCTTTCCAGGTTCTGCAGTGGAGTTCAGAGAAATAGCATCCCTTGTCACGGAAATTAAGCAGGAGACCTAGTTAATAAGACGGTACTCTGTAGGACGGAGGAAAATTACCGGGCCAGAGATTGACACATGACAGGAGTGGAGTGCCAAGACGAGGTTTTGCGCCACCCGGGGAGAGCAGCGACCGGGAACATGTCCGCCAAACACGTGGTGCGGAGAACTGCATACATACATTATTCTTCTATCCGAGTCATGTGGTCATGTGCCGGGGGCACGCATGTACGGAACATTCTGGATTGAATACTTTTTCTCCTGATTTCTTGGGAATCGACGCCCGTGAAATTGAGAAAAAAGAGAGTACTACCACCGTTGTACCGGACCACGCACAGTGTACTTTGGCATCTTAGCACAGAGTGGGTATAACATAGATCGAGTCAGATACGATAGATTACGGAGCGCGCTTGTCCATCAAAATATCGCTAAGGTGTCTGATCCGCCCAACAAACGAAAGAGTACAAATGTCCGGGTTGTTCTTCCGTGGCGCGGCAGTCTTAACTTCTGCAGAGTTGATCTTGATGAAGACAACCCCGTCCGCTGCGAGCTGATTGGTCGCGCGACCTGATGGCGCAACATACACGATGACCCGCGGTATTGTATGTCTGTACGAGGATATACAAGTACTTGTGGGAGCAGAGTACGAGCGTTATACATCCTATCTGGAGGACACATGCAGGTGATTCCTGCATGAAATTAGATAAAGTGGTACCTGTGCCTACAGTCCCTTGTATATATCACATCTGCTCTATTGAACTTCTGTTGTGACATGTACAATGTACTGTAACCATAAGGTAATACCCTTATTTAGCGCGCGCGACGGGTGCGGAACTTGAAACCGGAACGCCGGATAGCCCGAGCCCGAGGCCCCCACGCGGCTTCCAGAAACATGCAGATGTACAGGTACATGTATCAGATTACAGTGAAAGTACGAAGTATGCGAATAAGTCATGGTGATATTCAAGTATACAAAGCACAAAGTATAGTACTTGTACCTACAAAGGAATAGATACATCTCATTGTCCAACAAAGAATAACAATTGTCAGAAAGTAAGGTTTGGCCCATGTCTGGATGAATTGCTGATCTTCTCTGTAAGGTTGGATGTCCACGTTGAATGATTGGATGCTGGCGAACAATGGAATTTGTCAGGTATGTAGAACCAGAAGTATCTCCTGCTCTACTGTTGTACTAGTATCGGTAAGCAAATAGAGTATCCTGGGAGCAGAGATAATCCAATCCTGCAGCTCACAGCTGGACAAAGAGAGTTCGTGGACCGCAATAAAATGGGATTATTGAAGATAATTTCCTACCTAGAATGGCCGATCACTGTACGCCAATTGGGGCTTTTCAGCATGAGTGGGCAGCAATTCAGGTCATAATGGGAGAAAGAATGTTATTATTATTCAATGGCTCTGTCAGGGCTGTCCTGAATGACTTGTATTTTGGGCTGAGATTGTACCATCCATACCCAGTACAAGTCAATCATCCGTGAAGATGTCACCATTCCGAGAATAGATGTTAGGATTTGTACTCTACTCCGTACTATGTACAAAAGAAAGGGGGGAAAGAAAGAGAAAAAGAAATATAATCCAATTCATGAAGATAAAATACATAGTACAACAAAAACAATACCAACATCTCGCCTCGATCGCATCTTTTTCTTCCCTCCCCCTCCCCCCCGCCGGTGGACTTGGGTGGGACGGCTCCGAGAGATGTACGACTCTCTCACTTCCCCGTCGGGCTACTGCTCTTCTCGGCCTTCTTCTCTCCTCCACTTCTTCTCTTCTTCTCTTTTCTTTTCTTTTTTTTTTTTTTTTTTTTTTAATTCCTACTCTTCTTCATGGTGATTTTCTTCACCTCTTCTATTCTTCTTTCTCTTCTTCTTCGCCTCGCTATAACTCGATCCTGACACATCCCTGTCGTATTGACTACTGCTTCAGACCCGCTTCGACAGCGGCAGTGCAATAATCGTCCTCTTCCTCCAATCCGAGCCCCGTTCTTCGCTGCAAATACCCTCGATTTGCGCTGCAGTCAACCACGCAGGTGTCACCGGCTAAAAAAATACCTTGCGCCCGCCCGAAGTCGTCGATTATCTACGAGGGGACCGAAAAGAGTATCCCCCTTCTTCCGCTCGTCGTTGATCACAACCCGCGTCTCTCCTTCTCCCTTCTCCAGGCCAGTGTCGATTTCGCGTCGCATCGCCTCGATCCGGTATCGAAAACTCTTTATACAATCCCTAGTCAGCTGTGCTGTCTTATATAACAAAAGAGTGTTGGATATAATTCCTGGGAGTTGATCGTCCCCGGAAGTCGTCGGAGCTATTCGCGACACAACCAAACGCAGGAGCGTGTTCACTTCGATTATTGAATCGTTTGATCCCAAGTATCTTTGGGTCTCACCTGTATGTTGCATACTTTACTCTGGGATATAAACGGGAAATGATGGGTCCCGTCAATGGCATGTCTAAGCTGACACTGCTTGCGAAACAGAATACATATCAACCCTACCTTATCCCTGTTAGGTCAGTATATGAAACAGCCGTCGGTCAATGTCTTGAGCCTTTCTTTTGGGTGGTCAGTGGCATTCGTCATGATCCCCTGATTCACCCACTCCAGAATCAGTGGCATTTTTCTCGAATTTGATATTGAGATACCTTTGCGCAGCGATAACAACTGCTAACGCGGTCCTCAGATCCGATTAATACGGTTATCAACTCACAATGGGTTGCATGAGCTCCAAAACCGCTGATCCTGTGGAGAAGGAAGCGGTGCAGCGAAATGCTAGGATAGAAAGGGTTTTGAAGGGTGATAAGAAAAACATGGACCGGACGATCAAGATCCTGCTACTTGGTGCGTATTGACCAAAACATTCCATGGTGTCCTCATACTCATTGATCATGATTAGGTGCGGGAGAATCTGGAAAGTCCACAATCATCAAGCAGATGCGCATCATTCACGCGGGTGGTTTCCCGGACGATGAAAGGCATCAAACGCGCGCCGTCATCTATGCCAATCTGATCATCGCCTTCAAGGTTCTGTTGGATATTATGAACGCAGAGCATATCAGCTTCGAGCATGACTCGACAAAGGTCAGTAGAACAGAACATCAGAATTCATTCGCTTTGACTGACTTCTTCCTAGCCTTTGGGCCAGCTCGTCGACAACACAGATCCTGACGTGGGATCAGAAGAAGCGTTCTCAGATCTGACAATCCGTGACGCCATGAAAACTATGTGGGATGATGCTGGAGTCCAAAAAGCCGTTGCACGAGGACATGAGTTTGCTTTGCATGACAATCTGCATTAGTAAGTTCCGGGAAACTACTTTCTTTCCTGGAAGCAAATTGCTGACCTCTGTCCTAGCTACTTCGATTCTATTGACCGTCTTTTCATGCCAGGGTGGTTACCCGACAACCAAGATATGCTGCAGGCCCGTCTGCGGTCTACTGGTATCACGGAAACCCTCTTTGAATTGGGGCAAATGAACTTCCGCATGATGGACGTTGGTGGACAGCGTTCCGAACGAAAGAAGTGGATCCATTGTTTCGAGGGTGTTCAGTGTCTTCTCTTCATGGTTGCGTTGTCCGGATACGATCAATGTCTGGTGGAAGACCAGAGTGCGGTGAGTACTGCCCTTTGCTAAGTCATCTGATGATTGTTCCTAACTGTGACATAGAATCAAATGCACGAGGCCATGATGCTTTTCGAGTCCCTCGCCAATGGCGAGTGGTTCAAACGGAAACCCATCATCCTCTTTCTGAACAAGATTGACTTGTTCAAGGGGAAATTGAATATGTCGCCAGTAGCCAAACATTTCCCCGATTTCACCGGCTCGAACACCGATTTCGATGCGGCCGCACGGTACTTTGCCGATCGATTCCGTGGTATCAACCGGATACCTGACCGCGAGATCTACATTCATTACACGAATGCCACCGATACGACATTGCTCAAGGCTACCATGGACTCAGTCCAAGATATGATTATCCAGAAGAATCTTCATACCCTGATACTCTAAGCCTCTCTCTATCTTTTATCAGGGCGACTGGCGTTTATTTTATGAGATTTTCCGCTGGCATGAGAACCAGAATTTCGTTTTCTTCCCAAGTCTGTCACTTCGCATTGCATTTCAGCGTCTTATTCTTCTTTCTCTTCTTTCTCTTCTTTCTTCATCTTTTGCATCTTGATTGATATCATTCTTCTTTCTTGGTTTATTTTTCTTAAGAAGCGCTTGATAGCGGCGTCCGTGTGGACTATTTTCGATTTCGTTACTACCATTTTGCATTGAGGCCTATGCCTATGCCTGGGTATATACTTTGATTTGGTGATAATTTTTTCTTTCTTTAGGATACAGGCGATACCTTCCTTTTTCTTCTTCATTGTTCTTCTACTACTGCCTTTAAGGCCTAACGACTGTCATCCTTTGCTGTTTGTTTATTTCACTGTCTCTTTGTTACTGTCTTGATATCTATATACCATTTTCTTTTGGGATGTATTTCTTTACCGTCCATTCCGCTCAGGTAGTGTCTAATATGTGATTTTTATCGTGTTCTCAACATTTCATCAGTGTAACATTGATCTCGATATTGGATCATCTATAGTTCGGTGTCTGCATATATATATATATATTTCCGCATCTCAAGGTGTATGTTGCAGGTGGCGGTATCAACTATTCTAAATAGCTACGAATCCGTAACTCAAAAAGTAATTAGATGACTATATTTAATCAATTGACCATTCCTCCATCCCATAATTCCCAAAATAACTATCACTGCTTGTATCTTTATGTAGGATGATGTGACGGCCATCGTGGCCTGCTTACATAATGCCCGCATGATCATGACCCCGATTCCGGTCCGCCTCGAATTCGCCTCTTCCGACCCGAATCTGACTTCTTCCAACAACACCACCTGGTTGTTTCTCCCAGCAATTCTGGGCGCAACTCCAACACAAAATGCTGTCGTCCTCATTACGCCGGGCGACATGGGCACCCATTGTACCCATCTCCGGCATTGCCCGCACAGCAGCCGGCGTAGCCGGTGCAGCGGCCGGTGCTAGCGCTGCTGCGAGCACCACCTCGAACAACACAAGCAGCGGATTGATGCCGCAGTACGTCCGTCAGCGTCGGTATTCGTCTTCGTCGTCGAATCCTAGTGATGGGTTTGATGCGTCGGCTCCGTCGTCGTCGGGGCAGACGCCTGCGAAGGGTGTGAATGGTGGTGCTGGGGAGAGTAAGCGGGAGGGGAGGAGAAGTCGGAGAGCGGGGAAGGAACAGCGGTCTGCTCAGCAGCAGCAGCATGATGCGGCGTTTTCGAAGTTGCCGAGTGTGCCGTCGACGCAGTATCAGCAGCCGCATGGTGAGTGATTTGCGATGGAATTAAAGGGACGAAGAAAACCTTGCTAACAAGCGCATAGATGTGCATGTAGCGTCGTTCTTCTCGATCCACCGTCCCATCTCCGTCTCTGCGACCGTGCCCCCGTCCTCGAACCAAGAGGCGTTCGACGCGATCTTTTCCTCGAAGAAATCGGCCAAGGCCGAGCAGGAGGATGTGATGCTCACGCTGTCTTCCGCCGTCCAATCGATGGAGAACACCGCGGGCGAGCACGACGACCTCGGCAGACAACTCGAAGTGGACGTGCAGCCGTACGACTCCATGAACATGTCCGACGTCAAGCTCTCCGTCGACGAACTCGCCAAGCGCCTCCGCCCATTCCACCCTCCTCCGCCGCCAATGCCCTTCGACGAGGCCAAGGAAGCCGCCAATGCGCGCCAATCGGAACCCTCCCCCCAGGAGAACTCATACTCGACCGTCCTGACCATCCACGAGTCCACGGACGCCACCGGCCGCAAGACATACGAGGCTCACACCACCCCGTTCGTCCGAGACGCCCCCGGCGCCACGGAGTACGAGGAATTCATCGACGTTCCTGAGAAGAAGGGAACCACCTATATCGAGCGTCTGCGCAACAACCGCACGATGCACGCCATCAGTACCAAGAGACGGCGAAAGGCCAAGATGAAGAAGCACAAGTACAAGAAGCTCCTGCGCAACACAAGAACCCTGAGACGGAAGCTTGATAAGGCTTAAGCTTCTCGTTTCTCTTCGTTTTCCTCTTTGTACCTTATACATCTGTTTTCCTCGTCTTTTCCTATTTAACGTCTCTCGGATGTTTCGTTGACATCTAGATATCCCATGGTGGTACGAAATCACAATTGTTGACTATTTTTTTTTTTTTCTTGTTCATGGTTGGCTTATCGCTTTTTCTTATAACTCGCATCTATCGTCTCTTTTTCCTGTTTATCTACTTAGATAAATCTCTGCTACAGACTACCATTATGAATGAAGAACATTGCATTAGACGTTGTCCTTCTGATAATTAATTATATATGCTGTGGTGATCATTGTCTATGGCTATCGCCAAGTATGAGTCGAACTTCAATTAAGCCCCGGATTTAAGAGTAAAACAGGCTATCAATTCAGTGACTAAAAAGCAACGGCAAAAGCAAAAACAGAAATAGACAATAACCCGTAAAGTACATTTCGACGTTGAAACAGGGCATGCAATGATGTATCTAGCAGCAGCAAACAAGTCAAAAGACAAAGACAGAAGACAAACCACAACATGTCCTAATCTACAGCGAGTCACTCTCCGTCCCAAGCAACGCACATTCAGATTACAAGAGAAAACCTTGTCCATTTTATAGGAAGGGTTTAAAATAGTGGGCAAGCAAAACGAGAAAGCACCTTTATCCAAACTCCTTTCAGTCCTAGTTGCTCAGGAACCCATCATTTCCAGACGAATGCGGGGGATAGCAAAGGACTACACTGGTGGAAACGATGTCGTATAACCGGGGAACTAGTAAGTCTCTGGGCATCCATCCTTGATGTCCAGAGTTTTGCTTGACGCTGTTCGTTCACCGGGGAGGAGACCGAGGGTCCATTTAGCAGGTGGCATCGATTCTCGAGCGGGAGTTCATCAGAAGGGCGACAATCAGACCGTACAGACCTGTCACGGGTGTTAATTAGTATGCCCTGAAAATGACGTAGACCAAGAGAATAACTTACCCAAGACTTCAGCGAAAATGAGAATCAAAATCATTCCGACATAGAGTCTGGGCTGCTGAGCTGTTCCGCGGACACCTGCATCACCGACAATACCAATGGCAAAACTGCACCACAGTTAGTTCGAAGTCACTGCGAAATGTCCAATGTAAAATCACTCACCCAGCTGCCATACCAGCCAGACCGACAGAGAGACCAGCTCCGAGCTGAATGAATCCAGTGTACAACGAAATCCTCTGACCCAAATCGTTTGCAATCAAGACCGAAACGACCAACCCGTAGATACCAATGATACCAGCCATGACAATGGGGACAATGTCTGCGAAGATTAGCCAACAAATTCACCATCGCCACGTTTGTTTCAATTCGACATACTCTTGACAATCAGGTCAGGTCTGAGGACAGCCATTCCACAAACACCGACACCAGCCTTGGCGGTACCATAGGCGGCTCCGAAGCAGGTGAAGATGATAGCGGAGGAGCAACCCAGCGCACCGAAGAAGGGCTAGATTCGTCAAGTATTAGCGACCACATGGTTTATTTGAAGAGGAATGATTCCATTCGATGCGTTGGGGATGGGAAACGATGGAGCCAACGTCCGTGTCATAGCGATAAGAGCTCCGGGCGCAGGTAGGAAACCGGGGGAAATAGTAGCTACTCACCGCATAGACGGGGCTATTGAAAGAGAAGAAGTTAGCAACAAGTAAATTACGCGCAAAAACGAATAAACATGGATTCACGGCCTAGGACGCCAGAGGTAAAGGAGTTGGTCCAAGGTTACGTACCAGAGTTCTGTGGCCATTTTGACGCTAAATTGACGCGATAAACGTCAATGAAGATAGAAGAAGCTTGGAAGAGCAGAATAAGATGTTAATTCAGAGGATAAAGGCCTCAAGGACTAGCGTTGCGATGGATGCGAAGGCTGCTTGCAGTGCGAAACGGAGGTGAGGTTGGAGGCGAACACGCTGGTGGCTTCGGGACGGCTCAACCACCGCCTGCGCAACCACGTGATTTGATCTTGGCGTCGTCAGCTATCAGCTCCAGCCTCCAACTATAATGGTCTACGAAGGGTTGATTAAAGAAATAGGGCTACTTGTACATTATCATAGAACATCGTACTCGTACAAAACTGCTTTTCTCGTGCTGCTCATGCGAGAGTCAACTCCACCCGGCACCCCGGTACATTGAGCTTAGTACCTGATTCAAAAACTTGTTCGTTTGCTTGAACGTCCATGATAGGCTGCTGATAGGTAATTGCTTTCTCAGACAGCGCTCCAAAGTAATTGGGAATAATAACTAAGTCCTTCTGTTGTCCGTCAATCGTTTGTACTTCGGGGATTCCAGTCACGACCCCGAACTGGCATGAAATGGACCCTTCCTGGGGCTTCGCAATGTCCGGACGCTTATCCTGGTCTTCACTCGGTTCTACTCCCACAAAAAACTGGACGTAGTCACCTGGTTTAGCCGTTTGAGAAAGAGTCGATAGATCCTCCCCAAAGCCCTTACTCAAAAATGGCGGCAAACCAAGTGTAGGGTCTGCACTTTCTGCGCCAGGCTCGAACAATTGATCGACAGTCAATAATTCCTCGCGGTTTGTTGCTTCCGAAAAGCTGATTTCTGGATCGAGAGATAGAAGACCTTGTTTCTTTCCCCAACCACCTCCGCCGCTCATGACGTGGTGTAGTTTACCACCTGCCCGAAGAGAATGCGACACACGATCCTGAAAAGAACCGGCTTCAGTCGGCACATCCATTTCAGGTGTCTCGACGAGAGCCCAGACAGATACTCTCTGGTCGACAATGCCATGCTCGTCAATGTAACGGGGCAGTTCCCTCTCCAACTCAGACGAAGCCGGCATTGGAACATTCGATTGGGCGTCATCAGCGGATTTCGCTACCTGGCGCAGAATGTTGCCCATGCCGGAAATAACTTTTCTCCTGCGGCTGACTGGATACAGTGGAAATCGGAGGGCATTGTGAACGGAGTTTGCGGAAGATATAATGATACAGTTGGAAAGATTGAGGTACTGATCCAATGCAAGTCGGCTTGATGTGGCATTATAAGTCCATCGCATACCGAAGAGCGTGTTTTCATTGCCATTGATGAAGATTGTGTTGGCGAGACGTAATCCGACCTCATGAGCCGGTCTGTCCGGCGCATTCGTATTAACCGAGAATACAAAAGCTGGTTCTTCGGTTCCTGAACTTCTGATCCGACGAGTCTCGGTTGCCTTCCCTTGGACGTTTTCCGCTTTCACGAATAACAGGGAGATGCCCTCGGAGTCCGACTGAGCTTGACCCTGACCGCTTATCAACGCATCCCCAGGTTGTCCACGAACATCCGGCAGTCTATCAATAATAGCCGCAACCGCGTGGAAAGGACTGAGAGAGCGGGCATTCGGAGTATCACTGAGAAACCGGTTCACGCATTGTTCAAGGAAAGGGCTTGCGGGGTCGACCCATGGCGCAAAGCTGGGGGTGACGAGGAGAATTGGAATATGGCCTGACTCTGCTAAGGATGCTGGGATCGGGCGAAGGCTCGCGAGCACATCATCTGGAACCTTTTGAAATCGATATGGTCAGCGTACCGCAGCCGGAGGGAAAGAAAAAAAAAAAAAAAAGAAAAAGAAAAAGCAACACCCACAATCTCGTCCGGCGTCTTCGTGAGCCACGTGTACGCAAATGATTGAGCCTCACAAGCAGACCTCGCCTGTGCCGTATACCATCTTCGTGCTGGCAGAGGATTTCGGGGGCAGAGCCAGCTCGCTTTCCTAAACGACAGTCGAAGCGGCTTCGACTGGAGGGTCAGACGTGCTGGCATTGAGATCGGGACGCGCCCGGGTATCATGGACATGGAAGCATGGAGGACAGCAATTGCGCTGGTAAGCTGATGGGTCCTTAGCGAAACTGTTCTGAGTACTGAAGAATGCCGTATGCATCACGATGATGCCGCTTATTGACATCCATTTCTGCTACTAATACGGAAGGCGGTGAAGTCACATCTCTACAAGTTGTACATACTAGTAGAATGACACTACTGTGGCTTAGCGTAGGACATAACTGTCACCTGGTCTTGAAGAATAAAGGGTTTTTGTACGGCGTACCGAGTCCAACGAGTACTCTAAATGACAAACTGTGGCACACGTTGAGAATGTCGAGGCGAGAGAAGAGACGAGAGTGGCTGATGCTATCCCGGTCATTTCCAGAGATCCCGGAGAATGATCCAAGATTGAGAACATCTAAACTTTAGCAAAACCAGTCATCAGGCGGATTTGCAAAATTAGAAACCTTCAGCCTTTTTGAAGCCACCTCGTAAGGCTGGATGGAGCTATGCACAATTATATAACGCTAGTTTCATTCACCGCGCCAAGCATTTCCAGGCAACCAAAAAAGACCTTGGACTCTGTATGGCCTCTGTATGGGCTGCCAAGGCAGTGAAATATCATTCAATTCACTGCCACAAGCACTCTACAGGGCCACCCTGTGAAATAAGATGGATTGAGCCATTTTCCATGGATTCAAGATGACGCAACTCAAGAAATGAAGAGTAGCGACCTCGTGCGTACACGGAGTACTTAAGAGTACTCAGGACATAGTCAGAGGGTCCGAGTCAATGAAGATCTCTTCTAGGCAGGCGGAAAATCTAACGTTTCCCTAGCAGGGACCCAGCCAATCAGCTTTCGCTACAGCCACAGCTGGCGGGTGACCCTATGACGTATGGGGTCCGCTAAGGACGCAGTGACTAAGCCTTGCGACTCTCCGCCTGCCTAATCAAGCAAGTATCGTGCCGTGGCCCTACGCCAGCATGACTCCGGCCACTCCCTTTCTGCCCCCTCTCCAAAGCAAGTCGCACGGCCGCCTCTCCATATTTAAGAAGTCCGTCGCTGCTCTCCCGTCCGTCTCTCCTGATTCTTTTCTCTTCCTCTCTATTTTCGCTTGGCGCACTGTCTTTCGTCTCAAATCCTCCTTATTCTACTCATTAACATAACAAATCTTCTTGATTCCCATCTGATCTCTTACCTTCATCGCCAAAATGCCTTTCACTGCTTCGTAAGTCGTCTCCTTGTTATATCCCTGCTCTGTCAGCTCATCCGTCGTCGCTGGATGACCGGAGCTGAATTTCTCGTTTATGCGACCGATTTGATGAGTCTGCATGCTAATGTAATGCCTAATACAGAGACATCTGCAAGATCATCTTGGCCTTCATCCTGCCCCCTCTGGGTGTCTTCCTGGAGCGCGGATGCGGCGCGGACTTCCTGATCAACATCTGCTTGACCATCCTGGGTTGGATTCCTGGTATCATCCACGCGATGTACGTGTTATGTCCTCTCCGAGAATCTTCGTTTCAGCATAACTAACTACTCAACAGTTATATCATCTTTAAATACTAGAGAATGCCTAGCCCTCCCCGCCGCCTCGTGTGATTCCGTTCGGCGCAACCACGATATCACCGATCGGATCTCACAAACCATCTACTCCCTACCGTCTAATACTTCTCTCATATGGTGGGAATGGTGTTGTCAACGAGGTTCCGAGAAGATCCGGCCGAGATCGTAGCAGCCTAATATGCGGCCCCCACTTACTTCGAAGCCCGATCTAAACGGCGGCGGAATCTTCTTATTTCCTTTCTACTGGTTTATGATTTGGCTCGGATTTTTTTTTTCATGTCTTAGGATTTTCTGCTTTTTGTTTTTCTTGTTACGGATGATACCAGCCCGTTTGTTGCGATACTGGGCCTTTTATTCCCCTGTTTATCGTTGTCAATGCTTAGTTTAATGATTGATGGCAATGGCAAGGCTTAATTCCTACGCAAAAACAACTACAATAGACATTACAGAGTATTTGCACGTATTGACTCCGGACGTCTTGCGATGTCAACCAGTCGCAAATAGACTTTGCCCAGTCCAATAGTAAAATCCATAGCACAAGCACATACATATTTCCCGTGCCCGCGTCTAGAGCCAGTGAGGTTCTCGTAAAACCACAGCCTTGTGCGTTTCGTGACAAATCACCTGATCTGACATCATCTGCAGCTTCGGCGCCAACACGGCGCGTATTGCTTCTGACAGCGGACAGCGGACCGCCAAATAAAACAATTCATCATCATCGCCAGGTCTATTATTATCATGCTGTCAATCAATTCTCACTGGTTCCATCGCGGCGCTAACAGAGGCAATCTCTTCGCTCTCGTTCGAGTTGACTTGGTTATGGAGCCAGTGCACTTAGCGACCAGGCACTATTCTTTTTTGGCGCCGCAATGATCTCAGTGTTATTTGTTTTGCTATATATCGGGCGCCTGGATTCAATTCAATGCCTATAACACGTTAAGATCAGCGAGCTATGTGTGAGATGCTTACCATGCTTACTTTGAACTGAAACGAACGCCACAGGTTATCGCAGTTGCTTTTCTTGAGGGATCTGGATTACAGACGTCGCGACGATGATTGAACCGCTGATCAGCGAAACTGCGGCTCAGTTTGGTGTGTGAGATTCTTTCTTCTAGTGTCTTTCGTTGGTGACTAGAATAGCCGCGTCCCTGCGGCTCCTGGGGTTCTCCATGTTTGCCTCTTCGTCCATAATGGTTCGAATATAAGATGGTCAGCTGAGTGATAATGCCTTCTAAAGAGTCACGCTACTACTGGGACAAGGGTTGCGAGACAAGTTCGTTTGAGCATGGTGTCCAGATACGACAAAAAATGGGATCATAAAGCTGAGATCTGGATTGTCCGCTGCAAACTGCTATTAAATGTTCAAAGCTGTCTCAGAATGGCAGCATGCGTAGATCAATCTTTCACCCCACATTGAAGCTAGACATGTCGCTCCAGGTCTGCACAAAGACTATTTGTGTTATAGTTCACTTTAAAACTCTTATCCAAGAAAGTAAAGAACACCAATCCTTCAACTACCAACAGACAAACAAAGCCCACAGCCCTGAAGCAATGACCCAGACACCGCGACTTAAGCGCCCTCTCCAGAGTACAGCGTAGCGCCCTACTTACCCTGCATCTAAGGCTGACCCAACCACTCAAAGACAGCGAACAGACTATTTTAAGGATGTTTTACTACATCTGATAAAAAATGGTTGATATCTCAATTAATTCAATCCGGACTCGCGTGGGGAAGAGCGCTCTCTTCCTATCTCTCTCTTCCCTCTCACTTCTTCCAATTTGAACTATGGGATCCAAAAATATCCGCTCAATATGTTACTCTTTTCTTTGACACAGATCCGAATATATATGACATTTTTTATCCTTATGTTGTTCACTTTACTAAATCTCGCCTCCGGCGCGTCTAACGTTTCTCTCGCAAAAATCGCCCCAGACTGTGCATTCTCCTGCGCCGAACGCTTCATAGAATCCCAATTCCCGACAAGCGAATGTCCAAACCGATCCAACACAGACTGTTTCTGCAAAACGAAGACAGAGAACGGGTATACACTAGGAGAAGGCATTGTACAATGCATAATGGGCTACTGCTCGGACGATGTGGTGGAAAAATCAGGCGACGATGTTTATAAAATCTGCGATGGGATAAAGGGTGCTATTTCCAAGACGCATGCTACTATTATTGCTACGCTGGTGCCGAGTGTGACGTCCACTGCGGTTTCTGGTAATACGAATGCACCAACAATATCGGCTTCGGGGACGACGGCCTCTGGGTCTAAGACTTCTGTGACTTCGCCTGTTCTCACGACATTCCAGAGTCCGGTGTCGACGACTGGGTCGGAGGGAGTTGCTTCTGTTACAAGTAGCGTTACGGAGTCTCAATCTCAGTCTCCCAGTTCCATGCCAGAAGCCAGCGGAGATGAAGATGAAGATCAAGATTCCAGTTCGCTCAGCGCAGGGGGAGTTGTAGGTGTGTCACTTGCCTCGGGGCTATCAGGATCCTTCCTCATCGGAATCGCCATATTCTTCTGGTGGAGGAAAATGCGACGCAAGCGCAAAGAAGCAGATGATGCGTATTACTTCGAAATCGGAGGAAGAATGTCAGAGCCTCCAGACTTTGACGCACCACCTCCTCGACGGCCGACTCCCGGCCCTAATGGTTACCGCCCGCAACCTCCGCCCAAATCTCCAGATCAGATCCCGACCATGGAGACGTCGAGGTTGATGTCGCCATTTCTGCCTACGCCGAGACCCGTGAATCCGAATGCGAATCCGGCTGTTGTTGTGACGGACGTGGATGATGATTATCATCATGATGGGGGAGGTGGGTTTGGTGAGGATCCAGAACGGACTGCGCATGCGTTACCGCAGTTTCTGTTTGATGAAGTGGACACGCCGCGGAGCGTTCCTGCAACTCAACGGACGAGATCTGATCAGTTGCTACCGGAGAAACCAGAGTTGTTGCCCGAGCCATTGAAATGGGATCGCCCTAGACCTTCGAGATCGAATAGCGATGCGTTTACCATGTTCGAAGAAGATGTCCCACGACCCAAGGGTCATCTCTCTAATGGATACCCTAACTTCTCTGGCCCGCTAGGCCCCAGGCCAATGAATAGTAAAAGACCAATGGCTGGACTACCAGCTAACCCTCGAGCCATGATGTATGGCTTCGGATCACAGGATCACTTACCACCTAAACGGAGTCAAGATAGTCTTTTGAGGCCGACTTATCTCCAACCCGAGCCCAGGCCATCTTCTTTCATAACAGCAACACCAGGGCGTTGTTCACAGTCATCTATGTCGGATGACGGCTACGACGATAACTATTCCTACTGGCAAGACTACGACACCAACCAACCTCGACCACCAGCTCGCATCGCAAACCGCCGTTCCTACCCCAGCCCATCAACCGAAAGTTGGAGCAACACCGGATTCGACTACAGCGGTCTCGAATCACCCCGAATATCCCGCCACTCAGGCATCCTCAAACCACTCACACCCGTCCGCGAAGAAAGCAGAACCCCAACACGCAGCCTCTCCAACCCTAGTCTGCAGGGCCGGATAGGGTTCTCCACGGGGAGTCCGCAACAGCGCTTCTACCACCCCAATCCCCAAACCCCCAATCTCGAACCAACACGTGAAATAGTCTCCAGACCGCGTATCGTCCGTCAGCATGATATTAAGCGAGTTGAGATCCGCCGTGGCAAGTCCCGGGAGATTAACACACCTGTTATAAGTTCTCCTTATTCACCCGATGATTATTGGAATGAGCCTAGTCGAAACTCCCTGACGCAGGTCACTACTGGTGGTAGTAGCACTATGACTACCCCGACGTCATTGTCAATTGGTACTTCTATTCCCACCGTTGAAAAGACTATCACTCGTAAACCTGCCAAGAGACAGTCAGTGTTTGAGCGTAATTTGACGCCGTCGAAGGAGGGTGCGGATTTGATACTACGGGTGGATTAATGGAATTTTTCTAAATGACTTATGATATGACATTAGCGACTTCTTGTACATAATTACATAATTTCCCTTTCCGGATTTGCTGAGGTGACGTTTTGATATTGATCACTGTGATCGCCGATAGTCCCTGGTTGACATCAGAAACCGGATTGAGGGCGATAAGATGGCTATCATTGGTTGGCTAACATTGTGGTACACCCAGAATATTATTCTTGCCACCGGTCTGACTCTTCTGCCTGCACTTCCGTCCTTCTTGATACTCCTATATATCTATACAAAAATATATATTCTACATAGTATCCCAGGCACTGACCTCTCTATCTTCCCGCATACCCCTCTATTGAATACGAGCTGCATGCATACATACTACAAGCAAGTACTAACTAAAAATGGAACGCCACCAAACCGTTACCGAGGCAGACCCACCTGACATCATCCCGTTGGTGCGGAGACCGATTCTAGCTCAGAGTTTGTGGAGAATTCTGACCAATCAGAAAGATACGATTTGGGCGTGATTGCATGGGGTGTTATCGATAACAGGTCGTTGCGAGTCCATATCAATGACCGTAGTGCAATCTCGCAGAGCAATGATGTTATCTACCAGTTTGAATGTATATCTATCACTCAGTACAGAGCATAATGATGATTAGCAATTGATATCATACCAATTACAGTATCTGGTAATCTCCAATTGCAAGCCAGCTCTCAGGCCCGCTTTATCAGACCCACATCAACACTCTTTCAACTTTTGCGTGATTTGTCAGTTCCAAGAAAAAAGAAAGAAGAAAAGAATGAACTGGCCACCCGTCGACGTTTTCGGGGCTGTACGAAAGACCCCGGCCCGACTTTTCGGCGACCTTCTCCCCCCATCTCTCTTTTCCCCAGAAATTGAACTAGACAAATTTGGCAACTCTTTATCTTTTCCTCTTCCCTTCTTTTTCATACACCTAGACATATACATACACACATATACACCATGGTGGGACACACGGCACAACAGTACGTCGAGAACCACGAGAATGCAGACCGCGTCTCGCTCGTCTCAGATGGACCTGCTACGGTCTCTGATAACTTTGCGTTCGCTTTCGATATCGATGGGGTTCTATTGAGAGGAGGACAGCCTATTCCGGAGGCCATTGATGCGTTGAGATACATCAACGGGGAGAACCCGTATTCGATCAAGGTGTATGTACTTCCCTTGTCATTCTGAAACTATTCTTTAATTCAATTCCCATGCTGACTCTCTAGACCGTATATCTTCGTGACCAATGGCGGTGGCAAGACCGAACAAGAACGATGCCTCGATCTCAGCAAACAACTACAATTGGATATCTCCCCTGGCCAGTTCATCTGTGGCCACACCCCAATGCGTGAGATGGCCGATAAATACCACACTGTGCTGGTTGTCGGTGGCGAGGGAGAAAAATGTCGAATTGTTGCAGAAGGATACGGGTTCAAGGACGTGATCACCCCCGGGGATATCATCAAGACTAAGGACGACACTACACCATTTCGCCGGTTAACCGATGACGAGTACAAAAACTCGCGGTTTCGAGACCTGAAAAACACTCAGATCGAAGCTGTTTTCGTCTTCGCTGATAGCCGGGATTGGGCTGGTGACCAGCAGATCATCCTTGACTGTCTGATGAGTGTAAATGGTCACCTAGGCACTCGCTCGCAAACCGGCAATGAAGGACCCCCTGTTTTCTTCTCCCACACCGATGTTGTCTGGGCTACCTCACACGAACACTGCCGTCTTGGAATGGGTGCCCTGCGCGCATCCCTCGAGGCCGTCTACAAGGCCATCACGGGACGAAAATTGTCGACCATTGCGTTTGGAAAACCGCAGCTCGGTACGTACCACTTCGCCATGCGTCTGCTGCAGCAGTGGCGGAAGGATAACCACGAAATCAACAAGCCCCCGCGCACCGTTTACTTCGTCGGGGATACCCCCGAGTCGGATGTGCGTGGTACCAACGAGTTCAACGACGTTAGCGAAGCCGAGTGGATGTCGCTTCTTGTGAAGACGGGTGTCTTCCAGGATGGTGCTACACCCCGGTATCAGCCTGGTCATACTTGCGAGAATGTTCTCGAGGCGGTTAAATATGCCGTTGAGCGGGAGCAGGCTAGGGGCAAGGGCGAGGTTGACGATGTGGACTCTGGGATTGATTCGGAGTCTGCTTGTCTTCGCAACTGAGCTCTTTACTCCATTTTCCTTTCTTTTCTTTCCTTTCTTTTTGGTTATTTTACACATACATATGCAATTCTTTGTATATACGTTTACACGAGATTCCCCGATTGACGCTCATTTGGCATCCGGAGTGTCCGATAAATAAACCATGCCATCTCATGACCCATGATAATTTTGATTTACCTTTTTGTTTATGACTGTTTGAGGTGGATATACTAAGACAACCCATAGAGTAGTGACAATAAAACCATACATATACCCAATCAAATACCAACCAACTATTTCATATTTCTGTTTTTCGAGTACCTGCTCCTTGTACATAGTACTTGTACCTGGCGAGTCACTCCGCAGTGGGGTTCCAGAGTCCAAGGATCGGCAGTAAATCCCTATGTCTTATTCAGCTTCTATATAACATCGTTGATTTGCGTCGCGAATGGCATTTAGATAGTACATAATTGGAAAGCTCATTTCTCCCGTAGTAACCATCGGATTGAACCCCCGGTGTGCGGAGTACTCCGTACATGACCGATTTATTCGCGAAGCACGCCGATGGACGAAGACTCATCACTTTCTACTACCGTTATTAGAAACCAATGATTCGTCTCCCACAAAACCCAGTACCAACCGATCCTCCTCTGCTTATCTTTTATCCTCTTCCTCATTGAATCCTCCAAACCATGCCAGGCCCATCATCCGAAACCAGAACTTTTCTCACAACGCTCCTCTCCAACAACAACGATATCAACACCCTCGCCTGGACAACAACCCTCAGCACCACAATATCAACCGCTATAGTCTGGTTCTTTGCGAAATGGATCCATCCGATATCTAGCGTTATCTTGGCGATTTGGTTGCTGGCGCATTATGTGTTGGATTTGGTGGGTATTTATTTTGCTGTTGCTGGGATAGGTGGGCATGGGGATAGGGATGTGGCCAGTGGGCTTGGAGGGGGTGGGTGTTGTGATAGAGGTTGTTTGTTTTCTGGGTGGGTTGGGGGTTGTTATTGGAGGAGGGGTGGGATGGGATGAGTGGCTCACGCTTGATGTAGGTTAGATGTGTGTTCTTAGTGTATGCTTCAGGGCTGCGTGTTATTCAGCAAATACACCCTTCCCTGCACGCCAACTACCTGAACCTCAGTCCCTGCAAACCTCTCTTCATCTCCTTCTAAACCAGCATTCTCCCTCTCCCTCCCTCCCTACCTCCCTCCTCATCTCTCTCAACAATCATGGAATCGCAATACATGGCAAACATCCTCCACGTCAGCACCAACTCCTTCCTCATCGTCTTCAATATCACCATGTCAAGCTTTGCAGTGATTATTGAATCTTGGACCTATCGCTCATTTGGCGCCGCAGCAGCTCTCTGGTTCTTGGGGTGCTTCGTGCTAGCACTGATCGACGCCTATAATAATGGCACGCAGCGGGGTTGGCCGCTTGATGAGAAACAGGACTTTGCATGTGTGGGTATGGCGATTGTGTTTTTTTCTGGTTGCTATGGGCTTCGTTTATAAGAGGGTGCGGGAGAGGGCATTGTGATGTGAGTGGTGCGCGTGCGCTTGTCTTTGATCTGGTGGATGTTGTTGCTGATGGTTTGTAATAAGGACTTTGTCGACACGATTCCCACCGTACAGACGAGGTTGATGGAGGTCCGGAGGATAAGTTATGGCGACAGCAGGTCTATGTACGGTGCAGACAGTGGGAATACTGGGCACAATTGTCGGGGAGGATATTGGGTTGCTGTTGTCGGGTTAAGGATCCTGGGATGGACAAGCTTCTTCTTACGAGCGAGCCTTATAGGTTCGACTTAATGAATCCATATTTATACTGCTGCTTTGTATATTCTGATTAGATTGACGTATAAAAACTACCTGAATGCTCGTGTCTTTTGATTATCTGCTCCATTGTACCTCGTACCTGGTGAGGGTTCAACAGCTTATTCAGCACATACATACCCTTCACTGCACAACAACCAGAACTTCAACTCCTGCAAACATATTTTTATCTCTTCTCAAACACGCACGCTCTCTTCCTCTTATCATCTCCCTCCCCCTCAACTACCACCACAACACAACACCACAATGATCTTCTGGAACCACATAGTCTCCCTCTACATCCTCCTCATCGACGCCGCAATCCCAAGCGCCATAGTCTGGGCCTTCGCAACCTGGACTCGTCCCATCTTCGCCATAATGGCAGCTCTCTGGCTCCTGGGCGAATACGCACTGGACTGCGTTGACGCCTACGATATTGGTGCGCAGCAGGGCTGGCCGCTTCTCGAGAAACAGAATATGGCGTGTCATTTTATCTCGGTTTTTTATTATCTGGTTGCGTTGGGGGGTATTTATTGGAGGTTTAGAGAGAGACAGCGGGAGGTTTGTTAACCTTATGCGTGTTGACTGATTGATTGATTGGCTTGGTGGGCTGACTGTGATGGTTTGCGATAGGCGCTTCGGCGCGAGTCCTTGCCGTATGTGAGATATTGATTGAGGTGGGGAATATGTTATGGCGGCTTTCGCGGCAGGATATCTATGGTACGGTGCAGTGGGGATACAGGGTACGATTGTCGGGTTTGGCGTTAGATTGTGTCGAATTGATCGGATTCTGAGGGATATGGACGAGATTCTTGAGAGTGAGGATTATTGAAAGCCAAATCTACAGCTCGATAACTCTCGTTCTTGGTATATGCTAGATAGCCCTATGGGGTCGGTCTTAAATAAGTCCGTACTTATACTTAAAACTCTATGTACTCCTATTTTCAGTTATCTCGATGTTTATAATACCAGCATAGTCTTGTATTTTGATTATCTGCTCCATTATACTCCGTGCCTGACGCAGTATTCAGCATCTAGATGTCTCTCCCAAGCCTCTTCCATGACTTCACCTCAAGCTCAACTCCTTCCTATCTCACCACCTTGAATAATCATCACAAATCATCACGATGCACATCCCCATTGGTTTATCGACCAACAACGACAACGCCTTCTGGGGCATTGTCAGCGTCGTCATCAACGCTGCTTCAGTCTGGATTTTTACAAGATGGAATTATCCCAAGTTCGCTGCCGTCGTGGCCTTCTTTCACCTGACTCATTATATCTTCGACTTCTCTGATATCTATTTCTGTGAAAGAGGTCATTATTGGACGCCATATGGCTACAAGTTGATGGTCTCTTATGCTATGGAGGCTATCTATTTCGGACTTGCTATGTGGGTTATCTTTCGGGACGTGTGGGCGAGGCCTAGGGGATAATGAGGTAGGTGATATGTGTGCCTCGAGGTCTGATGTATGTATGTGTTCGGAGACACGTTTTGGCTGACCTTATAATGCGCAGTAGGTACTTGTGTCGACGATAAACGGTGCTATCTTCCTACACGGTGGTTCTCGACATACACGGTATACGATGCCATGTGGATGATGGGTTAGGGTAGCTGAGGGTACAAATAAAATCTACAGCTCAGTAACCTTTCGCTCTTGGTGTATGCCAGACATACGGGGTCGTGCTAGCCTTTATGAATCCGTACGTAGCTATTGCTTCGTGTATTCTGATTAGATGGACCAATCCAAATTATCTGAATGCTCTTCTTGCGTTTTGATTCTCTTCCCAAGTTAATTTCGTACTTGGTGAGGTTTGTGCAAAGTATTATTCAGCATCTAGATGCGCTTCAGCAAACCTACACTGTACTTCAACCTCAGCCCCTACTTCCTTCCACCTCTCCTCCTACCTCGCTGGCGTACTCTCCTCTCCATCCTTCAAACATCCACAAAGGCAAGAATAGTCTGAATAATGCTTTTCGACATATTAACACTTATGCAGATCTACAATTTAATACTCTTCATATCCTTCAACTCAATAACCTAACGGACTACCACCATGATAGACCTTCTGACCGCTCTAAGTTCCACTGAGAAATTTGCCTTCTACATAATTACTGCCGTCGTGATGAGACTCGCCCCAGTCATGGTCCTCGTGGAAAGCAACCATCCCAGATGCGCCGCGGTCATGACTAGCTGGGGTTTTGCGAGTTTTGTTTCTGACACGTTCGATGTCTATGATCGTAGTGAGCAAAGCGGTTGGGTGTCCCGGGATCAGAATGAAATGGTTTCTCAGAGTTTGGTCGGGTTATACTTCAGGCCTGCTGCGTGGGTTATATTTTGGGGTGTGTAGGCGAGGCCTATGGATTGATTGTGTGAGTGCCTTGAAACTTGACAGATGGCTTCTGAAAGACCCTTTGGCTGATGGACAGCGCAATAGGTACTCGTTCAACAATAGACGATCTAACTGCATGATGGCTTTTGACGTACGGGATACAAGATCAATTTGGATGATTTGTTGGGGTCGCTGGGTATGAATACGATTGTCAAAATGTCTCAGGCTGTTGTCGATTGAATCAAAACGACGGCTGGGGATTGACGGATTAATGGCTAGTAATGAGAATGTGGTTTCTTCTCTGTGCTGTGGTTCTAATCGTAGAAGTTATATTAGCTTTTCCACTCTTATATACCAATCATGACCCATCTAGATCAGTGATAGTTTTGGGTGGCGAGATACAAACAGACAGTATTCAAACATTGGCAGCCCCAACCCTGTATTATTCAGCATATACATCTTCGAGGATTTCTTCTCGACTTCTTTCAATCAAAACTATCTTCCTTCATCTTTGCGAACCTTTCATCTTCAATCACCACCAACTCATCAACTTCAACACCACCCATCCATACCATCAACCATCACCAAACCAAACCTCCTAGTTTCACCACCATGCCCCTCCCATCCAACAGAGACCTCGCCCTATCCACGAGCTCAGATGTCGTCCTCGCAAGCGCCATCGTCTGGATCTTCGCGAGACTGCTTCACCCCAGACCCGCCTTGATCGTGGCCCTCTGGGTCTTGATGACTTACGCCTTGGACCTTGTCGACGTTTACGATGGTGCCAAAGAGTTTGGTTGGGCGACGGCGCATAAGAAGCTTGTGGTGTGCACTGCTATCCAGACTTTTTCGTTCTCATTTGCTGTATGGGTTATTTTTCGGAGGGAGATGGGGAGGATTTGATTTGGTGGGTTTTTCATATGGGTTGAGGTGTTTTGGGGATATTTTGCTGATGGATTATAATAGGTGCTTTGGCTACGATTATTACGATTGGTATACGAGACAAACGTGAAGCATTGGGTGAATTCGAATACGTTATAGCGGCTTTTTCGTGGGAGGATAATATGATTCAGCGAGGAAAGGGGGGGTGGGTAGGAGAACCGTGGGCTGTCATCGAGGGTGTCATATTGTGGTCAAATCAATCAAAAGAGCAATGGTTGATGGACTATGTTTGCAGGAATGATAATGCTGTATCCAGATCAAGTCTCAATTCGCCACATATCTCGTCTGTGCAATGTCCCTCGTATTCCCAATCAATTAATTGATGGACTTGCAGAGATTCTGGAGAGCACTTGAGCGTCCTAAGCATGATAGTCAGCCAACGGAAATATTTACAGCTCAGTAGCCCTGACGCTCTTATACCAGAATATAAACCTCGTAACAGCCCTATAGTTGCTACATACCAATTGAAAGATGTATATAAGCAAATTGAATACTCCTGTTCTTCAATTGAGCCTGCTCCATTTTATTTGGTGTCCTGTACTCGTAGCATTCATACCTGATTCTCCTGTGGTGCAAACAGCCCTGTGTGTATTATTCAGCACCTACAGTCTAAATGACACAGCTGCGAGGAGCTCCTCCCTCGTTCTGTCAACCATCTTCTCCGTCTTCATTCTCCTTTCTTTCATCCGTCGAGCTCCATCCTCTTAATTCTCATCCTCCGAATCTCCATTTCTATCACTTCACGATGATGAACCCTCTCTCGCCCAATAGCACCATCGCGTTGCTCTCTATCATAAACGTCTTTAACTCCTCCACCCTCGTATTCCTTCTCGCTGTTTTCGCGGGCCCCAAGACCTACTAGGTGCTTGCTTTGAGTGTCTTTCTTCGCTACGCCCTGGAGATCCAAGAAGCCTACCACTTTGGAAATGTTTATGGCTGGTCTCTGCCGTACCAGCAGAGGCTTTTGTGTCTGCTCGCGGAGGCCGCTTATTTCTTTCTTACCGTTGACTTTATCCGTCGTAAGACGATAAACATCTGGGAGTGTGTAGGTTCTACCCTGGAAAGGGTTTGGCTGATGATGACCTGCAGCAGTGTCCATGTCACGAAGACGGCAGACTTCCGCGCGGTTTGTGTGAGTAGCATGGTGTAGGAGTGGCAGATATGCTGTGAGGGAAGGGTCTGATTGTTGTTGAGTCAGAGTCAGCTGGAGTGATGGTTAGGATCAATCGGCGTCAGTATGTACTACTAGTCATGAAAGTCAAGCTTCATTGATTTCACTTCACTTCCTTTGGTCTTCAAACTGTAAACTCTTGATTCCGGTTACCATACATATCTATGCGGCCCCTCCGTTTGCAACTTCATCCTAGTCAATGTACGGTGCACTCCGAGATACACGACTTCCCTCGTCTTCCCAAGCAAGCAACTGGATGGCGCTTCACGAACTTGACCAACGCCAGAGTGTACTTGTTTGCGGCTCTGTGTGTCCTTCTCAGTTACATCTTGGACATCGTCGAGCTCCAGCACACTGCATCTGAATCTGGTTGGCCTCTGCAAAGCAAGAAGAAAATAGTTTGTGTCATCACTGAGACTCTTTGCTTCTCGCTTGCCGCGGTGGCTATTTGGAGGAAGTTTTTGTCCCTTTGGGAGTAGTGTGAGTTATCAGTGTGCCTCGAAGCTGGACGGTCTGGCTGGTTGTGACTTGCAGAAGGAGCTTTGACAATCCACGTCCGTGTCGGGAACGCTTTCGAGTGGCTTCTGTGCAGTGAGGGAACAGCGTGGGGAAGGGAATCGGATTGTCGTTGTGTTTCTACATGGTAATGAAAGTGCAGCTTCTTCACTTGACTTGGTTTTGTCTTGAAATTTAGACTCTTGACTCTGCTCGCCATGTATTTCATCTCTACACAGTCCCCCTTCTTGACAAGTTACTCACCACCGCTGGAAGAGGCTGTGTTAGGCTACCGGACCTTTTTGAACCCAGGGAATCTCTCCCTCAATCAACTATCTACTGGTTCTCACTTCAACCAAACAGATGCCACATGAGGTATGAATGTCAATGCTTACTGAGGATGAGAATGAGAAAGTCCAGAAGCTAACTGACGCAAAGACAGAGCTAGCTTTTTTGGTCTGCATGATGCCACAAATACACATGACTGTCGCTGGTGACGATGAATACTACCTTCCCTCAAGGGTCCTGGTTGGAACAAGTTCTCCCTCTTCCGTTTGCTTCTAATTTGTTACTGAGGACATCAGCTAACCAGCAATTCTTCAATTCTTAGAGCATTCAAATTCCTTTACGCTCCCTTTAATGCTAGCCTCGAAGCCTGCGATCCGTGACCAGTGACCTCCGAAAGCTACGAGAAAGGAGGGCTGCTATACCAGGGATGCCGGACGATACAAGTACGCCTCCGAGTTGCGAACGCTATTGCACACAATCTAGATGGAAAGGAGGATTTTACCTTCGAGGCTTTGGGTTTTTCGCGTAGAGTATAAGGGGGAGAAGTCTGTTCGTCTACAGACAAACCCAAAGATGTTCTTGCTGCTGCTATTGCGCAATACCATAACCAGACGCCGAAGGATCCTGTTTATGACGCTGGGGAACTCTTCTCAGTTCATACCGAAGACACTTCGCTGCCACAAAATCTTTGGAGGAACATATTGAACATTCGCGTTGGTGATATGTACAATAGGGAAGGGAATAGGCAATGTACAAAGTGTTTTATTGTCCGCCTTGGATATTCAAACCACAAACTCATTGTCGAGCCAATGCTTGATGACAACCCCGCCCTCTTCGAATCCTTTCTTTGGCATTCGTACGATAATCGCTGCGTGACTGTGTCGGTGCTTGTGGATGTAGACGGGGTATCTACGAAATCCGACGGCATTGAGCGAGTCGATAATGGCGAATTGGGCGGGTGTGAGGGCCAGAACGGGGTATTTTAGTCCATTGTATACAATCTCTGGTGCTTGGGGGGATGATGGCGACAAGGTGTGCTCGTCTTTGGGAAGTTCAACGTCCTGTTCGTCAGCCGGGGAGAGGTAGTCAGGGTCTTGGCTGGAGTTGATGTTTTCAAAAACGTCTTCGACAGCATTTTGAACATCCTGGACTAGAAGTGGAACATGGTAGCTTCCGAAAAAGACCCCCGTTTCCCCCTGTCCATGGAGACGGATGCGTTGACGGCTGCGGACGGTTTGTACGACGGCGTTCAGGAGGAAAATGAACGAGCCTACGGGGACAAAGAAGAGGAGGAAAAGCCAGAATGGGAGGTTGGCAATGATTCTCATCGTCTTGTGCCATGCGTGGGAATCAAGTGGGTTCGGTTCTTTTCCCTCCGGAGGAAGGGTGTATACGTCTGAATCAACGACGACTGGCTCGTAGCCTTTGGCATAGTTGAAGTTGGTAGTCTCCAGGTCTGGAAACGGGTCGAATTTAGAGATTCCAGTGGTGTAGAAGACAGCAGACCGGTCATTCACGATATTCGCATAGGCAGATCGATGCTTGAATCGCGCCAGCGCTTTGATGAAGATACTCTCGGGGTCAGCCAGAATGCTGAGCAGGGGCTTACCCGTCTCCCGGAACGAATCAATCATGAAAAGCTGTCTTCCAGACATAGAGATCGTTCGCGCCCCCAGCACATTCCAGATATGATTTTGTATGCCCTTCAGCGGAGTGCGCACGCCAACATGCGGCGTTACGAACGTCGTCAAGTTGACGGGCTCCAGCTTATCCAGCCATCCGCGTGCGTAGAGCAGCCCTAGCGCATATCGGGCTACCAGGCCTCCCAGCGAATAACCCACAACACTCAACTTCTTGATCGTATGTCCTTGTCCTGCCAGTGCATCCAGTGTGTCCTCCACCTCGTGCGCCAATCGCTCCCCACCCAGCTCGATACCATCATAGGTGAAATTTCTGGCATTTCGCTCAGCAGCAAGAATATGCAAACGATCAGCCCCGTATCTCTCCCTCAGCGACGTAGCCACGTAGTCCAAATGTGTTGGATTTCCCCATAACCTTTTCCTCTCATACCGGAACGTCAGTCAACCCCGTATTCTTAGTCATCAGGGGGCGGGAAGTTTAGCGGACATACCCGTGGACGAGCACGCAAAGATGGTTTGCTGAAGATGCACTCGTTGAGGCCATTCCAGAATCGATCGGTTGCAGGGGACTTTTTTTCGCAGCGCAGGGAGAGGGTGAGTAAGATTTTCAATTGAGCCCCTCGTCGCATCTTTATGAGCCTGGGGCTAGTGTGCCCTTATCTTGCGATATTGTTGCAATCTAAAGATAAGCTGCTTGGCGTGGTTGCCTAGTGGATATGGCATGTGAGGCATTATTCGTAGTTAACTAACTAACTAGTGGGTCTTGCGGGGGGGCCTTCCTGATTTAGATATTGTCACTCGTTCTGTTCTTCTTTCTGATTATACCATAAACAATGAATACTACCCACTTGCTTATACCTTAGCTCTATACGAATCCCCGTTTAAGCAATGGTTTCAATACCCCTTTCCGCCGGCTTGTCGCAATGAGACCAAAATCGAAGACAAGATATGATCAAGGCTCAAAACAGAATCAAATTCCGAAGTATGCCAAGTGGAAACAAGCCGATGAAGTCCAGATAAGGCGCTTGAAGAAGAAGCACAAAGAAAACGACAATAGTACCTTGAAGAAAGGCAAGGAATCTGCGGACGCAAAGGTCGACAGCCTCTATCACGGTTTCGAACACTTCCGTTAATTTACCAGCGCCTTTAAAACGCAGGCTGGTTTGGTTATAGTTTTAGCCACCCAAGTTCCTGGCATCCAAACAGCGCCCCTTGAACCGCCTTGTCCGTTTTTTTCCTTGTGGTCTTGCTCCAATTTGTTGATTTGCTCCTTGTACTTCTCCTCCATTTTCCTGATATTGGCCTCTATTCCCTCGCACTTTTCAAGTTCGCGGGAAGAAAGTGAAGACTTGCTTGGAGGCGAGGTTCGAAGGTCTCTATCGCAGACTTAAACACTTTCATCGGGTTGACAACTCGTGGGCCGGTTCCGGCTAAGCACCTAGCTTCTGCGCTTCGAACAGCGCCAGTGCGAGCAAATGAAATGAAAATACTGTCGGCGACTTGCGATGCTTCCTGTGTTTTCGCCAGTCCTGTATATGCGCTATGCGTATTTCGTCTCTGCGGATACTTATGTGTGATTGTTTTGATGCTTGTTTTGATGGTTGAGGTCTCGTTCGTTTTTCTCAGCCAGATTGTTGGAGACTTCATCCTACATAGCACCGTTAGCACCGATATAGCCTATGGCAGCTAGTGCCTATATAACAACCTGAGCCTACAACAACTCTCAGTCTTCCAATAGAGCTCCTTCTCCAGATATTCTCCCAAGCAGAAGAGTACTATCTGCGAATGAAACTTCTGATTCAGCTTGAAGACAGCCGATGGGCATGTTGCGCTAGATGTCGGAAACTGCATCCACGAGAAGAGTTCTACGAGATGTCACTAGTGGATGATCCAACCACATGGATGTGTACCTGGTGGGCTGGGCTAATAGACATATGCCCTTGTCTTACATTGACACTACGCAGTCGAAAACAGATCATCATGGAATACCTTATGAGGACAGTTAGTGATGCACACAATATTAATCTTGTTAAAAATGGCCTTTTGGAGAAGTCTAGCAATGCAAGAGGTGAAAAATACCTCTTACATAATGCAGCGCCGACTCAACAGTGATACTTGATGCTATATTTGTGACGGCTCAACGGCTCAACGCCAGACAAACAGCGCCAACATATCAAACGATGCCATACAAGCAATGTGGGCAAACAAGGGCTTAAGCCGCACCACACAAATGCCTATAAAGACCGTTCATCGCCTAGATAGATTTCCTTTTCTTCTTCTTCCCCAGATTCGATATTCTCGTCGTTAGGCTACCTAGTCTAGATATGAATATTATTCGTTTTATCTGCTAGTTTCTGAGCCCGTGACAATATTCTCTCTTAGTGATGGCGACAACTCGATTGCCTGTACTCAATTTGAGGTGCCCTCTGCAATTCATGACATGAAAAGAAATTCTCGGGAATCTGTACATGTTTGCCATGGTCCAGATTTATGGGACTGGATATCTCGTTCAAATGATGAACAGGATGGTGGGCGTTGTCTTGCACATGTGTCTAGACTGGACACTTCAGAGTCGACTGTGGTGGCTGTTACACAGAGTTTAGGGAAAGGTATTTGGCCAGGATCCTTCGAAGCTGACTCGGTATTGTCTTGGTTGCGAAAAGTTCGATCAACGTAGTCAATGGAGAAGTTATACTTCGGGCGTGTGTCTAGGATATATGGTATACTTGCTGATGTCGCTTATGATTGCACATTTCTCTCTCCCCATCCATTAATAAAAATAGCAATTTCAGGGGAGGTGTCTCGAATTTTTGAAGGGCGAAAGTAGCCGAACCATATCAGACATTATTATCATGCGCTGCCTGTATGTACGGTCTAATCAGCAACCTCCAAAATCGAAGATTTATATCGAAGTCCTCATAAAAGCATTGCCGTAGATAATTGTATTTGATCTTTTGATGAGCAACCTTCAGTTCCTCCATTGCATTTCCGTTGTTCCTTCCAATTTATTGCCCTCCTCGCCCTTCCCCCCTCCCCCATTCTCAGTTTTCATCGCATTGTACCTATACCAAAATACCCGCTACAAAGCCGTGGATAATTATACTTGGTCTAAAAAGGTTTATGACTACAAGAAAGCCTGGAGATGGAGCAGAATGCAATATTCGATATTATCATATTGGCACGACAGAAAGACTGTTTTAAATCGGATACAACGACGTCATAAAAGACGTCAAGGCTACTCTACAGTCTGAACCGAATGAAGTAAGAATCATGGCAGGAGCTCGTGTACTTTCGATAATCTTGTATGTCTTATGCGTATATTGTATCATTTATTTTGCTCAGCCAGATGTCCAATACCCGTCATATTGCCAATAAATACTTGACGGCTGGCTCAAACCGCCCACATTCCTGGCATCCCGACACCAAATACAGCCTTGAACCGACTTTGTTTCCAGGCACCGGCTCCGCTACAAAGCCTCGAACTGCAGACAACACCAGTGTGGGAGCAATAATTCTGTCGGTGGTATGGGGTACTGTCTGTTTAGATTCTTGTATATCTTATTTGTATTGTATGTTGTGTAGTTATGGTTGTTTGGCTAGTTTCTTCCTCAAAGATAAGGCATCTATAGACTTGTTTGTTTTGTTTGCAGATCTCCTTGGCTGTCCTCAACTTCGCCAGTCGATAGATACTCTTCGTGCTTTTGTTCCCAAGTTATTTATTGCTTTTATTTTATTAATCCTCTTGTATTCTTACGGACCTAAAGCTACTGAATCAAAAATATTCACTTCTGAAGTGTGAGAGAAGGTCTATAGATAGCGCAGTGAGTGTTATGAGAAGTATATGCGTAGTATTCACGGTACTAATCGCTGATGTCCTGTCCTCGGCCATCAGCGAGGTTAAGACTTTATGTCGCGGTCATGTGATGTGCGGGTGCTTATTAACCGCATGTGCGTGTTATGTACATGCATAAGTCCGCTATGCGGCTTTGTATCCTAACATGAAGATCACGGCCGGCGCATCACCTGAACTTCCGTCCGACATCTCCCAGTTATAGCAACCTGAACACCGAAATGACATCCTCTATTACTTGAAGTACCGAATTGCAGAGATGATACAATCGTTTTATTCATAAATCAAAGCATCCTTTCCCACCCATTCTTATTCATACAATTATTGTTATCATAATGTTCCCTCCCCTTGGACTATTCAAGGACGTACCATGTCCTCAGGCTCAGGATTGCTCGCTTCTGGTCTGTTTATTTTCGCACAAGAATACCAAGTCTTTTCTTGATAAAGAGAAGGGTACACAGCCAGCATCAGCAAAAGATGCGACCCCAGCAAGCACGCCGATCCCCAAGAGGAGGAAGATAGAACCGACTGCGACTGCGGATAAGGTCCGGAAGAACGCCTCGCCAGCACCAGCAAAAGAAGCACAGAAATCAACAGACAAACCCATAAAACCTGCTTCTCAAGATCCGGCAAAACTGCAGTCAACGTCGAAAAAGGTATCACCACCGCCTCCACGCGCGGTATCAACACCGGAGAAGAATGCACCTACAAAAGCGACGACACCGTCCCAACTACCACCAAGAAAGGCGCGCAAGGAAAGCTTGAATCCTCGGATGCTCACCAAAGCGCCTGCATCGCACGGTGTGCGGTTATCTATCTTGACCAAACTACATTCTGCCATGTCGAAGCTCAATGCCAAATTAGCGGAAGATCAGAAGAGCGGGAATAAGTACCTGGTCTTGTCTCCTAATGAGCTCGTGACAATGGCGCTTGATGAGGAGGAAAAAGCCGCGAAGGATAATCCAGGTGTATACGGGAATGTTATTAAGCTTCGGATTGTTAAGTTGTCCAAAATGAGCAAGGAGGACTGGGCGAATGAGGTTAAGGCGCATTTGAATGCTCGGTATTATAAGTTCGAGCCGGTTCAGGAGCCGTCCAAGCCGAAGGATCTCACGACTGGATTAAGTGCGAGGGAAGAAATCGCGATTGTCGGTAAACTGGTCACGCCGTTAGAAGGTCTCGAAGGATTTGGCTACGTCACCCGCGCGCCGTCAAAGGAGGAAATCGAAAGTGCCAAGAAGGGCGTCGAAGGGTCCCAAGGCTGGGAACAATGCGCTCGATGCGGTGGACGATTCCAGGTCTGGCCCGGACGGCGTCCTGATGGTTCATTGACGAGCGGAGGACAGTGTACCCATCATCCGGGGAAACCGATGTATCCTCCAAAATCGCAAACAGAGCACATCACGGGACCCAGGGAGGCATACTACTCTTGCTGTAACGAATCGCTGGGTACATCGCCCGGCTGCAAGAAAGGCGACACGCATGTCTTCAAGGTCTCAGAAACGAAACGCCTCGCGTCGATTCTACAGTTCGAGAAAACGCCCTGGCAGCCGGATAAGAGACCACGACCGCCTGTATGCTTCGACTGCGAAATGGGATACACGACGTTTGGAATAGAACTCATCCGCCTCACAGCCGTCAGCTGGCCTGATGGCAAACCCCTACTCGACATCCTCGTCCGACCAATGGGCGAAGTCCTAGATCTCAACTCACGCTTCTCCGGCGTCTTCCCCGAACACTACGCAAACGCCGTGCCCTACGACCCATCAAAATCAACCCCAGTATCAAACGAAACCGAAAACCAGCCCCTCCAAGTCGTCGACTCCCCCGCCGCCGCCCGCTCCCTCCTCTTCACCCACCTTCAACCCACGACCCCGATCATCGGCCACGCAATCGACAACGACCTCAACGCCTGCCGCATCATCCATCCTACCGTCATCGACACGGTGATCCTCTACCCCGCCCCACGCGGCGGCTTGCCCAACCGAATGAGTCTGAAGACGCTGTGCAGGAAGTTCCTTGAGCGGGAGATTCAGACGGGTGGTGAGAGGGGTCATGATTCGAAGGAGGATGCGGTTTCGACGGGGGATTTGGTGAGGGTTAAGGTTGGGGAGACGTGGAAGGTGTTGAAGTCTAAGGGGTGGGGGATTGATGTTGCTGGTGGGAAGCTTGTGCCGCCGGAGGGGACGGGGATGGGGGAGAATGAGGCTGCTCAAGAGAGGGCTTTGGGGGTTGGGGCTGGGGTTAAGAGGAAGGGGTTGTCGTGAGTGCTCATGGCACCGTTGGACAACATCTATTGTTGCATAGGATACTACGAGTAATAAATGTTTGGGTAAAAGACTGCTCCATTATATCTACCATTCGTAACGTCATGAGTAGAAACACCGCACTGACCAATCCAACAATGCCTTATCACAGGCAATACGCGGACCGACCAGCGCAGCGCAGGAAAAGCATTTCCTCACAAGAGCTCATCTATACCCCAACCAAGACCCAGCCTTGCTCCCGTCTTTTCATGGAAACCCCTTAAATGGACCGAGCACGGATCATGATCGTAGATTGTCGTTCGTCTCGAGCGGAGTAATTTACTCCTCGTCCTCCTCAGCCTCGTCGTTGACGACGTTGTAGAAGCGGAGTTCGTAGACACCCTTGGAGGTGGAGACGACGCGGAGCCAGTCACGGAGCTGCTGCTTCTTGAGGAACTTCTTGGTCCTGTTTTCATTAGCCCTGCCTTTGTCTTTCCGTGTAGGTTTGAATGTTGTAGGTGTGCGTACAGGTACTTGAGGTAGCGACCAGAGAAGGGAATGTGAGCAACAACCTCGACCTTGCCGTCACCGGTCTGGGAGATGACGACCTTGTCACCGAGGTTGCCGACACGGCCCTCGACCTTGATGCGGTCGTGGAGGAACTTCTCGAAGGCAGAGACGTCGAAGATCTTGTCGCTCGCGGGCTGCGAAGCGTTGATGACGAACTGTGCTTTATTAGCATCTTCAATTGCGATTTCATGAGAGTAAGTAAAATGGGCGCATACCTTCTGGGTGACCTTCTGGGCCTTGCGACCACGAGCCTATGTACAGGAAAATCGGAATTAGCCTACTGCTCCATAATGTCGGATCCCAGAATTTCTTCCGGGGGAACAGCAAAGCGGTTCATGAATTTGGAGGACATACAGTGACGGGGGCCATTGTGACTGGTATGGGGTTGATTTGGGTGTTTTTGAAAAGAAAAATGAACGCAAAGAAGTGAGTATCCTGCGCCTGGTGGATGATCGAGAGAAAGAAATCTTCGTGGTGGAGCCGTCTTGTCGATAACCAACCCTCGTCGCGCGGTGCGAGCGACTAGTCCTAATTGGGAAATAGGGCTATTATTTTGAGAGTAGGGTACGAGCTAGTCACATGCAGCAGCTGCCTGGATGACTCATCCCCTTCATCGCTTACCACTAGCGTGCACGGACCCCCTTCCTCAACATATAAATACTATGCTATCCCCGCCACTCTTTCAACCTTTCTTCTTTTTTCTCCAGCTCTCTTTGCCTTTTGGCTTAGATCAAGTGTAGTATCTGTTCTTTTCAGTTTAATCTCTGAAAGTGTTCTAAGGAACACAACATTGATTAATCTTATTTTTGGTCTCCGTGGCTGGGCCTCTGTGCTTGCGCATGTCTGGCCGCACAGTGTCATCGGGCTTACACTATCCCTGATAGACGCGAACACCTTTTTCATCAATACGGTCGGCTTGCTGACTGGTTGGAGAAGATGGTTTTTTTTTTCGTGTTGTGTAGATTTAACTTGGTAGATCGGGTTCAATATAATAAGCTTAGTCCTGTGTCTACAATGTCTGTTCTGTACCCATAGAGTTCTGACGCCTTCATGTCCGTGTTAAGACTGCAAAGCTCTTCCATGTCTATGAACCCAGTGATCCCACGCGAATACGATCAAGCAGTAATGTAATATCAAGCTGTATTGAGCTCTATCAACTATTTCTTTCGTAGTACGACGTACCTGTACTATCAGCAAGTGAATACAAAGCAAACATCCCCGTTGGCAACCTCTTTTCACCTTGACATATTTTCTTGACGTCAATCCGCAACACCACCAACCAAACCACCACATCTACTCTACCTCTGCAGGACTCTACCTCTGCAGAGACAAGATGATCGACCATCGCATTTTCGAGGATCTTCAGACAAAGATCGATGAGGAGACTCACGTTCGTGATGTATGTTGACCTGTCAGAAGCTGAGCTTCGACTTGACGCGCGAGGAAAGAATGGAAGCTAATTTACACAGGAACTCCAAGAAATCGTCCAGACGCTCGCGAGACGGGGTACATCTCCATCCTAAATCGAATGGTTTATGCAGGCATGCAGACTAACGACGTACAGGACGCTCGACGCAAGCTATCCTCTCTCGCGCTCATTCTACACCCTCTGGCCAGCGTAAGCTCCCCTACCCGTTACTTGCTTGAGTGATAGAAAGCTGAAAGAAAGAACAGTAAAACCCGTCCTCGACAGCGCAACCAAAGAAATCATCGCCCAGAAAGCAGAAGTCACCCGTCTCAAGGTCGTGGCTGACCAGCACCCGTTCTACAAGTACAACGGGCTGTGGACGCGGGAGTTGCAGAATCTTGTACGCACCCTACCCTCTGTTGCTATTGACTGGTTGCTGATTGGAAAGGTGACGGCTATCGAGCTCTGCGCGTGGTTGGGCGGATTCCAAGAGTACAAGAGCGCGGACTCGAGCGAGTTTTTGATGATTGAAGAGGTTGGAAAGTTCTTGGATGGTATGCTATTTCCCCGTTTTGTCTCTTATTTATGCAGATAGTGCTAATTCGTGGTAGTCCCCGTGAACTTGAAAGAGGAGGATGCTTTCCACCTGACTATCGAGGAGTATCTGCTTTCTCTCATTGCCATGGCTGAGGAATTGGTTCGTCCCTGTCTCCTGTACTGAGGTTGAGCTTGGCTAATTAAAGTAGTCTCGTCTGGCTGTCAACTCCGTGACTCTTGGTGACTACACGCGTCCGATGCAGATTGGCAGTTTCATCAAGGATTTGTTTGCGGGATTCCAGTTGCTCAATTTGAAGAATGATGTGCTGCGGAAGAGGAGTGATGGGATGAAGTACAGCGTAAGTCTTTTTCAGATTGTGAGATGCTGTGACATAGTACTAACGGTGAACAGGTCAAAAAGGTTGAGGATGTTGTCTATGATCTTTCGCTGCGCAATTTGATTCCCAAGTAGTGCTACGGCTTAATTCACGGAAAAGTAAAGATAGATTATCGCGAGGTATCAATACTAGTTTACAAAATTATAAAAGACAACTGAGTTGGGGGACACCATCATAAACATAAAACCAAGCCCCTAAGACAACTTAGCCTGCTCCCCCGATGCCCCAGCCAACGTCCCCTCCTTCCTCGCCTTCTCAATCTCCTCCGCAATCCTCCCCTCCAACCCCTCCGGCTTCGACGTACTAGCCCACCTCCCAACAACCTTCCCATCCGCGCTAATCAAAAACTTCTCAAAATTCCACTTCACCCTCCTCAACCCCATAATCCCGGGCATCTCCTCCTTCAACCAGTTGTACACGGGAGCCGCCTGCTCCCCGTTCACATCCAACTTGCCCAGCACGGGGAAACTGACTCCGTAGTTCATCAGGCAGAAGGATTGGATGTCGTCGTTGGAGCCGGGGTCTTGGGAGCCGAATTGGTTGCAGGGGAAGCCGAGGATTGTGAATGTGTCGGGGTATTTCTCGGTCAGGGATTTGTAGAGGGTTTCGAGGGAGGCGAATTGCGGGGTGAAGCCGCATTTGGAGGCTGTATTGACGACGAGGATTACTTTGCCTTTTAGGCTGGAGAGAGGGAAGGGTTTGCCGGTTTCTGTTTTTCAGAGTTAGTTTTGTTTTGGTAAAGGGGTAGAGGGGGGACGTACTGTCGACCGGTTCAAAGTCGTAGAATGTAGTCGCGGACGACATGGTTCTGGTGTTTGGAGGTTGGATTTGCGCGCGTTGATGTGTAGGTGTAAACGATGATAGCAGATACTGTACTCTAGGAACAGCGATGGATCTGGCAGTTGATGAGAATAAGCCACGGCAAACGATATTCGATGGAAGAGGTCGCATTTTATAGGAGAAGCCGAGGTTGGACCGTTGAGGAGATCGTTGAGCCCGTTAACGGCGCTGATGTCATCGCCCGTGTCATATGCTGAGTAATGCAGATTATGCCGCCATACGAAGGATAATTACAAATTCGACTTTCTAGAATTTACATGCCAGAATTCTAAATAGTTAGCAGTAGTTATGAAGTATGTGATATATAAGCAGTTAAACGGCTGTGTTTGTTCCGACAAGTAGAGAAATAAATTCAGTACGGAAGTGTATAGATCCGTGTTCCGTAGAGGTAGAGAGCATAGATTTCGATGTCATGCCATGATGACCTTAGGATAAAGCAATAGAGTGGTTCCAAACAAGTCTTGCACAAAAATCACCATTCTATGCCAGAGGCCAACAGTTAAAATCCTTCCTGCATGCTCGTTGGTCCGGGCGCACGTCAACCCATGGAGTAAAATATATATCCAGCGTCCGACTGTATCACCTCCACCATCTAAACTTGGGTCATTTCCCGGCGCTATAATTTCGTAGCCATAATATCGGGATGCAGTTTCCTTCGGAACATACCCCGCAGCAAGATATTACCCGTGATATAGTGACCGCGACCGGCGGGAGTCATGGCTGCGACGAACCGTTTCATCCAGCATAACGCAGACCAACATCCAATATTCCTTGTATCTTTCTCTCCCTCATATCATTGAATAACAACACTGGCGACCGTAGCTCACTCCTCGTGACCCTGATCCATCTCCAAAACATCCATATCCAACTCCTGCATAACCTCCAGCACAACCCCCAAACTCTCCATAAACCCATTAACCGCAACCCGTAGCATCCGATTCGTCGTCGCGCGATACATAGTCTTCAAGACCGATTTGTCTTCCCCCTCGACTTCCATCTTCTGTGTTTCGGTTTCCGAAGATGCGGACGGAGCGACGAGTTCGAAGTGCCGCTGGACAAAGGGCGATAGTTCGGTGTCGACTTCGAGCGTGCGGAGGGCGGAGGAGGCGAGGTGGGTGGAGGGGAGGGGGAGGGTTATTGTTCTGTTGTTGTTAGTTTGCTCTTTGGTTTGGTGTGTGTTTGTCTGCGAAAAAATTGGTTTGCGGGGTGGGATGAGGGAGGAAGGACGGACAGTGTGTAGGGGAATTCGGTCGCGTTGGCTGCCATTGTGTTCTTTTTGTGATTGTGATGTATAGGAAGGAATAAAGAATTGATAATGTGTTGTTGCAGTGCTGTTTGTTTGGAGGAGTCGAGGTGGAAGTGTTGGAGGGGCTCGTTTGCGGTGGTGTAGTAACCGAGGCGGCTCAGTTGAGGTACGGAGCAGGATGCAGCGATGTATGTCTCTGTATCAGTAATCTATGTTATTGGGTGATAATCCTGATAATAAAGTAAGTTTTCAAGAACCAATTGGCCGATTGAATCAACATAATATACATTTAGTGCTTTGTTGCTGTACGGTCCATAGTAGCCTCAGCACACCTGCTAAGACCAGAGGTTTCTACGGGACATGGATGGACAGGGAACGAAAGATCGAGATCTTGTACGGAGTACAGAGTTCTAAGCAATGGTTCATCTGGGGAAGATCTAACACGTTTCTTGCATGGTCTATCTCTAAATGTACGACTACTATGATATATATTTACAATGGACAAGACCATCCAATCTACTGCAAAGCAATGAATAGAATGCGATCAATTAAAGAAAAAGTACTGTACACAAGTAATCATCCGTAGATCGTCGAAGAATAAACAAACCAAAGTTCACATGAAGATTATAGAAACAAAAAGATATCCGCTTAATACTCCCACATAGGCATGGCCTTTAGCAGTGTCCAGCAGCCAACAAAACGAGGTAACCTTGACATGACGCGTTGCTCAAAAAGAAAATCCTTCAGAATTATATCCAGGGCCCGTGAGACGAACATGTTGAGAAAAAGAAAATTTGTAAAAGCAAAAGTGGTATAATATTAGAAGGTAAGTATGTCCTGCTCAACAAAAGACCTTAAACAATCCTCTTCACATGCGTAAAGATCTTCTTATTTACAGGAGGTTGCCGGTGAGACCCTTGAGGGGGAGACCGCCGAGCAGGCCCTGGACGAGACCCTCGACGCCAGTCAGGAGGTTGTTGACGTTGAGGATTTTCAGGAGACCAGTGACCTGCTGGACGTTAAGGTCCTCGGGGAGGATACCGCCCTTGGTGAGCTTGGGAGTGATCTGCTCGGCAAGGCTGGAGATGGCGTCGTCACGCTTGAGGAGGTCGCCGAGGAGACCACCAGTGAGGCCCTTGAGGAGACCACCACCGAGAAGGTTGTCGAGGACGGACTCGACGTTGGTGAGGAGGCCGTTGACGTTGAGGACGTTCAGGAGACCAGTGACCTGCTGGACGTTGAGGTCTTGAACGACCTTGGTGACCTGGGGAGTGATCTGCTCGGCAAGGCCGGAGATGGCGTCGTCACGCCGGAGGAGGCCATCAACGACGGGGAGATCGACGAGGCCCTCGTCACGCTGGAGAAGGTCACCAACGAGGGGGATATCGCTGAGGCCCTCGTCACGCTTGACGTTGACATTGGCGCCGACACCAACGTCGAGGAGCTGACGCTTCTCCTCACCACTGGAGAGGTTCTTGAGAGCCTTCTCGACACTCTGGAGCTCTATAATACCCTTTGTTAGCCTTATGTTTTGCGTAGGGAAGAAATCGTAGATCGGTGGAACATACGAGAGACGAGCTTGTTGACCTGAGCCTCGTCCTTGGTGCCGAGGGCCTTGGAGAGGAGACCCTGGACGTCACCAGTGACCTGGTGAACCTCGGCGAGAGCACCGTTGACGTTGGGGATGGCAGCGCCGGTCACAGCGGTGACAACGGCGAGCATAGCGGCGATTCCAGTGAACTTCATTGTGACGAATTTGGTTTATTTGGGGTTTGAAAGAAAGAAGGAGTGACTGTTGTAAAGTTGGGTTTGTAAAAAAGAATGAATGACTGCGTAAAGCAGGTGGGTTGAGAAAGAACGACTGGAATGAAAGACTGGCCTTTGACTGGTGTGAAGAGGAAAGAAAAGAACACAAGGAAGTGCTGAACGAGCCCAGCTTATATAGACTGTGAACGCGGGTCCTTCATGGCTCTCCTTATCGGCGGGATCCCCCGTTCCTCTTTCCTTGGACGGACAGCGCAGATCAGGGGGGGGAAGAAAGGAAATTGGCAGTGGGAATAGGAGACAAATCTGCCCTAATTGCCTACGACACGGGCGAATTCAACGACTAGCACAACAAAGCAATATGGATCGTCAACATACAGTAGGAATTAGCGCACATGGCGCCTTCAGTGGGGTTATTACATGGTCCAAGTTTATACCAGGTAAGCTTTACTGCGGTTTAGGGGGTTATTCCAATTGGTGAGTAGCTCTACCCTATTAGGAGATGAGCCTGGTGTACTTCTGTTTTGGGACAGATGGTGGATAGATGACGTTAATTCCTTGCCCATTCGGCAATTTAGAATCCACTCTTTATGTACTAAAGGATATCATTGGTTAAATATATTCCCCGGTTTAGGGATTCAACAACCAGTCAGATGCAAACAGCCGCAGTATACCACCAATCAGGCACTGTATCTGGCCCAATGGAAAGTAACGAGGCTAAACTAGTCGAAGCCAAAAACCGTTTGCCGCTCCACACTTGCCTGTTTGGGCGGGGAATGGTATTGTTACATATTATGATTCTGTTATCGTTTTTACTCGGGAATTCGATATTCTCGTGATATTCCAGGAGATTTCTCTCACAATATATCCGATTGCATGCTACATAATATGTATGGAGTAATTTGAAAGAATACTGCAATGTGCCATCACTGAACTCTGTACTACCAAGTGTGACCGCATTACCATACACTGTACTCATCCCTGTCGATCTCACTCCACCGTCAAGTGCCACTGCCTATCCTCATCACAGCTCCAACTCTTTCGCCTCTCTATCAAAATCACGCAACATTCTAAATGGCTCGTGCCCATGGCAAATGGCAAAATAAACTCTCCAGGTCAACTCCGGAGTAAAATGAACCTGCGGAATGGAGAGCCAGGAACATAATTTTGAGACTACGCTATTGTTCTTCGCTGACCATCTTCCGAATAACTATTTATTTGCTATGACCCTCTCCCCTCCCCGATGGAAACTAGCGGCTGTAGAAAACGAAATGAACAATCACTCGGACCACCTTGTCGCACTGGAAACTGGATCGAACGAGGCATGCACTTTCCCGAGTTGGCAAGAGAATTCCCCCTACACCGAGTACGAGTTCTTGCCCAGACGCACCGGTCATTTCACAGAACATTCGGTCACACAGGAGAGCACAGATGATCAGGAGGATTCCGAATCCGATTGCTCCGAGAACAAAACAAACGTCTCCATCACAGTGGAAACATCTCCCAGCCGGTGCATTATTGAGATCGCTGGAACCCGGCAGGAGAACTGGCACCACCCAGAAACTTTGAGTAACACAAGGCGCCGTTTGCTTTGCTGTCCCGTCTTTGATGATTGAGTTTTGTAGGATTCCTCCGTGCAGGACTCGAGAACTCTTTGCTAGTACTCTGCACATAGTTCGGAGTCCCATCTCCTTCTGGTTCGGATGAGTAGATCTTCTGCAGCTGCCAAATCCCGTGTACCTTCGCTGTCGAGGATTAACTTCCACCTCTCCTTGTCCCTATCACATCCCTCAATAAGAGTCCGCAGAGCATGCTGCTTCCGGTTTCCCTGTCGGTCTGTTCCTGACTATCACAATACTTCTACATGTCATTGGTCAACACCGTTCTAGACATTATCCATAGCACGGAGAATGCCGTACGATACGGTGTGCGAGTTCCTCGTGCAAATACGCATCGCCAACGGAGAACCATCGGGCTCTGCAGCTGTGCGGCCTTCCAGAACTCGATCAGGTGTTCTTATGCAACTCCCTAAATATTCGCTAATTGGACTTGATCTTGATAATCGATCTTGAAGAACCCCTTGCCGTTCTATTGGATCTGTATCCATTGCCCTGGAACCCCTCCTCGTTCAACCAGTGCACGGAGTACGGAGTACATTGCCTTAGCATGCCCTCGCCTGAATCTATGCTCATTATGAACACTTTACCACACGCGGGACTGACTTGATGAATTTTCTGTAGAGTGCTATAGACCTCTCTGACTCTGGAATTGACAAAGATTGTCCTCACAGAGAGCAAGTGTACCCTGTACTCTGTACTCGCTCGGAGCAATGCTCTGGAGTGTTGATGTGCTCCAGAAACGGTAATCATGCCAGCCACAGTGTGGATTAACTGTGGCACAATATCTGCACCTGACATGTCACGTGCTGTTGATAGACCGTTGTTTTATCACGTGAAATGGTTGTCGTGCCAACTGTCCGCGCTAGTCCGCATTGGGCGAACCACAACATAACAGCGCCAGGCGTGCATCGCAGTTGCCCAATCGGTCATCACCAACACCTCAACCGCCAGACAACAACAACAACAACACCACTTCATCTTTTTCTCTCTCTTCTTTCCCTCTCATTCCCCAGAGTTTCCCCTCCTCATCCTCTCTATCCTCCCTTCTCTCCTTGGCCATTGTCGCCTTGGTCTCGTGTATCTTTATACCTCCTTCTCCCCAAACAGTCAACCCCCATTGCTTCCCCTCCGCGGCATCGATTTTTGATAGCTGTGATAGCAAAGCAACAACAAGTCAATTCTTTTGTTTTTGGAATATTAGCAACAGATCATGACTGTTTAGCTTTGGAACGGGTATACGATTTAGTGTTGTCTTCTGCGATCCTATTCTTTCGAGCGCCTTTGTTGTCGGTCCGGCTGTTTATTCTTCAACTCTTCTTCTCTTTTATTTACAATATCATAAACGACATTTCCAATCGTCATGGCTGGAAACAGTACTGGCTGCGGCCAGATCATTGAATACATTCAAGGTTCGTGTGCTATTGTTTTGATTGCCCGTCCCTGACCGGCGCGATGGCAACCCGGTGCTTTTTGTTTTGAATTAAGCTGATGGAAAGTCAACCACTATAGATCGTCTCTATCTTGCCTCCTACGATTCCCCGCCGGATTCGAGAACTCCCTTTCCCTTCCCGTTGGAGCAAACCAAGTCTCCCAGCAAGCGTCGAGCCCATCCCAGCACTCCCAGCAGCAAGAGACGTAGCCCGGTCTATTTCACAGTGGAGGATACCCTGTTCTACAATGCTTTCCATGCGGATTTTGGCCCGTACCACATTGGTCACCTCTATCGCTTTGCGGTTCACTTCCATGAGATTCTTGGGGACCCCGCAAACAGTGACCGGGCGGTTGTGTTCTACAGCAAGACCGACGGGAAGAGCCGTGCAAATGCCGCATGCTTGGTTGCTTGCTACATGGTTCTGATCCAATCGTGGCCCCCGCATCTGGCTTTGGCGCCCATCGCGCAGGCAGATCCGCCGTACATGCCCTTCCGTGACGCTGGATACAGCCAAGCGGATTTCATCCTGACCATCCAGGATGTCGTCTATGGTGTCTGGAAAGCCAAGGAGAACTCTCTATGTGGGTTGCGTGAGTTTAACCTTGAAGAGTATGTATCGCGTCCCCTAAGCCTGACAACTGAGGTTCTGACGATTATCAATTCAGATACGAGAAGTTTGAACGAGTCGACATGGGTGACTTCAACTGGGTTACACCGCAATTCCTCGCCTTTGCCTCTCCACAACACCATCCGATTACCCCCATTCCCCCAAACTCGAAGGAATACGCGGCCTTGCCTTCCACAGTCTCCGAAGTCCTTGCTTCCAAGATGCCTCTTTCTTTCAAGAATGTCCTCGCCCACTTTGCCTCGCGGGACGTGGGCTTGGTCGTGCGACTGAACTCCGAACTCTACTCTCCCTCGTACTTTACAGCTCTCGGAATCACCCACATTGACATGATCTTTGAAGATGGAACATGTCCCCCATTGCCGTTGGTTCGGAAGTTCATCAAGATGGCACACGAGATGATCGCCAAGAAGAAGGGCATCGCTGTCCACTGCAAGGCTGGACTTGGTCGCACCGGATGTCTCATTGGTGCATACCTGATCTACCGGTATGGCTTCACCGCCACTGAGATCATTGCCTTCATGCGGTTCATGCGTCCTGGTATGGTGGTCGGGCCGCAACAGCACTGGCTGCACCTGAACCAGAATGCATTCCGCGAGTGGTGGTACGAGGATTCGATGAAGGAGAAGCTGGCTCAGGTGGCCGCGCCCGTCACACCGGGCAGAACGTCCACCAAGCAACGGGTTCAGCATACCCCCGTTGCGGTTGCGACACCACCCTCGAAGCGTGCAGCTTTGGGAGAGATTGATCACAACGAAGTGGGATCCCATCAGGCCGAAGAGAACCTCCCCGCACCAACACCCGGGCAACCACGCAAGTCCCACCGCAAGGATTCACGGCATCACCCGTACGCCCGTACCGCATCTGGCGGTATTGCGATGGAAAAGGATGCACGCAGGACCGGGGAGCACTCCAGTCACCGGAGCCAGCGCGACAGCAGCGAAAGTGAAGAGGAGATCCAACTCCGCCGGCTTGCGAAGCGTTCTTCCAAGTCCCCCGTCGCATCTCCAAGCCACCGCTCTGTCAGTTACTCGGCTACCGTCACCTTGGCCGATGACATCCACGAGGATCAGGAAAATTGGGGTGAGACAACGTACGCGGCACCCAAGACTCCTAAGACACCCAAAACCCCGGGCGGCACCAAGACCACCAGTGGCCCTATCTCTGTGAGCAAAGTCCGCTCCAGCCCTCGCCGGGTAACCGACAGCAAGAGCGAATCCCGGGGGGTCCGCAAGCCCAGTGGGCGCATCGGGAGCGCTGGGAGTCCTGTCAGGGTGAAGTGAATCAACAAAAGTTGATGTGGTCTCGGTTATTTTGAAGACACTTTTACGACTTTTTCCTTCTCGTATTAATTTTTTTCACCTTTACTTTTTTCATCTCCATGTTCCACTTTTCCACGTTTGCGGGCGTTGGGAGATGGATCTTATTGCATACCCATACTTTTGCATCATGACGTTTCCTCTTCTTGTTGATTTGTTTTTGTTGTCATGGGCGTCCAGTGGTCATTTGGTGTTTGGGGTCTTTGATGTTTGAGTTAGTTTCGCGGATTTTAACAGATTGACGATATTACTTCGTGCCTAGTCTCCGGGTTACGCGCAATGTCTAGAGCATCTACGTCAGTAAGATTTGAATGATTCTAGAAACCTGATAAATATGCACCATATCCCTTGGGCTTCTTGTACATTGTCCATTCTCAAGTATTCGATAGTCCTTGATCCACGAATCGTCCTCGCGAGAGTCGAAATCCATGGGCATATAACTACACCGAGTAACCACCTAGAGCAGAAGAGAGCCGTGTGAGTCCACGAATTGTATGAGATACTGGTGTGGGTAAGTGTTTTTACGTTTATATATATTGAGCGGAGGACGGTGTAAACGTTATAAGCATGCAGTTAGAGACAGATCTATTCAGAAGTACCTTCAGCAGGGCCGTTGATTTTTTCTACAATAAGGTTGGCACTGTTGCCTTATGTATCCTACATCATGTCTCCGTACTCTATTTCTGCCTAGAGAGTAAGAGCATCGAACACGGCAAAAACTTCTTATATTATTTAACGTACCTATCCTATTGAGGCTCTATATCAACTGCCAATGTCAGCCGTCACCATGTTCCGGTTCTTATTCGGAAAACCAACGGCGGAAGACTAGTGTGACCGTATTCGCCAGGATCCCAATCCAGAGAAGACGATGAAATGTCTCGTTTCAGACATGTCGATTTACGACAAATGTACAGTTCTCAATGAGTTCCTTGTGGTATCTTCCCATAAAGAGTGCTCAAGGATAGCAGAGCCGAACAGGTCGAGGGAGACGAGGAAGTCGATGAAACACAGCTTGCTATGGTTCGAATCTAAACTGGATGAGAGCGGCCATTTCGAGATCGTCCAGAACATACGCTTTTTTATCTTTGGGCTTTTGTTAAAAGAGAAAGACGAGGAGGGAGGAAAGGAAAAGAAGAATGAGGAAGAAATTGACGATGCCGGCAGTAAAGTCCATAAATGGTCCCGGCTAGTTACTAGGGCTGATGCCAAAGCCCGCTGGATTGTCCAGAGAGAGATATACCTCAAAGAGGAGATCCATGCCCTCCGCAAGTCCCTATCCCTCACTGACGAAGAAGACAATCCAGGAAAAGAAAGCAAATCACGACTCAATAATTACGAGCAAGAACTCGCACGCTTGGATGATGACTACTGCGCCCATAAGCAGCACACCTGGCTCTTGAAGAGCGGCTGTCCAATGAATGTCATTGAAAGAGCCTTTGGAGCACGCTGCAAGAACCCAGACTGGTATCTCTCTGAGTGGCTCTGCCAGGACTGTGCTGGACGCGGTGGCTGCTGTGGGAGAGACTGTGGGTTCTGTGAAAAGGCCAGAGATACACAGCGGGGATGGTCTCAGGGAGGTTAATGATGAAGAGTAGGCGTACATATTTTCTAGGTTGAAATTTATAGTCATGGTAAATTTGATGTCATGGTAACTATAACTAACTAGTTAGTTATAGAAATGAAGACTGCCTGATCGAGAAGGCAAACACAAACTGGGAGTCTACATAACTATGCTATGGAGAACTTAGGTACTCATTTCATAAGCCGTATTTGGACAGTGTTTTTGTCCTTTACATCTCGAATCACCTCCCATTAACGTCATCCAATAAGTCAAACCCCCATATATACGCAAAATGCATTCGCACATTATACATCGTTTTACAAGAACCAGTGATACTAGCTGGCATTTCCAAATAATCATCCACCTTCCTATTCCCCTTCCCCTCCACACCACTGACAGCATGAGCACGCACACAACACCCACAAGCACTAGTACAACCCCCCCTCCTCCATTCCCAGCGCACAATCTCCCTAGACCTCCCACAGCATTCACAGCTTCGTCCACAACATCCCCCGCGCCCAGCACAGTCCCGACGCAACCATTTGGATAGATACCAGTTTGGATTTTTCCGACATGTCTCGAATGCCCGGCCAAGGGCGGATAGTGGTTTCCCGCCTTCTAGGAACCACATGTAGCGCTTGTGTTCTGTGTATTGAGTGTCTAAGTGGCGGAGTTGTGCTTCATAGGCGCTGAGTTGTGGTTTTTCTTCGGCTGTGAGGGGAGAAAGGACGTGGAGGTGCGGATGCGGCACTAGTGGCTGTAGTGATGAGGTCTTGCGCAGGGCACGAATCTCCTCGTGAAGATAACTCTCCCGCTGAACAACCCACCGCGCTTTAATATCCGCTCTTATCATAAGTTGTGACCCCTTCATATCATTCTTGATGTCAGTTTGAGGTTGGTGGGAGAAGGAACAGCATGCAGCAGATGAGTTGAGCGAGACTGGCGTTGTTGACGTCTGTTAGTTTGGATTCGAGCCAGAGAGGAGGGGTTTTTTTTTTTTTTTTTTTTTTTTTTTTTGGGCTCGTTGGGCTCGTTGGATTTGTTTGATTCGGAGGGATCTGTCGACTCGTTTGCTGCTGCTGTGAGGTATTTATCAAGGACTATGGGTTTGTCGGCTAGAGATATGCCCGAGAGGAGACATTGTAGGAGGTTATCGCGGTGGGGGTGTTGGGCTAGGCGGTCGCACCAGTCGTCTACTGTTTTCCTAGGAGGAAGCGGAGTGTGGTAATGGTTGACATTGGTGTAGTTATCGGGAGCACCTGAAGGTGGATGGGCTAGAGATCTTGAATCAATGGAGCAATCCGAGGTAGCTGAAAAAGCAGACTGACGGTTGTGATAGTAATTTGGATGTCATATTCTCGATGGTAGGGCTGAAACAAGTGACACTGATTAGTTCTTTTACATGTACTTATGTCTGCTACAAGTACGGAATACTTTGATTAGACTCAATCATTTGACCCTCTCAAATGGAATGCCAACTATTTGGCCTTGACGAGTTCTGGTATAAAAAGCCGATTAAAAAAAAAAAAAAAAAAAAAAAAAAAAAAAAAAAAAAAAACCCGAAGAAACAAAGGGATATCATAAACTCATAAGACCCAAAAAGACGCCGTGACCCAACCCAACCGAACCCGTTCCTACCAGCCTAGTATAAAATCAACTAACCATAATAACATTCGACCTCGCCCCCTCCACCCCCCTTGTACTTAACACAACCCTAAACGGCCCCTCCCCACCCCCCTCCTCCGCCTCCGGCGACGCATCAACAGGCTCATCAATCGTCCGGATCGCCACAAACGCCTGCTTATCCCCTTGTGCTTGACTGTCCATCATCTTAATCAACTTCAGCGTATGCACAACATTCCAGATACCCTCTTTTGTCATCCGGTATCCCTTGAGCCAGTGCTTCGCCCACGCGCGGAGACCAGTGTTGCTGGACCAGCGGTACGCGCCGACGACGGAGGGGAGCATGCCGTAGCTGTAAGTAAAGGAGTCGCCGAAGCGGGAGGGCGGGTTGGATGCTGCGATGCGGCAGATAGTAAGGGCTGTTTGTTCGGTTTCCGGTGGGAGGATGCGGTCTGGGGTGTTGGGGTTGTTGTGGTTCTGTGGGTAGCGGGTTCGCGCGCGCATGCAGGTGCAGAGGTAGGAGGCGTAGTTTACGGCGGCGATGCAGGGGTCTGGGGAGTTGGGGAAGTGGAGGGCGGGGATGCGGATTAGGGTGGATGGGTTGGTAGTGGTGGTGGTGGTGGAGATGGTTAGGGAGGCGCCGGTGTGGTCGTCGATGGGGATGTCGGAGAGTGGGAGATCGTTTCGCCATTGTTCGAGGCGGTGGAGGAGGTCTGCGCTTTTCTCGGCCCAGTCTTTTTCGAGGGATGGGTGTTGGCGTTTTTGGATCTCGAGGGCTGTGACTTCTTCGACGAAGAGGAGGATTCGGTCGTGTAAGCTGGGTGAGTCGCGGAGGAGTTCGTTCAGCCAGGTTGACAGATGCTCTGGCATGAACTTTGATGTTGTTACGGAGTACTTCTCGTTATACAAACGGAGCAGGAGAGCCATCCGCGAAAACGCACGGATCAGCAACATCCCCGTATTTTTCTTCATCAGCTCCATATATGCAGCGTTGAGATACAACGCGGCCCCTCGCATATGCGAGCACCAGAGCAAGACGCAGTTCCGCTGGAGCTCGAAATTGGCCGCTAACATGATCGTGGCAAAGAGTGAGAGCGCTGTATCTGCACGGAGAGAGTTTGACGACGTCGATGCTCCCAGCTTCCCGGTTTGTGTCAGATCATTCTGCAAGCTCTGTATAGCCTTTAGGCTGTGATGGAATGCGTGCCGGCGTATAGATCTGGCATTGGCAGGCTTTGAATTGGAGTTGGATAGGGTAAGTGCGGCTAGAGCTATCGCTGCATCATACACATGGGACGACATGGGCTCTGATTGGAATAGTTCTGCTAGGGGTAGAATCTTCGAGATGCTGGCGAAACTGCCTCCAGCAGAATATTGAAAGTAGGTGTAATCCTCCGGAAACTCAAACGCTCCGGCGAGACTGAGTGTCGCGTTGGAGACACCCTGAGTGGGAGAAGGGAGAAAGTCGATCGACGCTGGCGAAGTCGGTGTCATGTAGCCGGTATTCAAAGAGGTCATAGCAGGCGACGATGAGAGATCGTCCGGTGTCGACATAGGTGGAGTTGCGAGAAGACCGTCTTGGAACACGAGACCATCCTGCGAATCGAAGTTGTCGTTCCGTACTGTCTCGGGCGACGTGAGACCAACCGAACAATCCACAAACTGAGCTGGCGGGTACGACGCTTGTTGCGGGACTACGGTCGTAGAAGACATTTCCTCATCGCTGCTGGTATCTTCCCTAGCGGCATCCGACGCCTGGGCCTTCTTTCTAGCAGCCTTCTTGACTTTTTCGACCGTCAAGTTTGTCTGGTCTTTGAAGGTGATCTTCTGGTTGTAGCCTTCACACACGGCCTTGATACGCCTGCACTATAGAGAGAGAAGACTCATGTTAGCTTCCGGTTATACATATATTGGACAGCGATGTTACATTATTGCACCCAGGCTTGTTCTCATCACACTTCAACCTCCTCTTCCGACAAGTCAAACACCCCGTCCTCCCCCTTGTAATCACATTCCGCTTCCTCGGCGGCTTGTTGGTCATAGTGTTGACCGGATCAATCGGCTGAGACATGGTAGTAGTAGCAGCAGCAGCAGCAGTAGTATTAGTGGCAGTAGTAGATGCGGATTGCTCGGTAGTTGTAGTAGAGGTCAGTATGTAGTTCATATAAAGCCTTCCCGAGAAAAAACAATAAGAGGGGAAAAAGGAAGCAACTTTAGCCTAACAGCGATAATAATAATAATAATAATAATAATAATAATAATAATCGCAGTGAGACAGCATCAGACTCGGCGTTAAGCATCCTATCGACATTGAGCATTGCATTCCCATCCTGCTCCTGCCATCCATCACGGGATAACTTCGGAAATCCCGATCTCCAACTGAGGCGCAAGGGATCGGCCAACTACAGATCTTCCCCCTGAAGCCCTAACAAACCGGATGCACAGAAGCAAGAGAAACTGGAGATAAAACCGGGTGAGAGAAAAATATTGTAAAAAGAGGAAGGCAGAAGGAATCGGCGGAAGGTAAAACAAACGAAAAAAATAAGGGGGTGCAAGTGATGGGCACATGTGACACGTACTAAAAAATGCGAGGTCGTTTTTCTTTTTTTTTTTTTTGTCTTTCTTTGTTTGCGCAGCGCCGAGGAACTTACAGTTACATAGTACACCGATACTTGTTATCGCCATCGAGAATGTCGCACCGATTAGTTTGTTGTTCAAGGGATTATGCCTGGCATTTGATCTCGCTTAGAAGAGCCGATGGTCCCCGTAATAAGAGAAAGAAATATGTAGATCTAGATCTCAACTGGCTGCGCTTATTGGAAGTGGTCACGCCAGGCGAAATAGAAACCGAAATATTGTTTTGGCTACTCTGTACAAAAAATAAAAATAAAATTTCAAAATCTCATTCCAAATACTCCGTACTCCGTTCTCCGCAATATAGCATCAGTCATAATCAGTCATAATCAGCCATAATCAGTCAGTATGCGGATGAGGACCATGTTGCTGCATATACAGCGACTGGAACCACCCTCTCCCTGCTGCACTCAGTAGATCTCGTGGATTCCCTTGCTCGGCTACTCGGCCTCGGTCTAACACAAGAACCCGGTCAAAGTCGACAATGTTGTGTAACTGATGTGTAATGGCAATGACGGTGCAGTCGTGGAATCGTTCTCGCAGGACCGAATGGATACGCGCTTCGCTGTCTTTGTCAAGACTGGCTGTCCCTTCGTCTAGGATGACGATCCGATTTTGGCTCACGATCGCCCGAGCAAGAGCGATAAGCTGTCGTTCGCCGTGAGAGAAGTTCTTCCCGTTTGATTCGACCAGGTCATCCAGCCTCCATTTGTTCGGTGCGCCCGCCACGTCATCCAGGATAGCCTGTAGGTGCTCATCGGGCAGTCGGCTGCTCGGGTCTAGGTTGAAACGAATAGTCCCGTCAAACAAGGTAGGGTCCTGTGGGATGAGGCTTATGCGTTGTCGCAATTTCTCCACGTCAAGTGATTCTACATCGACCCCGTCAATGGTGATAGATCCGCGGAGCTTGGTGGCTAGTCGAAGCAGACTCAACGCGAGTGAACTCTTCCCGCTTCCCGTGCGGCCTACAATAGCAACCCGTTCCCCAGCTAGCGCGCTAAAGTCAACGTCTCTCAGCACTTCATTTTCATCCCATGAATAACCGGCTGTCAGATTCCGAATGTGGACCGCCCCCTGCGTTGGCCATTCCTCGGGCTCGGTTACGTTAGATCCATCACACGGACCAAGCTCCTGTGGGAGATCCTTGATATAGCTCTCAACCCTGTAGTAGCTAGTCATCTCCACTTCCAGGAGACTTGAAAGATACACAAGATCTAACGATGTTAACATCCTTTCCCTGTCTCAGAGCGTAACGCAAAGTGGATCAAAACTCACAAAGAAGTGATGTGCAAAGCCCCGTTGTCAGTGTCAAGCTGAGACCAACTGTTGACGCATTCGCATGCTTTTGTGTAACGGCCAAAACCGCGACAGAGAAAGAGATGAGCCCGACGCAAAGGTCCATCCTTACCGCCAGCCATCGCTGGAGGTCACTAACCCCGTTCCAAGCCCGGACATGATGGTCGACAGCGGTGTTGAATCTATCCTGTAGAATCTTCTCCGCCTTGTACGCGTGCACGGTCATCAGACCCGTTGCAGTCTCGGAGATACTGTGATGGAGAGGTGTCAGACTGCCAGCGTACATGTGCTTCACCGCTGTTGATGCAAACCGATAGCGATAACCAATGTAGAGCGCAAGACCTGTCAGCGCAATAGACGGTAGCAGGAAAAGTGGAACCAAGGAAGACACGGTCAGGATGCGGAAGGCGATGGAAAGATAGGTTTCGAGAACTGGTCGCAGGGTCTTAAATAGCGTGTCATCCAAGCTGGCCATATCGGAAGAAAACCGGTTAATGGCCTGTCCAGCTGGTGTACGCCAAATCCAAGCGTATGTAGCGCCAAACACTACAACCAACATTTCCATGTGCTTGTCGCGACTTGCTCTCCAGGCGCCTGAATATAGAAAGACGAGTGAGACGGCTATCAATAGTATACGCGCAATCCCGAGGCCTGCGACTCTAGTTAGTCTTGGTCTCCCACATGAATAGCGTCCTGTCGGTGGACTTACCTGTGAATATGCCAACAAAGAAGCCAGGTTGAGAGCTATTGCCTTCAGTATAAGCCTGGCTCCAGACGGAGAGCCACGCAGGCAAAGCAATATCCATAGCCTGGGCTGAGATGGTGAAGACGGCCATGGTAGCAATATAGGTGCGACATCCAAATGATCGGATGTACTTGCTTACTGGAAGCGAGTCAGCGGATGAAACCATCGGGGAAGTGAAGACACTTACTGTATTTGAAACCAATGCGCCCTCGGAGGTTGTCAAGGTCGTTTGATTTCTCATTATTGTCCTCACGTGGTTCATTGTTCTCCTCAGGACAGTCGCTTTCTGAGACAACGTCAACGACAGAGACTAAAGACGAGTTGACGACGCTCCCATTCTCAACGACCGCATTTTCACTCTTTATTGGGCGCACAGTTCGAGAAACTGTGCCATCTCTCATATACACGATCATATCGGCCCTTCCCAGTAACATGTCATTGTTTGAGACGAGAACCACTTTGCGATCCCTCATCTGCGGTCCCAGAATGCAATTGTTGATAATCCACTCGAAGGTCTTCGGATCCAACCCCGACAGAACATCGTCCAATAGCAAAGTATCAGCCTTGGAGTATACCGCCCGAGCGAGTGTAACTCGCTGACGCTGACCTCCGGAGAGTCTGCGACCACCCTCTCCTACATCTTTCATGTCGTGGTCTTTGGAGGTTGCAAGATCTGGCTCTAGCGCGCAGCATTTGAGGACGTTTTTGTATCGTTTCTCGTCGAATGAAGCGCCGAAAAGGATGTTGTCCCTGATGGTGCCCCTGAACAGCCAGGGATTCTGGGGTGTATAAGCGATCGGCTCGAATTGTGTCTTCTGGAGCTTTTGTCGGTCGAACAACAACGACTGCAGCAGCAGAGATTTACCGGAACTGAGAAATGTCAGCAAGCGAAGATGACTAGGTAGCTCATGATGACTTACCCTACATCGCCGGTGACAACATTCAACCCGGGTGCAACAAATTCTAGGTCCGCCTGGATGGGTAATTTGCACAATCCAGTTTGAATGGTGATGAATGTGTCCTGGGAAGCAGTCTCACCCGTGCCTGTTGTCTCATCCCTGGCGTACGCTGCTGCTTCTGGCTGGTCAAGGAACTTGCTCAGACGGTCTAGGCTGACCGTTGCTTGAGCATATTGACCTGCTCCAAGAACGCTCAAGCTAAACATGTTGTTCACGATGTTGAAAACAACCACCACCGTAAAGACAACGCCCGGCTCCAAAGGCATCTTACCCACGATGGTGTACAATAGCAAGCAGAGGAGAAGTGCAAGAAACGTAAGGGTTGAAGAGACACTTTCGGAAGCAACAATAACTTGCATTTTGTGCCAAATAGCATCCAATTCCCGGTTTCTAGCCCCGAGGATTCTCTGCATAAAGGGCTGCACATGTCCAAGTATCTTGATAGCTGTCATCGCCCGTATGCTCTCACTTGTCTTCGTAATTCGCTCATCCGTACTTTGCAACACCCCTGATTGGGCTTTCGTTTGAGCTGATACAATGAACTTGTTGAGCGGATATCTCGTCACAAGGAGAAAAACAAGGCTGGGTATGTAATACCATCCCACAATCTTGTAGAGGATAATCGAGGAAAGAGTAATTTCGACGGGCGCCATAATTGCTGTCAACATCGTGTATCTTAGAGTACCTAGCCTATCGATATCTGCCGAAATGTTGCTTTGCAACTGCCCGACATCGACAGCGGCATCTGCTTGCAGCAGCATCAGCTTTCGATATACAGCGGTGGTAATGCAAGCCTTTGCATCTCCTATGGCGTGTGTAGCATAGTACTCGAAGGTTTGCATGCACAAACCACGCAGTATTGGACAGCTCCCGAACAAGATGACCGAAACCCACGGACGAAACTTCGGGTCGGGCGATCCTTGAAGGGAAAGCAGGAGCTGATAGAGTCCGATAGTTCCAATAAGCTCGACGGCGCCGCAAAGCACTGCCCAGAACGCCGTCACTGCCAATTGGCATCGAAAGAGTCGCCATAGGGTTGCCCTAAAGGAGAGCGTTTGATGATAGTCCGAGTAGCTCTGCAGCCAGGCCTCTCCTGAGCATCCCTTCCGGTTAGGTAGGAGGTGGCTTGGGCTCATAACCCCATTACTGTCGTATCCTTTGTCGACGACAGGACTAACCCAGGTGTATAACCACCATCTCTGGATAGGCGAACAAGACTTTTCTGGATGACATCCATACTCTGAGGGGGGTTGATGACCAGGTGTCAATAAGGGCAAAACAATGGCACTTGCAAAGGCAGCTGCCAGCTGAACGAAATTTCGAACAGAAAGACTCTCATAGTGTTGTCCTTGGAACCATATCAACGGATACACTTGCTCTGATAGGTTCGTCGCCAGAAAGAGAACAAGTGCAAGGATATTAGCGTGCACAAAATAAAAACAGCGTTTTGCTGGGAACGCGAGGTAGCACAGTCGAAGAACAAAGACCATGATCTACCATGATTTTCCGTCAGTGAAACTAGGGTCCCAAAACAAACTTGGCTCAGTGCGACTTACCCAAAGCGATCCAACTAGAACTAATGGCCAATGGTTTTGAGGGTCTTTCCACCCAGAAAGCAAGGTACCGAATGCGCAGACAAGCGAGCACGACAGGTTCAGCAAACCCAGTAGCACATGTTGGAGATTTAACGCCAGACCGGCTGGCTGCTTTCGACGGCAAAGGAAATGGACATCCGCAACGCAAACCAGCAGGCATAGCCCTGCAAGAACCAGCATGTTTGGCCTGATCACAACGTCGAACGGCATATTGTGGTGAACTCAGGTCTTCCCAATCAAAACGGACGGAGTCAGCGTTCGTGGGGAAAAGTTGGACTCTCAAACGAAGCGTCAGCCAGCGGTTCCTGGCCAGTCTTATAGTAATCTCACCTTGTGCTGTCCCGTCAAAAGTATCCCGATTCAACAAGAAAAGAAAAGAAGATCCACATGCTCCGTCCGGATACTGACACATCGCCTTCTCACAGACTACCGTCCCATATTTTGCCTGCCACTTCTTCATATAGCCCACGCCAAGCCAGCAGTGTACGTAGGCATATTTTCGAAATTTCCCTTATAGGCAGGTGAATAATGGAGGACGGAGGTGTAGGAGCAGTCTGAGCGCCTGCTTTGTCTCCAGCGGGCTCCGTCTGCCACGACTTCGGCTGCGAATAAGAAAGCCGGAGAATATCACTTAAACTTTTATTCACCCGGAAGCTAATAGCAGACACATCAAACTCGTAAGAGATCGACAGAATGAGTTGTATGAAGAAGTATGTAGTAAGAAACTACAGAAGCACCCGCCGCTGCAGAGACCGGGCTCGTTCTGGGTTACCGCTTTAGGTTAAGCGCGTCAGCCATCTATCACAACACCATATAAAAACATATACTACTACTATATATAAAGACCTATAATGATGAATGACATTGTTCAAATTCCCAGGGCAAGATGAAGATTTGGCTTTCAATTGCTTTTGCCAGTCTAGTCGCCGTTGGACGGGCAGCCCTGGTAAATGGGCCGCAGTCCTACCTGGCGAACACCGACGACCATCGATTCGAAACGTTCAAAAGCCCTATACATCCCTCGCACTCGATCAGAATCAAAGAGCAAAATAATAATCTCTGTGATGCAGGCTCCAAGCAGTATACGGGATGGTTGGATTTCCATGGAAAACACATGTTTTTCTGTAAGCTCGCAATGGATACCCAAATAGGAAGGACAACACAACCAAAAGGAATGCTAACCTGCATAACTTAGGGTATTTCGACAGTCTCAGCGATCCTTTGACGGATCCTCTCACGTTGTGGCTGACAGGAGGCCCCGGGGTAAGCAGCATGGTTGGTAAGTTGTGGCGCAACACGATGGCACGATTAGAAAGCTAACATTAACCAGGGATGCTACTCGAACTGGGACCATGCCGTATCGATATTGGCGGTCAAGGGACGCATAGGAATCCTTATTCGTGGTCACGGAATTCCTCCATGATCTTCGTTGATCAACCCGTAGGGACAGGGCTGTCATACACGGACCCTGGGGAAAAAGTTCCGACAACATCTTCGATAGCGGCTGAGGACATGTACATATTCCTCCAGATATTTTTGACAGAGGTCTTTCCGGAGCGACGACGTGTCCCTTTTCATATCGCAGGAGAAAGCTTTGCAGTATGTTCCTAAAACATGGTATTTTGACCTGAGCTGACCAGTATAGGGACATTATATCCCAACGTTGTCTGCGGAGATCATACGACAGAATAATCTACAAAGTGATAGCCCGGCCATTCCTTTGAGCTCGATACTGATAGGAAACGGTTATGTCTCACCGCTGGATACAACCTACGGCTACTTCGAAACCCTCTGCACGACAAAGCCCGGGGTTGCCGAACCCGTCTTTAACCATACTCGATGCCAAATAATAGCCGACACTCTACCCCGCTGTCTTTATGTATACGAGGCCTGTTATCGGTATCCCGATAAAGACCTGTGCAAAGCCACCGACCAAGTATGTGGAACCATTAAAGAGCTCTTTCATAATGAGTCGCATGCGGGCGGAAGAGACCCCTTTGACAGTAAGCTGCCTTACCAGTAAAGATGATACTACCCATGGCTAATTTAATCAGTTACTCGGACCTGTGAGGTAGAGCATCTCTGTTACGCAGCGACTCTTGACATTCAGAAATACATCAACAAACCCACTACCTGGCGGGCACTACAAGTACCGCAAGAGATCGGCGACTTTTCCATTGAATCGATGCGAGTAGCAGCTGCGTTTGCATCTGGCAACGATCTTTACTCGCCCGTTATGGACGAGATACAATTTACTCTAGATAACGGTGTCGATGTGTTGATCTACAACGGAAATCTAGATCTGGCATGCAACACAGCCGGAAACCTTCGCTGGGCCGATTCTCTCCGTTGGAATGGCCAGGCTGAATTTACTTCCCAAGACCTGAAGCCGTGGTACTCGGTTACTAACGGGGGAATGAGAAAGGTGGGAAGCTACAAGGAAGTTTTTACACGAACTGGAAGCACAGAACGGCGATTTGCATTCGTTACGGTCGATCATTCTGGACACATGGTAAGCTTATTGATCTAGGGACATTGGCTTTATCTACGGACGTTGTACTGACTCGATCTAGGTTCCGTTAGATCAACCCGAGGTGGCTCTCGATCTCTATACGAAATGGCTATTCGAGGAACCATTCTGAAGACACGGACTGTTTTAAAATTTGCATAACACAATAGATAGATACTAGTGAATTTATTCTATTCATAGCTTGCCACAACATCGACAGAGTGTACTTTAGACCCGCAACTCGTACTCCGTACGCACCTCGTATCTACATTCCACCAAAAGAGTGACTGATCATATCTGTAGATCACATACTAATGTATGTATGCATGCAGCTATTATTATACAGCGCAGTGGCAATCCCCCTTTCTGCCTTTTCCCGATTCCGGGAAAGAAGCCATCGTAGATCCTTGCTTTAGCCATGATATTCGATCAACTCTCAGACAAAGAGGATAAAGAAACTGCAAACTCAAATCCCGATTTTTCTCCCCCCCCTTCAAACAGAACTCTTTCACTCAATTGCCCCTCTTCTTGAAACTTTTTAGCCTCGTTTGAAAATGTCTTTTTCTCAATTGTTGTATAAGGTGGTGCCCACCAAAATAGAATCACCTGTCACGGCTCCGATGTCAATAGTTACACTGCAACATAGCACCGCACCAAGTAGTTGATACAGTGACTCTCTAGTCCTACTTTGGCGCTAACAGCCGGAGAAGAATATCTACTGTTTGCTATCATGGCCGAAAAGCACGGGGCAGACATTTCAGTCATGCAGGCGCCCACCCTATCCCTGGAGGACGAGGGTAATGGGCTCTCTGGACAGTCGAAAGAGCTTCCGGAGAGTAGATCCGATACTGGAGATGAAAGCATCGGTGAAGATGATCTGTACGTTGCCCCGTGCTGGTATGATTTGTTTGATTTACTGACAGTTACAGTCAAAGCCCCTATCCAGATGTCCAAGCGAGCGTTTCTGACACGGACGAAGATCTACCCGTCAATACCTTTCGCGCGTGGTTTCTGGGAGTTATCGGGACGATTTTTTTGACGGCATTGAATCAGTTCTTCCAGCTTCATAATCCGCCTTGTAAGTGAACAGTCGATGCAGATGGATACATGCTGATATCAAGAATAGTGTTTCTCTCGGCCTACATTGCGATATTCGCGACTCTACCATGTGGGAAGCTAATGGCCGCTACGCTACCGACAAAGGTCTGGAATGTATTCGGATTCGAGTTTACTCTCAACCCAGGCCCCTTCAACCAGAAGGAGCATTCGATCGTGGCCATCATGGCATCCTTAGTGACGGCATTCGATAACGGCTCCCTAGCCTCGGATGTCTACGTCGCCTTCGACAAGTTTCTGCACATTCCCATCTCTGCAGGCTACCGATTTATGTTTCTTCTTAGCACCCAGGCCCTGAGTTTCGGCATCGCAGGACTCTTCCATCGATTCCTGGTAGAGCCTGCGTTCTGCGTATGGCCCGCAACACTACCGATCTGCTCGTTACTTTACACGTTCCACGAAAAGCGGTCCCAGAAACAGGAAATCAACGGGTGGAAAATAAGCCGAATGGGATTTTTCTCTATCATCGTTGTCTGCGGAGCGGCCTATCAATTCGTCCCTGGGTTTCTGTTCACAGGACTCACTACGTTCGCGTGGATTACTTGGATCGTGCCGAAGAATGTGACGGTCAACCAGGTCTTCGGGGCTACATCGGGCATGGATCTTCTGCCGCTTACTCTTGATTGGAATCAGATAACGGGGTATTTGGGGTCGCCGTTGTTGGTTCCGTCGTGGGCACTGGTGAACGTGTTTTGTGGGAGTATCTTTTTCCTGTGGGTTGTTTCGCCTGCGCTCCATTGGAGCAATGTGTGGCAGGGGTTGTATATGCCGTTTTCATCGTCTGAGAATTTTGACAATACAGGTGAGTCCAAAGTCATCCTACCATTAGCCAGAGATGCAGGCTAACTCGTATAGGAAACTCATATAACACGACTCGTGTGATGAATCCGGATTATTCTCTCAACGAAGCGGCTTATTATAATTATTCCCCGGTATACCTAGCAACAACCTCGGCCCTTTCATACGGACTGGGATTTGCAGCCGTGGCATCCATCATAATCCACACCATCCTCTACTACCGCCAAGCAGTCTGGGAAGGCCTCCTCGCAACATTCGGCCTCCTTTCCAAGCCCCAGAAACCAGACATCCACGCCAAGGTGCCATCCCTTCCCCACAATCGTAGAGTACATACTAACCCTAACAGCACATGCAAAAATACAAACAAGTCCCCATGTGGTGGTACCTAACAATCTTCCTCTCCATCTTCGGCATCAGCATCGCCTTCCTCTACGTCTACAACACAAGTCTCCCCTGGTACGGCCTGATCCTCGCCATCGCAGTCAACGTGATTCTCCTCGTACCCACGGGTATCATGAAGGCGATTTGCAACATCCAGCTGTCGACGGCGGTGATATCGGCGTTTATCGCGGGGTATATATGGCCGGGGCAGATGATGAATAATGTCGTGTTCAAGATTTTTACGCTGGTTTCTTCGGCGCAGGGGTTGGGGTATATTCAGGATATGAAGATTGGGCATTATATGGTTCGTCTCTTTTTTCTGATTGGGTTGTGAGGGTGGTGATGGCTGACGGGAGTAGAAAATCCCACCGAGAGTCACTTTTGCTGCGCAATGTACCGGGATCCTGGTCTCTTGGTTAACACAGACAGCGGTGAATCTCTGGGCTATGGGGAACATCGAAGGGATTTGCACCCCCAATGCAAGCAACAGCGTATGTTCCCCTCCACTCCAACATACGCAAGTCCCAAAACTGACTGGCAAAGTTCACATGCCCCCTAGCCCAAGGCTACGCAACAAATGCCGTATTCTGGGGCCTCATCGGACCCAAGCGCCTCTTCTCAGAAGGCTCCATGTACCGCCCCATGCTATGGTTCTTCCTTATCGGCGCCTTACTACCCATTATCTTCTTCTTCCTCGATCGATACTTTCCGAAACTCAGACTGCGAAAGGTACCCACACCCACCATACCCACCACACTCATCACCATAACCTGAATAGTGCTGATAAAAACTAGGTCCACCTCCCCGCTGTCTTTGCCTCCACAGCGAGTATTCCCCCCGCCACGGCCGCGAACTATATGGCCTGGGGACTTGTCGGACTGTTATTCAACGGGTACATCAAGCGCCGGTTCTATGCATGGTGGATGCGGTATAACTACATTCTCTCTGCGGGACTTGATGCAGCATTGGCGATTGGGAGTTTTTTGATTTTCTTTTGTCTTGTTTATCCTGGTGTTAGCGTGGAGTGGTTTGGAAATAGTATTGCGACGAAGACGGCGGATGGAGCGGGGACGCCGTTGAGGACGGTTAATGAGGGTGAGACTTTTGGGGTGAGGACTTGGAAGTAGTCTTCTCTTTTATTTTGGGTTCTGAGTGTGTTTCGTTTCTTTAATGTTATTAATTATGTCTGACCAGTCCACATCAAGAATTGTCGAGTGACATCAAACTTACTATCACACTCAAATAACTTATAATCCGCGATGCCCCCCTCCTATACCCATCCATCCATCTCTCATCCCCAATCCTTGCTACCCTATCGCAACCATATTCCGCTTCCTATGGGCAGAACCAAAGATAGAAGACTGGCGTAAACGCCTTGGTCAGGATCCCGATCCCCAAGCACTATTGAAATGCCTCCTCTCAAAAGACAGACTTCGCCGACAAAGCTCGACTATTCGAAGCATTCTCCACCACACAAGTGGGACTAAAACGAAAATTGAAAGAGAAAAACCCGACCAAAGAATCAAACCCTCCCAAAGACCCCAAAGCCAAAGCGTTGAAAGAGGTGAAAGAGGTGAAAGAGGTGAAAGAGCCCAGACTCTCCGACATACTATGGCTCGAGTCGAAGCTGGAGACTGCCGGCGAGGCTAAACTTGCCCAAATAACCCGCTGTTGTCTCGCTATGATATTACCGGAGGAGGAAGATGATGATATTATCTGGTCGTGTCATGTTATCAAGGGGAATATCAAGGCGCGCTGGATTGTTCAGCGGGAGATATTTTTGGAAGAGGAGATACAGGCCCTCCGCAAGACGCTACCGCTCATCGCGGATGAGAATGGTGAAGTAAAGGAAGAAAAAGCAGAGGCTGAATCCCGGCTCAGCGCATTTGAACAAGAATTAAAGCGATTAGATAGCGAGTACTGGGAGCACAAGTACCGCCTCAGGGGCCTTGAAGCATTTTCCCCAACATTCCTCTTTGGCAGGGCTTTACAAGCACACAGGAAGTACCCCAACTGGTATTTATCAAACTGGCTTCGCCTAGACTGTGCTGGACGCAGTGGATGCTGTGAGAAACCTAGAGGGACACACCGGAACTGCGACTGGGATCGAGGGCATTGTACTGGTGCTTGTGGCTGTTGCATTCGCACAAAAGACTCTAGTAAGGAGGCGAAGCTGGATGATGACCTGGGGGCTTGTCTGAAAGGTGTTCCGGCTATAATTGGCGGTCTATATGGCGTTCAATTGCATTTTGCGTATATCTGGGGGTTGGATATTAGGGATGATTTTATGAGGTTTGCCTTTGACTGAACGGGAAAATTCGTTAGGGTGCATATTCCAAGCTTCTCCTTTTACATCAGTCTCGAATATGTAGGCATATATCCGTTTTTATTCAGACGGAATTCCTGCTCTTCTTGCAGCTATACGGAGCGTTCTAGATAGATGTTTTATGCGGTTATCTGTAAATATGGATACGTGCCCTGTCGCATTCTAGCTCTACACATCAATCTATCATCGCTTCTTTCCTTTGCTCACCTATCATTTTGCCTCTGGCATGTTTTCTTCGTATACCCCGTCATTTCTTCTATTAGATTCATAGTTCGGAGTTAAGCAACATGCCAAGACCAACACAACCAAGGTCCAGTGTTTTCCTAAACCAGACAAACCCCTCGCCCAATTTCTTCCATAAAACACTCCACCCCCCCACCCCCCGGATCCGCAGGTCCAAACGAAGTCCGAGCATACATCACCCAAATCCTCATTTCCAAACACGACGCTGCCCTGGACGTTGCACAAAAAATCGCCAACCAATGGCAATTCGGGCCGCCCTAACGACCTTCGTCGTGCGGGTGTGAAGTTTTTCAACCAGGTCTTTAGCACAGAGGTTGGGACGTTTCTGTTTCGGTCGGTCCAAAAGCACTCTCCTTCCTGCGCTTGGAAGATGAACAGATTGAAATAGGGACTACTGTACTCTCAATCGTCTCATCTGTATTCTTCGTCATTCGTGCATTTCATTGTGATTCGAATCGGGGGATGCTAGGTATGAGATCCTTTAGTCGAGCTCTAGCCTTGAATTAACTCCGGCTAACATTAACAGCCTCCATACGACATGCTAGCTTGGCGTTCGGTCAACTGATGCTATTCTGTGGGTTTCAAAGACGAGTATAGCTCCTTTCAGTTCATGCGGACTTTCTGGGGAGGAATGGTGAGTTGTCTAGCGTTTTTCTTGTATTTATTTGTCCTCTTAGAGCGGTTCCCGGAGACAAGGGAGAATAATGGTAGAGTGCCCAAGAAGGTTGATTGAATAGTCAAAATTATACCCAAATTTCTTCTAAAAATTGCCCGCCTATACAAACCCCCCAAACCCCCAAATATAGGCAACCATCAACCTATTGACATACAACCCCTGGCAATCCTCGCTAACCCCACAATCATCCGGCAACACATCCATATCCTCCTCTGGACCCAGTAATAAAACCTCCCTGGCCCTACCACGCCCCCTAGTGCGAACACAACACCCACAAGCACTAGTACAATGGCCATGACTCCATTCTCTGTCCCTGGTGTTTCGCGCCCTTTCGCAGCACTCACACCCCCGTCCACAACAGCCACCACGACCCGCGCAGTCGCGCCGCAGCCATTCAGAGAGATACCAATCTGGAATGTGTTTTCTGCGAGCTTCATAGGCCCGTCCAGCTGCTGATACTGGGGTCCCTGCTTCAAGGAGCCAAATGTGCCTCTTGTGGGCCCAGTAGACATAATTTAGATATCGGAGTTCTTTTTCATGGGCGTTGAGCTGGGATTCCGCTTCAGCAGCAGCAGCAGCAGCAGCAGAAACAGCAGCATCAGTATTAGGAGGAAGAAGGGACAGTGACTTGTATAGCGCTTGAACTTCCTCATTTAGATAAATCTCCCTCTGGACGATCCACCGCGCTTTTATATCCGCTTTGATGATACGTGAACACCAGTCCATGTCGTTGTAGTCATCTTCTTCGTCGAAGAGTGCGAAGCGGATAAACTGAGTTATTTCAAGGTGGCTGGCATCGTCTAGTTTAGACTCGAGCCATAGTAGCTTAGACTGTTTTTTGGTGCCTGCCAGGTATTTGAGATGTTTTGGGTTTTGCACTTCTTTGTGCTTTCTTTCGACGGATGCGTGGAGGAATGCATCCAGGATCGTGCATTTAGATTCTTCTTGTCTCTTTTCGACGCATGCTTCGAGGAATGCGTATAGGATCATGCGTTTATCGCTGAGTGATATGTCTGAAAGGAGGCATTTCAGCATCTTTTGGGGATGAGGATTTCGACGAAGATGGGCGTGCCAGTCTTCTGCTGTTTTTGGTCGAAATAGGAATTCGAACATGGTGAGTGTTGAACTGTTGAACTATTAGGAATGATGAGGCTGGAGGAAGAAAAGTAACAGTCCCATTGATGCCTAAATTGACATCCTAACCGACAACTTTAAAAATTCAGTATAACTGCCTAGAGTCGTCATGTAATCATTCGGAAGCCAGACAGGACATGATGCTGCCTACTTCAACCTACAAAGTAGCAGAACTCTCTCCCTCTCCATACGATCTTCCTCCAGATTCAACTACTAACACACCATGACTCTCAGAGAACCCACAGCAGAAGAATGGCGCGAGCGTCTCCACCAGAACCTCAACCCCCGAGAACTCCTAGAATCCCTCCGCTCCAAGTCCCTATCCCTCGACGACAAAGACCAGATCTTCATTGAGTTTCCGGGGATATCGCATAGGAAACTCGAGAATAACATCAAGAACGAGGACAGAGAGAAGCCAAGGAACTCGCCGATCTAGGATGGCTCGAGCGCGCACTGGAAGATGCCGGTGATGGCATGTATGCGCATGGAATCCGTCTCCTCCTCTCCAGGAGGCAGTCAGTAGCAGAGACCAAGGAGAATCACCGCTGGGCGCAGGATATCATAGAGGCGGATATTAAGGGCCGGTGGGTCGTGCAGCGGGAGATTTTAGTTAAAGGGGAGGTTCAGAGTCTATGTATTGAATTAATGGTGCTGGGCATGGATGGGGAGCCTGATTTTGGGGGCTGTGAGGCTGAAGGAAAGGGCAACAAGGTGGAAAAGAAAGAAGGCCAGCTTGCTGCTTACAAGGCCGAACTCCAGCGTCTAAATGATGACTACTGGCAGCATAAGCAGCATCTCTGGCGTCTGGAGACGAATACTCCCCTGGGAGCAGTGGGACGGGCCTATGAAGCATGCAGACAGAAGCCAAATTGGTATCTTTCTGAATGGCTTTGCAGGGATTGTGCTGGGAGGGGTAGATGCTATAGACGGAAATGTGGGTGTTGTGAGAAAGCCCGGGAGACTGAGCGGGAGTGGAAACATGGGCACTGTACTAGTGCATGTCGGTGTTGTATTCAGAGTAAAGAGTGCTCTACCCAGGACAAGGTGACGGTAGAGGACGAGCTGGAGGTTGTGCCATTTGATCTTGTTGCTTACAAGACTCCGTATAATGTCCGGATGTTTCGTGAGTATATCTGGGGTATGGGTTGAGACCGTGGAAAGGAATGGATAGGCGTTGTTTTTGCTGGTTCTCGACATGTTAGAATTCATTTGGTGTTAATGGTTGGCTTGCATCTAATTTCCGTCAACTGGTATCTCCTGGTATCGGTGTTGTTTCAAAATAGGATCTTCATGCAAAATATATGGCAGATTGAGTAACGAGGGGTATCGTTCAAGGGTATCAACAAGAAATCAAGAAACATGGTCATAAATCATAAGTCGTCCATCACAAGCACAAGCATGAGCATCAGTAACAAGCAACGCCAATTGATGGCAAACCAACCCAAGCACAACAAAATAAAAAATCACTAAAACCAACCCATATCAACAAAAGATCTGCACCAAAATAAATCAAGTAATATCATACCATCCACACAAACTCATTCGTCGGCTGAAACTGCTGCTTAAAATACGCCCGATGACACAACGGACAATGGAACTGGTCCTGCAGATACCACTTATCCAAACACTCGCGATGGAAAACATGTAGGCATTTCAGGTCGCGGATCTCGTGGCTTCGCAGGACGGAGTCGAGACATATCGCACTGTCCTATTAGCACCTCTTGTCTCACCTTGGATGCTGATGTGGTGGAGGGGTGTGGCACACCATGTAAACTGATCGCTTTCATCATCCGACGGGAGAGGAGGGATCTTGGCTCTAGACCACCATTCCTCGAGGGTGCATATAGGTGACTCGGCGTCGAGTTTGCGGAGGCGTCGTTCGCTGGGTGATTTCTTGGGTTTTTTGGAGCGGGAGGGGCGAAAGCGACGACGTTCGCTGTTGTCGGAGTTGCTGTGGCGGTTGTTGACGAAGATGGAGAGACTCCACATACATGTAAATCAGCATTTGTACTCTTTGTAGGAGAGTGATAGGGGCGTACAGTAAACACATGATGATCAAAGTGACCACACTTAAACCAACACCCAACGCAATGATTAAATGTTGTTTGTTCAATCCGGCATTATTATTCTTAATATGGTCTGTCTGCGGTGTCGGTGACGATGACGACATCCCCCATTTCTTTCCCTGGTCGAGGATGATTAGATACGCGAGGCGGGGACGGAGCAAAGGAGGAGACGGGCATTTGCCCTTTGAGAAAAAAAGAGAAAGAGAGAAGAAAAGGAGAAGGAGAAGAAAATGAAAGGTTCAAACGATGAACAAAGCCAAGCAGTCGATCTGGCGGGGTTAGAATTGAGTGACAGCTTCACCCTCCAGCAGCACTCACACTGGTCGGATGATCCGGTCAGTTGGACGGAGTTTGGAATAAAACTCTTTGTATTCTAAGCTAAATATATAGCCTGAGAACTTTGTGGCTACAAGTACTTGCACCGTTTTATATGAGTACAAGTAGTGGCATGATATGGCATGATTGACAAGAACGATTTCCAGATGTCGCTATCCATACTCCGCTAACAATGATATAGTTTAGCCACCCCATTTTAGCTCTCAACATCAAAGCAAGTTGAATCCTTCGTTCCGTCCCGCTTGACACGTTGCACACCCACGGTCATTTCCCAGGAGTTGGACAAGCAAACAAGTTATCCGGCATAATGCAGACGATTCTGTGAAACAGCCTCATGCCTTGCAGAGTCCAGCATAGCACAATAGTAACCGTGTGCCAGCCAGGAGAAGGGAAACCGTGACAGTGTATCAAATGGCTATCCCCGTCAATAACCAACCAAGTAACCTAGTAGAATCCGGGGTAGGCAGGAATGTGTCAACCGTGTGGTGCGGAGAATGCAGATCGATGATAGATCATATTCACCGTTATTCTGCTGCAGTTCCTTAAGCATTAATAGTTATTAATATTAAATATATATCCCAAAGCAGAATATGTACATAACCAGAGATCATCTCTGAGCTGTAATAAGTCCGTATGTATGCAATCCCACGTGACATCGCGTTTGGCGCGTCTTTTTGTCCGAATCGGGAAACCACGCGAGCTACAAATTTCCCGTAACGAACGACGATTCCACCGGTAAGAACAGCTATGCGTACTGTATACCGAGTACAGTATGGAGCACAGCGAGTACGAGCGTACTCTGTACAAGTCCTTGCTTGGTCAATTGGCCTGGAGCTGGTCTCTCGTACATAGTATACAAACCAGCTCAGTCATCGTGACTATACATAGACGATTGCATAAAATGCGATGCTCCGAGTACTACTACTGAGTATCTTGGTTCTCAGGGTACAGTGGAATAGCGTCAATACCGACAATCAAACAGTAAGGAAATCGCCTCGTCATAGACCATTTCATACAGAAACGAGATCAGAATTGAAATTGAGCAATTGATTCAATTGCATTAAAACCTAGTAAAATAGAAAAGTCAATCATACATAGTACACAGAACGTGCGGGCAATTTTCCGGTAAGCTTACTTTACTTACTGTCAAGTCACGCCCGCTCCGCCGCGTCCTCCACTTGTCGCGACGCGATCTTTAATACTAGTCGAGGCGTTTTCTTCACCACGGCTTTTTCACCTCGGGGTGTGCTCAACCAAGTCCTTTTATTTCTTCTTTTCTGCGTTTGTTTTTCTTCTGTTGTTTTATCTTTTGTCTTCTGTTCTGCTCTTTGGCTGGTTCATAGTTCTCTGGTTGATACTGCTACCTACTATTCGACGACTAGTTATTTCACGACCATTCCTACTCCTACCACGACTACTCCTGTCTCACCCAATGCTCCTTTGATCAATCCCTATCTCATTCCTCTCCCTCACCATGTCTGAGCCGAATTCTACCCTCCCCGCATGCTCCTCTTCTCCTCCATCCGTCCCGCCCTCCGACGCCACAGCCGCCGCTCTCAACTACGCCTTTCTCGTCCATTCCCAAAAGACATTGACGCAAAACCTGCCTCCCAGAGTGGACAACAAGCTGCTGGCTCGTCAGAAACGTCGTCGGACTAGGTACGCACACTTAATGTGAGCGATTTATGCACGCGTGGCTAACTGTGGGTCTCGATAGTCCGGAGGACCATGCTATTCTAGAGGCTGAGTATCAGCGGAATCCGAAGCCGGATAAGACTGCGAGGGCGGATATTGTTAATCGTGTTTCATTGGGGGAGAAGGAGGTGCAGGTTGGCTTTTTCAGATACAATTGCATGGTTGGGATATGTTCTAACGCGACTTCAGATTTGGTTCCAGAACCGCCGTCAGAATGATCGTCGGAAGTCGAAACCGCTTCAACCTCATGAACTCCTCGCACCGTGTGCTATAGCAGACGAATTGAGAGAGGGCGATGATAATATGTCGGCGGAACGCAGCACGGTGGAGCAGGGTGACCTTGACAATGCACCGTCGTCGGACGCGTTGCAGTCTTCGTTCGAGTCGGACCCTGTATCTGGTGCTGAGGACAAGGATGAGCAGGAACAGTCTATTCAGAGCTCTCAGACGAGCTTGGATTCAGAGACGTCTGAAGTCCCCCAGCAGCCAAACGAGGAGGCAGCACCAGAGCCTGAACCTGAACCAGTGAAGAACCCCGAAACCACACAACCAGACGCATCACAGTTGAGCACCACCAAGCGAAAGCGATCGGTGACTGACCTGCGTGGTGATGCATCTGCACCCCAGCCAGCAGAGAAAGACGCGTCAAAAGACTTCAAGTCACCACCCTCGCTGCGGATTTCACTATCGTTTGATGGCGAGGCAATGGTACGGAAAGAGGGTGAAATGACCCCATCCCCACCAAAGGGACAAAATGCTCTCCGCATATCCATGTCTTCGGATGGAAAGGCAGTCATCCGTACGGACGATGAACCCTCTCCATCCAAGAACCGTATATCCATGTTCTCTACTCGGAAGTCCCGCTTCGCAGGTCTTCGACGGAGTAACAGTGCAATCCTGCCCGCAACGCCGCGAGTGGCCTCGAGTGAGAAAGAGAGAATGTTCGGTCGATCTCGTGATCCCCGTAACTGGGAGTCCGTCTTCGACACGGACGCCAGAAGTGCCCTGTCAACTCCTGGTAGCGCCCAGAGTGCGCCACATAGCACCCCAGGGCTCTTCCGCTCCCGTGGCCAGCGATCGTTGACCCGAAGCCTTTCCTCAAGGCAGAATGCCTTTGCCAACAACTCCCCCAGCCATCCTGACACTCCGGTGCCCATGCAGGCAGGAGATAAGAGGCGGAAGCTTTCTCGCACGGTCTCGTCTCTCGGACGACTGGAGTTGAACAGAGCAAATGCATTGGGTCAGGTATCGGGTAACTCTCTCAAGATGCCCAAACTCCTGGGCAGCTCCAAGAAGAACGATGAAGACTTTGAGTTCCACAACGGTGATTCGGACAAAGAGAACTGGATCCCAGGCACCCGGGTCTCCAACGTCCGTCGACGCACGACAACCTCCAATATGCAACGCCCAGCACTCAAAGACGCGAACAGCAAAAACCGTCGCTCCCGTCTTTCCCAAGCTCACCAGCAACGAAAAACCGCTCCCGAAGTTGAGCCAGAAGTCTCCGCATTCGTGGCCAATGGCAGCAGCGCCAGCCAAGAAGAAGATCTCGACTGCATCCAAGGCTTATTATCACTTAGCCAAGGTGCATGGAGGTAGAAAATACCCTCCGTCCTGTGACACGACCTATCATTTTCCTTTGTGATTTCTTTTGTTTTTAACTGATTCCCTTTACTTCTTTTTTTGTCTTATCCATGCTGAAAGATGCAATCTAGCAAGCGGTGATTGCACATGATGTGTGAATGATTCTCTTGATTATTCGTTGGACCGGTCTTGGGACTTTGGACATATTTAGTTCTTCCAGGACTGGGTGGAACATTTTGATGGTAAGCTGGCTTGTGTCGGCGGTATTAGATATCCGGATATAATTTGTATCAATAAAAGATAAAATTCAGGATATAAAACCAGTGGCTTTTGTAGTACTCTGTATTCCGTAGAAAGAGGGGCATTTGTAGAGAGGATACCGAGTCTGGCTGGCACGTGGCCGCTGATATATATCGCTTGGCTTGGCATCTGCTTCTTCACCACCATCATTGTTTTTTATGTTCGGTCTATCGATACGACGCTGGACATTCGAGCATTTCAAATTCTATGTGAGTATTCTATCCAGAAAATTCATCTTGGCCTTACAAAATACCCACGTAAATCAATACTAACTCTTACCAGAACCCTCCAACACCATTTCTGCAGAGGTATACTACTACCTCTCGATTACTCCCAATCCAAAGACCTTCTATTCTAAGAGAGCCTCTTATGATGGGCAAAACCCCGCGTGTGGCGATTATCGGAGCTGGCATCTCCGGCCTACGATGCACAGATATCCTCGGCCAGAACGGCGCTCAAGTCACGATTTTTGAGGCGAGAGATCAAGTTGGGGGAAGGGTGAGTCTCACAACCCCCCCCCGTAGTAGGGCCATTGGTTAACGGTGAATAGATCGCCCAGAGCAAGGTTGGGGATCACTTGGTTGATCTGTAGGATCCTGTTCCGTATTTGAAAGTGATGTCGAGAGTGGCATACTGATGTATGATAGCGGACCGAACTGGATTCACGGTGGTCAAGACAACCCAATCTCAGTTATCGCGGAGTCAACAAATACCAAACTCGAAGATTTTGACGAGAATCAAATCGTTTTCTCTAGAGATGGAACACCACTCGACGACAAACTCGCCGCCAAAGTTTCCGATTTCGTGTGGACGACTGTTGAAGAGGCATTTGAATACAGCAATATATACAAAGATAGTATCCCGTCGGATCGGAGCTTATTTGATTTCTTCAAAGAAAGGGTTGAGAAGAGGGGTTTCAGTGAGGCGGAGAAAGAGGCTTGTCTTGAGAGTTGTAGGTTGTGGGGGTCATATGTTGGGGATCCAATTGAGAGACAGAGCTTGAAGTTCTTTTGTTTGGAGGAGTGTATTGATTCGAGTAGGTTCGATCTGTTCTTCATGGGGATTTGAGTGATGGCTGAAATTATAGGTAATTGTTTTGTGTCTTCTACGTATCAGAAGATTCTGGAGTTTGTGTCTAAGGCTGCGCTGAAAAATGCGGATGTTCGGTTCAATCAGCCTGTTGTGGGGATTGAAGCGCAACCTCGCGAGTCACAGAAAGACCAGCAGGTTGTGCTGTCCACTGCAGATGGACAAAAGCACCGATTCGACGAGGTCGTCGTGACCTGTCCTTTGGGCTGGCTTAAACAAAACAAAGCTGCCTTTACTCCGGACCTTCACCCTCGTCTTATCCAGGCTATTGATAGCATTTCCTATGGCCGTCTTGAAAAAGTCTATGTGACATTTCCGCAGGCCTTTTGGCATACCGAGGGAGTGGAATTAAAAGCCCCAAACTTCGCCATGTTCCTTGATCCAACATATACAAACCATCCGAAAGAGATCACCTGGAACCAAGAATGCGTTTCTCTTGCAACCCTCGGTCCACAGGCCCACCCAACCCTCCTCTTCTACATCCACGGGCCCTGCGCGAGCCACGTCGTTTCCAACATCTCGAATTTGTCACCTTCGTCATCTGAATACCACGACTATCTCAACGACTTCCTCCACCCCTTCTATTCCCGTCTGCATGGCTACTCCGCTGCATCTGCAGACTGCAAACCCCTCGCTTTCCTCGCAACACAATGGCAAACAGACCCATACGCAGGCAACGGCTCGTACAGCAACTTCCAGGTCGGCTTGGAACAAGGCGATAAGGATATCAAAGTCCTCCGCGACGGTGCCGGAATTGGGAAAGAACGCGGGGTCTGGTTTGCCGGCGAACATACAGCGCCATTCGTAGCGCTCGGAACAACGACGGGAGCATACTGGAGCGGAGAAAGAGTAGCCACAAGAGTATGTCAAATCTACGGACTTGATGGAGTTGGAATTGGAACCGGGAGGGATGATTCTCTCCCTTCGCAGGTCTCGATTGCCTAGTTAAGCAATGTACATAGGATGTACGCAGGATGGAATTAGCGGCGCCAGGGTTTATTATAGTTAGAGAAGACCTTACTGGCATGGATGCAGTGCAGAAGATGACAGCATCTGCATTGATGCCAAATCCACCATGTCTTGCATCGTCTGGGTTCCTTGACAGGGGTTGTCATGCCCAATAATTTGCTACCCATGCAATCCGACGTCAGCGTCAGATTTCAATGTAGGCTGCACCAAATGCGCTTGGTCCTTTGCACAAATATGCTAGGTACTTGTTTTAGTTTTAATATACGAATGATTGACAATTGTCAAGGAATCCTCGTATACTTAGCAATCAACCTGATAAATAGTCTCATACCCCCAATACAATACAACATATCCCTCCACTCTGCCATCTAACACACCATAAAATGAATAACCCCACCCAAAACCAACACTACTCCCCCATCCCCCGCGACCAAGTCCCCTGGCTCCTCTTCCGCGTCGAACACCGCCTAAGCTCCAGCTATGGAACCCTAAGCGCCCAAGCCCGCATCGCCCGCATAGTCACCCCCCCAACCCCCGACGACTTCGACCGCCACCTCCTCAACTCAAAATACTTCCTAACCCCCTTCCTCTCCTACTTCAGCAACTTCCGCCGCGCCCTCGCGCTCTACCGCGCGTTTCGCCTCGAGGGTCGTCATGAGGTTACAATCACCGCCCTCTGGGCAAGAGATATGGCCAACATTTACAACGCCGAAGAAATCGCCCAAACTCTCGGCTTCCGCGACGGCGACGGCGCAAACCCCCGCCGCATGCTCCGCGACCACATCGGCGAATTCCTAATCCACGGCGGAATCGTCGACACCTACCGCATCCTGACTATCTTCCGGGGCATGAACGCGACACCCACACCGACACCTATCATCCCGTCCCCCGGCCCCATCACAATCCGTGAAGTCGACGTTGTATTCGAGTGCGATGCGTATCAGGCTATCACGACGCTGCCGGAGGGGTTTCTGCCGTCGTCGTTGCAGGATAATGCGCTAAGGGCGCTGGATGAGGAAATTTATAGGAGGACGGGGGTGTTGAATGATTTTTGGAGGGATATGATTGTTAGTGCGCTTATGGGGAGGCCGGTTAATTGGGCGGGGAGGTTTATGGGGGGTGAGCAGATGGGGTTTTTGTTTGGGGATACGGGGCAGAGGGTGCAGCGGTCACCGTTGGGAATGGGTTAGGAGGGCTAGTAGGGTTGTATTCACTTGGTTTGTTAGCGGGGTTTAATTTTCTTCTCGTCTGGTTAGAAAGTTCTTCGATTTGGATTTTTCCTGTCACTACTAACCTACATATGCTACATACCCGGAGTAAGGTGCTATATGCATCACGCTGTGCTAGTCCAAAGCCCGTTAGAGACCTTCTACTATATGAGCATTCTATATGATATGGCATCTATCCCAGAGAAACGTGCCATTGATTCTTCCTATATGTCTACGCAAGTCTATACCAGCGTCGGGAACGAATGTGAATACATGCTATCTAGTTTCAGACCGATCAAAGTCGTCTTTCATTTGCTCTCCGCTGAGGATGGACCAGAAAGCGGGACGGTTCAAGCACGGTCGTGGAAAAAATCAGAACCACCTTGGAGAGAATGAACCGCGTGCTTGCAAGGCTCGCACTCCTAGTTCAAGTCCTGATGCTATTGTCGGCCCTCGTCCCTCATCAATGACATTAAGTCAGCTGGTGTTTCTACCAAACATGGCTGAAGAGGGTAACTCAAATGCCAAAAAGTTACAGGCCTCACATGCCAGTGTCATCCACATGTGGGAGGTGTCGTCGTCACTACCTATACCCAACTAGGGCACGGCATAAGGCGAGGGCCAAGGGATAGCAGATAAGACCAATACAACAGATGGAGCTCCAGGTAGCACAAGAGCTCAAACGCGCGCAAGGATTCCCAGATTGCAGAACAACCTCTTCAACACTCGTCAAGGATAATTCATTGCATGGAAACGACATGTTGTTCGAATTCAAGTCAGCCGAAGCAAACACGGGTTGTTTTAAAGTGGGATACACCAAGAATCTTCAATGGCGTACGACATCGACTGAGACTTGATGGTCTTGCAAACGTGGTTGCTCTAGTTGATATTCAAGAGGACAATTTTCTCATACACACACCAACGGTATATTGATACCTGTCGGTATTATAAGAGAACCAGTCATTGACGACATGACCCGCCGCCGTCGTGAGAAGGATCGAAGGATGGTATGGGTCAGAAGCCAGAGAGACGAAAGCCCCTTTGGACAGAAGTTACTTCGAGAATGCAGACGCGGACACTTCTCGAGCATACAGCCAAATGGTGGCCGATATCACGACGGAGATACAGGCTATGCTTACCGGAAAACGTCTCGAAATACGGATAGACCCCGGTATTCACCTATGACGCCTTGCGGCTGTCAGATGCCATTTAGCTATCAATAATCCAACAGGCACTATGAGTGAGCTTAGGTGTGTATGCGTATACTATCCATTACTTAGTGATTTGCTCAGACTCGGCCACTACCTAGCACCGGACTAACTTACACAGGCAGGACAGGTGCTCTTGAAGTCCAAAATGCGATGGGTAGTGTTTTACCCCGTACAATTACTCCCTACTCTTTCTATTTTGCCATCTCATTTTTGCAGAATCTCCCACGACCATGTACGAAATACTGATCGACCGAGGAGCAGCTTTCGCAGCTTGTTGACCAGACTGTTCCTGAGCTTGACTTCAAAGTAAGCCAAGTCTATGTTCAGTAAGTGAGCGAGAAAGACCACCATTCTGCTTGGAAACTAATTCACTATAGGTCCGGTCTACACGACGACTGTAGACGGGTAACGGACAAACACGGCTTCAAATCTACGATCGCCTTCAAAGGGACACTCACGTCGACGAGGGCATAAACGGGGTCTCGCACATCTATTCGATGGATGCGAAAAATTACGAGCTGGACTGGTTCACGAGTTTGCATTTCAGGATGATGCGCCGAAGGAAATCAGCCGGGAACCATGTTGGCCTCGGTCATAGCTCAAGGTGTTCCATCTTGGTGGGGTCCTATATCGGATACAGCCTACTTCAGATACTGCTGAGAGATGGGTGACTATCCTTTGGCTAATGCCGGCTCGAGAAGAGAACAGAGACAAACTCCTGTATATGGAGTGTATTCCTATTGGAGTCCGTTAAATGCAAAACAGCACGGGGATTCCGGGACCAAACAGAAGAAAACAGAGTCTCTCGACACCACACAGGATCCCGCACTCTCTGCACTTTAAGTGGCACTTGATAGTCCAACGAGAGTACTGAAAATTGACATGGGCTTGTACGTATTTGAATCCCCAAGTAAGTGCAAATACAGACTCTTTCCCCCGCCCTATAGCGCGGTCTGGGTTGCATCCCACATGTTAAAGGAGAAGACCGGACACAGTTAAACTCAACAACACAACACTAGCCTGGCGGTCTATAACATTAGTATGAACCTGAAGATAAGCTCCGCCGGGGATCCAAGAACTGAAGACGCGTTAAACGTCTGTTAATACTAGTTACAATACTCGGCACCACAAGGAATATCGAACAACCATGGCTCGGAGGGCAACCTTCCAGCCCCTCCCGCGGTCGAATTGCACAAGGCAATCATGGCAGCACCTGACGGACTGCGAGAATGTACAAACGTACTTTTCAGCCTCCGTCAGATGCTGCCCTGGCGCCACCGTAACAACCGGGGATGACGAGCGCATGGAGAGCGGATCCTCCAATTACTCCTTGATTATTGGGAGGCGAACCTCCGCATTGGCCGCAAAGGCTCTCGCAATAAGAGGTCGATGCAGACCAGAGCTTGAAAAGTTCTTGGAATGTAATATCAGAAAGATATTATACGTGGTTCAATCTCTCAGACAATAGCTGACGGTCAACGAAGGCCTCAGCTTGCTCTGGCCTTTATACTGGACAATCAGGCAATATCATTTTCCCTCGGAAACGAACAAGACCTCAGGTTACGAGCTCTTGTCATTGAAACTGAGGGTGAAAGTCAATACCAATGCTTTTGTCTAAGAACAATCACCTGAGTATCAACATAATGACGGAGAGTTTCCTGGGGCATATTTCAAAAAAGCGAGGTTTACTCACCCGCCCATAAAGCCGTACAGTCATTAACGGATCTAGGCTTCGCTGGCGTGCCTAATGGAATGGGGGCCAGGACTACAAGTCACGGCCAGAACCACTAGTCATGGCATAGACAATACGCCTGACCCTTAAGATCTCGTTGCCATAAGAGATTAACAATCCGATACCAATGATATGAGCCCATTCTACGGGTTATCTTCCCATGGAGTGATCCTAGTGCTTGCAATGACCGTGGGATTAAACGGGTGCGTGGTTGGGATTCCGAAAAATATGGAATTCTTCGAAAAGAGAAGCGGTATTAAGCTAGACAATTCGTACCGTGATTGTCCCACTATAAGCGTACACGACCCAATGGACCTAAAGTGACCAGCTGCTTTCTCGTCATTCTCGCACACCTTTTGATTGTTTTGCACATCGTCTGTCGAGTTCTTTGCGAATCCCCGCCATTCCACCAATCCTCAAGTCGCAGACATGGATCAACTAAGACATGGCGAGACTGAGCAAAAGCTCACGTTGCAAGATGTTTAAAACAATGAAAAACAAACCCGCATTGTGAGGTTGAGAGAGTTATCCTCGAAGTTGATTCTCTGGAGTATGGCAACGTCCCTTTTGGCTCCATGCATCCAAGCGAACTTGGGTGTTGGCCTATATATGAGGTTAATTGGCATCTGGATGATTGGGAATGTAGTGAGTCCAGTTCCCCGAATGTGAGACTCTAAATGTCATAATTTGGGTAAGTGGAGGTATTCGAAACGACTCATGTATGTACAGATGTATAATACTTCGGATTAGATGGTGATAGAGGGAATATCTCAGTCATCACGGTATATCAGCCCCAATCCTCGTTCGCGGTTAGATACAGAAACTGTATCCCTGGCTAGAGATAATCCTCCTCCAGTATATTCTCTTCGGAAAGCACTCGATGCTGCTGGAGAAAACGTAGTATCCCTGTATGCTCATATGAGCTCGGATGATACTGTGTCCTGCAATAAAAATATGCAATGCAGGGGGCCGGTTTGTATGGTTGCTTGTTCTGCACAGGCTCATCGGGAGCATAGATGGTACGGCGCCAGAAAGCCCTAATTAAGTAGAACATGGGAAACCTGGTGAATCGTGCCAAGCGTAATGGTCTTCTTGTTTGTCAGTGCACGATCCATACGCAAGAACGCATCCACACTGACCCAGGAAATAGGTAATCAGCCGACCCAGACCCATCACTTTCCAACCAACCGATATCTCTCCCTCGCCAACCCCCCATCCGCCCCCTCAACTCCATACCCCTCTCCGACCTCTCCCACAATCCTCGCCGGTCTCCCACCCACAACACACCAACTTGGGACCACCATACCAGCTGGAACCACCGCCCCATCCAGCACAACCGCAAAATCCTTCAATATCGCCATACCCCCAATCACAACCTCCTTCCCAACATGCACATGGTTTCCGACACTAGCCGCCTCGACGACCGCGCGCTCACCCACAAAGACATGATCACCAATTTTCAACGGATAGTAAGAGTGCACACCACGGTGTAAACGCGAAGGCGGGCGCAAGATTGCCTGTTTAGAGATATAGCTGTAGCGGCCAACTGTTATAGCGACGGAGGGAGACGGAGCGGCGGAGGCTGGATCATCTGTGGAGGAGGCATGGGAGGAAGAGGAGCGGTAGAGATCACCGCGAATAACGGCGTCTGTTTGAATGACTGTTTTTCCGCCGAGGATGATGCGTTGGGTTCCGTGGATTTGGGCGCGGCGGGAGATTTTATTGCCCGTGTCCTGGATTGGTTAGCTGGTGGGTTCTTGGACGTGTAGGTGGGGGTGTGGGTGGTGTACCGTCTCGATGTATTCACCCTTAAAGGCTTTGGGAGGCATTATGGCAATTGTGTGTTTGAAAGAGGTGATTGACTGATTGATGCGAATGTTCTATGCGGACCTCCGTATGATGTCGCGATAGCGGTAAAAAGGGCGGTCACGATATAGCGGCAGTTCGCTCGGTGTTAAAGGCGGTATGTCGGCTTGACGTTCTCATTCTCCCACTCTTTGGCAGCCTGCAGTATCGAAGACTCGAAGTGGCACTGCTAGGACTCAATACAACATGGCTAACTATGTGCTCCTCTGAAACCCGCAGATGCCGTGCAACAAGAAGATCGAAAATGCTCCTGCTAACTCTCCCAGCAGAACTAATTTTCCAGATTGCATCCGGTCTTTACAGAAGATGCAGAGAAATCAATTCTTTTGCTCAAACATGTCGCGATCTCTATATCATTGTGGATCCCTTGCTGTACAGTCTTGATGTGAAGGTGGACTGTGAACTTTACAGTCGTCATAGTACTGCACTGCATCATGCAGCACAAACTGGCCTGGTAAGAACTCTCCAGAAAACCTTCCAGGTGGGCGCAAAGGCCTGTAACAGAAGCCTTTTCATCGCTATACGCAATAAGCAAGTAGAAATGTCCAACATCCTACTTGACGCAGGAGAATGGTCCGAGAAAGACTTGTTAGACCACCCTAGCAACTGCTGTCATGGCCGGAGAAGATGAAATAGTGAAGGAATTGCTTCTACATGGTGCCGACCCATCAGTTCCTCTATATGGCTACCTGAAACCGTCTATCTTGGAAGCCCTTGTGAGAGGCCACAATGCCGTTGTTGATGTCCTACTGGCAGACCCCCGGACCGACCACAACGTACGTTTTTACGATAAGATGGATATCCATGGAACCCAGACTGCCCTCCAAGAAGCAGCAAAAAGGGGAAACGCGCACATGGTTCGATCTCTGCTCGAGCAAGGCGCCTCCACACGACCTAATGTGGAGACCACTATGCACAGCGCAGTCATCAACTACAGCCCTGAGATAGTGTAGCTACTCCTCAACCGAGATGATATTGGCCCTAAATGCATTATTCAATGACAAGACACTATTGCACCACGCCGTGAGCGCGGATCATAAAGACTTGGTGAAGTTGATACAAACCTCAATGGCCGGACCCCTTTGCTTGAGGCCGTAATCCTCAACAATAACAACATGGTTGAATATCTTCTTGCTGCCGGTACCGATCCTCAAATCGTGGATCGCGAGGGACTGTCTCCTGCCATACTCATAGAGTGCGCTGATGCTCAAGCGAGAGAGGAATTAGTGAAGCAGCATCACAAAAAAAACCTCGCCGGTTCTCGGATTTCTCGGATGAGAAAAGAAAAAGACCAAGGCCATGCACTAATGCTTTAGTGGAAACTCCGTTTGAATGACGCGAGCAAGGTCTAGTTGGATATTGAGGTCTCGTTATGTCATTTAATCCGGAATCTACATTGGCACAGTTCTGCTTCAAGATACCTATAAAGTCCCAATTCTTCCCAATCATCTCTCTAATATTACGTTTTCAAATCTGATGTTATAGAAGCGGCCTTTGCATAATGTTCTCCTAATTATTTCCTCCGGTCGTCACTATCCAAGCTAAGTGATTGGACCTGTCGCGCACTTGCTATATCGAATTAGCCTATCCAGGTCTGCGAGTCAACTTTGCAAACACACAAATACATCACGACAGTGCTTGCTATACTCCCAGCGTCGTGGTGTCGAGGTACTAACCGGATATCTCTCTATTCAGTACATTGCTTGGTATTTGTTCATATCACTTAGATCATGACATGATCGTAGCAGGGATCTGTCTTACTCGACATGCTACCATGTAATTACAAAAATAGAGCAAAATTTAAATCAATAACTAGTATTTACTAACATAACAATTATCATATTACCGGCAGACAGACAGACAGATCAAACAAACAAAATAAAAAAAAACAAAGGATATCTCGAAATAAACAAGAGCATTCTGCCATAAAACAAAGATCCACGATTATACAGACCCATTACCTTCGTAGAAATTATCGTACTCATCACCAGACCATGACCAGTCCCACGACCACGGGTCTTAACCACGCTTAGGACCGGGAATCTCCCCATCAAAGTGCACCTTGAACGTCATCGGGAACGGGAAGTGTCCACTGTTATCCTCGCGCATGTACGCAGTGTATCCCTCCTCAGCCTGCACCTTCTTCAACTGGCCCTGGGGACCAGGAGCACGGCGCAGGTTCGGCAGACCACCGACAACGCGGAGCATAGTGGTAAGAGCAACGAGGCTGGTGTCCTTGCCCAGGGAAGCGTGGGGACCAACGCCGAAGGGAATGTAGGCCTCAAGAGGACGGTCGAGGCGCACCTGGTTAGGTTCAGGGAAGACCTCGGCGTCGTGATTCGCGCCGGCAAAGCCAACGAAGACCTTGTCGCCAGGGTTGACGGAGATTTCGCGGCCGTTGTCGTTGAGAATGGCGGAGGTTTGGGCCTCGCGGTAGGCGGCGGAGGCGCCGTTGATGCGGATGGCTTCGAGGACGTAGCGGCGAAGTTTCTCCTCGGATTCGGGGGTGTCTTCCTGGGCCAGGCGGTTGATTTCGGGGAGGTGTTGCGCGCCGTCGGCGGAGAGGAAGTAGTCGATGATGCGGGTGAAGGCTTGGCCTTGGTTGGGGACCATGCCGATGGCGGCGGGGATGATCTGGGCCCAGGTTACTTCGGAGGCGTTGAGGCCGCTATCAAGGAGTTGCTTGATGAGTTTGGCGCCGTATTCGGCCAGGGCGTTGGGGGTCTTGCGGGAGCCTCCGAGGATGCCGGAGAGGAAGCCGCTGGTGCCCTTGAGGGAGGCCTCGACGGCTTGGCCGAGCTGCTGGACGACGGCGTGGGAGGCGTGACGCAGAGAGAAGGACTTGGCGGGGTCGACGTCGAAGTAGATGCTGGTGAAGACGGCGGCTAGGGCCATGTAGAGCTCCTGCTCGGTGAAGATGCCCTTGGGGTTGTCGGCGGTCTTCAGAGGCAGCGAGAAGACGTTGGCGGCGAAGTGGGTGTGGGCCAGGTTACCGATGTCGCGGGTGATATCGATCTGGTTTCTGCCAGCGAGGCGGCCGGTCTTCTCACGGAGCAGCTTCAGGGTGATGTCCTCGTAGAAGGTCTTGACCTGCTTGTTCCATTCCTCAGACGACAAGGCCTGGGTGATGGTCTCCTTCTGCTGGGTTCCGAAGGAAGAGTCACCAGCAAGCAACTGCTCGTAGCCAGTCTTGCCGAAGACGAAGGCAGGAACCTCACCCCACAGGGCACGGAAGTCGGTGGGCTGCTCGACAACGCGCTTGACGTTGGAGTAGGACGACAAGTTCACCTTGGGAGGAGTGTAGGAAGGACGGTCGTACGAGTAGTGCGACTCTCTGCCGAGGTCCTTCATGATGTTGCGGTTCTCGCCAGGGATGGTCATGGGGTAGTGGGCGTAGATGGAGTCGGGCTTGAAATGGTTGGGGAAGGCACGGAGACAGAGCTTGTAGAAGACACAGCCCTGGTTAACGCTGAGGTCGTAGCGGGACTCCGAGTAACCCCAGTTGGTCAGGTTTCTCGGGTTCTGGTCGACGGTGTAGAACCGGTCACCACGGACAAGGGCAACGGCATCGGACAAGACCGCACGGGAGACGGTGTAGGTCGGGGCAATACCGACACCAGGGATCATGGGCTCCTTGGCTTCCTCGGAGACGATACCGGGGTAGAGCTCGACAAAGTCGGGGTGCTCATACAGGTGACGGAGGGAGTCGGCAACATCAGGGTCGCTGTTGATCTCCTCGAATGAGTCGTAAGCCTTCAAGCCGAAGAACTTACGGAACTCGTTGAGAGAGCCAACGTTCCAGCGACGAGCCTGGTTGATGCCCAGGATCTCGATGGATCTCAGAGCCTTGGGAACGTTGCGAGCACCGAAAGAGCTGGCCACATCCTCAACAGCGTTCGACAGGATGTTGACGAGGTCATCGTCACGGAAAGTACCGTCTTCCTGACGCTCTAGATGGGCGAAAGTGCGCTTAGCCGGGTCGCGGTCTAAGTTTGCCTCATACTTGCCCAGGCCGATGAGAAGCTCCGGGATGGTCACCTCTTCCGCGGGCTTGCCCATGAGCTCCTCGTAGATCTTCTCGGTGTATTTCTCGTCGTTGGCACTGATGGCGGAGTGCCAGCGGTAGGCCAAGTTGAACTCAACAGAGCACTGGTTACCCATACCCTGAGGGGTAGCGCCCGCCTTCTCCATATGAGCACGGGGGTCCTGTACGAGGTTAGTTCTGCTCCTGTAAAATCAATTGGGACATAATACTTACCAAGCACCAAGTGGTGTTGCTGCGGTTCAAGTTGACAATAGTACGGAGATAGTCGTACAGGGTGATGTTGATGAAAAGACCGCAGGTGACCAGACGACCAGTCTGGAAGAGATCATTGTCGTATTTGGCCCAGGCCTGCTTGGCCTGCTCCTCGGGCAGCTTGGGAGAGGGCTTGGTGAAGCGGCCATTCTCGTTGATGAGAGCAAGCTGCTCGACGACGTGGTTGTGGAAACTGTTCGATAACTGGTTAGCGAAAATATTCCGCAGCTATCGCAAATGAAAGAGACGTACCGGTTCAGCATGACCAGCAACACACAGCAAGCCGCGGGGAAGGCCTGAAGACGAGGCTCGGAGAACGCATCGGGCTTCAGTTTACCATCCTTGTGGGTACGGACCAAGTCCTGCTCCTCCTGGACGTCACCGTACAAGATGGAAAGATCGAGGTAGGCGGAGGTCTTGTTGATACTAGGATTACGGTAGTCGGTTTGGAAGATATCTGTCGCAAATCAGCACCACGCCATCGCTTTTAGGCGCAAGTAAACATACCGTGAATAACCAAAGAAGCCCAGTCGAAGAACAGACTCGAAACCTTGTTAGGGTGGGGGTTGAACTTCTCACGGGCCATGAGACTGTCGAACACCAGACCCGCGTCGGGCAGGCCACTGGGCTGAATGGTCAATGGGGAAATGGAGCGCGAGTATGCCGTGTTAGCGGCACCCAACCATGGGAGAGTCGGGTTGTTGTTCGAGCCATCTGCGGAACGGTATTGGTAGTCGTCTCCCATGTACGAGAGCGGCGGGTGCGGCAACGAGTTCCAGAGCTCGTCGAGGAAAATGTTTGTGAGTTCGACACGGTTCTTGGAGCCGGCGGGAAGACCACTGACGAGCTATATCATAACCAAATTAGCGATTGGAGCATACGCAAAGAGAATAACGAGCGCGCATACCTGAATAATCCGCTCCATAAGCATGGTCTTGTCATCGACCAGCTCACCAGAGGCCTTGCTCTTGATGAGATCCTTCAAGGTATTGACATCACGGAAACCAAGCGCCTTGATGTCACCGAAAATCCCTTGGGTGGTATCCTGCTCGAGGAAAGTGGAATCGCCAGTCTGACGGGGCAGCGGGGTCGTCGAGGCATGGATAACCTGCGAGTACTTCTCAAAAGTAGACTGGACAGCGTTGCGTGTTGCGCCTTGGGGAGTCTCTTCTTCCTCGGTGGTTGACGGCGAGGAAGTCGACTTGCGAATGGGCGCAACTAGCGAGTGACGCTTTCCGTTGACCTGGCCATTCTCCTTGGCCTCGCGACGCTCCTCCTTGTCGCCCTTGGACTTCTTGAAGTTCGTTGAGAATCGGCGTAACATAATGTGCAATATCAACAGGGCCGTGAATACACCAACAACAGAAGGAACAAGAGACAAGGAAGAAAAAGAAAGAGCAGGAAGAGGAGGAATTCTCATATGGAGAATTTCATAAAAGTTTAATACCTCGGAGGTATGGGGCTAATAAAAAAAAAATAAATAAAAATTAAATAAAATAAAAATAAAATAAAAAACAAGGGGAGGCAAAATGAGGTAGGACGCAGCACTCGAATCAGACGGTGGATCACCAGCCGCCCATCAGATCCGATTGATAGCAAATAGTCTAGTCTTGGTGGGAGTCAGTTCGCTATTTTAGATTTAGATCGTTTGGATAATCCCAATTGTCTTTCCTCTCATCTTCTGGCCGGGTTGTTCGTCCTTAAAAGGACTGCCATGAATAGTACAACGCAGTCACACATGTCAACTGTATATCTTTAGAAATCAAGTCGACAAGCTGGAATGAGTGGATCGCTCTAATAGAAAACCACGGTGATAGCAGTTTCTCTCTCTCTCTTTTTTTTTTTTTTTTTTCTTCCCCCCTCATAGGTTGCGGTTTCAGCTGGGCGACGCTGTATGCGCTGGTTGAATCATGTTGTGGCGTACGATGCAGGTTACTCGAATAACGACACCACGCAATGATAAAAATGTATGTAGATAATTAGCTGGCTGGGTCACCTCAATGATGTGAATTGTGAATCCTGCACCCAGCGTCGGCGAATCCTAGTGTAGCATTTCGTATTCTCAGAGCTGACAACGATAATCGGCCCATGAGCAATAGGAAACCAAAAAGCACGGGCTGATGAGATTGGGATGCATATTGCAGATCCAATTACAAACCAAGGATTTGGAAGCTGATCTCAGGTTCGTTCGGGATCATCGTCCAGCCATCGAGACCACAATTAATACGGGAGGCTTCGTACTCCGACAGAAGGTGTCCACACAAATCGAAGATGATAAAATGATAATCATTCAGCTGAACCAGCAGAGCTGAAGTGCTCTCCCCACTTGTGGGTCCGGCTAATATCCCAAGCAGTGGTTTGGGACCCTCCCTCATCCTCCATCCCGGGAATTTCATCACGGCATATTTCGCTAGACTCGGTATTATTGTACGATGCGAGGATTTCCACGGCGTACAAAGCAACGGACTCCAGCTCTGTGCATGTCTAGCAGTGATGCCCAAGTACGACCGATCAATAAGATCGCCTTCAACCAACGCATCTCGACGTTGCAAGACCTGGGCATGCATCCTCCGGGGTCCAGAAAGAGGACCAGACAGGCAGCTTCGCTTCACCGACATCCTAGCCGATTACTCCGTACCATATCCAGGAAAACGTAAGGATTTTCAGTTCTCAGCTCCTCCGCTAGTTAAAACAACGTGGAGATGTTATTTTAATTAGCCGACGGAATTGGGTTAAGTTTGACGGGATAAGAACCATTGTGGAAATCCAATCGGTGCCGGTCCATTGCTAACCCCGATCGACAAGCAGTCTGTGTTGCTCGGTTGGCTGAACTGAAGAAGCCCCTTACGAATGTTCAGCTAGCCACAAACTCAGACGGAGTCGTCCGCTTTGCGTATTCGGTAAATCCGCCAACCGAGTCTCCGTATGAGCATAATGTACAAGTACAAGTACAAGTACTTGTACTGTACATATGCCAGTGCAAGCCATCACACACACCATGTCTCCCATCTTCACTCATCCTGGATCGAGATTCATACGATCTCCGACCGGGGTCTGGTTGTGTGGTAGGACCATTTCGCGTGCAGGGACCGTATTCCGGTACCGAACGAGAGCAAGGACGGCCGTATAAGCCGGTTAGGCAGGTGGGTTGGCAATCACTGAGGTTGGCCAATGTTGATTCAGTGGTGGAGGTGAGAGAGACAGAATGGAGGTGAAGACGGTTCATGGCGGACGAGCGGGTGTTCCCGAGGTGTATGTTTGGTATTGTATTTACGGTATGTATTTTACGGGTACTAGAAGTGATTGATATGAATAGAAGTTTGGATAAAAGTATAGAAACAATGCCATTCTCTATAAATTCTCCGTAAAACACTCGTACTCGCAGACAGAATTCCAGAATTTCAGAATTCCCTTGCAACAGATACAGGACCTTCTATCTCAATCTGCATGCAAGCACGTACCTCCATGTGCCTGTACCCCATCTCACTAAAAACACTAGTCTTACTAGTCAACTACCAACCCACCTTCCCTTTTGCGAGGGCTGCAGCACACTAAACTCGGTTTGATTCTCACTCCGTAGGCTTCATATAGCAAAGAACACAAATAGACAGATAGAAACAAAGACTCAAATCACATTCAGCTAAATCCCTTGCTTTTCAGCCCTGAACACAAGAGGATATGAGAGCTCGCATGCAAGATCTCGCATTGTATGCATAAGTACTTGTATGTACTTCGTATCCGTATGTATCAATACATACGGATACCGGAACCCACTCGAGAACCATAGTATTACCCTAATAGAGTAGGTCCTCTCTGCTAGTGTGAAGAAAAAGAAACGCGAAGAAGCGATCGACAGCTTCGTGGATGTACTCCGGAGTACAAGTAAGTGACGGGCATTTCTCACATCGAGTCGAGTCTCATGCGCCGAGATAACAGGGAAGAATGTTCATGTTCTCGGGGTTTGATCATGGTCAGCTATCGTATGAAGCCATGATATTGTCATCTGTTGCTTATTCTGGAAGAGAGGATTCCAGCAGTGAGATCCTACCGAGATCGTCCGGCGAACAGGACACCTTGCGATCTGCTCCCACTAACACCGACCTAACCTGAAGCTGGCGTATCCCCCCTGGACAGGAACAGAATGAACGCTTCCGCCATGTGCCTGTCCTTGTACGGAGTACAGGACGTCCTCCGTACGTATTCCAGGTAGAATGAACAGTCCCACTCAGAAAATCCCCTAGGAATTCAAAATCCTACCAAGTAGCCGGCTTGTTAGTCACAATTCTCGTATAGGATAACTATGCTGTATGGCAATCCCAGAGCGGACTTAGTGCATGAACGCGCAAGGCAAGGGAATGTGCCAATCTGTTTTGTCCATTCAGAAAAGATTTCCCAGCCTCCCGCTCTCTTTCCTTTTCAACTTCGTATCCTTATCCCTCCTTTTCACAATCCCCACTGCTTCGGGTGAAGTTTGACGCTTTGGCTCGTCGAATTAAACACCCGCTGTCGTGCACGAAGTTAATTTCCTTTTATTTTTTACACCCCTCGGAGGAGGCTGAGTGAAAGAAAGAAAAAAACCGGACATTCCACTTCTGCAGGGTCATGAACATCGCAGAGCCTGTCTTCTTTTTTTGACTCGCCTGACTCGGCTTGCCCATATTTTTCGTCTTTTGCATATATTAAATCCCCTGATTCGTAGCCAAGCTCGGCCCCAAGACCCATCAACCTGCATTCCCTCCCCCTGCCTGTGGTTCTGTATAACAACGAACCCTTATCTGTTCTCCACGACAGTAAGGAGTCCGAGTTGCCCGGTTCTTTTTCCTCCTGTATGTGTCACTTTCTTTAGTGTTTTCTTGGTTTTCTTGGTTCTCTTGGTTCTCTTGGTTCTCAACAATAACCATCTTCAAGCTTCTTCTTTCGTTCGCTTAGGCCAAGAGCGTAGACGCAATGGAGGCTATGGAGGCTGCACCGTTGGGACCTGCTCCCATCCCGAAGCAGTTTGTGCTCTGTTTTGATGGCACGGGGAATAAGTTTGCTGGTGATGAGTCGGACAGTAATGTCCTTAAGATTTTTCGGGTGAGTATCTGTAAAACAAAACATATACGAAAAAAGGCGCCAATACTGACGTCGATAGATGCTGGACCGAAGCAAAAGTCACCAATTTCACTACTACCAACCAGGTATTGGAACCTATGTGACCTCCAAGTCTTTCTCCCACACTGGACGATTCCAGCGCATCAAGTCTGCCTATCTGAAAGCCAAGGATTCCGCTGTCGGATCCTCGTTTGCAGAACATGTCATGGGCGGATACAAGTTCCTCATGCGTTACTACTCACCTGGCGACGAGATCTACTTTATCGGGTTCAGTCGAGGTTCTTACGTTGCCCGTTTTCTCTCTGAAATGCTGGACTGCGTCGGCCTGCTCGAGGCCGGAAACGAAGAGCTGACGCGTTTCGCCTGGAAAACCTTTGCCAAGTGGCAGCAGCGGCGAAGCGATACCGAGGAGGAACGTTTGGAGAAGGAGAAGCTGTTCATGTTCATGAAGGCCTTTCGCGAAACTTTCTCTCGGCCCGTGACCCGCATCAGGTTCATGGGTCTGTTCGACACCGTCAACAGTGTGCCAAGTTTCGAGTCCGCCTGGATGCAACGGAGTAAATTCCCCTACACCGCGCGCAGTTCTGCCAGGGTCATCCGACACGCCGTCGGAATCGATGAGCGTCGCGCCAAGTTCCGGCAGGATTTGATCTCTGGTGCGAAGCCCCAGGTCAAGAAATCGAAGTCTAGACACGCCTGGCAAAACTTGCAGCATCATTTGCACCTTGAAAAGAGTCACGAGGACGTGCCGGCCATTGTCGTGAATGATGGCACCAACGGGACAAGCCAGGCAGCACCTAACCCATCGATGCGTCGTCCATCGCACATCTCGCAAACGGCGAGTAGCTCGAAAAATAACGCAGACCATCGGTACCGTGCGCCCGCCACGCATCTCAGGCCCAAACCCATCCCAACGGCAGCGTCCGCAGAGGATCTCGTGTCGATCAAGAGTGGGCAGTCGGGCCTGTCTTTGCAAGTGCCCAGCGGCATGGAAGAAGATGATGATGACCAGGATATTCAAGAAGTGTGGTTCCCGGGTTGTCACGCCGACATTGGCGGCGGTTGGAAACTGGAAGATGGTGAGAAGTGGCCTCTGAGTCACCCACCACTGGTCTGGATGGTGCAAGAGGCCTGGCGCGCAGGGCTCCAGCTCGATCCCCGCAAGGTTAAACAATTCGAATGCATGGAGGAGTTTGACGGGGAGTTCTCGCCCATTCGCGATAACGGTATCTGGAACGAGGACACCAACGATAACGCAGGAGTCAAATTGGCCGGATCATGCGGCAATGAGAAGGAACGCTCGCCCTCGAGTCGGGATTTCCACGCCGCCCTGCACCTGGGCAGCACCAAGGGTTGGATACATGACTGTCTGTCGTTTGGCAATGGGTTACCCGGTGCCTCTGTTGTAACCTGGCGATTGATGGAATATCTCCCCTTCCGACGAATGGACCTGCAACCAGACGGATCTTGGAAGCCCATCAGATGGCCCCTCCCCTGTGGTGAAGTGCGAGATATCCCCTTGGATGCGCAGGTTCATATTTCTGTCCTTCATCGTATGGAGGCCAACCCCGACTACCGGCCTGGCAACCTGATTGTCGGAGGAGGAGGTCGTGGTGTTAGAAAAGCACCGCCAGAATATGGAATGGGAGAATGGGTTGTCAAGGATCACGAAGGCGATCCAGTCCGGCAAGTGTATGTTCGGAAGAGCGTGTCGAAGTGCCAGGAGAACCAGCAATGATGGCCACATTCTTTTTTTAATTCCCTCTTTTTACTCTCTTTCTTTAACCTCTCTTTTCCTCCTTTGGAGCGATCCTGATTTCCTTTTGTTTTGGTTATATATCCCCATTTCGAGTTGTTGGATAGTACCAGTGATAATGTATGTAGGCTCACATAATGGATTCTGATGCATGTTAGCCTCTCTCTCTCTGTTCCGTACTTCTGTCCGGTATCTATGAAGGATTCCAATCCCGGCTTCTATCGAGTGTGTATAGTGAGTCTGCGCGCCGTAGGAAAAGAACGGCATGCAAGCGAGGTGCACAGCAACCATTGAGCACGGGTGAAAACGATGAAGATTTAATGGATATATAAGCAGCCATAGTGCCACATCTCTGCCCACTCATCACGGTGTGTGTACGTGTGTGTATTGCATACATCTGTCGGCCATTCAGCGCAGGATTCACGATGCGACGCCAATCTCGAAATGTCTGGGCCCGATCCAGACTACTACCTCTAACAGCTCTTGACATGAATCATGCATTCTCGCCTCTTTTTTGAGGTCTTGTTTCTGCTGCACAGTTGGGCGTCGACTTCGTTTCAGCGCTGGTGGTTCTCTTAGATCGCGGACGGGCGCTCCTTCATCGCCTCCTTATTTTTTTTATTTTTTATTTTTTTTCTTTGATTGTTAGTGTTCCTTCGTCTTCTCTGGACTTCTTTTTATATCCTTGCTTTTTCTCTTAATTTTCGCTTCTTTTTCATCACACAATAATTAATAGTTAACTAGTTAACTAATTTACTCCCAGGAAGAAAGAGTCACTAGGTCACTTGCCCGATCCTCGGTTTCGCCGGCCCGTGACTTTCTAGGCAGCGTCGCTTCTTAGACCACTTCTTCCTCTTCTTCTTCCCCCCCCCCCCTCCCCCCAAAGACAGACTACTCTGGTCTGCTCACTCAGACTTAACGTTGAGAGAATCCCGGGGGTTCAGGGGAAAAGGGGATTAAAAAAAAGAAGGGGAAAGCTTTATTTGTGACTATTTTCTACGCACTTGCCTCTTTTCGGGATCGTGAAGGAGAAGGGGCAAACACCAGGCCCAACGAAAAAAAGGAAGACTGGAATTCTTCTCTACCCAAGCATGCAGCCGATCTGAATTCTAGAAGATCCTCGCGTGGTTCGTCCGGAATTTTACTCGCTTCAGAAACCAGAAAGAATGTCGTCAGAACGGTTCATGTCTCCTCCAAGTCCCGTGGAATCCGTCGATTCCTTCGACTCAGAACCAGCAGCAGCACCCACAGCAACCAGAGAGTCTACTACGGAATCGACGGGAAGGATACAACGATCCGACGATGTCATGATAACCTTGTCGCTACCACCTCAGCCAGTGATGACACCTCCAAGCCGTTCGCCTTTGGCCCGGTCGCATTTCCGTTCTCGTTCGCTGGCCGAGGTTCCGAATGTGCCTCCCATGACGCGCGCTTACTCCTCTCCGGGGCTGGATTCCCGGGGTCGATATATTTTCGTGAATGGTCGTGGGGCTCCGACTTCCAATCCACTCGAGAATGGTAAACGGCATCCGTTCTTGCAGGTCGCTACGGGGGATGCTCTTGAGTCTAGGATGGCACCATTGAGAATATCAGAGCCTATTGCAGAGCATTCGGAACTGGATACCACCATGAACCCATCTTCACATACAGACGCAGAGTCGGCGCATGCTGTATCGCCTGCGATACCTACACATCACACCTTTCCCCGAATGGGTCGTCGACGGCCTTCGTCCCCGCTTCACTTTCACTCGGGCAACGCTAGTAGTCCCGGTCCTTTTCCCACATACTCCTCTTCGCCAGTGATGCTCAGTTCGAAATACAACGAAGCCTTCCCATCCTATTCCAGTTCGTCCACGTCTTCCATGCCTTCAACGCCCACGAGCTTGCGTTCTCGCAGCCCCAGTATATCTTCATTGGAGACGATCCCTGATATTCCGGATGCGGAGGCTGCGGCCAGTGAGGCAGATCAGGTCGCGGCTTTGAAAGCGGCTGCTGACAGGATCGATGAGGCAGAGGCGTCGGGCGCGGGGAACAGATGGCGCGGAACATCTGATGCCATGGGGCCTGCTGGTTCGTTGATGCGGGGAGGTTACGGTGTCAGGGCGGACAAGCGGAAACGGTGGAGTGTTTGCGGTGCTGAACGTCGTCAGGACCTGGATTTGGAAACCATCTGGGAGGATTGAATAATCCACACTGCCTGAAACCTTGTGCTTGCAGACTGGTCAAGAGTTTACAGGCAATGACCTGGTTCCCGTTTTAACAACAAACTACGGTGCTGACCACACCACATTGGGGTCCAAACGGCCCAACCTCAACTGAGTGTCTACTACGTGCTACGGATATGCTCTTATCGCTTATACCTTGCTTTACCCCCGGAGTCAATGCGCATTTGTATCATATGTATTTTGCGTTTGGACTTTCTTGATCTGGCGCTTCAGTTCGGAATTTGCTGATACCCACCAACACTGTCTCTTAGACATGTGAATGTCCTGTTGCTGTCGTGTCTCCTCGATTGTTCGATTTTTGTATTTGACGGCACCGGAGTTTATTTGAGGATCGCGCAGGTTCACTGGGGGCGCTTGTTCTTTTTTATGGATTGGGATCAAGGCGCATGCTGCTTTTGATATGGATACTGGCTGGATGACTCTCCATTAGCTGTTGATATGGTTTTTGCCGTGGATAGCTGTAGCTTGTATTGACAATGATATTATCATATCTACATTTGACCGGAAAGCCCCAGATCCACACGATAATGTTAAACTGTTGGGAAATTAATGTTCTATTCATTCTACACGATCTACCCACCCTCAGGATAACTAGTCGGCCCTTGTTTATTCCGCTGCGTCACCAACTCACCCCCAAACATATCATCAGCCTTGGTCCCACTACTCCCCCCACCCTCCAACTTCCTCTTCTTCGCCAACCGCTCCATCTCACTCTCCGATGCACCGCTCTCCCCACCAGCGACCGGCGTCCCAGCCGCAGTAGCAGCACCTGAAGACGTCGCAGCAGCAGGGATCCGCTTCTGGCCCGCGATATTCGCTTTCTCTGGGTTCTGACAGTGGTATAGTTTCTTTGCGATGCGGCGGAGGGTTTTCATTTGTTCCGGGTCTGTGGAGAGGGGTTTGTATGCGCTTAGGAGGTTTGAGCAGTTGGTTAGAGTTGTGAGGAGTTTTGTTCGGAGGGTGTGAAGGGGGCTGGTGGGGTCGTTTGCGGGTGGGCCGCCGATTTTGGTGTCAAGGTAGAATTCGGCGAGGGGTTTGTCGGCGAGGAGGAATGCTGATAGCCAGATTTGGGAGGGGGTGTAGAGGAAGTAGGCGTCTGTCATTTGGGCGGCGGATTTGAGGATCTCGCGTGTTGTGTGGTGGGCGCGGGCGAGGCGGTCGTTTAGAGATTGTGAGGAGGATGCGTTTGGGGCTGGGGGGGTTGATGAGAGACGCTGTCGGAGGTCTTCTGGTGTTTGTTGAGGTTGGAGGGGGGAGGGTTGGCCCAGGCCCTGGGATATGGCTTGGAGTTCCATGATGCCTCCTTCGAAGCCGCGGAAGGGGTGTCGGATGTCGAAGGTGAAGCGGAGGCTTTGCATGATGAGGAATTCGGGGGCGATTACGTCTTCTTCTGTTGTGTCGCCGGGGATTCCGGCTGCGAATTGTCGCAGGGACATGTAGTAGTTGTCTGTCTTTGTGGCGAGGAACAGCGCGCAGGCCATGATGGATTTGGGGTGGTAGGTCATGGGGGAGTTGGTGAGGTAGAAGCGTCGGAGGTATTGGATTGCCGTTGCCTATCGCATGAGTTGTCAGTATCCATTTCTCTTAAGTCCAGCTCCCTTTTTCTTTGGTTCTAAGGATGGTGCTTACCCGCACGATTGACGGCATTGGCGGTTTATACGTCTCCCCCAGCTCCACGGTCTTTTCGCAATAATACCGCACCAACTCCTGCTCCTCCCCCGGCGTCAAACACTCGATATTCCTCTCCTCAGCTCCCTTGCCATCTGCCTCGCTCCCGGACTGGTTTGCCGTCGGTGTTCCGGCCGCGGACGGAGCGGCCGACTGTCGCGCCTCTCGTGCCCTACGCAGTGCAGCTCGTACTCTCTCACTGGCAATGGTATTTGTTGTAGCTCGTAGTTGTTTTAATGACTCCTCCGTGAAGGACCAAATTCGGAACTGGGATGAGGTACGGTAGATGTCGTCTTCGATCATGATGAGGGTATGCGATTTGTTGACTCGGGTCTGGCTGTGGTGGGACTCAGTGAGGGTAATTTTCAGCTAGAGCATATCTTCTCGGCAAGCATATAGCAAAGAGAGCCAATAATTCTATTTGGCCAGGAAAAAACAAGAGTGGTGTGTATGAAGTGGTTGAAGGAGCAAAAATGGAGTCAAGGCCACGTGCTCCGCTCTTATCAGCCTTATCGAAACCAACTGGAGAGAAACAGAACTATAGACAATTTATATCCTGAATAAAGCCATACATAGAAAACCTCCAGATAACAGTAAAAAAGCATCGCCATGCACCATGCATCCCAGTATGAAGTTAAAGCAAAGTATTCTCGAGATCGTCACACATCAATCATGGCTCTCCCAGAAGCCTTGCAGTGATATCTCCCATTTCTTCTTCGTCCAGCTCATAGTCCTCCCCGTCCAGCCGGTCAATCCCAACATGTTTGAAAGCGCTAACTACTCGTTCGACGTCGAACCCCATGCTGCAGAATCGGTCGATTAGGTCTTTGTTGTATCCATCGTACCTACAAAGTGATGAATAAGTAAGCATCGTGCGCAAGAAAACACAGAGCCAAGACAACTTACTTTGCCAGATCGTCCTTTTGTTGGCCCTGCTCCTGTCGAAGAGATTCGTCCGCGCCACCGCTACCCTCTCCTGCGATCTTTTGCGGAGCTCCCGCATAGTTCACTGCCCATTGTTGAGCAACGCGCTCGAACTCCTTCGGACGATAAAGAAGCATGTTGGCGACTTCGGCGTCTTGAGGATCCTTGGGCTCGGGTGTGTTGAGCAGGGACTGTAGCGACAAGAGGGAGGATTTAACAGTCAAGACTGGCGACCATGCGCTGGCTAAGGTATCGAGGCAAATCGCGCCCTATAGAAGCAACTATCAGCCATTCCCTCTTGCGATAGCTCTAGAATCATGGCACTCACTGTTTGGCTGCTAACATTGGGGTGCCAGATCTTGGTCTCGAACTTCATAACTGGCGGCTTGAACGGATATTCAAGAGGGATCCTAATATCGATATAATATGTGCCTCCTTCATATGGGGTACCTGGGGGACCAGGGAATGAACCGCGAAGATGGGTAATGTCTTCATCACCACCCACAGGTTCCGCTCCGATTTGCGACTGGCTATCCGCGTGGATATCAGCGAGCTCCTTCGTAATGCGACGAGATCTGTGGGAAGCCATTGGGCTAGCTGTGTGCGATTGAGTCGTGGAGGTATGTAAGCTTCAGAGGGTGGCGGTTTCAGGGCAGTTCGGCTGAGGTATGTTCGACCTATTGCCGTTGAAGTTTCGAAGACCTTTGATACGACTATGCGTTAGTATCTTCTGGCCGTGAAGAAGATAAGATTTTCTAGCACCGAGTACTCCACAGGATATCCCACTTACTAGCTTAGAACTCGAAATGAGGGGAACAATCACTGTAAGATCGGTGATATTGAGATTTAAGAATGGCGTAGATCATGCAAACAGTTGCCTGCTGGCAAGCACTAGTATCGATAACTTGTAGAGCAGAGCTTAACTTCCAGCAAAAACATGTATAAATCAACAGTCCTCGAAAAAAGTGACGCAGCAACAGACACCAAGACATATATTCACTGCCTGAGGTGTCAGTATGACAAAGGCGGTACATCACGTGCAGCATACGCTGGACACGGATGGCGACAACAGCTCCAGCTCTCTTCTATCACATCACCTCCTTCGAACACCATCACTCCATTTCCCAGCAGTGCTGCCCGGAAGTGCGATAAAACTGCGCCTGGGGGAGCTCTTTTTCACATCGACCCTTTTCGTCAATAATTATTACAGCTGTCTCTTAACGATGGTGCGTGCCCAAGCATTGCTTTATCGCCTTGTTTTCTCAACGACCTTGCTCTAACATGTTTTGAAAACAGGGTAATCAACAATCAAACATCGGCGGAGGCCCCGGTGGGGACGGAAGAGATGAGAAGGACAAGAAGGTAAATTTGCTTTAAACCCTTCCGGCACCTTGATGGTCATGAACACCGCTGACGCAGCCTCTTGATAGAAGGACAAGCCTAGATACGAGCCTCCTCCTCCCCCTACCACTCGCATCGGACGTAAGAAGCGAAAGGCTGCGGGCCCGAGTACCGCTGCCAAACTTCCCGATATCTACCCAAACTCGCGATGTAAACTCCGGTACCTACGGATGCAACGGGTTCATGACCACTTATTGCTCGAGGAAGAATACGTGGAGAACATGGAACGTATGCGCAAAGCCAAGGCGCAAGCAACGCAGGGTCCCGTTAGCCAGGGTGACATGGATATCATGGATCGGAATGCCGATGAGAGAGGCCGGGTCGATGACATGAGAGGGAGTCCGATGGGTGTCGGCAACCTGGAAGAGTTGATTGACGATGACCACGCGATTGTATCGAGTGCAACAGGGCCCGAGTACTACGTGTCTATTATGTCTTTCGTCGACAAGGATCTTCTGGAGCCCGGTGCGAGTGTTCTGCTGCATCACAAGACGGTTTCGGTGGTCGGTGTGTTGACCGAGGAATCCGATCCTCTTGTCTCGGTGATGAAGCTCGACAAGGCGCCGACTGAGTCCTACGCAGACATCGGTGGTCTTGAGTCGCAGGTTCAAGAAGTGCGAGAGTCGGTTGAGCTTCCGTTGCTTCACCCCGAATTGTACGAAGAGATGGGTATCAAGCCTCCGAAGGGTGTCATTCTCTACGGTGCTCCGGGTACCGGAAAGACATTGCTGGCCAAGGCAGTGGCCAACCAAACCAGCGCTACTTTCCTTCGTATTGTTGGCAGTGAACTCATCCAGAAATACCTGGGCGATGGTCCTCGTCTTGTTCGCCAGATTTTCTCGGTCGCTGCTGAGCATTCGCCTTCGATTGTGTTCATTGATGAAATTGATGCGATCGGTACCAAGCGTTACGAGTCCAGCTCTGGTGGAGAGCGTGAAATCCAGCGTACTATGCTTGAGCTTCTCAACCAGCTTGATGGTTTCGATGACCGCGGAGACGTCAAGGTCGTTATGGCAACAAACAAGATCGAAACCCTGGATCCTGCATTGATTCGGCCGGGTCGTATTGACCGGAAGATTCTCTTCGAGAACCCCGACCGTAAGTACCCTTAAATTATCCCGCAGCGATCAGTCTAACTAACAATCTGCAGAAAACACCAAGAAGAAGATTTTCACCTTGCACACTTCGAAGATGTCTCTCAGTGACGACGTCGACCTCGATGAGTTCATCAACCAGAAGGACGATCTGTCCGGTGCCGATATCCGAGCAATTTGCACAGAAGCTGGTCTGATGGCGTTGAGAGAACGCCGGATGAGGGTGCAAATGGACGACTTCCGTGCGGCCAAGGAACGGATTATGAAGACGAAGCAGGACGGCGGTCCTATCGAAGGGCTGTACCTGTAGATGCGGTCTACACAGGGCCATATGTCATTTAGAGGTTTAATGGTTGTATTTTATAACGAAATGAGCCAAACTCAAGTATCGTCTGTACTGTAGTCGTAGGACGTCTACTCTGTAGCATTTCCCGATTTGGCAGAATCAAAGCTATGTCGTCATAAGCCGAAGCAAGGTGCAAATAATGCAAACATTGCAAATATAACAAAAACAAACCAACATCGTCGAAACTGTTCTGCCATCAATTCTAGAACTACAGATTAATGACCATGGATGGCTTTGACGAGGATGCGTTCAAGCAGTTCTTCCCAACCAGCTTTGGGAAGCAAACACGAACTACCAATATAAACGCGCAGATCGACCGCACCAAGCGGTCGGAAGTCTCTGTCAAGCCCGATGGCGATGATACTAAGAAAGAGTTGACTGACAGCGCAGGCGCTGAGACTCGAGAAGAACCCGAGACAAAGGCTGAAGAGCAGGAACCCCGCGACGACGATGACGATGACTCTGACGATGATGACTCGGATGAGGACGACGAGGACGAGTTCCCAGTTTCGCATGAGCTTCTTATCAAAACACACGAACGCGCCGTGACTACCATGACCGTAGACCCGGCAGGGTCGCGGTTGATTACCGGGTCTAATGATTGTTCGATTAAGCTTCATGATTTTGCCTCCATGACGCCGACGACCGTACGCGCATTCAAGTCTGTCGACCCGTCCGTGAAGAAGCAGTCCGCCGCGCAGGAAACACATGCCGTTCACTACGCAGCGTTTAATCCCATCACCCCGAGCCATGTCATGGTTGTTCCTGCGACGCCGCAGCCGCGAATCCTGGATCGGGACGGCGAGACACTTGTCGAGTTTGTCAAGGGAGATATGTACCTGAGGGATCTGCACAATACAAAGGGTCACGTATCGGAAGTCACTAGCGGAGCTTGGAATCCGACGGATTACAATCTCTGTGTCACTGCTGGGACGGACAGCACGGTGCGCATTTGGGATGCCAATGTTGGGCGGTCACAGAAGGAGGTTATCGTGCATAAGTCGAGGGTGGCGGGTTCTGCTGGCCGGAGCAAGATGACTGCTGTCGCATGGGGGACCCCGAAGCAAGGTGGATCCAATCTCCTTGTCGCTGCGGCTCTCGATGGGAGCTTGCTGATGTGGGGTGGGAATGGGCCATATCACAGGCCCAGTGGGGAAATTAGGGATGCGCACACTCGGGATACATGGACCAGCGGGTTGGATGTCAGCTCGGATGGACGGCTTGTGATCTCCAAGGGCGGCGACGATACCATCAAGCTTTGGGATACCAGGAAATTTAAGCAACCGATCACCACCGTCTATCATCCTTCCAGCTCCACCCGCTACCCAACATCGAACATCGTGTTCTCCCCTACGTCCGCAAATGTACTCACAGGCTCCGAAACGGGCCATCTACACATCTTAAACCCAGCAACCCTAAAGCCCGAACTCGTCACCCCAGTCACTCCAGGCTCACCTCTAATCACCGTCCTCTGGCACGAAAAACTCAACCAAATCCTCACCGGCTCCGCCAACGCCGAAACCCACGTCCTCTACAACCCCAACACCTCCACAAAGGGCGCTGCAATGGTCATGTCTAAGGCCCCCAAACGCCGGCACGTCGACGACGACCCCAACCTCACCATGGACCTCTCCCAGGGTCTCTCCGGCGAAAACGTTGTCGTCGGATCCAACGGAGTCCCACATTACGGCTCTTCCACTTGGTCTGCTCGACACCCTACCATCGGTCTTACGGCGTCGGGGAGACCGAAGGATCCCCGACGGCCGCATTTACCGTTGCAGACGCCGTTTGCCAAGTCGCAGCCTGATGAGAGGCATATTCGGGAGAATATCCCGCTTAGTTCGATGCGGGATGAGGATCCGAGGGAGGCGTTGTTGAAGTATGCGGAGAAGGCTGAGAAGGATCCGATTTTCACGAATGCGTGGAAGGAGACGCAGCCGAAGACGATTTATCGGGACGTTAGTGATGATGAGGAGGAGCAGCAGCAGCCTGATAAGAAGAAGGCTAGGCGGTGATCTCTTGTTATTGTTTAGTTTAATACATATATACGCACGGCGATACTAGTATGAGCATATTGAATGTTGCATTACCACTGATAACAGCTACCAACAATCCTCGCTACCATCACTATCATAATCATCCTCACTATAATAATCATACTCGTCACGGTAAATCCATTCCCTAAAATCCATATAGTCCCTGCATCTCATTCCCAGGGACGTCGCAAGCAGTTCTTCCTGGTCTGAAGACATGGCTGGGGATGACTCGGATTCTTCAAACATCATCTGACACCATCTTCCAAAACTCCTCTGGGAGCACTAAGTCTGAGGCCTTTCTGGCTAGAATTTCTAGCATCGTGCGGCGAAGGTATGGACCAAGCGTTGCTCACAAATGTCCTCTCAACTCGATGTTGTACGCCGATTTCATATTCCCAAGTCGTTTCTGGTGGAAATAAGTCATGAAGTATCCGAAATAAAGGTACCGCTTGCCTGGGCGGTTCTTTCCCCGGAACTGGAGGATCCTGCCGTCGACATCCTAGTATTTCCATATGGTCAGCTATGTTTGCGCTTGGGTGATGAGGGTTGGGCTAGATTCACATTCCAGGTTGTCGGCCAACAGTAGACGACCTCCTTACGGATATTCTTATTGACGACAACAAATTTCCATTGATTAACTTCGTTGGGAGTCTCAGATGGGACGGGTACGATGGCGATGTCGCCCCGATCCCAGGCCTCCGCAACCCTGTGGTGCAGCGTCAATTCTATTGAGTTATGTTAGCTTTAGGTGATATGATATGGGTAGCTGAAGGAAACTTACCATTACGGGGATCCATGCGTGGCATCTCGCCGACACCAAAAAGATATGACAGCTCGGTTGATTGAAAGCTATCCGGCACCAAATTCACGACTCTTGCCTCGCTCTCTACGCACTGGTCTAGTAGATGGCACCAGGCTGAGCGACTCTCTTTGGTCGAAGCGTTGTACCGCTCCATAACAGCTTTCTTGAGCATGCGTTCATGCCGGCCGCTCCATCGCTTTCTCTTGGTCTTTGTATCTTCGCAACATGCGCGCATGAGGAAAGCATATGTATCCAGATACGATCCCTGCTCCTCGTCGAGATCTTCTAGTATCTTTTTTGGCGCTTCAACGTCAGCAATTCTTTTGTGCTCTGTTCGAGCTGGGCTTGAATTTCCTGGATTTCTGCTCCGTTTTCCCAGTTTGTTACTCCACTGCTCTTGTGCATTCCCACAAGACTTGTATTGTAGGCGTTGAGAGACTCGATTTCAGAGGACAGGCGAGATATCTCGTTTTCGAGGAACTCTGATACATTTGAGTGTCGGGCTTTGCTATCCAGAATGTCTGCAGGCATTTTATAGAACAACAGGTGTGAATATTGGCAAAGTATATAGCAAGCCATGTGGCAACAGAGTCATTTTGAGTCACATGATGGTCACTGTGTTAGATCCCCGGTATAGTAGAATATGATAATATGAAGGTGTGTATAGTTTGTATGCCTAAAAGAGAAATGACGTTGGATGTGAAGGCGGTGAGGCACATGATCGTTTGGCGTTCGTTGTCCAGCTGAGGGTCTCTCTCCTCTCCTCTTTTCGCTTGTCTCCTTCCACTCCTTTTCTTCTTCACCACCATCCAAAGAGGGTTTGTTGGTGCTTGGGGTTCTATACTGTCTGCTGTTTCTCGTTATCGCTTCTTCCGCCGTCCCTTCGATCCCCGGTTCTTCCGATTTCCCCGTTTGTCTACAAGTTACTCCTAGTGCAATACGCGATAATTCTACGGCCACTCTTGTTCTATTTATCGATACCCAGAAAACATTCCCCTGATTTCGCTATTGATCTCTCTTATCGCGCGCACGGACTTATTCAGGGGATTCAATATCGACACAGAACAGAATGCGGGCTCCTTCAGCGACCTGATCCGATGTCCACAGCGTTGACGCGAAGAAACCCATCTTTTTCGGGATCAGAGTGTCAGTCGAAGAGGGAGGGGTATATGCGATCCTGGTGTTGTGAACCTCTATCAGTGATCATAGCGGCGGTTTGACACGATAGTCGATCCTTCGAAGCTCGCGATCGCCTGATTATTAAACTACAGCGACTCCCTCCTTCGTACGGGGCCAGTGCCCTGTCGACTTTTTTTTTTTTTTTTCTTTCTTTTTTTGTACAGCTTTTCGCCAGCAATGGACCACACCCAGGAGCCGTTAGCAGCAGGTCTGTTCGCTGGGTTCGTTTCGACTATCGTTCCGTCATCCGTTCCTTCGAATCAGACACTCTCGGACGGCCATGGAAGTGGGGGCCCAGGGAGAATGCACGAATGGTCATCCTTAATCGGTATCAGTACAGCCCTGGTCGGGAATGTGTTGATCTCTCTCGCCCTCAATATTCAGCGCTACGCTCATATTCGGATTGATAAGGAATGGACGCATGATAGGATACAACGGGAGTCGGACTGGAAAAGGGCGCGCCCAGGCAGAGATGCGGCGGGCGCTAATGGTAATGCTGGGGAATACCATGACGAGCCAACTCTCGAAACGTATCGGGATGAATCCCCAGACTCGCAACATGCGCGCGACGGCAGCTCCCGTGCTCGGGATCAACAGGGCGAGCAGTCTGCTTCGCATGGTGGCTTACAGGATTCTATCTTCTCGGACCAAACAATTCAACCTGAGGATAAGGTCCATCGCAAATCGTACCTCCGTTCTCCATACTGGTGGGTTGGAATTGTGCTCATGGTTCTGGGGGAGACAGGCAATTTCATGGCCTACGGTTTTGCGCCAGCATCTATTGTTTCGCCTTTGGGTGTCGTCGCCTTGATTTCCAACTGTGTCATTGCGCCATTCATGTTGAAGGAGCAATTTCGCAAACGGGATCTATTGGGTGTGCTTGTCTCGATCGCTGGAGCTGTGGTGGTCGTGATCAGTGCGAAATCATCCGAGGAAAAGATTGGTCCCCACGATATCTGGAAAATGATAACTCAGTGGGAGTTTGAACTATACTTGGGTCTGACCGCAGGTTTAATCGTCGCTCTCATGTGGATGAGTGCGAAGAATGGCTCGCAGACTATTCTCATTGACGTTGGGCTTGTTGCTCTCTTTGGTATGCTGCCCCCGTCTTGATCTCAGCGCGTGACAATTGCTTATTCTACATAGGTGGATATACTGCCTTATCCACCAAAGGCGTCTCCTCATTGCTGTCCTATACTCTGTGGCATGTGATCACTTTCCCTGTCACCTATCTTTTGGTGTTCGTCCTTGTTTTCAGTGCTTTGATGCAAATCCGTTACATCAACCGAGCCCTTCAGCGATTTGACTCGACCCAAGTGATCCCGACTCAGTTTGTCCTCTTTACGCTCTCCGTGATCATCGGAAGTGCCATTCTTTACCGTGATTTCGAGTCGTTCGGTGCTCAGCGCGCAGTGAAATTCGTGGGTGGCTGTCTCATGACATTCCTTGGTGTGTACTTCATCACAAGCGGTAGAGTCCGTGCGGATGATGAGTCAACCTACTCTGCGGACGATGAGGAACAGACAATCGGTCTGTTAGGGGAGCGCTACCATGATAACGTCGATATATCAACTCCAGGACCAGAATCAAGGGCACACAAGCCGTTACAACGAGTCCCCGAGGCTTATGATGAGGAGCCACCGTCGTCCAGGGGATCACTACTCAGCCAGGGCATTGATGGTTTCGAAGATGACCACCCTACGCCCAGGGGCATTCTGTCGGCTGCCCCCTCTTTTGAAGGCTCACTAACTGCCGAATCACTTCGCGCACCATCGCCCGAACCTCCTCATTCACTTATCACGAATCCCTGGGCCGATTCTCAAGAACGTCTCGTCGACTCATCGGCATCAGAACCTCAGATTCGCCCAGTCACTCCTCCAGAACAGGCTCCCGACCAAAACATGGGATCGACAGTTCTTCTCCGCTTTCCACCTGCACCAGGTGCGGAGAGCAATGCCCCACAAAATGACGACGGCGGGGCGCCAGAGGCCGATCCCGCCCAGCCTGCCGCTCCGGAAACGCCTCCAGCCCGTAGGATGCGGAATTCCATCTCGATGCGCTTCTCACCTGGTCCACTTCTTCCCGCCCTTTCCGGAGGATTCAGTGCTGTAGTAGCCGAATCTCTCCGCCGTGGCGAGTCCAGCCCGGTGAAAGAGCGAAAGGGCAGGAGAAGGACGGACAGGGGGAAGCAGTTAAGCACGACAGTCTTGGATGGCGCACTTCGCAGAACAGGTGAAGCCAGAGAGGCGGGGTATGACTCTGACGGCGCTGTCGAGGAGAACCAGGACTCTCCATTCAATGTGTCTACTGGTCGCCTCAACTCGACAGGGGGGATACCCACCGGTCTGTCAAAACCAGCTCCAGCACGGGGCATCAACCGTGGATCTCAAAACAACAACGAAGACATCTCTAACCTCAACCGCCTTCGAAGCCTCAGTGATTCCTGGAGCGGCGGACCAGCATGGTTAGGAGGTCTCCTCCGCAGAGGCAGCAAACAACACCAACAACCACCAATCAACGAATCCGCCGTCCACGGCGACGAAAGCGAACAACAATCCACTGCATCAGGTCAGCAATGAAACAGAAGCACATACATGACAGCTCGAGGAGTGGGCCGGCTCACTCCGGGGTACATACATATTCATATTTTTCCTCATTTTACATCGTCATCTTCATCATCTTCATTTTTCATGTGGGATATTAGTGCTTCGGCATTGTCTTTGTCTTGTGCAGTGTTTGTCAAGTACCATTTTAATAGATTTGTGAACAGTATGGTGTATATATATCGTGGACATATGGGATTTGAATTCAACCTGATGGTTATGTATGTATGTATGTATGTATATTTCATCCACGCATCTGTCAGCCATATGGGCCGATTGGCGGCAGGTCACTGTAGGTGGCTGGGCATGGCCACAAATTTTTATATATATACAGGATATAGAGCCCGTGAACTTCTGACCCGATTCGGCAGACTGTCTCGTTAATATACAGATACAAAAGCCACTTCCTTACACCACATATAGGGCTCGTCCCTCATTACAGATACACATTTCAAACACAGACCAAGAGATAATAAGTATACTGCAATATCCTTGGGCCATGTCAGTACATGACTTTGTCTGTATTCCCCTCCCATCCAGGCTCAGGCCCCCCTACTAGAGGTGTAGGGTACGACGAGCATCCGTGGTAAATGGTGGCCGGTGTAGGATTCGAGCCTCGGTCACTCCATTGAACTCTTAAATTTTAGTAAGGGAGCCCCTCAGACCCTACTGTCCAATGAGAGCTACTGTAGTGACCACCCAGATGGCGCTCTACCACTTGCGCCATCCCGGCCACCTGACGGTTATATTTGTCTTGTCAAGTATTATTATTGTTATTAGTTCTATACTCCCCGTCACCCCAATGGTATGGGGTGCTGCAGCTAAATACATGAGGAAAACCTTGGCGTCGCTAAGCAAGCGCCGGGATGAAAAACCCCCTGTTCCAGCACTGAAGCTTACCATTGCCTGGATGTCCTCCGGTACCATTTTATTGAAGCCTGCCTGAGCAGGGCTTGCTGTGTGTTTGATTGTGTCCCTATGTCTGTAACGCGTTCTCTATCTCCTCGATTTCCAATTCTTTAGCGAGCCGAAATTGATGTAGCAGACCCAGTGACATCCACCAGCCAGAAACTAGAGCCCCTCCCTTTGGGGAGGAGAGCAACCACTTGCTGTCGACCCGATCACTAGTTTCCAGGGTCCTCCTTTGCGCCATCTACCTTGGGCAGTGGATCAGGGTGTGCTTGACTGTTTCGTAGTGGTATCTGCAAGTGCAGGCTGGGGAGCTGTATCCAGGCACTCCACGTCTGTGTAGGAACCCAGCCAGTCCAGTTTTCCCTGTGCGAAGCTGGATCAGAGCAGAACAACGAGCTCATGAGAGAGCCCCTGGTATATCTGGAGGTTGGCTTGCCCTGGTAGCCTGGAGTGCATCTCGCTCCATGGCTCTGGGCGTGCCAACCACCGTTTTTTCCACCAGTGTAGCATTACCAGCCTGAGGCATTGTGGAGTGGCTGCAGGTTGCCCATCAGAGAGGTCTGCATGCACTGGTCTCGTCCAATGTGTGATCCAGTTTGGGTCTACTGGTGCAGGATGTATGACATTCTCTAGCGGCTGTCTCCTGTTCTGTCCCCCCCTTGTCGAGTATATATCAACCTTCATTTAACATATTGCTTCTGAGATGTAGTATCTGGTACCCAGTTTATTATCGCAATGTGCTAGCATTTGATTTCGCCTGGACAGCAGCTCTTAGGGTAACCACATCCTACTATGAACGCATGTAGCCATGAAATAAACCATATCATTAATTGCAAATAGCACAGTAAAAGAACTTTTCACATGCAACATATACTCTCATAACAAATCCCCTTTTCCTTGATCCGTTTTTGAACACCGTACCGTTGCTTACTTGTGACATGTAAAACCAGACTGACCAGCATGATTATGATACCAGCTGATCTTCGGAGACGTCCTTGGATTCCTGCTCCTGCTCCTGCTCCTGCTCCTGCTCCTGCTCCTGCTCCTGCTCCGCGCTGTCATCAGCGTCCTCGTTTGGCTTCGGTGAAGGCTCGCGGTCTTCTTGCGCCCCAGGATCGGTCGATTTGTCGTCATCAACGGGAGCGACGGTTGCAGGGTTAGAAGTAGATATAGTGGACCCTGCCGGGGCACTCTCATTCCTGCTTTGCTGTGCAGCCTGAACCTGAGTCTCCCGTCGGGTCTTCGCGCCCTCTTTGAGCTTCTCCCACCGTTCTCTATATCGACCAAGCACGTTTCGTAGTTTCTCATTCTCACGGCCTGCCTGGCCAAGTTCATTCTCGCTGGTCCGGACCAGCTCTTCGAGTTCCCTGATGCGTTGCTCGTGGTCTGTCAGTGATGGACCGGCGGAAAGAGGTGCGATGGGTGATGTAGCGGCTGATCCCCCGGGCGGTGCGGGTAGGGGGTGGTGTTCTGGGGAGGGAAGGTGGTGCATTGCCCGTATAGATTGTTGCAGAGCCATTGAGGAAGACTGTGCGTTGACTTCCCACATGTGCAGTCGTTTCGAGAGCGTATCTGATAGGTGCTTCAGGGCTTGATTTTCCATTTGCAGCTCCTCCAAAGTTTTGGGGTTTTGTAGGCTTGTGAGTTTTTCAGCACCGCGGGCTACCCTGGACTTGGCTCCTGTCATGCTGTGGCGCATTTCCGGGGATGGGGTTTCTCGGGCATCGACAAAGTCTTCATCGACTTCTTCAAAGCCGTTTCTTTGTGCTTCCTTTTCAGCTCTGCTTAGTATTCCAGCATACGAGACAGTTCCGCCAGTCGTGGGGACGACGTAGAATGATTCCGCGGTGGTGTTTGGGGCCCCATTCGTTCCATCGCGGACGGCTCGCAAGGCGGCTTTGGAGAATATCTTGCTAACGTCTGGCTCTGTAGATGTACTGGGGCGGTCAGAGATGACCTGTTGACGATCCAGTCTCGTTTCCGCGGAGGATTTGCGTTTCGTAGATTCTGCCTGGTTTGCATCTGTTCCCAGCGGGAGACCTGCGAATGCCAGGGGTGCAGATATCTTGGAGATCAGACCCTCGAAAGTTGAATAGAAGCGCTGGAAAGGCTCTTCCGTAATTCCCTTCTGTCGCGGGGAGTCGACTGCATCTGCGGGGACAACCTGCTGGGCTGTGATGTCCGTAGGGCTGATACTTGGCGGGGACCATGGTTGTTTGGGCGCGGATACACGACCCGTGCGATCCTTAGTTGGATAATATTGCGTGCCTCGTAGCCTCGATTCCCCTGTCCTGGCCCTGGGTGGGCTGTCCGTCATCTTGGCCCCGGCCTGCTGCGAGGAAAGTGTAGGCGATGCAGGGGAGCCCCGACGAGGATGCGACGGAATGCCCCGTGCGGAGGCCAGATTACTCGCAATTGAAGACGAGGTCTCTCTTGTCGACAGCCGTTTATTCCCGGAAAGTCTTGGAGGCTGCTGAGCAACCGGCTGTTGGGCATTCAACCCCGGTGTAGTAGCAGGGGAAGAAGTAGCCTCTGCCGCCGCAGCACTCGAGGGATTTTCATGCTGAAAACGAAGAATCTCCGCGATTTTCTTATGGTGGCCTTCTAGTAGCTGAAGAGTCCTCAGAGCCTGCGAATCATGTCAGTTTCCTGGTTTCTTTCAGCTCACGCGGGGTTCGTAGGGATGGAATCCGAGTCCGGTACGTACCTCGCGGTCAAAGCTGGAGTGAGCAGCGGTGGAAAACTCGCCAGCCGCGAGGTCGTGCTCCTCGCTCGCTGCTACGGGATTTGCTTTGCGTGTCTCGAGAACTGCGTTGCGCGCATGGGTATGAGCCTGATATTGTCAGATCTAGCCAGGTGGTAACGGAGATCGCTCAGCGGGAAAAGACCCTACCAAGGTGAGCGGAGCGGTCTCCATGGCCACGATAGTGATGTGTTCAGATTAGAGAGATCAAATAGGATTAATGGGAGTTCTGAGAGAGAAAGACTAGAAAGGAAATGGTGAAGCCCAGTTGTGACGCCATCACGAGACAGCGGTAAGGTGTAACGGTAAGAATACGGCTTACTATGCGGGTAGACCAATCAGAGTGACAGATGGTAGATTCCTGACGATACGAGACTGGCATATCTGACATGTCCTTGCAGCTATATAGAGGAACAGCATAGAGCAATGCATTTACATACAAGTAGTATAGAGTACTACCAGCATAGTGGTTAATAACCTGTCATATCATGATTTTCAAGTGCCATACTAAAATAGAATCCCCCCTTATATGACTGTCCCGCCGTTTCGTCCTTCCTTACCTAATCGGGTAAGTCGACGTGCGTGTCTCCTCTTCTCGACTTCTTCTCTCCAACTTCTCCTTCTTCCAGCGACCTTCTCTCTCTATTCTACACCTCTTCCTTCCTTATACACTCTTTTGTTGCGTGTTGCAGCTTCCTCAGCAGTTGATTGTCTTCCTGTCAGAACCCCCGGTGCTGGTCACAACTTCTCCGACGGACAACTGCAACTGCTTCCCCCCCCCCCCCCCCGAGTTGTATATCCCGAATACATACCATGCCCTCTGCCGCGATACTCTCCCACTTATATCTTTCTTTCTTTCCTTGAAAATCGAAATTCTTTGTCTCTTGACCCTACTTTTTTTTTTGTCTAATTGAAACCCGTCCCCTTTTCGTCTTGGCTACTACTACTACTACTACTCTCCTCGCCGTTACACTCAAATCAGCCTCTCCAATACACCATGGAGGACCCGCCAACCTCCAAAGAGCTCCCCCCAGCCCCCCTCCTCTCCGAACCCCCGGATATCAGCAAAATCAACCGCACCCGGACCACTCCGGTTGACCTGGATACCATGGATATTTCTGGACGGAGCAATGGACGCTCGTCGATCGACTCCACCTCCGACAGGCCAAAGTCGCAGTCCGGGGAGGCGGCTGACACCGCCAGGGCTGGTCCCAGCGGGTTTTCGAAGCTACTCCGGAGGAAGAACAAGAAGAAGGATAAGAAGCAACCCGATGAACAGCCGACCGATAATGATAGGGATATCCCGGGTTCGCGTGACGGGGAATATGCTGCTTCTTTGTTCGCGAATGATAATAATCCTCCGCCTGAAAATGAGGCTGGGACCCTCTTGGCGGATGATTCTGAACTGAACCGGTGGGTTTCTTTCTGCTAGCTCAAAATGAAGTTTTGCTTTTTTCGTTGGGCTGACTGTTTTTACTTTTTTTTCCCTATAAAGGTCCCAGCAGAACTCCTCGAATAACGGCATTAATACCACGTCATCGCCTTTGATACAAAAAACCTCTGTCGATGCTACTGATACTGAGGGCGTACAAGCGGATGTAGAATCCGCCGTGAGTGGTCCCAGTGCTACTGCATCCGATTTCAACCCCGACGCAGATCCGTCGAAATCTACCACACAAAATCCATCGGCTTTGGAGATCCCAGAAAATCGTGGTGGTGGGAAAAAGAGGGGTACATCGCCTGGACGGCGATTCAAGAATGCGTTTAGCAGCTCTGCTCAGGACAAGAAGGATACCGAAAGTGGTCGCGAACGTTCATCTTCTACTTCGAGCAAACGGAGCATGGCGCTCTTTGGAGGCAACGGTAGAAGAGGAAGCTTATCTGCGAAGAGAGCACAAACATCGCACGGTGTCATCGCCGAGCCACCTCCACCACTCCCCCCTATTCGTACGGATCTTACAGAAGACAAGCCTGCCGAACTGTCAGAGCGTCCAAGAACACCGCCTCACACAGCGTTGCCGGTGCCAGCGCCGCATACCACTGTGACACCACCCACACCGTCAGAGCATCGACTCGAGTTCCCCAAACTGATCGATTCTCCGGAAGTTACCAGTTCTCCCGAATCGATCAAACCAGGCGAGGGCATTGTCGTGAGTCCGTCAGGGAACATGATCTCTCACCGCCGGGTTCGCTCAGCGTCGTCCGCCCACCGGCCTAGCAAACTATCGAATTCCATTTCCATGAGCCCCACAATCGAGGAAGTCAAATCCGGTTCGAGGACTCCTTCTGCCGCCCAGCAGGCTGGTTTCTTCTCCTCAGTGTTCTCCGCAGCGCAAAATGCTGCCTCTACGTTTAGCAGCAGCCTGAACACCCAACAAAGAGACCGCAATCTATCACAGCTGGACAACACGAATGCTTCGCAGGCTAATGACGGAGTGGAGGATGCAAGAGGGTCAGACAGTAACAATAGCAACGGCGAAGAAAAGAAATCACTGGCTATCGAGACCCTCGGATCTGGCGATTTGGACTTTAGTCACCTGGAAGTCAATGTACCTCCGGGTGGTTCAGTGTCGACCCCGGACGGGATCGTCATCACGAAACCGGATCTACCACCAGAGAAGCGCAAGAACATGGCTGTCTACCAACGAGATGAGGAGGCAGCAATGCTCGAAGGCAAGAACGCTGCTCATGCTGTTCACAAGGCCTATGAGAAGCCATCTGACGTGTTTGTAGTTCCCCCTACTGATGAGCCGCTGGAGCTGGGGTCGACAACTTCTCTCCCCAAAGACTTTGGTGGTGATCAGCCCCCTCCAAGTGGTGATATCCTCGATGCAGATCTCGGCACTAGGTCAAGGCGAAGTCCCAGTTTACGGGGCCGTCTGATCGGGCGTCATCGCGGTTCATCTGCGGCCACAACATCAACCGCCGTTGGCGCGCTTGCCGGTGCCGGTGCCGTCGCTTTGACTGCTCCGGCTGCCGCCCCGAATGCTCCGCGATCAACTGGGTTCGCCGTTGCTGGCAAGAAGCGTAACAGGGACTTTCATCAGCTGTTCAGAAGTGTTCCCGAAGATGATTACTTGATTGAGGATTACAGCTGTGCGTTGCAGCGAGAGATCATTCTTGCTGGTCGTATCTACGTTTCCGAAGGTCATATTTGCTTTTCCAGTAACATTCTCGGATGGGTCACCACCCTCGTGATCAGCTTCGATGAAGTGGTAGCAATAGAAAAAGAGTCCACGGCAATGGTCTTCCCTAATGCCATAGCGATTCAGACCCTGCATGCACGTCATACTTTCCGCAGTTTGCTTAGTCGAGAATCAACCTATGATCTGATGGTCAACATATGGAAGATCAACCACCCGGCTTTGAAGAGTTCCATAAATGGGACACGGGTTTCTCATGGCACTGGCGACAAGACTGAGAAGGCCGGAGAAAGTGATGTGGACAGCGATGAAGACGATGAGGAAGACGAAATCTACGATGAGGACGAAGACGGTGACACGGCGGATAGCTTTATTGAAGCTGGAAGTGCCAATGGAAGCGAGCCAGCAAATCCAAGAAAGGCCCTGAGCCGTCAAGCCTCTGGTAACCTTCCCAAAGCTAGCGCCAACGGACCTGACGCCGGTGATAACGGCAACTCGGCCTCTGGGGATACGGACTTTCCGGGGCCTGCTACACACGCGCCAACCGAATACACTGACCCGAACGGCCAGTATGATAAACCCGTCAAGGATGAAATCATCCCTGCTCCTTTGGGCAAGGTCTACTCTCTGGTTTTCGGGCCAGCGTCTGGAGCTTTCGTCCCCAAGTTCCTTGTCGACAATCAGAAGTCAGGAGAGCTGCAGTTCTCGAGCGAGAAGCAAGGTCTTACCAATGACAGTCGGAATCGAGAATACTCTTACATCAAGCCATTGAACGGTTCGATCGGTCCCAAGCAGACCAAATGTATCAGTGCCGAGTACTTGGATTTTCTGGATTTGGAGAAGGCGGTTCTCGTCACCTTGACCACTCAGACCCCTGATGTACCCAGTGGAAATGTGTTCAGTGTGAAGACGAAATACCTGTTCACATGGGCGGCGGGGAACCAAACGCGCTTCCTCATGACTTGTACCATTGAATGGACGGGAAAGAGTTGGCTGAAGGGCCCGATCGAAAAGGGTGCCATCGATGGTCAAGGCGGGTTTGGAAACGATTTGATCCAGGCTATCAAAGGTGCGATTGCTCCTCGTGCTCGGCCGGGCACGGCTAAGCCTGGCAAAGGAAAGGGCAAACGCAAGAAGGGGGATGCCGCTAGTCAAGAAGCGGCCCCTGCCGTCGCGGCGACTGATACTACCGCGAGCAAAGCCGATTCCTGGGGAATGTTGGAACCGCTTCAAGGCATACTCGAACCCGTTATGGATATTGTGAAGCCCTTGGTGAGTGGCAATGTTGCCATTGTGATTATCGGCATTCTTCTTCTCCTCATCTTTTTCCGAACACCCTCTCGGCCGCCCGTGATGTCGTCGCACGACATAGGATGTCCAGGGTACACCCTTCCTCAGCGCCTCGCCGCTTACGAGGAGATGTGGCGGAGGGAGGAGAGTGAGCTGTGGAGTTGGTTGGAGGACCGAGTTGGTCTTGATGGGGCACTCTTTCCAACGGTCAGACCGTCTGTCTCACCATTACGGCAGAAAGCCCAACAGCTTCGGGCTGAACGAGAACTGTCGGCAAAGATGGGCGATGACAAGATGACTGACCGGGAGATGGATGCTGCCATACGGACCACGCGCGAGAGACTCGATGCTCTCGAAGAGATTTTGAATAAGCGCAAAGCGCATCCGATTGTCGAAGAGGTGCAATCGCGCCATGAGCTGTAGCAGCTTGTGCTTCTTTGTTGCTTCTGTCGAAGCATAAAAGTCTATGTTCGCTTCCTTGTTTTCAGGTTGCAACATGCCATTCATTCATTCTTTTCTTTGCTTTTCTTTTCTTTTTCATCTTCTTTTGGTCTTTTGGCTACACTTGTTCTACCTTTATTCCATTGTCAGCGTGGTCGTTGGGGGTATTCTTTGATTCTTTCTTGTCATATTTCTTTTTATATTTTCTCGTTTCTCAACCCTTGTCTTTGTCTATCGAGCATGGTTGATCTTATTTTGCATAGTGCATACCTGCCTTGTTTGTTTTCTTTGTACATGAGCGCCAACTACTTGTCTATACCAGTCTCAGGTTTTCTTTTCCTTGTCCGTTTTACCGTTTTGTACAAACATCAGCACTCTCTTTGACATTGTTTCTTTTTCTTTATTTTGGCTTTTTGGCTGAGTTTCATATGTGTTTGGGATATTCATCAGTGTTCTTCTGTTCAGGATAGCTTGATTTGATATATTTATTTTCTATTTTGAGTTAATACAGTTATCGCCTCGAGGCGGAAAAGTGATTACTCCAGTTCAATATAATTGCTTTATAGATTTGTTTTATTAGCAATGGACCGTCGTGTATATGGTCCTTTTTATTCATGTGCAGTTGTAGTTGTATCCAAACGCCGGTATCCACAATCATCCAATAAATAAGCCATGATAGACCCTAGACAAAGAGGGCAATCCAAGAGGTAAGTGGTAAATACAAGCAAGTCCTGACCAATAGAGAAAGCAAAGCAAGGTCAGGAGAAAGAAGAAAGAAAAGCAAGTATTACAAAGTATAGACATAAAAGTACATCAGAGATCCCACGTATATATCGGATATAGAAAGCAAAGCAAGTCAGTAGATCTCGTTATCAGTCGTAAGTCATATCGAATAAAGGACATATATATAAAGAAAAGGTGAAAAGAAAAGAAAAAAAAAAAAAGTATAACCTCCAAAGCCTAGGGCTAAAGCCAGGTTAAGGTAAGTGGGTAGGTAGGGCGGTTAAGCCCCCTCATACGACGAAACCTGCGGCACCAGGGCCGAATTCGACGGCCCCGAAGAAGTATGACTGAGCGACGTATTCCTCTTCTCCTCCTTGCGCCTGCGCTTCTGCATCATCTTCATGGCCTCGGAGGTGAGTTTCTGGCGGAACATGCGTTCCACGACGTCCTTTTTGCGTGTCCTCCGGTCACCAATCATAATCATCACGCCGCCGGAGATGCTGCATGCGATGGAGCAGCAGAGGATGACTGTTGTCAGGGCGAAGGGGCGCACGTGGTAGTTTATACTCCAGGTACAAGTGCCCAGGGCAACCTGGAGCATGGAGTGGCAGTCGAGCACGACGACGATGGCGATGAGTAGACGGAGGGGGAAGGCGTAGTGTGTGCCTGTTTCGTGGGGTTTGTAGAAGGTGTGTGACTTTGCGAATTTCTTCTGGTGGTGGATGAGACGGGCTTGTTGGATGGGGCCTAGGACGGAGAACTCGTAGGCTTCGTCTTTGGGGGTGTCGCCCCATTCGACATCGATGTCTGTTTCGCGGCGGGCGGGGAGGTCGTTTTTGTTCTTTAGGGAGGGGAGGGCGCACTGTTTGCGGATTTTCCAGGTGAGGAAGGTGTAGCGTGCTATGAAGATCATATGGTAGGTGTCTATTACGCGGAAGGGGGCGAGGCCGTCGCCCATGATGGCGAAGAGGGCGACGAGGATGTTGTCGATGATGTTGATTACGTAGAGTTGTTTTCCGCCGACGTTGATCCAGCCTGTTTTGTTAGTATGGTTTATGGGTAATGGTGGAAGGGGGTGCCTACCGATGAGGAAGAGAACCCAGGCTAATCCGAAGAGAGTGATTAGGGTTGCGTATAGAGTAACCAGAAATCCCAATGCTGTTACCGTTAGCTTCTATCCATTCCACCGTAGGGTGGGGAGTCACGTTTAGAAACATATTGTCCAAATCCCTTCATCGAACGTTTAAACTTGGAGCGACGAGAATGCAGCATGTGCCGGACATGATCGTTCAATTCCTCCATATCCTCCTTGGTCCAGCCCTCGAGGTTGGTCTCGTCGGGCAAGACGGCAAACCGCGTTTCTCCCGCGTCCAAAACCGAGGATATACTAGACAGATGCCGTAGATTCTTCATGTCCGGACGCGGCTTTTGGAGATTGTCACCGCCATCGTCGGTTGTGGTGCCTTCTTCCTCTGTGACGGCTTCATGGCGAGGAGGGGAGAGGGTGTAGGTGGGCTCACGGTTGACAAAGCCAAATAGATCGGGGACGAAGAGGGAGTTTTGGACGTTGGTCAGGGTCGATAGGGCAGATACTTCGGGATCTAGGATTGTGTTAGCGTATATCAAGGTTGCATGCATGCACGTGCTTACCTATAACGTCCAAAACGTTGACAATATCCGGATTGTATTCATGTGTTCGATCATAATCCTCATCCCGGTAATGGTTCCAATCAGTCACTTTAGGGATTGGCCCGTTCACTGTCGATGCGCGATTCCGGGAGAACCGGTTCAAAGCCGCCTGACTGGTTCGCCGTAAGAGACTATCGCCCCTTGGTCGTACGACCGGGGGAGGTCTAACGGCAACCTTCTTAGAATCCTCCTGATTCTCATTCTCAGTGTTCTCAGGGGTATCCTGCCTTTCCGATGGCGAACGAAGACCAGTGGTCTGATTGGACCTCACCTCTGCCAACGGTAGCATAGGCGTTGCGATGTGCGGCAGAGCAACCGGCGGCGGCGACGACCATCGTCCCGGACGCGGCTCAGAGCTACTGCGACGACGATTCCCCTGCCACTCATCCTCCTCTTCCGCTATCTGCGAATGTTCTCTCCCCGGCCCGGGACTCCTATTCCTGGCGAGGAACGCCGTGGCGCTATCATCGGCGGCATTCCGGCGGTTCGGGTTCTGAGAGGTTTGGTTCGGGTCGTCGCCACTGCTACCCAACGAGGAAACAGAGGAGAGGCGCGAAAGACGAATACTTGGGCGACGGGATCGCGACAGAGCTTGAGGTCTAGGGGGATAGCCAGTGGGCGTTAGGGAGTTGTTATCAGGTGCCGGAGACGGAGCGTCGTTGGGACGGTCGTTTGGACCACCGACCGGCTCAATGCGATCCATTGAGAAGCCAGGGTCGATGGGGGGGTGCGGATTATAAGGGAGAATATGATTAGAGAGTGAAAAAATGACAATTGGGAATAACGAGAGAATATATAGTCGAGTTCAAGGCATGATCAGTCGTTGGGAGAGAAAGTGGAAGAGAGAAAGGAACGGAAAATAAAGTGAGGAGAAAACGATTGACTAAGCAGCAGCCAGAAGAAAAGATCAGCGAAAATGATATAATTCAAGCATGGACTAACTAAGGAATGAAGGCGGCAATCCCAATTAGCTGCATTAACCTGTAACTAAGCAGGTTTGACACTTTGTACTCCTATGTATAGGGTGATATGACGGTGCATAAAGAATGAAAGATCTTTGAACTATTCTAGGCTATTGAACTGCACAAAGAGAGAGAATAAATAGCATAGAGGTACAGAGTACTCTTAGAGTACTCCAATACACTACTACGGAGTACAAGTACAGTGCCTCCGCGGAAACTGTGGACCGGATCTGTCCAAATCAGAGGATTACCGAAAAAGGCAAGTCGTCACCGTTGGATGTGATCCACCTGCAGCCACACTCCGTACATCGTGGCAGCCATTCCAGCCAACGAGAATCCGGTGGCCTTGTAGGCGCGCGGCAACCAGTCAGATGTGCTTAGTATGGCATAACGGTTGTGCAGGGTAACGCTAAGAGGCGAGATCGGATCTCCGTTCACGCATGGTGGATTCGACAGGCTGGAGTATTCAACAAATCTCGGTGGGACGCTGTCGAATTAGGGCGCGTATGCCGTATGCCGTACTCCGGAGTAGTGATAGTACTCTTTCCTTTCTTAACCCTGTAGTGATTAATATGGATAGCCCAGTACATAGTAGACATATATAGAATTGCACATTGACTGGTGCCTGCGATACATAGTATCCGCACTATGTACTGTACTGTCGCTGCTCAAACAGGAAATGCATAGACGGGACGGCAGAGCAGCGATCCATGACGTCGGCGGGGGGATAGGAGAGCAACAAGATAGAGACAGAAATATACTACTATGTAAAATCAGAATAACCAATTTATAGAAGGAAATATTAAAACAGATCTGTACCGGGGTACGCAGTAGAGAAAAGGTACAGTACAATAAAGAATAAAATGTAGAAAAGTAGATGATGTCAGCTGCTGCCTTAATGCCTTAATGCCTCACTGCCTGACCGCCCTTTTCTCTCACCTTCTTCAGAGCTCCTTTTCAACTCTTCCGACTTCATTCCTTCCTCTCTCAGGCAACTCAACTCTCCTGCTTCTTTTTTTTTTTTCAGTTTCCTCTTTTTTTTCCTTTACGAATCTAGGGCACCAAGCTACCCTGTTCTCCTCCCCCCTCTTCAATCTGTCAATTTCCTACTTTTCCCAAAGGCAGCCTTAAATCGCCGTGACACATTACCCTTCAAGACCACCTCTCCTCATCCATCTACTGTGTCCTCAACCATCAAGATGTCTTCTGCCGTCGAAAACGTCGCCGACAACGTCGCCTCCAAAACCACCAACGAGGCCCCCAACGGTACTGCTCCCGCGCAGGAACAGCAGCCGCAGCCCACCGATGCTGCTGCTGCCAGTGCCGATGAGGGACGTCGGCTGTACATTGGGAACCTCGCATATGCGACCACTGAGGGGGAGCTGAAGGAGTTCTTCAAGAACTACAAGATGTGAGTATCTTCTCTTTTGTTTAATGCTGCCTTTTCAGTGTTTTCTGTCTATTACCTGAGTCACCGACTTCCCCTCCCGCTTGCCAATACTGCCACGTGTGAGACGTCGTCTCAACCACCAGCACCTTGCAGCTGTTACTACATCCCTACTTGATCTTATATTCTCCGATTTCACTGCTTTTGTGTCGTCTTTTCTATGTTAAAGAACATATCTAACTCCCGCAGTGAAAGCACCTCCATCCCCGTCAACCCCCGCACCAACCGCCCCGTTGGTTACGCCTTCGTGGACCTCGCCACCGCACACGAGGCCAACGCTGCCATCCAAGAGCTCTCTGGTAATGAGATCCTCCAGCGTAAGGTTTCGGTCCAGTTGGCTCGCAAGCCTGAGCCCGCGGAGGCCAGGGAGGGTGCTGCAAGTGGCGGTGAGGGCGAAGGCCGTAAGAGGACCGGCGGTCGGGGCCGTAGCCGTGGCCGTGGTCGCGGTCGTGGAGGTCGCATTGGACGTGGTGGCCGCTCTGTACGTTTTCCCCCCTAAAATGAAACACGAAAGTATACTAACGTGGTTAGGAGGCTCAAAAGACCGAGGCCCCCACCAACGTCCCTGCTCAGGCTGATCCGTTGACCGACAACCAGGCCAACAACGCTGCTACCACCGAGCAGGGCAAGCCTCGTGGCCGTGTCCAGCAGAAGCAGCGTGGTCCTCCTGAGGATGGTATCCCGTCCAAGACCAAGGTCATGGTGGCCAACCTGCCGTATGATCTGACCGAGGACAAGGTACGTAACAATCTCTCTTAACAGAAAGAGTTCAGCTGCTAACTCCCTACAGCTCAAGGAGCTCTTCAACGCCTACCAGCCCGTCTCCGCCAAGATCGCCTTGCGTCCCATTCCTCGTTTCATGATCAAGAAGCTCCAGGCTCGCAACGAGCGCCGTAAGGGCCGTGGCTTCGGTTTCGTCACCCTCAGCTCCGAGGAGCAGCAGGAGAAGGCTGTCAAGGAGATGAACGCCAAGGAGATTGAGGGTCGTGAGATCGCTGTCAAGGTCGCCATCGACAGCCCCGGCAAGGAGGATGACGCCCTCGACGCGGCTGAGAAGCCCGAGGAGGAGGCTACCGCCGCCGCCGCCGCTGCCGCCGCCCCTGCTGCGGGCCAGGAGAACGCCTCGGCTGCTGCTTAAGCAGCTTGTTTTTCTTCGATTGACAATGCCGTTCCTGTCCAGAACGAGTCTGTCCATGTGCAGGGTTATGTTGGAGTAGGACAGACGGAGTGTAAGAGATGACCATTGTTGGAATGTTATTTTCGTGGCTCTCACGAAGACACCGTGCAAGTCTACTTTTGAAGGAGAATATGCGATTAACGTGTTTGACGTACGATGATTTCTTATGTTGGAGAAGGAGGCATTGTCGAAGATGCACTCACCACCATCACTGCTACTGGCGAGAAGATGATGAGAATTCATCTCTTGCTTTGACTTGACCTTATAACTTACAGACCATATCCTGTTGACGATTTTGTCTCTTCTGCTGTGTCCTATATCTTAGCTACTATTTAACTTATGATGCCGCAAGCTGGCCTTGAAAGACATTGTCTCCGTACAGAGTACTCCGTAGAGTGTTGTATAACTAGATGTTTCGGCCTGAAGAACGTGGCCTTGGCATGGCAGATCATTAACTAGCCGCAACTTCACTAATACACTACCACTAACGAGGCATATACCTTTTATATCTCTCGTCGCGTTGTTGTTGCTATTGCTGTTATTCGACCTGCGCATTCGACTGCGCATTGTGTGGCGGACGGCAACGCCAACAACTCGCCGCAACGAGGCGCGCTTGAATCGCCCCACACCGCACTCCTGGCATTCGACCCAGAACGCCTTCACGATCCTCAACGAAGAGGGACTCTAGAAACTCATCTTGAAGTCCCTCCTAACCGCTACTTTTCTTGCTATAATTACTCAACGCGTCATGTCTCGAATGTGGGAGGTCGACCCGGAAACGAGAACCAAGGTACGGACACGGACACGGACTACGGAATCTACGTTGCGATTTGATGGCATGGACGATACTAACTGGTACTGTTGTCTATTGCTAGCTCCTCCAAATCTCCAAAACCAACGGAAACGACAGATGTTGCGATTGCAACGCACCATCGCCCCAATGGGTTCGTCCCGTTACCCTTCCTCCCCCTGGCTCGGTCTACACACCTCCCAGAATACGTTATCGCTAATACTCATGGTGTACTACTACGCAGGCCTCCCCTAAACTCGGGATCTTCATCTGCCTAAACTGCGCCGGCACACACCGCGGCCTTGGCGTACACATCTCCTTCGTCCGCTCAATCACCATGGACGCCTTCAAGATGGGCGAAATCCACCGCATGGAACAGGGGGGCAACGAGCCCTGGAAGTCGTTCTTCGATAACCATGCGATTACACAATCCGAGGGACGGACATTTGAGGATTCTACGATCAAGGAACGATATGAGGGGGAGGTCGGGGAGGAGTGGAAGGAGAGGTTGTCGGCGAAGGTCGAGGGGAGGGAGTATGTCCCTGGACAGCGGGAGGTCAAGAAGAAGAAAACCCAGGCAGCGACTGGTCAGGGACCGGGTGCGATAAGCAATACCGGACCGAGAGGATCTTCACCTGCTCTTAGTGAAGGGGGGTTGAAGAAAGAGCGCAACGAGGCGTATTTCTCAAAACTGGGGTCCGCAAATGCCACGCGCTCTGAGTCTCTGCCTCCGTCGCAGGGTGGGAAGTTTACTGGTTTTGGGGGTGGACTGCCGCCGAGTTCACCGGCTGGGTCGAGGGGCTCGTTTATGGGTGGTGCTGGTGGTGCTGGTGGTGCTGGGACGCCTGGGTTGGATGACTTTCAGAAAGATCCTATGGGGACGCTGACGAAGGGGTTTGGGTGGTTTACGTCGGCTGTGGGGAAAAGCGCGAAGACGGTGCATGATTCGTATATTCAGCCTACGGCGAAGCAGGTATGCCCCCTTCTTCTCCCATTCACCTCGTTTAGAATATAACTAATAAGTGCAGCTCGCCGAATCCGACCTCGCAGCCCAAGCCCGCCTACAAGCCGCGCACCTCGGCCAAAACATCCAAGTCGGCGCGCGCGGCGCCGCGGACCAATTTAACCGCTTCGTCGAGGGACAGGACGAACATACCTCGTCGTTAGCTAGGCGCCGCGGCGAACCTGAGCGGAAGGACTTTTGGGATGATTTTGCGGCTTTGGGGGCGGAAGATCAGGGGCAGGGGCAGGGGCAGCATCGGAGGAGTGCGAGTCGGTCTAATGCTATTGGGACGGCGGCTATGAAGCCGGGGGCTTCGACGGGTACGGGGACAAGCGGGGCGGCGTCCACGGGTGGTGCTGGATCTGGATCTGGATCTGGATCTGGGAGTGGTAGTGGTAGTGGTGCTACTGGGACTGCGAAGGGGCAGCAGCATGAGGAGGGGTGGGATGAGGATTGGTAGATTATACTCTTGTTTTGTAACTATTGGCATTGTATTTGGTACATTGTTTTGATGTTTATTCCCACTGTTGTATACAGAGTTGGACATAGTATCATGGAGGAGTAATGTGACCTTCATATTCTTGAATATTCTCCATCAATGTATTGTTGTTCGACGCATTATCAGCAGTGACTGCTAGCACTCGATCAATGATGTTGTGTTTTTGAAGTAGTTCAAGCAAGACAGTGCTTAAGTTTGCCGCCCAGGGTTTCACGGTGCTGTCCACAAGAAGATCACATACCATGCCTGGCTGATCAGGAGCTGCCTCTGCGAAACAATCAACAATTCGACAGACCAAATTATCAAACTGCTGGTCATCATATTAGAACTGACTGGGTTTCCTGGTCTGTAGCAGAGCGGCCCGTACGATCTGATGATCTGGGGAACCGCCAATTAATGCATCAATTTCTGGGGACTTGAATCTGAGCTGGTGAGCGAGTTCAGCCATCTCATAGATTACTCTCTCATCGGCCTTGGCACGAGCTGGCTTTGCCAAAAAGGTCGGCATCCTTCCTTGGGTCCGGCGGCATCAGAGGATAATCTAGCGAAGATTGCAATGCAATGATCACTCTCATGTAGTAGCTTGAAGAGGGCTACATGAACACGACAGCTATGATAATCCATTGTCAAATCAATCATTGTATTCTAGACGTTACCTCATTTTGTATGATCCTGAATGTTGAATTCGGGTCCCATAGCAGTATTTCTGCCAACCCCCTCCCCCCCCAGAAACGCATATTCATTTTTTTTTCTCATGGAAACATAACCGACCTAGCTTTCTGCAATATATAATGTCCACCGCCCATGACCGTTGTGATGTCCTGCTCTGTCCAACCCCGTTGCCGAGTCACGCGCTGAATCTCCTCCAAGTAATGACCCTGCCACTTCATTTCCTCCTGCTCAGTCCACTCTTCATTCTCATAGCGACGTGGGCCCGAGATTTGAAGAATGGCGGCGGCCCCCAGCAGTTCACTCAGAGGATAAACACCGGAAAACTCCCAGTCCAAGACCCCGACCAAGTGCCCATCTAGCACCAGCATATTGCTGGAATGGAAATCCTCATGCACCAAGACAAGAGGTTCCGCATCGATCTTCTGAAAGACAGAGTCGTCTTCAAGGATGGCGTCGCGTTCGCGTTGTAGTTGCGATATGAATGAGGAGACTGAGGTCTCTTCAAAGGCTTCTGCAATGGGTTCGAGGTCGGCCTCGCCCGCGTGAGTGTAGAAGGATATCTCGCGGTCATAGCAGGCTTGAATGTACCCCTTGCTCTCCGTGTACGGGCCGATGTTGTAAAAGTCTGGGGAATGGAATTTCGTCTAAGACATTTTTAGAAAAAACAGAGATAAACAAAAAATGGGTAGGAAGACTAGACACGCACCCTGCCATTGAATATCTTCGCAGCTTCAATAGTCGGTCCTGCAGGTGCGTTGATTGCTAACCCGCCAATTCCACAATCAAACCTCGTCTCTCCAAGATCAACAATAACGCTGGCAATCTCGCGTGATATGACTGTCTTCTGCTCCTCAGTTAAGTCAGGCCAGACCACACTGAGTTTCTGGCCTTTGATAAACTCCTGCGCGATAAAGGCTGGGCCCGAGTTGGAAGTCCCATCGTCCCAAGCGTAGACCTTTGGCACTGGAATTTGTGGCACATTTTCCTTTAAGAAATGTAAACAAGCAACTTCATGTCGGATCTGATACGGTTGGAGTGAAGCCACTTCTCTTGAAATACGAAGTATGAACTTGTTGTCCTGGGAGCCTCCTTGGGACCGATCCTGAAAGAAAATCAATCCTAATACAAGGACAAAGGAATGATAGAAGGAGAGAACAAAAGCGAGATCACATACCGTCGAGTACACAACTAACCAGACATGGTTGTAGCCACCGCAGGTGATATACTCCAGGCCTGACAAGCGACTTGATTCAAAAACATCGGCAATAACGTTTGACGCAATAGAAATTGCCCGGTCCTGTAGATGTCCGATGTCCTCCTCTTCCTTGTCTTCATCTTCATTCAAGCTGTCCCCCTCCTCTTCCGGATTGCGGTCACTTGGAGGAGCTGTTATTACCTGGTCCGGTCACTGCTTAGCTTCGTGTGCACATGTGGCATTTTTTTTGGGTAGCCATTAGAGTTGGGTGCATAGTAGAAGACTTTTGGATGGACGCTGTACCTGATTTGGTGCTTTGTGCAAAATCCTGTCTTTTTGCAGCATATGCAGTGGTGGGTGGTGGGCATTTTGACATTGGAAGAAGAGGCGGGACTCAGCTCAACAATCATCAAACATTCGGGCATTGATGTGGTGCAGTTCTTGAGTGTAATAGCCGGAGAAACTACTATTACTATGACTGATGATTTATGGACCGTCGGACATTAATTAGTCCATCAATGAAAAGAAAAGGCTAATCGCGCAACCTATGTACAAATAGAAACGTATATATTATTATTATTGTTCATACACGCATCTGTCAGCCCTGTAGGCCGAGTGGCGGCAGGTCCTGCGGGGCGGCCGGGTAAGCCGCCGTAATGGTAGTCACTAAGTACATCGTCGCCTTTCTATACCTATTCTGACATCTTATTTCGCATGTTGTACGTCCCGTGCTGCTGATTTCGTACTGCTGTTCCCATGGCCACGAAGGTTCATGGGTTTGTTGGATACTATCTCGTTTCCATCCCTACTTCTGCAAGCGCACAACCTTGGCTATGCTATGCTGCCGGTTGCTTGAAGTCCGTTTTTGTGACTCAGTATGTGGTTGGTAGAGTCTGAAACTGGTCCAGAAGGCCTGTCTCAAGCATGAATCGCACTGCCTTCGGTACCAGGTCTTGCCGTGTAAGGTAGGCCCGGTAATCCAGCTCCCGCCTTGAACCCTGTGTAAGATGGCGCATCCGGGGTCCTGCCTGGTTGGTACAGTGGAGGAGAACATGGCGTATGTCTTGGAGGCCACGTCCACAGGAGCATTCAGTTGATTCCATAGCCTTGAAGGTACCAAGGTAACTGGCCAGCGCAATATTCCCAGTTTGCATTTGAATGAGGACTGATGTAGCAGCTCTCCAAAGGCCTTGGTATAGCTGCATTGGCGCTTTTGAGGGTTTTTTTCCATAAACGACGGACGGAGTTCCCATGGGGGGAAGCGGCCCATTCAGTCTTCCATGCATTTGCTGCTTCTATGCGGAGAATTCTTCGAGAGCTAGCCATGAGAGTGAGCTCTTCCGCGTCATTGGGTGCCGGGGAATTAGCAGCTTCTTTTGCAAGAGCATCAGCACACTCATTGCTGTAGACGCCTTCATGACCTGGGAGCCAATACAGTTGTATATCCCAGCCACGTTCCTGTAGTTGAGATGCAGTGCGTGTAATATCACTCAGGATATATTGGCCAGAAGACCTTCCTGGAGCTGAGCACGCTTGTATCGCCGCCTGGTTGTCTGTAAAGATGATTGCTGTACGGGTCTGATAGGAACATTGCGATTCCAGTCCACTTGAGTTGCGTATTTGGGTAAGCGCCATATTTATGCCCTGTAATTCCGCTGCATATACAGTGTGAGTAGCTTGAGAGCCAATGCGAACTGCCTGGCGCCCCAGAGGTGAAACTACCGCTGCTCCGAAGAAACGTATATATATGTAAAATCTGACGCAAATGCAAATGCGAAACACTGGGTATCACGCATTGTATACAGCCACACTTGCAAGTATCCCATCTCAAGACACTCCATGTAACTAAAACTCCCCATAGCTATAGCCTCGTACAGTCCGGAGCTATCCGCGTCAGGCTGACAGCATGACAGAATAGAAAAAGGTTCATTTCTTATGCTGAATCATTTGTTATGGTGATGGCTCACCCTCTCTATAGCGCACCCACCCTAACTCACCCCTGGTCGCACGACCGAAGAGCGGCATCACCCTTTAACTCACCCTGGAGGCACCCACCGAACTATCATCCGCAGTTAAGCCACACGCCGGCCGGTTAGTAGTTGGGTGGGTGACCACCAGCGAATCCCGGCTGTTGTATGTTTTTGTTTTTGCTTCCCTCACGAGGGCAGGAGGCTATATTCTATTGTCCTGAGCATAGCAAGGGTTTGTATAATTCTTGGTTCAAACAGTTAGTATAATCTGGGATTACTGCTGTGAGCAGTCGAACAAATGCATCATGTCCGTCCAGAAAGATTAATCTGTTTAATCTGTTTATCATTCTTGTTAAAAGTGCATTCCTCTCCCCCAAGTCTTTTCTCAATACCACTTTTCAAATCAGTCATCGACATAACCAGCCCTGCATTCGTCTTCAAATCCCCCACCGCACCAGGCCCCTACCAACGACATGGCATTCCCGCGATACAACCCACAAACCTGTCCATGTCGATTGAACAGCAAAGATCCCAAGCCCTCGCGCTGGCCGAACCCTTCCTAAATAATATCCTCGGCTTCTCCTTCTGTCTCGCGGCCCAGGATGATATATTCCAGCGTGGTTTGATCCTTCGTATCGGCAATCGAGCCCCCGTCCAAATCATAACGAACAACACCATCCTCATTCCAATTGCAACATGCCATCGCACCATTACAAACCCCAAAAAAAACAGATTACTATTCCTCCCCTCGTAGCTATACCACCCACCCAGCTCGATAGAACCAATCTCATCAAACCGATTCCATTCCATGGAACCACAGCCATAATCACGCGGTTCCTTCCCGATTTGGAAACGCGGCAATGGCAATTGATCGAATGTCTTGCTGGCATCCGGGTCGAGTTCAATAAGGGACCAGTCTTAGAGACGGTTATTCCAGAGTCCTCGTCCGCTGGGAATCAGGACGTCACCGAGGGGGAGGGGATTGGTTGGGAGGGTTCGGGATAGAGACTCGTACTGGGGGCGAGAGTGTTGGTAGGAGCGGCAGATTTAATAAAGTAATTGGGCAGTTTGGACGTCGTTGGGGGTTTGCTCTCTGTGTTGTTGGAATCGCTGGATGTGTCCTTCGTGCCAGGCCTTTTTGGACTCGAGGCCGTTGCGGGTGGCTGTGATGTCGTCTGTCGTGAAGTATACCATTTCAGTTTTGGTTTTGGTTTCAGTTTCGGTTGTGGTATGGCCATTTCCGTGTTGGTCTGTTTGTTGTATAGCAGCTTCCTCTTGTTCAACACCAGGTCATGTAGCGTGGTAATGCGTGATGCCATACTGGCGAGTGATGCCGTTGTGCGTGAGTTTGAGCAGCCCGCCTAGCGTTCCTTCGTTCTCGCAGGCCTTGTCGCTGATTGAAATGCCTAGTGGCTGTAAAATACCTCGAGGCCAGATGTCAGCCTGTCGATCTGTGTCACCGAGGTTGGTATGTTAGTTAGGGTTTGTGGGGGAGTTGATATCGCCCGGGATGATTATAATGTCGATATCCATTGAGAGACTTGGATCGTGATACATGATGAGCATCTGGATATATGAGACGATCTCAGTCCAGTTGTATGCACTCCCAGAACAAACCATGACGACGATAGCGGGTGCCGATTTCTCCAGATACGGACCGACCAGGAACAACGAGGTCATGGTCCATGGCGACGGGATACTAGCGCAGAGCTGCTCAACAAGTCCCTCTCTAATCCCCTCATAAGCACCGACAGCCAGATGCGTAAACAAAATCGGAAACAAAGACGGCTTAAACCGGTACTCATGATGAACGACCTCAATATCCATTGGTGTCCCATCGACCTCGAAAGCCAGTCCCGCTAGGCCATCTTTCGCCTTATCGAATGTCTCATACATTGAACCCTTATATTTGATAAAGACGGTGGGCTTCGTCGCCATGAGGATATCCGGGCTTGGATAGTTTGGTGACGGTGATATCGTGGGGTTCGGGAGGGAGGTTGTATTCTTGGAGCAGATTCTTGATCTGTTTGAGCTTTGCTTGGAGCTTGGTGTCGGATCCATCGACTGGGGTGTGTTCCACCGGGTATGGGAGGGGGTGAGGGGCGCTTGTTGCGCGGTAGGGGTCTGTGAGATAGAGATGGGGTTCGATGGAGGCCATTTTGACTGAGTTGATAGATAGAAAGACACTAGAAAATAATGAGATCTGGGTCAGTAAATGGAGGAGATGGAGAGCGAACAAACTATGTCATATATAGCTCGTCTTACTGTGTAAAAATAATTAAGCAACAGCAAACATAACTAACCCTAAACGTAAAGTTATCATTTTCATTCCGAATTAGGTAGTAAGATGAATTCGAATTCGCGTACACGTGCACCCCATAAATCCCCAAACTGGATTCATCCCCATGATTACGAGAGATCAAGATACGGAAAATCATTGGGGTTAGCATAGTAAGCCCCTCCCACCCTTCCAATCAATTTACACCGTTCCTCCATATCAGAGGCATTATGAATGATCCCCGCGCCAATATTACTCGCTCTGCTCTTCGTTGTATGTAAGACCCACAATCCACCTCCGGCTGGCCAGCCTGCTCGGATGTAAGAATTTAATGGCGTGTAGCAACCCAATTCATTCTCAGATTGCTCTATTTCACTCTCTCACCAGGTTGCGCCTAGATGATGCACTGCATATACGCCCCGGTTAGGATTGCATTTAATAACATAAACGAGATAATACGGGAATACTCACTCCGGTCACAATGCGCATCCTCCTTAACCTGTTTTATCCGGATCCGGATGCTGACGGACGCTCTGTATTTTCAAACCGGCTGAGGCCGAGATAGTCCAGTTCTAGGCCGAAGCAGGAGGTTAGGATGTAGACGCCGCCTTTGGAGGGGTAGCCGAAGACGTGGACTCCAGGGCCACAGGAGAAGTATGCCCAGAAGCGTGGTTAGGGGTCGTGCTTTGCACAGTCGATGAGCATCTTTCTTGGTGCGGGTGGTCGTGCCGGCGTCAGTCGTTTAGGGAGGAGATACGCGCAGACTAAAATGGCGGAAACAATTAGGCAGGAAAAGAGAATCATCATAGCAAGATGAATATAATAAATTCAAGTATATAAGACTGAATACGTCTTAATACATAGCAGTTGGAGCACTAGGACATATTGGTCCACCTCTCCCTCAACCCATGAGCCGCCGCCTTAGGCTTCCGATCCCTGGTAAACACACCCTTCTTATTCCCATCAACCCTCGTAATCCCCAGCGCAGTCTGGAAATCCGCAAAATTCCAAACAAGCTCGCCAACAACCGACTCCATCCGGTCAAACACCCGATGATACATATCCAGCATCCGCACCTGAAACTCCTCGCTCCAAAGAACATCGAGAACAGAGTGCAGACCGGCAATAGTATCCGCACCGTACTCGGACATAATTATGGGCTTCTCGGGGAACTTCTCTTGCCAGCCGCGCAGTTCCTTCTCGAGCTCAGCTTCTGCTTCGTCGATCTGACCGGTTTCAGAGTACCAGCCGAAGTACCGGTTCAGGCAGAGGACGTCGAAGAAGTCGGAGATGCGGTCGAGTTCGAATGTGGCGGAGCCGAGATTGGCGAAGGTGATGGGACGGGTTGAGTCGAGGGAACGGGTTAGTTTGGCGAGGGGCTCGAAGTACTCGCGGGCTCCGTCTTCGTTGGAGGCGGGCTCGTTAGCGATCGACCACATGACGACGCTGGCGTGGTTCTTGTCTCTTGCGATGAGTTCGCGGATAGCCTGCGCGTGCGCCTCACGGGTCTTGTTGTTGATTCCGTCAGGTCCAAAAGTCGGGGGGGAGTCACTGGCATCAAGACCGGCGTCAATGGAGAATGCCAGACCAACGGCGGGTGTCTCATCGATAACAACGATCCCGTGCCTGTCCGCAAAGTCCATGACCTCCTCTGCGTAGGGGTAGTGTGAGGTGCGGAACGAGTTGGCGCCTATCCAATTCAGGAGCTGGAAGTCGTGAACCATGTATGCCTGGTCGTGGCCCTTGCCGCGGACAGCGGTGTCCTCGTGCTTTCCGAAGCCGGTGAAGTAGAAGGGTTTGTCGTTGATGAGGAACTGTGCGCCGCTGACTTTGATGGTGCGGACGCCTGTGGCTACACTATAGGTGTCGAGGACTTTGCCGGAGGAGTCGACGATGTCGGCGCGGAATTGGTAGAGATAGGCCGCGCCGGGTTGCCAGAGGTTGACGGAGTTGATGCGGACGGTTCCCTTGGGTCCGGAGGCTTTGGAGACAGTCTCTCCAGCTTCGTCAAGGACGCAGATCTTGATGTTGTTTCCTGCCGTCGCGTTGCCGGACATCTTGACGGAGTAGTTGATGAGACCGATTTCACCATCAACATCAGTGACAACAGTGATATCCCGGATATGCTGCTTCGGAACCGAATACAGCCAGACAGACCGCGCAAGACCAGCATAATTAAAGAAATCATGCTGATAATCCTGCACCCTCCTCCCCGTATTCTCCAACACCTCAACCTTGCCCGGCGGAATCGTCTCATAAGTCAACTCATTATTCACCGCAATCGTCAACCGAAACTCTTCTCCCGCAGCAACAAGATCCGTAATATCAGCCTCAAACGGCGTATACCCGCCCACATGCTCTGCGACCAGACGATCATTAACGTAGATACGACCATGGTGCGTGGCGGCTTCAGCGCGCACCAGATACTGCTCGCCAGACCAGCCTCGCGGCACGATCACCTCGCGCTGGTAGTACACCCAGCCGACGTGGTCGTGGATCTCCTGGGAAACAAAGATGTCGTTGTACGAGGCTGGGACGGGGCATTCGAGGCCTTTGGGTAGTGGACCTGTCCATGGTTGAGCGGTGGAGTTGTCATCGGATGCGAGGGCAAAGTTCCACAGGCCGTCGAGGGAGACAAGGTCTCGGGAGTAAGTCCGTTGGGGTTTGAGGTTCAGCAGGGGTTGCTGGCCATCTTGACCTGATTGGCTGCGTGGGCGATGGCTGCTGCCCGTAGGAACGGACAATACATGGGGGATAAGAGATAAAAGCGATAATCCGGTTAGGAGCTTCATCCTGCCAACTAGTCACTCAAGTGCTCGTTCTCAGAACCTGGTTGTGGTAGTTTTCATGGTTGTCATGGCTGATATATATACCGCCCTAAAGCAGGCATCGGCAATTGACCTATCCCCCTGTCATCAACCGACTCACCAATTTCACTGACCAGGAACATTGTAAACATCGTTCACAGTCTAGTACCATCTGGCAATACTCTTTAGGGTTACTGCCAAGAGAGGCTCTCAGATCTTTTTGCGGGGGTGGACCCGACATGCATAGGTGCAGCCAAGCCCCAAAATGCGGAGATGACGGCAACTTAATAAGAAAAATCTGGGGTTGAATTGCCGCTGCCGGCAATTAGTAGCGTGATGTTCTGTGTTATTCAGTAGTCGTAATATGGGGTGTAGACCCTGATTCCACGGCAGCAATTCCGCGGTATATCCGCGGGGCTTCGCTGCCAAGGGTTGATTTGTAAGATGGGGTTTGATAATGAGAGTATACTCGAGAGGTCTGTTCGCAGGGAATGGTTGCCAATGTGGCATTTTGGTTGGTCATGTTAGAGATGGAAGGATACTAGTAAGGAGGGGAGTTCTGTGAAGGTAAGAATACCGTTGCGGAAGTCCAATGGCTCTAGAATATCAGTTTTGTAGTGACATACATACATCCTATAATACAGACATAACATCATGCAATCCTAATCCATCATAACGTACACTCAAAATCAAAGACCACCCCGTAACTCCACCAAAACCGCCTTCTGCCTCGGCGCACTCATCCGCTCAAACCGATCCACACTCATAACAAACGTGCCGCGACCCGCAGTTAAACTTCTCAGATGCTTTAGATACCCGACCATCTCCTTCAACGGTACCTTTGCGGCTATAGTCCGCGGGCGATTTGCTGACCCAGACACAGGATCCGTGTTCCCTATCGAGCCCCCGCCAATCGAGGTTGTCTCAAAGGGATCGCGGGGGGCGTACACCTTGCTAGTGTCAATGGGCGGTAGGTCCTCGGGTGGTTGTTGGGGTGGGGAGTATGAAGATGTAGGGGAAGAGGCGAGGTCGGTTGTGGGCAGAGTGAGGTCTTCGTCTAGGGAGATGATGTGGCCGCCGCGGGAGGAAGAAATGTCGTGGACGACAGAGCCAAGGGAGGATTCATCGACGGAGATGATTACGTTCATGAGGGGTTCCATGAGGGAAGTACCCGGTGTAGAGAATGTTCCTGGTGCTGATTGAGGAGAAGAAGGTGGAGGAAGGAGGGTGCGCAGAGCGGCGGTTGTAGAGTGCCGGGCCGCGGAAGAGAGGGCGGAGGCGGTGGTGTCAGTGCCGTAGAGGTGTTCAGTTGCGTCGAAGGTGAGGGTGACTCGTGTGCTGTGCATGGGGAAGGTGAATTGCGGTCCACGGGCGAGGGCAGCGAAAACGCCGTTTTGGAGAGTTGCGCGGAAAGTTGGGATGTCCAGACCAGCTGGGAGGAGAGGACTTTCCTCGACGCCTTTCTTGTTTGTTTCGACTTGCAGGTTTGATGTACTGATGATGATTTGGTTGTTCTCGTGTGTGGTAATGGAGAGAATGTCGTTGCTTTCGGGACTGGCGTCATCCGTGTATGGATCCCAGGACTCGACAACTGCAGTACATCCAGCTTTGCCCTTACGGCCGGCAATTTCCTTGTCAAAGATTTTGGTCACAGGGGCAGAAGTTCCCAGTGGTGCTTCACGGTATCCAATCTCAATCCGACCCATACTAGCCTTAGCCTTGAGGTCGTTGAGAAGACGATCCCGAGCGATCTCGAGATGCAGTTCGCCCATCCCGCTCAGGAGCGTCTGTCCTGAATCTTCATCCACCGTCACATGCAGACTAGGGTCTTCTCGTAAGAGAAGCGCCAACGATTCCTCCAGCTTCTTCTCCTCGCTCAGGCTGTGCGGTTCCACACCAGCGAAGAACACCGGTGGTGGCACATCAATGGGGCGGAGTTGGAGGGTGTTCAATGGCTCTGGGGGTGTTGATTTGTGTCCTGCATATGACACCAGGGTGTCTCCCGTCCGCGCATGCTTCAAACCGACCACTACGCCGATATGACCCGCGGGGATTGAGTCAACCTCCACAGCGTCATTGGCGTACATCTTCAAAAGACGAGGCACACGTTCTGAGACGTTGAGGTTGGTGTTGAACAGGGTGCTGTTTCGATCTAGTGACCCTGAGTAAACTCGCACGTACACCAGCACCCCCCGCTTGGCATCGTTGACCACCTTGAAGGCCAGACCACAGCCCTGGAGTTTCTCGATGGAACTCTGTGATTCTGCCTGCAGGTTCTTCTTGCTCTTCTGCTTCTTGTCGCCGGACGCAGCTTTCTCATTCTGTTCCACTAGGAGGTCCCCCGAAAGCAGTCGTCGGAGACCACCCCTGACATCCCCAATGCTGACCTCTGGGTCTGCAGTCTCGAGGGGACTGGGAAGAAGATTGATCACGGAGTCTAGTAGAGGCTGCACCCCGATGTTGCGGAAACTGGCACCTGCAAACACGGGGATGATCCTACTCGATTTGTTTTCAATAAGACAGCGGCGGAGACTGTTGATTATGTCTTGAGGCGGAACCGCTAAGTGATCCTCGTCGCATTCGAAGAACTTCTCGACCAACTCGTCGTCATGCTCGCTCAGAAGCTCGACCAGAGCCGCCCGCGCGCGTCGAAGCTCCGCCGCCAATTGGCTTTCTTCCTGGTCCAATTGCTGGAGATCCAACATCTTCACAGACTTGCCATCACCGTCGCTCCATCGTAAGCCATGAAGGTTTATCACGTCTGCTACTCCTACAAAGCGGCCATCTCCGCCTTCAAACCACGGAATCTGACAGACAGCCGGCCAGCCTCCAAGTCTCGAGCCCACCTCTCTCACTGTCCGTCCGAAGACCGCTCCATCACGATCGAGTTTGTTGACATACACCAATCTTGGAATCCGGTATGTGCTAGCTTGATGCCAGACCTGCTCCGTCTGAGCCTCGACACCCGCAACGCCATCCAGAATACACACGGCCCCGTCCAGAATGCGCAAGGACCGCATGACCTCGAATGTAAAGTCCGCATGTCCGGGAGTGTCGATGAGGTTGATGGTATGAGGCACCGCAGATCTGGGAAGGAACTTGTCCTGTGATTCCTGCACAGTCACCGTGCTCTCGTCCCCAGGTGACCCCGGAGGCCAATGGAATGTAATTGCTGCAGACTGAATGGTGATACCCCGAGCTCGTTCCGCGGGAAGGAAGTCTGTCACTGTAGATCCCTCATCCACGTCTCCGATTCTGCGTGTAAACCCGCTGTAGTAGAGCATGCGTTCCGTGGTGGTGGTTTTGCCCGCATCGATATGGGCAATGATGCCGATATTCCTCGTCCGCTCGAGCACCTCCGACCATTTCGCTGATGATGTCGAGAAGCATTTTCGAGTAGGCAATGGCAATGATTTGAGAGTCCCTAGACGTCGAGTCGCAATTGGGCCTGGCTTCAGAGCCAATGCCTGGGGAGAGATGCGCAACAACGGAGTCGCAACCATAGCAATTGAGAAGCTGTCCTTAATAGCTGCGCACAGAGAGCTTTATATCAAAAAGTGCATCTCGATACTTATACAAAAGAGAATAATACCGGACTGTTTGGAGATGACTGTTGAGGTCATAAGCGGATTTATATCGCCGGCAGAAAATGTACATGCCTCAATTGTAAGGTGTCGACATCCCTAACGACGTAACCTCCGCCTACTCTTCTTCTCCTCTTCTTCCTTTGCTTCTGGTTCACGCCACTGTTATTTCCCGGTCTGTTGTCTTTAATTCTGTCGGTGGATCTGGATTCGAGAGACTCAGAGGTGTGCGACATCTTTGAATTATCAGCGCAGTTTGTTCGAATTCGCTAACGGTCGTCAAGGCAGAACGTGGCCTGTCCCATACATACATTCAAACTGATTCAGGCAGCCACAATGGACTATTCAGCTATATCCGATGATCCTACCGGTACCTCTCCTTGGGCGTCCCCGGGACCCGCAAAAACCACTTTTTCGGAATCCAACAATAGCGATATCCCCCCGTCCGCGTTACCCCCTCAGCAACAGTCGCCGTACGATGCGGACCGAGATCTGTCCCAAGCTGCCGGTGCTGAGCCTTGGTCGGCTTCGAGAGAGGAGGATCCTGATTCCGATCTGTCGGAGCGATTACAGAGCGCGCAACTAGGCGATCCAGACTATGCGGTTGAACAACCTCCATACGCTACACAGCAACCACCGCTCCCGCCGCAGCAACCACAATATGCACCGCAACAGCAAGCACAGCCTCCTGTCCAGCCGCAAGCACCAGCAGGGCAAGAAAATAAGCGACCGGCTCCGCTATACAGAATCCAGGCGAGGATTACGGGACTGGAAAGGACGGGCAAGAAGGATCCCATTCTTCGGTTCGATGTTCACGTGGGTAACTCATACAGCTATTTCGGAGATGTTCATCTGACCCGAAATTTAGACAAACATTCCCAAATTCCGAACTACGCAATACCGAGATGTCCGCCGTACCCACGCAGAATTCGTCCGGCTCGCGGAGCATTTGATGTCGGCCAACGCTGAAGCTCTCGTCCCTGCCGTGCCCCCACCATTGACGCCTGCCGGTGCAGGAACGGAAGAAGATGAGATTCGCGTTAAAGCAGCGATGCAGCGATGGCTCAACATTGTTATGAGCAACGAGATCCTCACCCAAGACGATGAAGTGGTTTTGTTCGTTGAAAGCGACTTTGGTTACAGCCCGGTTGTCCGGATGAAACAGCCAGCGACGGGAATGCGGAGGAAGGTCTTGAAGCAGTTTGCGCCGCCCCCGGATGATACCCCTGAGCTGCAGAGCGCACGTCCTGCTGTGAAGATGTTTTACTTGGGTGCTATGGATGCAAGCCACAAGGTGGATCGCGTAGTTAAAGGTCGACGGGGTATGTTTATTCCCTTTTTATGGTTGCCAATTTCGAAAACTAACACCGTCCAGGGCTTGGCTTGGCGGAAACGGAATTTGGTTTGAAGCTTGGACAAATGCATGTACAGGAGACCCATCCGGGACTGGCCAACGCGTACAAGAAACTCGGAAAGATAATTCAAAACGTGGGCGACTTCCATGCAGTGCAGGCAACGGCCGAAGCGACCACGCTGGGCGACCCGCTCAATTACCATTCCTCCGATGCCTTCGTCGTGAAGGAAACACTGACAAACCGTCACATCCTTCTCCGAGACCTCCTTCAGGCCCAACAGACCGCGCACAGCAAGCGCGCTGCTGCCGATCGGTTAAGGGTCAGCTCCTCAGTCCGTCCCGACAAGGTGGACGAGGCCCTCAGTGCCTTGGAAGAGGCCGAGAACCAAGAGACTTACCTGTCGAAGCGAACTCACCGAGTCACCTCCAACCTGGTCCAAGAGAAACGACGGTGGTTCGACCAAACATCTAACGATGTCATCTCCCACCTGCGCGAGTACACCCTACGCCAAATCGAGGCAGAGCGCAGGACCTTGGCGACTCTAGAGATGGTCCGACCGGATATCCGCGCCATCGACTCCTCTGGGGGCCTCAGTCGTCTAGGCCGTGAAGCGCATCCAACAGCGCGACGACCGAACGTTGGGTCGAGCCAAGGACCCAAGGGTGACGCATGGAGTGGAGTGCCCCGTCGGGGTGATAGTCTTGGACGCAGCCTAAGTGGCAGCTATATGGCGCCCAATCTGGAGAACGGCGAGGAAACAGAATCTGGATCTGGACGTATGCGGTCCTCCAGCGGCGTTGGGTCCATCGCCGAAGAAGACGATGATGACCGGCTGGATGCTCGGAATGCGGCGAGTCGGTTGGCGGCCAGCACATTCTGAGCCAGTCATTGTCATCATTTCTTGTATGTAAAAAGTATGGGCCATGATCTGTTGTGTGATTCCCCTTGACTGTCAATCTGTTATTTTAGTCAATTCTGTATGTGATTACCATGGCTATCTCGCATTGATTTGTGTATATTGTGTGCCATTTCGACAACCCCATTAATGCGTGAGTAACGTAAAGAGCATAGAAAGTGCCACTACTATTGACAGTCACACCATCTATATACCCCCATCTTTGGTTCGGAGATAACCAGGACTCGGAGACTTCCCCACTTCGGTGCGGTTCCACTCTTGATTTGAAAGCAACCATGATAGTTATAATACCCTCTTCTCTCCTTGTAACTTGAACTATTCTCTTATTCTTGTACTTTTGTGTATACAACTCTTACTTACACACTGACAAAATGGCTCCCAAGGTCTTCTTGTATGTGCTGATCCATATCCGCTCTATATACTCCGCTAACACACCGAAGAACAGGAACAACTGGATACATTGGCGGTGACGGCTTCTACTCCGTTCACCAAGCCCATCCCGACTGGCAGCTGTCTGTCCTTGTGCGCAGCAAGGACAAGGCTGCGAAGCTGGCCGGTGAATATCCTCAGATCCGGATCGTTCACGGTGATCTGGACTCGGCCGACATCATCGAGGAAGAAGTTAAGAATGCGGACATTGTTTACCGTACGTGTTTCACTCATAACCAGAAACGAAACCCAAGCTAACAATCACAGACTTCGCGGACTGCGACCACGTCGCCTCAGCCGAGGCCATCGCCAAAGGCGCTAGCCACCACACCCCCCAAAATCCCGTCTGGTGGATTCACACCTCCGGCACCGGCATCCTAACCGTCGAAGACTTCCGTACCAACACCTGGGGTACCGAGCACTCCAAGGAGTACAACGACTGGGACGGCGTCTCCGAACTCCTCAACCTCCCCGACGACGCCCTCCACCGCAACGTCGACAAGATTGTCATCGAAGCCAGCAAGAACAACCCCGACAGCATCAAGACGGCTATCGTCTGCCCGCCCACTATCTACGGTCCCGGCCGTGGACCTGGTAATCAGAAGAGTGTGCAGGCGTACTGGCTCACTGCTGCTGTGCTGCAGCGCAAGAAGGGTCTGCTTGTTGGGCGGGGCACGAACATCTGGCACCAGGTCCATGTGCAGGATCTGAGTAAGGTTTATCTTTCGCTGGGTGAGGCTGCGGCTGCTGGTGGTGCCCCGGCGACCTGGAATGATGCGGGTTATTACTTTGCTGAGAATGGGTCGTTCGTTTGGGGTGATATCCAGCGGGAGGTTGCCAAGGTTGCGCATGAGAAGGGTCTGATCCCGTCATCGGATGTGGAGTCTATTCCTGATGCTCAGGTTACCGAGTTGAATCGGTTTGGTTTGTATGCTTGGGGTAGTAGCTCGCGGGGACATGCTATTCGTGCTCGGAAGTTGTTTGGATGGACTCCTGAGAAGCCGAAGCTGATTGAGTTGATTCCGCAAATTGTTGATGTGGAGGCGAAGGATCTGGGATTGCAGTGATTGCAGTCAGATGATGATTTTATCAATAGTATGACAAGTTTAGTTTCGTGTATAGCGGCAGACACAATCTATTGAACGATCGACTACACATTCAAGTTTCAAACGCGCAGAACTCCGTATTCGCAATGGATATACCTCAGCTGAACTCGAAACATACTTGGACGGTGTACTATGTAGAGGGCCACTCGATATATACCATTTTGCCATGAAGACATATTATCGTGTGTGTATACCTTAGCCCTGAAGGGCTTTGGGACAAAAAAGCGCAAAGTACTGCCATAATTAGTATCGACAGCTAAATCCAGCTTTACAGACAGAAGAAAATCTAGGGAATTTTGAAATAGATTAATTTCTTTAGCTTTGGGGCTAGAAAGTGAGGCTGAACTGTTATACAAAGCACTGCCATTATTGTACTTCCCCACGTATACAAAAAACAGCCTTGCCATATCCAAAAGGGACACCCCAGTTTGTTTTGCCACAATACACCATGGATCCCCAAGAGTACTACCAAGAAATCGAGGAACGGGTCAGACAAGGCCTCTTCACGCGTGATGCTATTTTGAACACTCTCAGCGACAGAATCAGAAACTTCGGCATTTTGGAAGACGAGGAAGAGCAACAACTCTGCAAAACATTTGATTCTATCTGTACCGAAGAAAATGGCACTTTATATCTCTCCCAACCAACATTCATTTCCTTCCTCGGGAGAGCGGGGTTTCTTCCCTCGTCCATGACTGAAGCAGGGGAGATTCTCTATCGCTGTCTTATTAATCCTTCGCAAGCCCCATTTTATCAAAAATTCCGCTCAGAAGTTGACATTGGGTGGCCTCCTTCGGTCTCTGGTTTGGACAGACTACGATCAGTCCAGACGCGTCTATGAAGAAAGCGAAGATTCCCGGACTAGAACACCGGCCGACACACGGAGAATCATCTTCGAAAGCTTAGCAACAATCCGCAATGACAAGAAAGCGTCGTCTAGAGAGGAAGTCGTCCAGTCCAGAAAGCAATCCGAACAGAAAGCATTCGAATTTCCTGCATTTCACGCGCATCGCCGCGAATATGCCGAAACAAACAACGATGACGATGGTGATGAGGTGTTTCATGATCTCTTGGATGCTCTATTTGTGGCCCAGCCTACCTCTAAGATCTGGATAGCGCCGGTGCCGCGTGACTGTTTTCGTCCTTTGGCTAGGGAGATTCATCATGGGGGTCCGTATTTGCATGAGCTGAGTATTCCGGTGGATGGGTTTCGAGAGTTTGTTGAAATTCTTTTGTTTGCGCATTGTGGGAAACCCAATGTCCCAATAGAGGAGATGGTTGGGTTTGGTCATGCCGCAGACTGCATCTTCAGAAGATTCGTTCGTGATTCGGATGTTGGAATCACCTGGGAGACATTTGACCAGGCTCTCGCAGCAACTGTATGTCCCTCTTCTAACTTTCAGAGAGCCCAGGCTAATCTAAGCAGCCGGAACTACTCACCGGTCTAAAGCATATATTATCCTGCTTCTACACTACACCAGATACTGACAGTCTAGCGCAGCGTCTCCCCCAGCCAAGTAATATAGCTACCTTGCCTGTCTTTACGCAATTGAGTACAATACTTTCAGACACTGTCTGCTTCAACCAGCTTCAGTTCTACAAGTGCTACAACGTCCGCGATATCTCTCTTAACGCTTCTACTCTCGCAGATGCGATTAGTACAGCCCCCGATCCCTTAATCCTACTCATATCCGGAAAACTCACGAGAACCGGAGAGAAAGCGATCTTTGGCTATTACCTCCCATGGGGCGGTGGAGATGACGCTTCTGGTTTGTTTCTTTTCCAGCTAAGCCCGTTTCACGACGTTTTCCGGGGCAATGGCAACCGTCCGGGGTGGGTTATGGAAAATGGAGAGGATATCTTTGGGCAGAGAGATAATGGAGTAGCATTAGTGTTAGATAGAGACCTGAGACGGGCATCTATATCTCATAATCCTTCTGGGCGGAAGAGAGAGAGCCAGCATATAGGGCGACTTCTTGGAGAAGAGATTGGCAGGAGGAGGTCGAGGTCGAAGAAATTGAGATATGGGTTGAGGATTAAACTATGGGTGATGCATTGGCAAACTGTATCAAGTGATTATTAGAGACAATGATTCGAATACCACACATAGCCTACCACGTTAACAGTTCCAACATCGTAGAGTTATGTGACCTCATACATAAACATTTTAACGCGCGACAGGAGATAACCGCGATAGCCGCCACTAACGCCGTCACAGCAAGCTGCGGCGCCGTTCTTTCATGCTTTCCCTGCAACAAGTGAATAATCCGACGCTGCGCAGTCGTCGTTTCGCTCCTTTCGTTTTTTTTAGAGTGTACGACAGCAGGTATTCACCCCTCTCTATTGCTGCCATCTCGTTTGGCCCTTTATTTGCGTTAAGCATGTTGCCCGCCAGTACTGACCGAACCGCCAGTCTCAAAGCGACTCACACCCGATGAGCTGCGATCTGTCGACAACTCACCAGTTCTCTGCCTGAGACGACCAGCTCTGACCTAAGCTGTCATGGCTCCAGGTGCCGGAGGAAAAAGAAAGAGAGGCGATCGATCGTGGTCTGGCGATTCCGGGAACGAGTCCCAAAGACCCTCCCCCCATCGTCCGAGCAATCTCAACATGGCGCAATACCAGCCTCGCGACTTTCCCGAAACGCGCGGGCGCTTACGACGACAACCAAGCCGAGGAGGTCGTAATGGTCCCAGTCGGAGGCCCAGCGCTGATGGCCAGAATAACATGACTCCTCCCAACGCGACTCCCACTGTTTCCAGAGAGGTTTCCGATCCAATGCAGACAAACGGGCCCACGGCAGGCGCTGGAAACCAGCAACCTCGGCCGCCACCGTCGCCTGCACCGCCGGCTCCTGCTCAGCAGGAGCAAACTCAAGCGCCGCCCCAGACGCAAGCGCCGCTGCAGCCAGAACCTGCTCCCGTCGCTCAACCTCCTAATCCACCCGCACCCTACGATTACGAATATGTTACTGATAATGTTATTGAAGAGTGGATGTTGACAGGGCGGCAAAGGCTGGTTGATGAAGGCATTCAGACAAAAAATCAACAAGACGTTGGGAGATTGGCGTCTATCTACCAGGAGTTGATCCGCTCTGCTATTTATGGCCGCTTACCACCAACAGATGCAGGGGCTGCAGTGAAGGATATCATCGGAGAAGAAGTTGCGGCGCAGGATGTCGATATGGAGAATGGACAAGACGCGACACCGCTACTCGATACGCGCGCCCTGTTCCTTGATACCCTTTCTATTGTTACCGATTCGGATACGACAAATGGTGCCCTGAAACCGTTGGTATTTTCGACTGGTATCAATGCAGCGCTCATGCGTCTCCAGCTCGACACGCCCCTCCTTCAATCGCTCGGACTTGTTCGCGAGACCTTTGCCCGTATGGGTATTCGAAAACAGACCAATCTTCTTTACCGGCAATCGAACTATAACCTTTTGCGAGAAGAATCCGAAGGTTACTCAAAGTTACTAACCGAGCTTTTTACGACGAGCAACAACGAACCGCCATCCAGTGAGGTCGTGGAGGATACGTTCGAGCGGGTAAAGGCAATGATTGGTGCTTTCGACATGGACGTTGGCCGCGTGTTAGACGTTACTCTCGATGTTTTTGCCGCTGTTCTTGTGAAGCAATATCGCTTTTTCGTGAAGCTTCTGCGCGTCAGTTCGTGGTGGCCCAAGGAGGATACCTTCCGTACTCTCGAAGGTAGCAACCGTGATTCTGGGTTGCCGAACTGGGCATTGCCAGGTTCGTCTGGCTGGGTCACAACTGATGAAGAACGAGCAGAGATCGTGAAATCCAATGAACAACGAGACCGAGAGTTCTGGAGTCGAGTGAGAGAAATTGGAATCCGCGCTTTCTTCGAAATCGGGCGCAGGCCGATTTCCGAGGAGGAAAAGAAACAAATACTTCCTGAATCAAACACCTTGTCAGAAGAAGAGATCGAGACTCGCAAGTGGATCGAGGAAACCGGGACGTTGCCTCCTAAAGGTAGCCGTGTCGCCGCGCAGCTTCTCGGATTCAAGTTGCGCTTCTACTCGTCTCGGGCACGCTCAAAGTCAGATGTTCTCCCTGATAACCTCATTTATCTGGCAGCTTTGCTTATTAAAGTGGGCTTCATCTCCCTTCGCGACCTGTACCCTCATCTCTGGAGGCCCGATGATTCGATGGATGCGCTGAAAGAGGAGAAGTTGACAGAGAAAGCGGAGCGGGAACGAGCAGCAAAACCGGGCGGTGGTGTCAATGCGTTGATGATGGCCGGTGCTTTGGCAGACGATACTGCTCCTATGCCGCGGATACGCGAGTCGGAAGCTCGAGCCACCCCGAGTAAGGAACAAGAGGCAGACAAGGCTGCAGCTAAAGCGGAGGAGGATGAACTCCCGGAACCGTCAGATCAAAAGGTTCTGCTGCTTAAAAGTTTGCTGGCCATTGGCGCCCTTCCTGAAGCCCTTTTGATCCTGAGCAAGTTTCCTTGGTTGATGGACGTCTACCCCGAACTTCCTGAATTCATCCACCGTGTTCTGCATCACTCTTTGAGCAAGGTCTACGCCTCGTTACGTCCTTTACCTTCTGTGGACGGACTTCGGGATCAGCAGCAGATCCCCAGCCTGGACCAGTCCAGTGTACCTAAGGGGCAGATTCGGTTGAACCAGGCGCCTCCAAGGAGGGTTCTTCGATGGGCCCAGCTTGACGTGGAGGATGAACATGATGGGACAGATTACCGGTTCTATTGGGATGACTGGGCGGACAATGTTCCTATCTGTCAATCTGTTGACGACGTGTTCGCTCTCTGTTCTTCTTTCCTTAACCTCTCTGGTCACAAGATTGGGCAGGATGCGATTTTGCTCTCGAAATTGGCACGGATCGGAAGAGACAGTTTGAGCAAGGACGACTCTCAAGAGAACCGGGCCCGTTGGCAGGATTTGTGCAAGCGTCTTTTTGTTCCCGCTATCAGTTTGACCAAGGCCAACCCTGGCGTGGTCAATGAAGTTTTCGATCTCATCAGTTTCTTCTCCCGTGAGGTCCGATATAATATGTACGCGGAATGGTACTTTGGACAAACTTCGCGACTTCCCGACATTAAATCCGCATTCGACCAAGCTAGAGCCGAAACCAAGGACACGCTCAAGAGACTAAGCAAGACGAACATTCGCCCCATGGCTCGTGCGCTGGCAAAGATTGCATACGCTAACCCCGGAATTGTCATCAACGTCGCCATCAGCCAAATCGAATCCTACGAGAACCTCATCGAAGTTGTTGTGGAGTGTGCCCGTTATTTCACGTATCTTGGATATGATATCTTGACATGGTCCCTTATCAACTCCCTCGGTCAGAAAGGACGGAGTCGCGTCCAGGAAGGAGGTTTACTAACCAGCCGGTGGCTGAATGCGCTGGCTACGTTCGCTGGAAGGACTTTCAAGCGATACTCTGTCATGGATCCTACTCCAGTGCTGCAGTATGTGGTAGAGCAGCTGCGGCACAATAACTCCACAGACCTTATTGTCTTAGAGCAGATGATCAGCTCCATGGCAGGTATCATCACGGACAGCAGCTTCAACGACGCTCAAATCCAGGCCATGGCAGGTGGCGATACCCTTCAGTCGCAGACGATCCTACAGTTGTTGGACAAGCGACACGAGTCCAAGACGACTTCGAAGCGACTTATGAAATCACTTACTGTCTCCAAGCTTGCTGGCCAATTGCTCGTTGCTATTGCACAAGAGCGGTGGACCTGTATCTTCCAGGAGGAGGGCTCGGAAGAGCTGAAGCTTTTGGGTAACATCTTCGATGAAATCCACCGTATTCTTACGCAGTATCTTGATTTGCTGCGCAGCAATTTGTCTGTTGAGGAGTTCGATTCATTTGTTCCCGATCTGCCTACTCTGATCAAAGAATTTGGTGTGCAGCCTGAACTCGCTTTCTGGATTCAACGACCCAGCATCGGGAAGAGGATCGCTGAAGTTGAACGGGCAGCGCAGGAGGAAGCTGCGTCAAAGAACCGTGAAAGTGAGGAATCGTCCTCAGCACCCAAGGCCGAGGATGGTCAAGAGATGGCAGTTGATGGCGAGCCGGCGACTAAGAGTGAGGAAGCAACGACTGAAGGAACCATGGATGTGGATAAGCTGCAGTCCCAGAGCTCAAACGAATCTGATGGCACTCTTGCTCCTGAGCAACCGGTTGCGACCGGCAATGGTAATGCCGATCCTCCTGCGTCGAATGTCGTCGTCCAGGACCTCGAAGAGCAGATCCAGTCTGTCTTGTCGATCGACACGTACGGCATCGTGGGATTGCGGTTCTACGTTATCTTCTGGCAATTGTCGCTTTACGACGTGCACGTTCCTCAGAAGGCATATGAAGATGAAATCGACCGCCAGAAGAGGAAGGTAGTTACAATCAACAACGATCGATCCGACATCAGCATGGCCGGGACTCAGCGGAAGGAACGAGAAAAGAAGCAGCTCACTCAGCTTCAGGAACGGATATTGGAGGAAAACAAGACGCATCTCAAGGCGTACGGCCAGACCAGGACAAGATTGCAGAAAGAAAAGGACCGGTGGTTTGCCGGCATGCGTGGAAACTACGACACTTTGAACGTTTCCTTGCTGGAGCAATGCTTCGTGCCTCGTTTGCTTCTGTCACCTATTGAGGCTTTCTACTGCTTCAAGATGCTTAAGTTCTTGCATACCTCTGGGACACCAAACTTCCGGACTGTCGGGTTGTTGGACCAACTGTTCCGCGAGCAAAGAATTACGGCTATCATCTTCCAATGCACCTCGAAGGAGGCGGACAACTTTGGGCAATTCCTCAATGAAACCCTACGGGACCTCGGTCGCTGGCACGCCGACAAGGCTGTCTACGAGAAAGAGGCTTTTGGTACGAAGAAGGACCTCCCCGGATTCGCTTTTACCGTTGGCTCCGATGGAAAGCCAGCGGGGTTTATAGATTATGAGGATTTCCGTCGACTGTTGTACAAGTGGCACCGTATCCTGGCCTCAGCACTCAAGATTTGTCTGAATGGGGGCGAATACATGCACATTCGAAACGCGATTAGTGTGCTCAAGGCAATCGTTCAGCAATTCCCCGCCGTCAACTGGATCGGCCGCGATATCTTGAAGAGCGTCAACAACCTGAGCCAGAACGACGAACGAGATGACGTGAAGACACCCGCTGCTTCGCTGATTGGAGACCTCAACCGGAGAGAGAAGAAGTGGATGCTTCCTCAGGCATTCAATGAGATTAAGGGACCGATCCCGGCACAGCAACAGAAGACTGAGCAAGCTTCGTCTGATAAGGCTGGCGCCTCGGGAGCGGCGACACCGACAGCATTAAATGCGGCTGCGCCTTTGTTCAAGCCCCCAGGTGGCCAAGAGTAAGTTGACGAACATTTTGTCGATTGTCTACAGGTTTCTAATTGTTGTCCCGCGTTTACAGAGCCGAAGGTACCCCTAAGCCTGAACCGTCAAAACAGGAAGTTGAGGATGGAGAGATTGAGGACGCCAAAATGACCGATGTTGCGATGAAGGGAACGGAAGAAGGGACTCAGCAGAAACAAGAACCTTCTGCAAAACCTGAGACGGCATCGCAGCAAGCTGAGCAACCTGCTACTGGCGGTCCAGAGGCAGCACCAACCGACAAACCAGCCGAACCAGCAGCCGAACCACCTCGCGCTTCGTCCGCTTCCGCTGTCTCTCAGCCAGAGCCTCAGGCTCCAGCAGAGGTTCCCAAGCGTCCTGAAATCGAGCGATCTTCATCCAGTGCATCAAACATTCGTGGGTTGCCTAACCGGCCAATTCGCCATGGGGATGGAAGACTGCCGCCCCGACCTGAACGGCAACGACACCCTGGCCGCTATGATGGGGAGCACGATCGCCCTGGTTATGGTCCACTCGAGAGGGAACCCCCGACAAGACTGCCTACCGATGAGCCATTCCGTGGTCCTGCGTATCGCGACGGTCGACTTCCCCGAGAGCCCGAATGGCCGGACCGACCTGGACGGTTGCGCCCTGCACCTGATGGCTTTGATGAACGGCCCAACGGTCCACGTGTACCCCATGAAGCGCCAAGTGGTCCACGACCAGGCCCACAAACGCATCCTGACCGTGCTGGGTTGATCCATGAGCGTCCAGACCGGGATCGACGCGGGCCTCCACCGAGAGGTTTATCACCACCGAGACCATCAGAACTCCCAGGCCGTCTGGAACGTTTCCCCGGTGATGATCGACGCTTTGCCAATTACACCCCGGGCTCGCGACTTGATGATTTACCGACGGGACCTCGCAGCGAACGTCCAGGACGAGAGATTCACGATTCAAGAGAACCCCCGTCTGGCCCGGACATGAGCCATGGACGATTGCGCCAGCCGGAACCCGCGGAGATTCCTTCTGGACCACGGGTAAGAAACGTACATGGGCGTGGTGGTCGCGGAGCATCTGGACCGCAGCCTCCGCCTCCGCCTCCTGCGGGAGGCAACGAGCGCCAACCGCCAATGGGACCGAAACAGCAAGCGGCAGGCGCACCACCATCGCCTGCCAGTGAACGGTTGGATAATAGCGGAATTCATCCGGACCGTCTCAAGGCATTGCAGCTGCAAGGCAATGATTATGGCGGCGGACGATCTCAGCAACCACCTTCACCAGGGATTGCCCCTCCATCCGGGCCCCGTAGTTCATTTGTTCCGCCATCAGGTCCATCACCTATACCTCGTGGAGCACAGCCTTCAGGATCTGGTGGTGGTGGTGGTGGTGACCGGGGACGAGGAGACAAACGATTCGCCGGCATCAACACTATGCTTCAACAATCGGCAGGCCCTACAGATCGCAGTGGACCTGGTACATCGATCCGGGGCCGAGGCGCAAACCGCTCCGCCGCTGCCATGAACGCGCCATCTCCGCAGTCTACTCCTTCTGGCGGAACACCTGATGATGGAAGTCGCACTGTTTCGACTTCTTCTCAACAGGGCCGGCCTGACCTTTTGGCGGATCGGATCACTAGTGCTTCCAGAGGAGATGAAGGGCATTCGCGTAGGAGCCTTGGAGGTCGAGGCGACTTGCTCGAGGAGCCTGGTTCTGAGCCACGGCGTACGCAGCGGCACTCGGAACGGGATCGAGACCGTGACCGTGAACGAGAAAGGGACCGTGAGCGGGACAGAGATCGTGACCGCGGTGATCGCGGTGACCGTGAGCGTGGTGAGCGCAGTGAGAGAGACCGTGAACGCGAACGGGATCGGGACCGCGAGCGCGAACGAGAACGTCGTGGAGGAGACGAGGAAGGAACACGAAGCGGCAGCCGACGAGAAGAACGCGAACGCGCTCGTGAATACGAACGAGAACGCAGCCGTCGTAGCGACGCTGGCGCGGCTGGTAATCGGGACGACGCCCGTTATGAACCACCTCGAGAAGTACTACGACGGGGAGGTGGCAACCGTGACCGCAGAGAGCGGCGCGAACGAGACGAAGGAGCAGCGGCAGACTTGGCTTCCCACGAACATGAAGGCCGTCTACGGCCTCCATCGTCTATGGGCGTACCACCTCCACCGCCTCCTCCGCCCCCGCCTCTCCCCGGAAGTGCCGAGGATGAGCGACGATGGGGCGGCGGTGGCCGCGAGCGCGAGCGCGAGCGTAACCGGGACCGTGCGCGAGACCGTGATTATGGCGGCGGTAGCGGTGGTGGTGGTGGCCATCGCAAGCGCGGACGAGGTGGAGATGACGGACATGGTGAAGGAGGAGGAGGAGGTCGTGGAGGAATGCGGATGGGGAATGAGAACAAGAGGCCTCGTCGGGGGATGTAAACATATTTTGATATTTCTCTGGTGTGTTATTTGATACTCTCTCTCATTGATCTATTTCGTTTCTTTTTTCTCATCTATTTATGCATGATCGGGTGTTGGAATGGCTTTTTTTCTTTGCTAGCGATTGATATGTATTAGCATAACAGTGAAGCATTTTGTTGATACTAGAATATAATCTCAATTGCTCCAGTCTATACTTGATAGTACACCCAAATAGGCAACTGCTCCCCCCATCCGGCCCGACAATTGCTCCGCCGGCTAATCTTCGGTATGATACCTTCGTCAACCTTCGGCCATATAGTACTCCGTAGTTCAACTTCGGCCACTGGCAAATCTTCGGCCCATTTGACAGGACAGGATCCACGCCCACTGGAGGCTCATTGGATTGTCCTTTTACCCTGTAGGGTAACGCCTGCATTCCGGTTTGCGTGTTTCCAAAGCCAAAATTGCATGGCAGAATCTCGGCTGACGATCCGTCCACAGGTTACAGTCCGGTCCCTGATTGATTTTCCCGGGTGATATTCGTTTCGTGTTTCGTGTCCTCGGAGATAATAAACTCTGGGAGGGACTCATGTGATGAGTATTGGGATATATGGGAAAGTGCTCCGCTTCGGCTACTACATAGTACTATCACAGTGGGCAGCAAGCAGTCGGCTGGATACATACTACGTACGTACTCCCCATTGTGATGGGCGAGTAATGTGACGAGAGCCACAGCTGCCGAGTCGAATCGAGTCGAGATCGAATGCAGAACGAAAACCACTGCTCGGGAATAGGAATTGATTGATTTGATTGATTGATGGGTCGTGCATGAAGGGCTTGTTTTATGGGTTTTATTTATTACGACATTCTCTCGGTTCTTGTGTCCATCCTCTGCTCCATTCTCCCTCCTTGTTTCTTATATATTGCCTTCTGTTCTTCTTTTTACTTCCCTTGATCACATCGTTGTATTCGCTTTTCTCTCTGGCTCTAACGGCAGGCCCGCTATTGCATCATGGTTCGCTTAGACGTAGAACAGACCATTTCGGAGTTAACTCTTGGCGAGAAAATCGCTTTGACAGCTGGTATTTGCTTTACCTCGGATCTTTTGGCCTGCGCTTCACACATCTAACTCTGCTTAGGGGTTGATTTCTGGCATACCGCAGCTGTTCACCGTCTGAACATTCCATCCCTCCGTTTGTCCGATGGTCCGAATGGTGTCCGAGGGACACGTTTCTTCAATGGTATCCCAGCTGCATGCTTTCCCTGTGCCACTGCACTGGGTGCTAGTTGGGATACCGAGTTGTTGAGCGATGTTGGTCGATTGATGGCCGACGAAGCCATCACCAAAGGCTGTCACGTTGTCCTGGGTCCTACTATCAACATCCAACGCTCTCCGCTGGGCGGACGAGGCTTCGAGTCCTTTTCCGAGGATGGGATATTATCCGGTACTTTAGCCGGCCACTACAGCAAGGGTATGCAAGAGAAGGGTGTCGGGGCGACGCTGAAGCACTTTGTGTGTAATGACCAGGAACATGAGCGGTTGGCTGTCGACAGCATCGTCACGCAGCGGGCTCTGCGGGAGATCTATCTGCTTCCGTTCCAGGTGGCTATGAGGATCTGCCGAAGTGCGTGTATCATGACGGCTTATAACAAGGTGAATGGGACGCATGTCAGCGAGAATAAGGAGATTCTTGGAGATATCCTTCGCAAGGAGTGGGGATGGGATGGATTAGTTATGAGTGATTGGTTTGGTACATACAGTACCTCCGAAGCTATTAACGCTGGCCTGGATCTGGAGATGCCGGGCAAGACCCGGTGGCGAGGAGATGTGTTGGCCCATGCTGTATCTTCGAACAAAGTTGCTGAATTTGTCCTGGATGAACGTGTTCGGAACGTCCTCAACTTGATCAACTATCTGGATCCGCTGGGTATTCCCGAGGGAGCACCAGAAAACGGATTGAATCGAGAACAGGACCATGCTCTGCTGCGCCGGGCTGCCGCAGAGTCTGTTGTTCTTCTGAAGAACCAGGATAGCATTCTTCCCCTGAAAAAGGACAAGCCAATCCTGGTCATTGGTCCTAACGCTAAGATTGCAGCATACTGTGGAGGAGGCTCTGCTTCGCTTCTCCCCTACTATACTGTGACCCCCTTTGAAGGCGTTTCGGCCGCCAGTCAGGCTCCCGTCGAGTTCTCTCAAGGTGTCTACTCGCACAAGGACCTTCCTTTGCTGGGACCTCTGCTCAATACCGCGGACGGCAAACCAGGCTTCTCGTTCCGAGTATTCAATGAACCTCCCACCGAAACCAACCGGGGAGTGGTTGACGAGCTACATCTAGTCGCATCAGTCGGTTTCCTTATGGACTACGTCAACCCTAAGATCAAGTCCATGACCTTCTACGTCGACATGGAGGGCTACTTCACCCCCGAAGAAGACGGTCTCTACGACTTTGGAGTTACAGTCGTCGGTACAGGAAAGCTCCTCGTCGACGACGAGGTCGTAGTCGACAATACAAAGAACCAGCAACGCGGCTCCGCCTTCTTCGGCAACGGCACCATCGAAGAAAAGGGTGCTAAACACCTCCAAGCCGGCCGCACATACAAGGTCGTCCTCCAATTCGGCACCGCCCCAACCTCCGACCTCGACAATCGTGGCATCGTCGCCTTCGGCCCCGGCGGCTTCCGCTTCGGTGCTGCCCGCCGCGTCAACCAGGAAGAACTAATCGCGCACGCAGTCGAGCAAGCCTCCCGCGCAGAGCAAGTCGTTCTCTTCGCTGGCCTTACCATGGAATGGGAAACAGAAGGCTACGACCGCGACCACATGGACCTGCCCCCGGGCAGCGACGAGCTCATTACCCGCGTGCTCGCCGCAAACCCCAACACCGTCATCGTCAACCAGAGCGGTACACCCGTGACAATGCCCTGGGCACACAACGCCAAGGCCATCCTCCAGGCGTGGTTCGGTGGTAACGAGTGCGGAAATGGCATCGCAGACGTGCTGTACGGCGACGTCAACCCCTCTGCCAAGTTACCCCTCACGTTCCCCGTGCGCCTGCAGGATAACCCGAGTTATGTGAACTTCCGCTCCGAGCGGGGGCGCGTGCTCTATGGCGAGGATGTCTATGTGGGGTACAAATTCTACGAGAAGATCGAGCGAGACCCGCTCTTCAGTTTCGGATACGGTCTCTCATACACCACCCTCACTCGCTCAAACCTTTCCATCAACACCATTCCGGAAAACCCTACCCTCCCGCACCAACCCGAGGGCACGATCACAGAACCCGTCACCGCGACCCTAACCGTCACCAACACCGGCGCAGTCGCAGGATCTGAAATCGCACAATTATGGATTCTCCCTCCAGCAACGAACAGCGTTAACCGGCCCGTGCGCGAACTCAAGGGCTTTACTAAGGTATTCTTGCAGGCTGGCGAGAGCAAGGAGGTGCAAATCGTCGTGGATAAGAAAGTAGCGACGAGTTGGTGGGATGAGCAGCGTGGTGCTTGGGCTTCGGAGAAGGGGGTTTATAAGATTGAGGTTACGGGGACTGGGGAGGGGGTGTTGAAGGGGGAGTTTGAGGTTGGGAAGACGAGGTATTGGGTTGGGTTGTAATGTCATGCATGTGGTACAAAGTACTTAGGGAAGCACATTATGGGTGTCAAAATGAACTTAAATGGTATAATAACAGATCAATGAGAAAGACATATATCAATAGAAACATCAAAGCCGATCAGTAATCATACAGTATAGAAAACCCCACTGTTTGCAAAAAAGAGCAAAAATCCTGACAAGAATATTACAAAACATAATCACTAGAACAACTCAAGGAGACCACGGAATGCTCCTCGGCGGTTCGTGGGTGCCGACATCTTACCTCTCGCCTGGCGCATCGAAATCGTGGTGTTCTCCTAGAAGTAATGGCCTGAAAGTCTTTCATTATAGTTAGTGCCACACATGACTTCCTCGTTATGTCAAGGCAGGAGTTCCTTCCAGTGATCCAGTGAAATAATAATTCTTGAGAGAATTGTAAATTTTTGAATGGGAATTGTGTCCCAGACGGTTGCTGTAGTGGTCTGCTAGGGTTTGTGGTGGGTCGTTGACCAGTTTTGGGTACTCATCTGCTTGTATAGTCAAATTCGTGCATCCACTCATAACTGTGGTGAAGGGTATACTGTTTCTAGTCACGAACAAGACAATGGCAGGTAAGGATAAAGAAACAATCACCAGAACATCGCCAGAAGCGCTCGATCTATTTCCTTTAGCCACTCCCATTTGGCTGGTCGGGATAACAGTCGTATTGGCTTGGAGATAAAGATCAAATTGTCTCTAGTTAGTCTCGTGAGAGCTTCCCCCCCTTTTAACCTCTCGCCGTAACGACTACCTTTTCCCAGGGCGAAGTCTAGTTTCTTAGTGGAGGTTCCAAAGCGTTCTCATAGGATTTGACGATGCATAATATTCGCCAGTGCCCATTCAGCATTTGTAACTGCATGAATATGAACGCGCTCATCGCAAAGTTGGCGTATGTTGGTCACCAAGTGACCCTACTGCCAGGAAATTCGTTGATCAAGTTGGTCTATGCATTCTGGAGGCTGAGCAGGAACCTAGCCCCTGACGGTCATTGTGGTGGTCTGCTGGGCTTGTGTTGGGTCATTAATCAGTCTTGAGTAGTCGGATTTTCGAATAGACACATATTTGTGCATCCACTGTCGATGCATATCTGGGTTTGATAGATGTGATGCCGCCTTTGTTGGTTGGAACGCAAATCTGTACAACACTCCGATATAGTCAGTCTCTATAGTATTAGATACCATGCAGTACGACAAAGACATAGTGGTCACGCCTAGCTCTGCGTATGTTCTGCAGGTGTTTCGAAAATACAGTTGAGCAAAATTTCGAAGATGATTTCCATCGTGACTTTAGCCCCTGTGACTTGTGTCGGTTTCACATCGAAGAGAAGGCCAAGGCGGGTTTCTAGGGAACTTCTGGCTGGACAAATATGGCACCGTCGTTGTGAAAGTGGTGTCAGTATAGTTGAAGGGAAAAAACAGACTTCGAACTCCTGAACCTCGGTCCACCGTTGCAACAACTTGGACTCCTCGACCGACAGGAGAGTCCCAAATAGCGCGAAACCCGGCAAGCAGCTCCGCTTCTACTTGCATTTGAGGCCAAAGTGCCAGACACGCCCATGATGTTCTAAAAGTCATCTCTTCGTTAGTCTTTGTATCTCGGGTTTTGAAATTTACCCAAAATGGGTCAAGGGGCACTTTGGGTTGCCCAGCGCTATCGCAAGTCCCGCCAAAAATGTATAAGCAAGAGGTATGGGGATTCTCCTTGCTTCATTATCCGGATGATACGAGGTATCTCTCATTGATCAATGTAGCTAGCTGTGTTCTTGACCAAATGTGCCATAGTTGTGGAATTCACGACTGCCTGTATAGACATGGAGCGAATGCTGTCTTACTGTGAACATTCTTGCCCCTTGGCACGACCAGTAAATCGCGCGCGAAACCTTTGGCAGCGCGCTCCGTGTCCTGCGAACGAATCCCCATGTTGAATCATTCAGGGCACCGCCGTTACTGTAGTTGTTCATAGCAAGGGGAATCATGCCCTATTGAATGGTGAGAACCAAGAAACAAGAGAATGAGAGGGTGATCACCCACTTCATACCACAGGACCTGCGTGTAATCTCATTCTTTGTCATTGGCGCACGGCAAATCTGATATGTATCGAATGCTGATGGTAACAGATCAATCCAGAAACCCTCGAAATCTGCCTGCACTCCGGCCTTCAATCATCTCCAGTTTATGACCACCACCGCATTAACCCTGCTCCCAATTTGCCAGAGGTCCTTTTTTCGTAACATCGATGCGCATCCTTGGCTTTTTCCGGACCTCATCGCGCTGGTTGGCAGTTTGGCACGTTGCCATCGAGGGACAGATCGGCTTGGCTGATCTTGTCCTCTTATATGTAAGACATAGCCACTCTCGATGACAATGGTCAGCCAGCCTCGAAAACCAAGTTGATAGTTCTGGCGTTCTAGTACTCCGAACCACAGGATAGCTGGATGTCACCATAATGGTAACTAAGCTGCCAAATCTCGCAGCTGATCCTTGATTGGTTTCGCTTCTTAGCGGAATGTATTCGGAACTAAGAGGTGAGCATCTTCTATATCACCATGAGAATGTCTGGATACGATCGTCAAAGGCTCCCATTTCTGTAGATGAGCGTTGTAAAAGCCGTGGCTTTTTCAGCTTATTTATCGACACGTTTCTTATGTGGCATGCTCAGCTTCCAGAACCGGTGTAATAGCTCTGCAGCAGTAATGAATATTCATGTATGATAAAGGCAAAACGCAAATAACACTTCCACCGCATGTAAAAAGCCAGCAAACGACAAGAAATTTATACCAACACATACCCATCCGAGAAACAAAACAAATGGGGAGCGGACAGCTGCGCAGCCTGCCCCTTGTCTGATCTTTGGTGATTGTTTCGCTCGCCTGTAGATAAAGACCTGAACACCACAGAGTCCCCTAGCAGCACGCTCGTATTTCCGACGAGCTCTTTGCTACCGGCGGAAGTAAGAGCCCTTGAAAGGACCCCACATTTATCTGCCCCTTCAATATTGTTAGGTACGGATCGATAGTTATATCTTTGGATGACGTGGTAAGATAGGGAAATTCGTGCTCGTAGATCACCATTGTCGAGCTACCCAAGCCATGACACATCCGGGTTTCAAATGCATCGTGTGGGCCACTGGGGCGTATAGCTGGACCAAAACCTGGTACCGAGTGTCAGCGATCACACAATGCATAGTATTAGATACCATGCACTACTATGTAGAGACAACCGAGGAGTGTTCGTGCATATCCACGATAAGTGATACCCTTTGTAGATTAAAATCTCATTTCCAGATATTAACTCCATGTAATTTATGTTCGTTTCCATGGCGTGGTTCTCTCTAAATGGGAGGATAGAGGAGGCAATGATGGTAGGCGAAGTAAATCGAAAGGCTAACTGCCCGGGTTGTCTTCCTAGGTCAAAGCCCTGTTAAATCTATTAGCCTGTTAGGAGTACAAGAGGAATGAAGTTGCACGTACCAAAGAAGTCCTGTTTGGAAAGTAGAGAGACGGAAGTTGTGTCAGAAACGACATGCTCATCCTCGTGGGGAGGGAAGTCGAGAGCACACAGCTAGCTCAACGTCGAGCACTTTCATACCCAGGGCAGTTTGGTTTGAGGCGTGAATCCTCGAAAATCGCCATGAATCTGAAGAAAGGTAGAGCTGATTCGGAAGAGGTCTCGTCAAGGATACTCGATGGGGATTCCACTTAATAATGGAAAACATGGCTGAGCTGTTGAGGGATTGCCAGGTGACAGTATTTGCAGCCTCAAATAAGATATTAGAAGGTACTAGAAGGTAATCCATCTTCAATCACGGATAGTCGAGATATCATATGCTCTTATATTGGCACCCAAATACTCGCAATGACTAGTAGGTTTATGAAGATGAGAACGGATGAAAAAGCGATTAAAGTGATAAAATGCGATTGTTAGTAATTAATAGCTAGGTGTAGAGATTAGTGAAGGATATACAACGATGCAACAGTGAATGTACATGAAATGCAGAGACATAACAATGCAAAGCCGAAGAAAGACCCAGAGGGAAAAAAAAAAAAAAAAAAAAAACTTGTAAAGAAGCTAGACAACATCTACAATCCGACTAAACCCGACCGCCTCCTTCGCTCGTGGCATATTCTTCTTCAGCTTCGCAAGGCTGAAAAACGAGAACTTTCGAAGAATCGACCTTCGCCGCGAGAGTTGCTGGCCAGTCTCATTTACATCAGTGATACCGGTGGATTTGGCAGCATCCGAACAATTCGCGCAGGGACGAGTATTATGGGCATCGGATACCGGTCTGGGCTTGATCGTCCCTGTGTACATCTTCTCCTTCACTGCCTGCTGCAAATCCTTGTGGCGCTGTTGTTCTGCTTCGGGGTCCATGACTTGCCGTTGACCCTTACTGTCGATAATAACGGGAGGTGATACACCCATTCCCAGCTCCATTGCACAAACAGGTCTGGTAGTGGCTGTAGTGGTCTTGGGAAGCCAGCTGTATCTATATTTCGGGCGAGGGCCCGTCGCTTTGTCTGAGGTTTCGGTATCAGTTTCGGTTTCGGTGTCAGTGTTGGTTTGGCTTTGGCTTTCGCTCTCCTCCTGTAGATTCTCGATACGTTTCTTACGGACTAATCGTGTAGGCTCGGGAGCTGGTGCTGGAGCGGGAGGCCGGGATAGGCTGGGGACTATATGAGGCATCGAGTTGAGGTCTCTAATGAAGTCGAGAGGGACTTCGGGGTATGACTCGTTCACGACGTCTAAGCTGTAACGTTGACCGTGTGAAAGTCTGTGATCGTTCGCTTCTACCAGGGTTTCTCCAGACGAATGTGGCTGCTCGCCATCAGCGTGGGCCCCGTCTTTGGTAGCGGATGATGGGACACGGGATGTGCTGAAGTCAGATCGTCCAGTGTATGTGCTTTCGGCACGGGCAATTCTGGCTGTTTTATCGTAGAGCTCGGAAATATCGTCTTTCTTCTCTGGCTCGCTTTGCTGGACGTCGAACTCTAACCCGGGGTAGTATATGTTCCTTGGTGATCTGAGAGTCGTTGGTAGAGATTGTGTTTGAGGTGCTGTGTTTATTTGCGGTGCCGGCGCAGCCATGGTGTGCCTCCTCTCGCACGACACTTCTGGTCGGTGATAGTTGTTATACGAAGGAATCCCCCGTTCGATCTTCCGTTGTAGTCGGTGGCAGGCATATCGGAGTTCCTTCTCCACGTCGCGTGGGATGCAGGGTGGTTCTGTTATGGAACTTGAAGGTCGTTTCTGTGTGTTCGAGTTGAAGTATGCGTTTGGCTTGACAAAGAGTGTGATGGGCTGACTTTGTTAGAATAACGACGATGTGTATGGATTTGTGAACGCACTTGTGAAAACGAAATGATCGAGGATCGCGTCCTCCGAAGTCTGTCCCTCAACGAAACCTTGAACTCCATGGTGTGTGACAATGGCCGGTGTGCAACAACTCTAAGCGACTATGAACGGAAAAGCAGGAAGTAAGAGAGATAAAAACAAAACGAGAGTCCGATATGAAACAAAACAGCCTAACCAGCCAACATCAAGCTATGTTATCGGTTTACCGATTGACCACTGGAATGATAAAACAAACAACGGCTTTCCAGGCCATGCTCCCCGTTAGAAAGTAGTACCCAGATGCGTATTCATTGGACACGAAATACGGCGGTTGTCTGCGCGATGACTGGAATGCGGGACATAAACTGGCACAAAGAATGGATAATTTAACGGCGATGGGTCCGGGAGATGAGCAGAAGATCGACCGCTAATGTCTTATGCCTGAATGACCATAAGGAAAAAGGTAGCACTGGCCAGGTCGTCAATGGTGAGTGAGCATATAGCCGAACGAAAGTCGAGGTCAAGTCCTGCTCAACCGAATCCAGAAGATAAAGAGGGACACTGCTGGCAATGAAGAGCAGATTCGGGGAACAAAAACGAGAAAAACGCTGTCGAAGTACAAAAGCCCGTGGTCGAGTCCCAAAACAGTTAGTCGTGTCACAGTCGCCCAAATAGGAAGAAGACTTGAGGCTTCGCTGGCTGTTCTAGTCGCTGATTGGCTGGAAGCGCCGCTGTAGATCCCAAAAGGGTTAGCGTAGGGTTAATGAACTTCATCTACTGTCGGAATCTCAATTACTACGGCTTCTATATGATTTATTGAATATTGTTCTGGACGAGAATCGAAAGCAGGTGAGGCACATTATGCTGTGTGAGAATGATGGCGTCTGAAGAGCGATCTCAGACGTGATACTTGTAGTGTCACAGCATGGCCAGCATGGCCAGCATGGCGGGCAACTTTCAAACGGAGATACTCAATCAGAAAATATTGAATATGCACGTGTTAGCTCTACAAGACAATACATACCTTTTCCGTCCGATTGTTGATGTCTGCTTCTATGTATTTGTCCTCGAATATCCCGGGTGTCCGCAAGGGATGGGTGAACGGTCCGAACATACCTCGACGCTTTCTGTGTAAACAAAGCATCATTACTCGATTAAGAAATGACAGTCACAATGGAATGCGGAGTTGTCTGGGAGATGCGTACATGAAGGCCAGTATGTTGGTTGTTTTCATACACTACTCCACACATATCTGTAACCCCACGGTTGAGTCAGTGCCAAACCCTGTGGAAAATATATATATCAAGTACATACTCTGTACTAGAGCTAAATCAGGCAGGTGAAACAAATCATAACAATGCATGCAACTCGAACTGTACCCTGCATGATATACCCTAGCAACACGTGCATACACAGACAACGCAACCTGACGGCTGATTGCAGCTTCCCGGTCCGCATACAGCCTTGCTTCTAGAAGTCTAAAGATGACACCGCATCTGGCCCAATTTCATAGAAGTGTAAGATATACATATTGATTGTTTCCCAATATATCACTATCCCTATACTATCTACATGACCCACCACCCTCGGTGAATAGGTAATAGATACATCCACTGAGGGCTTATATGATGGAGAGCAGTTGGATGCTTCTTTACAGTCTTACCTGATAGGTAACCACGAGAGAGGCAGTTGGATGCTCATCCCTCTTGACTGGTTGTATAAATCACAAGAAAAGAACCGCACTGCAACTTCCCCGTATATATTTCATGCCCGTCGGTGCGCCCGACTTCCCACGGCGCGTTTCTCTTTCACCGTGAGAACCCGGGGTGCGTAGAGCATGGCAAAGCAAAGGCTGCAATTACTGCGCCAATATCGATCAAGGCTGGCTTTTTGCGGGAGCTTACCATGCAGTGATGTCCTCGACTTCAGCTTCGCCGAAGGTGCTGCTCTTGGTTAGCTTGTTGACGCCGTCGACGATGGCGCCGCCCTCGGCTGTCTGCTTGGACATGATCTCCGGCAAGACCTCGCGGAAGAATTCGAGGATGTAACGGTTGACCTGCTCGAACTGGAGGAGGAAGGCATCATGTCCTTCGGGGCTTTCAATCCGCTTCAGTCTCGAGCCCGGAATGCCAGCCGCAACCTCCTGTTGCTCTTCAAATGTAAACAGACCATCGCTTTCGATTCCCAGAACCAACGCAGGCTGTTCGATTTGACCCAACGCCTCTTTGACCGGGTCCTCCGACGTCGGACTGGCGCGGGAACGGGAGACATCGTGCGTGTCAAGCTTGCGGGTGATGGCGATGTAGCAGTTGGGGTCAAACCGCTTGACAAACTTCTCTCCCTGGTAGCGCAGGTAAGATTGGGCTGAGAAGTAGGTTGGGGGCCTCCTCCGTCCCTCGACACTGGGCTTCACAGGTGCGCTGAAAGTCTTGGTACCCGAAAACTGCGGATCCATATACTCAATGGCCGGCAGCTCAGCCTGCAGCTGCGGAGTGGGTGAACTCCGCGACTGTCCACCCTTGTGTCCATCGTTGTGAACAGCCCAGTGCTCATTAGGAGGGGTGGGCAGCTTCTGGGTGTCCCTGATGTTCTGCTGCTTCGAGGGGTCGGGAACATTTCTGCCGAATCGCGACTCGAACGAGTTACGACTGCGATAGGTGAGGAGTGCGGACATGCGTGCAGCTCCCAGTCCCGTTACCGGAGGATCGTCGAAGGTGTAGTAGCCATCGTCGTACTTTGGATCGCTGTAGATGCTTTGTCTTTGAGCCTCTCCCCAGCTGATGCACCATGCGGAATGGCGGGCAGAGGTGGCGATCGGAACAACTGCTCGCACATAGTCCTTGCCGAAATACGCATATTCCAGAGCGAGCATACCGCCCATGGAACCTCCAATCACCGCCGCAATCTGCTTGACGCCCATGTCATCCAAGACCATCTTGTGAATTCTATTTACTTGGTCAGCGACCCGCCTTTGAGCTTGTAGCACGAGATAGAACCTTACCTCACATCATCACGGACAGTAGTAAGCGGGAACTCAGGCCCGTAAATCCCCTTCTCCGGGTCACCGTCCTTGTATGTCACGGCACTGGCACTTCCGTACGGACTGCCCAAACTGTTCAAGCAGACAACGTAGAATCGAGATACATCAAATGCCTGACCAGGTCCACCCAGGAGCGGGCCCCACCAGTCCGCCACATCTGAACTACCACTCAATGCATGGCAAATAACCAAGACATTGTCACGTTCGGGAGACAACTCGCCCCTCGCGGTGTAGGCGATAGGGACATTGTGTAACGTGACACCAGACTCGAGGGTAAACGACGGAACGATCACAGTGGTTTGGTCCGTAATGAGATGCGAATAGGGGTTCTCAGGTTGCGAGTCGATTCTCTCTACGGGATTTAGCAGCTGTCCATCGGAATCGCGGGGTACATGGGGGAGTACTGACGGAATTGCCCAGTTTGGACGGTGCTTGTTTCTGCCATTGCGGTTGATGTTCGCAATGAATGGAATGAATATAAGACAATAAACAAGAAACGCAACAGATGTCTCTATCTTCGTTCTTGAACAGGTTGAAAGGAGTGATGAGCTGAAGAGTTGAAGAGATGAAAATCGAGGAACTGGGGTCGCCAACCCTCCGCGCCCCCCAGCAGCCAATCACAGCGCCCAGTATCGATGGCGATATTGTGGGCGGTGAGAAAATTTCTGCTAATTCTTTCAGACCGCCTTCTGTGACTCATCAGTGTACAGCTTGCATAACTTAGTTATGCCCCTATGCATCTAGATTCCAGAATAGGAAACCCTCTTGCCCTCACCGTCATCATTTCATCGTCTTCCAAAGAAATCGCTGTCGCCTATAGTGAGGTTTTTTGAAGGACAAAATATTGATGAGAAGCAATGGGATCACGAGACAGCTATGTGGTTCGAGGTAAGTGACTTCCCCGTACCTCACCTTCTCTTTGTCTTGCCGCTCAACGGATTTAACAGGGCGTAAATGTGGATTAACCGCGACTGCATGGTGTTACCAGGTCCCGGTACTAATTTGACAGAGACGTTTAATTGGGAACAAAATTTGGGGTCACAGCTCGAAAATGCTCGGCATGCGAAGTCTAGATGGTACCGCAAACTATTCAATTTCTTGCGGTGAGGTCAGTTTTCCGGAAGTACACCCGGCCTGTCGAGTCTGCTTCTCGTAGATCCATCTAGAGTTCCCATATGCCTCAAGGTACTAACACCAGTAAAAAAGAGCTAGCCCCATGGCGTGCTGTGCCAGCCAGCGAAGTCATGCTTCTGGAACTGTATATGCAGAGCATGAGGAGATGGCGTTAGCTACGAATTGCATTAGAGCAGTGCTTTTTGGCATTGTATTTCCAACACTTGTGCCTGGTCCTCTTCATTTAGAAAACAGTGTTTTGGCTTGTTCGCAGAATGCTTATGGTAATGTTGTGGACCGAAGGACTAGACTTGTACTCGTTAATCTGCAAATGTAAGCTCACTTGGTTCCGGTTTTCAGCTATCCAGCATTAGACGAGAACCAAAAGCGAGTATAATGACTACGTGAAAATTTTTCCCTTGAGCCCTATAATATCACGTGCTTCTAGGCAGTACTGCCTGACTTTTATTTTAGAGCCGTCTATCATGAACTTCAACTTGATCACTTCTTTGCCGATAAAATGCTTCAAACATGCACTCGCACTCTATGGTGCGCCGTACCCAATAATCTTGGGCAACCATTCTCTATAGAGTATATTACAGGCCAAGACAACATTGAGTCGCTGAAGAAGAAAATCTGGGATCATTTGCCAGCACGCATCAAAGATCCTCTAGCAAGCTATGAACTCACTCTCTACAGCCCTGTGGCGCAACTCGATTATAAAGAGTTTACGATCAGTACTGGCAAAGAGCTACACCCCCGCCAAATTATCACATCCGATTTCCAGAAACGAAGGATCCAAATGTGGATGTCGTGGTGCTGAGCGGACGCTCTAATACGCGGAAATGAAAGCCCCCCATGCCCCTAACAGAGAACCAGCTCATATGCCATTGGGCACATATAGTCTCAAATCTTGCGGCCATTTTGGATGAGCTGAAATTTGTGCATATTCGGGGAACTCCGGCCAGTGGTAAAACAACTAGAACACGAACTGTGGGTTAGGGTTCTCACAGATTCGGCAATATGAAGATGGTAGGAATGGAATTCGATGGATTACATATATATCCGGACAATCGAAGGACTTAAATATGAAGAAAAGCACAATGGGTGTTATTCGCAAACCTATCAACCTATCAAGTAGTACGCCTAAACCCAAAAGCAACCAACCGTTGACACCAGAAAGAATCCAAAGTAGATAAATATCAGAGCACATGTACATGTAAGCCCTCGCTAAAACGCCTCGATTGCCTCCTCTTTCGCTTTCCGACTTGCTTCTTTCCGCTTGAGACGAGCCTGGGCCGCGATCTTCCGGTCTATTGGCATCGCATCACGCTGCGATTCTGATAAGCCAAGTTGCTGTTGTTTGGACAAAGCGTCCAAGCCGTATTTGGTAGGTGAGCGGCGACGACGCTGCTGGGGGCGGGTCTGTTTTTCTCCTTCGAGACCAGCTAGATAACGGCTGCGAGACGTCGTGCGCTGATCATCTAGGTCGTGATCTAGCTTTGTCGATAATCTTCGGTTATAGGAGGGTTTGATGGATGAGAGATCTGGGGGCGAAGAGGGCGGGATCACCACGTCGCCTTCATCGTCGGGTACGTGGTTGAACCGACGAGGCTGTCTTTGAGGAGATCCCTCCTCTTCTTCTGCGTAGATTAATGGATCGTTATCGTCGCCGTCTATGTCGATCCCCATGGCCTGCGCAGCTCGCCTCAGGTCAAGAGGGTCGTCGGTTGCACTTCGTAATTGGCGATAGCGTCGTTCCTTCGAGCGAGGGCTCGGACTCGGAGGGTCGCCGAATTCTTCTGTCTCATCATTGTCGTGGCCCCTCCGGGGGCTGCTTTGCCCGAAATCGTACACGTTGACCCCTGTATAGTCTTTGCGTGGACTGAGGGTAAGGCGACCAGACTCGAAATCCGGAAGACGATCAAGAGTGCCGAGGGTCAGTTTTAGTCGCTCGATCTGTTCGAGCAGGCTGTGACGTTCTTCTTCGAATGACTCCTTGAAGGAATCTTGTGATTCTCGGTGTCGCTGGGTCACGGTCCTCAAGCGTTCTCGGTATTCCCGGATTCGTAGTTCCAACTTGGCTTCTCTCTGCTTCAGCTTTGCTTCCTTCTCTTTGCGGCGCCCCTCGTATTTGGTCATCTCTGACTTGAATCGCGCCAAGGTTTGTTTGAGTGTGATGTTTTCTTTCTCTAGTTCTGAGGCCTTTTGTTCTGAGCTTTCTGAGAGATCGTGGAGCTGGCTGAGGTCTGACCGCTGATTCTGCATCGCCTTGATCTTCGCATTTGCCTGCTCCAGTGCCTGCTGGGTTTTGCGCAGCTCCTCCGCGGTTTTATCAGCTGAGACGTTTCCATCCGACTGTTCCTTGATATCCTCCATCTCGTTGCTAACCACACCATGTTGCTCCAAGGCCTTGCGCAGCATGGTAACACGGTGCTTATACTGCAAGGCCAAAGCTGTCTGCTTGGTGAGATCTTGAATCAGTCTTTCTTTGTCGTGCTTATCTCCCTCAGTGACCATCGTCGACGCCAATTGCGATACGTGACGTTCCATTTCCGCGACCTTTTCCTCCTCTTGTTTCAGCTTCTCAGCCAAACGCACGGCCTCCTCATCCTTCTTCCTGGCGTAGGATTTCGCAACAGAGCGGTACTGAACGAGTCGTTTGATCTCCCAATCAGTCCTCGTTCTATATTTATCAAACTCGGTTTTCCAATATTTCCCTGATTGGGAACGAGGTTCGCTCATATTGAGGGTTTCATCATTGTCGTCCTTCTCTGCCGACTGTAGGGTCATTTTCGATGTAGTTCCGCCCGATCGAGTCTCGCTAGGTTTGGACGTATGTGTAGGTTGAATGTCTTTCGAGGAGCGTTTCTCGCGTGAATCCAGCAAAGCCTGCGTTAGTTTGCTGCGCGGTTTGCCGTCCGACGAGCCAGATGCCCATTGGTTACTGGGACTAGTGGATGAATTCGTGGGTGTCCTTAATGAAGGGGCTTTGCTGGGTGATTCTTGTTTCCGTTCATTATCCACAACGCCATCGCCAAATGACACGGTTTTTCGTCGATTCGAGATGGTGCCCGGCGTAACAAGGATGCTTTTTGTCGGGGAAGCCATCGTGTTCCCAGTCGGAGCAGTGTCGGGCTGTAGTGTTGGCATGTTATCGTTCCTCAAGCTCCCTGTCGAATGATCTTTCCGCGGATCGACCTGGACTTGTGCGCGAATAGGAGGTTGCTGCTCCTTTGCGCGCAACACCCTATCGCGGTCCTCCTCTTCCGGAGCTGGCGTACCAAACAGCGCACTTTTAAACGCACGAAGCGCAAACACAGGCGCGGGGGTTTCGGGCGCTTCGAGGACTTTTGAGTTGTCTACGGAACAGTAAACAAGTTAGTACATGGATGTTCTGTATGGTGGATCATGTCATCCACAATCCTCTGGGATCTTATTCGTCTTTGCATATCTGGGACCACTTATTTCTCCCAACACAAGCAAAGCCCCCCGGAAACTATAGAATGACCATGAGTGTAAACGTACCGGCGGAATGCGCGAACTGCTCGTTCTGATTCTGCCCCGTCATCCAACCCAACATCTCGACAATGCCGCGGGAGCGTAAATTTCAATTGTTCAGATCTTCACAATCTTAGGACATAAGACGCATCACGTCCGCGATGCCATTGGGTATCAACCAGCCTGCGAACTGGAATGCGCGATTGACGTGGAGCGCTGTGCTTTGTTTACGGGCAGCGCTTCCCAGGGCGGTGAGCAGCGGAAAAACACCGGCCCCGCTATCAATACCGTTTGGCTTTTCTCTTGCTGTCTTCTTATCAGCATCACGTACACAGCTTTACAGCACTATCTTCGTTTATTCACCTTGGTTTCTTGGGTAGAGATGACACCCACTGAGCTATAGAGGGCTGCAGCTTCGGCTGCATCTTTGTCACTTCCTCATTCCGTGGCAAAGACCGACTCAATCTGGGTGCACTCTTTCCACACCGCCCACGCCCCGCTATGCCTCACAAGCAGAAGAAGGCCTCGAATCATGCCCTAAGAATCGGCTCTCCCCGGGCGGAGAAAAAGCAGCAGCAGCATCAATCGGTCCCGAATACCCCTCCACCGGTCGTAGCTCCTACGAATTATCGCGAGATTCATCAGAATGAAGTGGAGGCTCTCCGCTCGATCTATGGAGATGACTTTGAAGAGATCGAGAACAGGCGCTCAGCCTGGCATGTAAGTCGCGCGGAGTGTGGTTCTTCAATTGGCGATATTAAGGGTCGCTGACAGGTGTGCGGTATAGCAATCATCGGATGTTTGCTTCAGGCTCCATTTGCGAGCTTCGTCCAACCCGGAAGTCCGCATCCAATTGCTGGTTGAGCTGCCGGCAACCTACCCCAAGACCTATCCGAACTTGTCATTAGAGAACCTGGCGGAATTTCGCGAAGGAGCGCAGTCACGGATTCTGGATATTGTCGAAAATAAGCCGAAGTTGCTCGTTGGGACAGAAATGATATACGAGCTTGGCGTGTCTATTCAAGATGTCCTTGAAGATGTGGCTCAAGCCAAGGAGCAGGATAAAGACCTTCCTAGCCTGGAAGAAGAGCGCATGAAGCAAGAAGCCGCAGCGATGCACCAGGCAGAGTTAGAAAGACAGGAGGACCTTCGGAAACAGGAGGCTGCTACGGCTGAGGAGGAACGAGCCCTTCAGCAATTGATTGAGAATAAGATTAGAGAAAGATCGAAGGCTCGACTATCTCGACGAAAGAGTCGAACAGCTGGGGTGGATTCGAATGGATTTACGGATGACATCGAGCATGTCCCAGGCGCGATTGCCTTCGACCCTCCGCTGGTTATGAATGATTCCGATGAGCAATTACTGAAGTTCCGAGCTGTTTTTGGGAAGACCCTACTCAAAAGTACCCATGGGAAGGAAACCTTTACCGTACGACCAATTGTTTCTGAAAACCGGCCCCATGCACCTCTTCTGGTTTTGAAAGAGTACTCGCTTGAGAGGGGACTAGGAACTTTGGCATTTCGAGAGCGAATGCGGACTAGTGAAGATAAATTGGAATCAATCAAGAAACTACGCCATCCCAATCTTATCGACTTTGTTGGTTTCAAGATCAATAGCCCTGACCTATACGACGACTCGCATGATAATGCTTGGAAAGTATATGCTCTTGTGGAGTACGCGAACAAGGGTTCTTTGGTGGAATTTCTGGATCTCGTGGGGACTGTCCCTGTAGAGATGCTCCGCAGCTGGATGCTTCAGTTGCTTGAAGGCTTGGAGTTCTATCACCGCAGTGGGTTTATCCATGGGGACATTCACAGTGGGCGGGTCATGTTATTCAGGAGCCCAACAGGAGGAACTACTGTGAAGTTGCAGCCGAGCATTGAGGGGGCTTTACCAGGTCCCGCAGGTGGCCGGAGTCGGTCTATGGCAACCTCCAAATCCCCGTTCTGGACGCCTCCGGAGTTGACTCAGGGGGAGGTGCCGCTGTCCATGAAAACCGATGTCTGGGACTTAGGTATAGTTCTTTTGCAAATGGGATTTGGCAAAGATGTCATGCTGCGCTATACTTCTGCCAATGCACTGATGGGGGCACTCGATCTATCGCCCCCTTTGCAAGATTTGCTCGAGGAGTTCTTCCGTCCAGACCCCAAGAAGCGACCTACGGCGTTCCAGCTTCAGCCTTCCGAGTTCTTCCGTGTTGACACGCCTTTGATAATGCATACTAGCACAGCCAATTCCATGTTCCTGCCGAGACGGCCGCGCGTGGACTCCTTTGGTGGTATTTCTGCGCTTTCACGCTACAATCAAGATTTTGATGAAGCTGGACGTCTGGGAAAAGGCGGGTTTGGCCAGGTCGTGAAGGCTCGAAACAAACTCGATGGTCGATTTTACGCTGTCAAGAAGATCTCTCAGAAGTCAGCTGCTGCGTTGAAGGATACATTGTCGGAGATCATGTTACTATCTCGGTTGAACCATCCGTACGTGGTGCGCTACTACACAGCTTGGCTTGAGGAAGATTTCGATCTTGGTGACGAGGACGCCGTTTCTTCCACCGAGGGCGACCCATTTGCGAGTCGAGGTCCGGGTAGTGTTGGTTTTAGTACCGGTGGACTTGACTTTATCAGTTCCAGCGGTTACTCCGGAATCCAGTTTGGCTTGGACAGCGACGACGAAGACGCTGAATCCATGTCTGATCAAGATAGAAAGGAGACACCTGATTATGACGACTCCGAAAGCGAGAGTGGAACTGAACCAAGCCGGATGAAGACCAGCTCGCAAGGCCGGCCCGTATTCACTACGTTGTATATCCAGATGGAGTACTGCGAGAAACATACTCTTCGTGATCTCATCAGAAACGGTCTCTATGATGATGTTGACAGATCCTGGCGCCTTTTTCGCCAAATCCTAGACGGGTTGAGCCATATCCATGGCCATGGTATTATACACCGAGATTTGAAACCGGATAATATCTTCATTGATGTGGCCAATAACCCGCGTATCGGAGACTTTGGCCTAGCGACAAGTGGGCAGTTTATGACTGCAGTCCGCTCATCTGCAACGGCGGATATTGGAGGTAACTTGACTCGCAGCCTGGGTACGACTTACTATGTCGCGCCTGAGATGCAATCTGGATTCACAGGAAATTACAACGAAAAGGTTGATGTAAGTATCTCCCTGAATTTCTCTTATCCTCCCAAGTATAAGGCTAATCGTGAAATAGATGTATTCTCTGGGCGTGATCTTCTTTGAAATGTGCCATCCGTTGCCTACCGGCATGGAACGTGATCAGACACTGCGGGCAATTCGAGAGAAGAACCATACTCTCCCTTCTACCTTCCAGCATTCAGATAAGGTGGTACAGGGCAAAATTATTGAATCACTGCTGAACCATACACCGAATGAGCGTCCATCAGCTGAAGAGCTCCTTCACAGTGGGAACATCCCTTTGCAGGTCGAGGAAGAAACATTCAGAAGGGCTATCGTCCACTTGCTCTCCGATCCAAATTCTCCAGATTACAAGAAGATTCTCTCAGCCATCTTCTCCCAATCTCCCAAGCGATTTGAGGATATTGCCTGGGACATGGATTCGCATGTATCACCGGCAGCGAATGAACTGTTGGTTCAAGGTCTGGTCAAAGACAAGTTGATATCTATCTTTCGCCGGCATGGATCGGTGGAGAGTGCGAGGCAAATGCTTTTCCCGCGATCTCAGCATTACAATCATGGCGCTGTGCGGTTGCTCGGTTCATCAGGAAATCTGCTCCAATTGCCTTTTGATTTGACCTTGCCGAATGCGCGTGCGATTCCTCGACAGGACCGTTCGCTTGAGAAGACATTTGCCTTTGGCACGGTCTACAGGGAAACACCCCACGGTGGTGAGCCGCGGACTCACAAGGAAGTAGACTTTGATATCGTGTCGCACAACACGTTGGACCTGGCGTTGAAGGAAGCCGAAGTTATCAAAGTACTGGACGAAATCATCGAGGAATTCCCACCGCTTAGATCAGCGCAGATGTGCTTCATGATAAACCACTCCGATTTGCTTCAATTGATCATGGAATTCTGTCGCATTACTCCTTCTCAGATCCCACTGGTCAAAGAGATCATCAGCAAGTTGAACGTCGGAAAATGGACAATGCAAAAGATCAGGAGTGAGCTTCGTTCGCCTGCCGTTGGTGTTGCCTCTACGTCGTTGGACAATCTTGCGAGGTTTGACTTCAGAGGTTTGTATACCTTCCCTTATCAATACGAATTTTGACTAACGACTATCAGACTCTCCAAAACAAGCCCATAAGAAATTGCGGGCTATCATGGAGGGCACGCCATTCGCTGAACGATTGACTCCGATTTTTGCCCGTCTGAACTCGGTAGTCAACTACCTCCAGGAGTTCGACGTAAAGCGGAAAGTCTATGTCAACCCGCTTTCCAGTCTGAATGACAAGTTCTTCAGAGGTAGTATTCTTTTCCAGTGCGTCTTTGACAACAAGCGGCGCGATGTGTTTGCAGCGGGTGGTCGATATGACCGGCTGGTTCAGGAGTTCTCCCCGAAGGCTTTGGCGAGTCGCACTCAAACTCATGCCGTGGGTTTCAATTTGAGTTGGGATAGGCTTAGTTCATCGATGCTTGGACACCTGAAAGAGCCAACCAAGTCGTCTTTGAAGCATCCAGAAGCTGAAACTGGGACTGGGACTTTCTGGAAGACTCGGAGGGTAAGTCAAAATCCCCATAAAGTGCCTCTGGGACAAGTAGCTAATTCAGTAGTGTGATGTACTCGTCGCTAGCTTTGACGCGACGGTCTTGCGCACAATAGGCATTAAGGTCGTTCAGGATTTGTGGTCAAATGATATCAGCGCGGAATTATCAGTCGACGCCTCTTCGCTCGAAGAGCTTCTCAGCAAATACAGAGACCATAACCATAGCTGGATCGTTATCGCGAAGCAAGACAGCAAGGAACGGGGTTTTAAGGTCCGAAGCCTGACCCCAAGGGAAGAATACGACATGAGAGCCTCGGAGCTGGTTCCTTGGCTTCGAAATGAGATTCGTGCGCGCAACCTGCGCGAGGGCACAACCGATCATTCGAAACAACATCGGTTGCCTAGTCAGCCGGACGTGTCGTCTCCCGGTAATGAGAGGACCAATGATGTACGTATCTTGGTCTCTCAGCACCGGAGCAAGAAGAGCAATAGGCGAAATATCGTTGATTCAGGTATGTTGTGTTCCGAGCTTTACGTACAACTCACAGGTCACTTTACTAACGGAAAACAGCTCTTCAACGTTCACGCGAAGTCGTCGAACAAGCCCTCAATGGCCCCATCGCTGCTATCGATACTCGAGATGATGTCCTTGAGTCCATCCGCGACACGCGTCTTTCAGACCCTGACAGCTGGCGCACAGTGATACAGAATGCACCACCGAGTGAACGGAAATACCTCAGCCAAGTGCATGAGCTGCTCTGCGATCTTGCCAATGAAAGCCAAATGGGCGACGGCACCGAGAGCTACGCGAATGCGTTTATATACAACTATCGAACGGGGTCCTGCTTGTATTATGATCTTGGGAGGGTGAGCGAAAGATAGGTGTTGTTTCATGAGGTTGGCGTGTGATGTGCTATAGCTATGTTTGCAATATTGGCATTATTTAGGTTGCTTTTTCAATCGCCTCTCCGTTATTTAGCGAATTATACCCAAATGAGAATTACATGCAAATGAATGAGTGCAGTCGAGGAATGAAAACAAGGTATCTTGCAAATTATTGTACAAACGAACCTATGCGCGCCGAACTATGAAATTAATCGCTCTCATCATCGCTTCCGTATGCTACCAGGGGCCCCGAAGACGGGGCAGCCTTTTGTGTTGTGACATTTCCACCTGCCAGTCCTTGTAGGGCTGCTACCGTGGAGCTGGAGAAGATCCCGCCGCTCTGTTGCTGTTGTTGTTGGAAAGGAGCAGTAGCGGGAGGTGCAGATTCAATCATGAGAGGCTGCTCCGGCGCCTCCAATTGGGGTGCGGTCCCAGCATCCTCCAGCTCCTTCGTCCTCGTGTACCAGACCTCATCCGGCGGCTCGTAGCCATCCAGCCCAAAACTACCCTCAATCTTCTTCCTCTTCCTCGCCTCAGGGTCCCGTCCCTCAATCTCCGCAACGAACTCAGCAGGAAGAGCCCTCCTAACCGCCTCAGCAGCCTGCTCCTCCAACCTCCGCGCCTCACGCTTCTGCGCCAACGGATTCGGATCAACCGTCGCCCACCGCACATTCAGAATCTCACTATGATCCAGACTCTGATGCGCCATAGCCTCCTTGGCAAATTGCCCATTCGCCTCATTCGTATACGTAACAAATGCAACACCCCGATTCGTCAAAACCCGCGTCCGCTCAACCTGTCCCCATTCCGCGAAATGACGCGCAACAACCTCCTCAATATCATCCGTAACGTGAATCCGTCCAACATACAGCGTGCGATTCTGTCTCGTAAACGACCCCACACCACCCATATCATCACGGTAATCACTAAACTTGTCGCGCCCGAAACAATCCACATTCGGATTAAACAAATCATGCAGCGTCGGCAGTCTATGCAAATACTCGCACTCATGCCCCTTCGGGCAAAGACCCCTCGCGAAGAATAAACAGAAATACGACCCGGGGACTTTATCCGCGCGCGTATATCCGCTATCCTTGGCCACATTGCACCGCGACGTCGCGGCCTGTTTCGAGAGATACTTGTCCTCGCGGTCACCGCCGGACCATTTGTTGTACCAGATGTTGAAGACCGTTCCGGTTTGCGGTGGTGGTTCAGATTTGATGGTTGCTGGGTCGACTTGGGGGCGTGCTGGGCGGCGCTTTCGGCGAATTATCTTCTTTTTCTTCTGGGTGCCGTCTGCTTCGGTGGTGGTTGTCATGGCGGTTTCGGTTGGTTGTGTTGTGAGGGCATTTTCGTCGTTGGGGGTTGGTTCTGTGCCGGAGGGGGATCGGCTGGGAATTGTGGTTTGGGGCGCATCGGCCACTTCTGTGTCTGCCATGGTTGCTATATTAGGAGAAGTATCCTTTGGGATAGAAAAATTGGAGCGTTGTTGTCTAAAAGCAAAGTCGGTCGATGAAGTTGACGGGGCGATAGCGCTTAGTCAGCGGATCTTGGCACTTGAGAATTTGATATCGCTGCAACTGTAGAGCAACATCGCAGGTATACTACTGTGGTCTCTGTTGTTTATTTCTCTTTACTGGAGGGTACTAGAGCACTAGAAATCCTCATCCTTTTACCGATCTCTTTGCACCTGTCCAGATTGTAATTGATACCCAGAGTCTGCGAGACTCCAGCCGGCAAGATGGTGAACATTACGGAGAAGATCAAGGAGTAGGTCTTGGAATTATATGCTGGATGGATAGATGGGCTAAATGCCGATGTTTCATTTTACAGAATCGAAGATGAAATGCGCAGGACGCAGAGTAAGCATCTTCCATTTCACTAATAAACCGCTTGAGAACCCCGCGCTAACTAGATCACAGAGAACAAAAACACAGGTGGGTACCGCATTATATACAACCCTTCAGATTGAAAAATTTCTGATAATCATCCAGAATATCATCTGGGTACTCTTAAGGGGTACTTGTCCCCCCACCTTCAATCCAAACCAAGCAACCACTAACGATATCAGAAAACTCGCCCGTCTAAGGGCCCAACTCCTCGAACCCACCGGCGGCAGCGGCGGAGGCGGCTCTGGCTTCGACGTAAGTAAGAGTGGTGATGCCCGAGTAGCCCTCGTCGGTTTCCCCTCCGTCGGTAAATCCACTTTCCTGTCCAAGATCACCAAGACCAAGAGTGAGGCCGCGGCGTACTCGTTCACCACGCTCACGGCTATCCCGGGTGTGTTGGAGTATGGGGGTGCTGAGATTCAGATTCTGGATTTGCCGGGTATTATTGAGGGTGCTTCTGAGGGGAAGGGGCGTGGAAGGCAGGTTATTTCGGCTGCTAAGGTTGGTCCATTGCTCCGGTGATTGTTGTTTGGAGTTACTGACAACGGCAGACGAGTGACTTGATTCTGATGGTCCTTGATTGTACGAAACGTGCTGAGCAGCGATCTCTGCTGGAGGCTGAATTGGATGCTGTTGGCATTCGACTTAACAGGGACCCTCCGTAAGACCCTTTCCACCCACCACATAACGGCCAAGGTAACTGACAACCAAAGCAACATCTACCTCAAACAAAAGAATGCCGGCGGCATGAAAATCACTTTCCAAACACCTCCCAAATCCCTCGACGAGAGAATGATCTACAACGTCCTCCGTGACTACAAAATCCTCAACTGCGAAGTCCTAGTCCGCGACGAAAACGCCACAATCGACGACTTCATCGACGTAATCATGAAAGACCACCGCAAATACATCCGCTGCCTCTACGTCTACAACAAGATCGACGGCGTCAGCTTGGACTTCCTCAACGAGCTCGCTCACGAACCCTACACTGCGGTCATGAGTTGTGAACTTGATCTTGGTGTTCAAGATGTCGTTGACCGGATCTGGAAAGAATTGAGATTGATTCGGTTGTATACGAAGAGAAAGGGCGAGGAGCCGGATTTCTCGGAGGCGTTGATTGTGAGGCATAACTCGAGTATTGAGGATGTGTGTGATCAGGTTCATCGGACGTTGAAGGAGACGTTTAAGTATGCGTTGGTTTGGGGGGCTAGTGCGAGACATGTTCCGCAGAGGGTTGGGTTGGGGCATGTTGTTGCTGATGAGGATGTTGTTTCGATAGTTGCGAAGTAATGACTATCAGACGGTGGTATGGTGCATATAGTCATTAGAATTAGGTCAAGTAAATGTGCAATGACTTCAATTGATGACCCTGGGAGTAGAACATTTACACTAGCCTTCCTGATAGCACGGTTTATGGCAGAACTACGCTTTAGACATTACCTGGGGAGATTAAATAGCAAATCATACCAACGTATATTGACTAATGATGTAAAAACAATGACCTAAGCTATATCCAACCAAAACTCCAATGCTCAAGAACTCAAACAAATTAAGCAGATCCAGCAGCAGCAGCGGCCGCGGCGGCAGCAATGTTCTGCATACCAATGGTAGGCTGCACACCAACACGCTCCTTGGCCAAGATGTCAACCAAGAGAGGGTTGGGGCGGCTGTCTCGCTGGGGATGGAACTGGGCCTGGTTGTTCTTGTAGCTCAGCACGCTGTCGAGGTAGATGTCGAAGAGGTACGAGGAGTCAAGCGGACCTCCCTTGGCCTCGGGGTGGAACTGAGTGCTGAAGATGGGGCGAGACTTGTGGATCATACCCTCGTTGCTTGCGTCGTTCAGGTTGGTGAAGTAGGGCTTCCAGTCAGAGGGCAGGGTCGTGGTGTCAACCGCGTAACCGTGGTTCTGACTGGTGATGTGGCAGCGACCGGTGCTCATGTCCAGAGCGGGAATGTTGTGAGCACGGTTACCGTACTTGAGCTTGACGGTGCGGGCACCAGCGGCCAAGGCCAAGAGCTGGTGACCCAAGCAGATACCGAAGATGGGAAGCTGGGAGGACTCCATCAAGCGGCCCAGGTGGTAGATGGTGTCCTGGCAGTGAGTCGGGTCACCGGGACCGTTGGAGATGAAGACACCGTCGAAGTGGTGGGCGACCTTGTGGATGGGGAAGTCGTAGGGGAACACGGTAACACTGGCGCCACGGCTGACCAAGCTACGCAGAATGTTCTCCTTGACACCACAGTCGATGACAGCGACGTGGCACTGGGGGTCCGCAGCGCTAACGTGAAAGGGAGCCTTGGTGCTGACCTGGCGGACGAGGTGGATCTGCTCAGGGTCGGTAAAGGCCTCATCCTGGTCGGCATCGTACTCCTCACCCACGGTGATACGGGCCAAAGACGAACCCTGCTCCCGCAAGTAGGTGACGATTTCACGGGTGTCGACGCCAGAGATGGCCGGAACGCCCTCACGAGTACACCATTCTCCAAGACTCTCGACAGCCGTCCAGTGGCTGTAGCGCTCCGCAGCATCGGCAACGACGACACCGGCGGCCTGCAGGTTGGGAGACTCGAAATACTTGAGCAGACCGTGGTTGTCCTTCTGGAAGGACGGGACACCGTAGTTGCCAATGAGGGGCTGGGTGAAGACCAGAATCTGGCCCCGGTAGGACGGATCGGTCAAAGACTCGGGGTAACCGACCAGCGAGGTGGTGAAGACGGCCTCACCGGAAATGTTGGAGCGGGCTCCGAAGGACTTTCCGTGGAAGATAGGACCATCTCGGATCGTGAAAGTGGCACGTTCCGAAGTAGGCTTCTGGCGAACCGTAGCCATGAAGCGGGACTGGATGCCAGCATTGACAGAGGGGAAGGCGGGAGCCCTGGCGGGCATCGCCCTGAAGACTCGAGCGAACATTATATGGATGGTTTTTTACGAGTATGCGAATTAGACGAAAGACACGAGACGATTGGGGTTTGTTCAGAAGCTTCCAGAAGCTTTCCAGAGGTGATCTATAGAGAGAATGTTAGTGAGTTTGACTCCTAATGAGTATCGTGTCGTGTAGTGTGCACATACCCGAGATGTAGTCCTGAGAAGTGAAGATAGAGTGCAAACGCATAAGCGCGACTGAAGAGCTACTAGTCGTTAAACAAGTAGTAATAAAGAGTTAAAAAAAGGAAGGGTTTAGCGGGACATTGAATCTCAATGGGTGTTTGTTTGCAGTAGAGTGTTCTCTGGGGAAGAAGAGAGAAAAGAGAGGAGGAAAAGTTTGATCGGGAGGAAAACAGTAGAAAAAGGCGGGATGGAATCGGGCCGGTCGGAGCACGTGCCTTGAACTCACCGAGTTTTTTGCGAGTCGCCATCCAATCAAACTGCGGGGATTGGCAGCGCCGCTATCGGAGGTGTCTTGATACCGTATGTGACGGGGTATTACTTACGATACGATGCTTGACACATCCAATTTGATACTCCAAAGCATCGCAATTGACGTTGATCATGAAAATTTGCAGAGGCAACAGGCTGCGCGTCCGAGATAATATAATGGCTTCATCACTCCCACGTGCTATTGCTAACCGGAATGACTCAACAGACTTGATGTCACTTGGCCACTGTTTCAGAGCAGCCAAGACAGATATTGCAATAGTGATCGTTAGGGCTACTACTCTGACCACTGTTGGATCAATCAGATTCAAGTACATTTGTCCATAGTACATAGGCCAAGAAAGAACATCAAGGGCCGAAGCAACTGTAAGATGACCCTGTCTCAATTCAACTGTGAGATTCGTACAACATCCGGGTCTTTGTCTCGAATCGCATCGGAGTTTAGAGGGTAAAACCGGCGCATTGTACCCTGTAGTTCTGAACCCTGTCTTCCATTGTCTTGTCGTCCCTCATTCCCCAATAGACTAGACGAGGATCAGGTTTCACAGACACTCAATGGAACCATGTCGGCTTATTTGTCGATACCCCTCATTCGGTGACTTTGAGGGAAGGTATAAACAGAGGTGACAGAGGGGACGAAAACATAGTAAGCACTTCATTGCACAATTAGATCACCAGATCACCAGATCACCATGGTCGCCATTCGATATCTCCTTCAAGCCCTGGTGGCTTCGATGCTAGACACCACCGCCCTCGGTAGGGCAATCAAGCCACACCACCACGGTCAACAGTCAGAGATACAGCATCCGCTAGGACAGTACCCCCAAGATAAACCAGGCTGTGACGGCTCTGGTGTTATTGCGCCCGGTAATGGTGATTGCAATGGCGACGGCCTCATCGACAACCCCAATCCCCGACACAAAGACCGAGAGGGGTTCCACTTTGAGAATCCTTCGACGGATTGTGCATACGTGACGCAGATGCACATCTGGGACTCGTTCAAGGATTTGGAAAAGGACATGAACAAGCTGTTCACGCTAATCCATAAGGATGTGAATTTCACAGTTGTTGGACACCATCCTATCGCGGGTCATTATAATGACCTGATGCATTTCTATGTCAATGCTCTTCGTCGCGTCAGTGTGTTGTTCTTGGACCACGCGGATAAGTTCGAGATCCATCCTCAAGCCATCCACGGGGGTTGTAATCAGCGGTGGTCGGTCCAGGAGGTTCAGTTCAAAGGAATCATGAATTCCGGTAAGCTCCTTTTTTATTATTTCCTCACACCATTTTAGTTGAGCACGTAACTAATGATGCAGGCGATCCTTTCGACATAGTCAACGTTTGGGTAACCCGCTGGCACAAGGGCCAGATGGTCGAGATCCGAACATACATCGATTCAGCCCGAATCATGGAAGCTCTGCACAAGAACGAAATCTGGTGGAATGGCACCACATTCCGAGACAATGTGAATTATATGCCCGGACCAGTGGGCATGCCGGACATCAAGGCATTGGAGGATCTAATGGGCTATCCGGATGGAAGTCCTTATGAGGATTGATCTACTACAGAGTAGTTAGCGGAAGATGTATCACTTGCTAATAATAGTGACGGCACTAGATATACCATATGCAATACTCTGTACAATCACCTGCTATAGTTTAATAGTATGATCCTTCATGCTCGTATTCGATTTAGGCGAAGTGAAATGTTCGGCAAATGGGGGGGGGGGGGGGGAAGGTCACATGAATTTAAGCTTAACCCCAACCGCGTTTAATTCCTCCACTTCCCCAGCTTCCCCCAATGTCACAAAGACAACCCAGAAACTGAATTTAAAATGCCCATTTGCTTTCTAATCTGCTAGTATCACTTATAATGTCCGATTCCGCCATACGAAAACGCTCTCGCGTCGCCTGCACCTCGTGCCAGTCTCGCAAGCGCAAATGCTCCGGAGGTCAGCCATGCACCATCTGCGCCCAATTCGGCACCGAATGCCACTACGATTACTTCTCTCGCAAGAAGAAAGACGTCAAACCAAATCCGTACGCTAATGTACTCCATACAACACCGACAGCGGCACCGACAGCTACCTCCAATTCGAGCGATCTGACCACCGCCGCGGACGAGAAGAGGAGCCGCAGCCCCGTTGAGCCGGACCATATCCATCCCACCTCCCTCGAGGCCAATTCGGGCGCTGCGTTCGTGAGACGATTAGGTCTGAAGCTTGAGACGGCTCATGCACCGCGATTACATTTGTTTGCTTGGAATGCCGGGGCTCGTACACCGTCCGCAGAGTCGTTGGCATCATCGTCCGCCGCCGCGGGGTCGGTGTCGGGGTCGACCATAGTCGATATCATCTCGCAGGATGAGATGCGCTCGTTCATAGCAGTTTGGTTTGAGAAAATCGACCCCTGCTACGGATTCATCGACCGCGATTATCTCCTCCGCCAGGTCAGTCGGCGATGGTTACCCCCTTCATCCGAATCAGTGCTTGGCCCCGGCCCCTATGACGCGGTGCTCTGCGGGCTCGCGGCGATGGGAATGCTCTTCTCACGACGAAAGGGGTCGATCGCAGAAGCCAGAGTCGTGGATTGCGGACAGCAAATCCTCGAGAAACATGTCACCTCCGATTCCCCCTCTCCCGCCATCATCACCGGCTGGATCCTACGAGTCTCATACCTCCGCATGACGGCGTCCCCCCACACAGCTTGGATAGCCAGCTGCACGACAATGCACCTCGTCGAGGCTGCCGGAATGCATCTCGAGAATCCCTCGGATAATGGCTTCCTCCGAAAAAACGACGAGAGCTACTGCAGTCCTGAACTGCGTCGCAGACTGTTCTGCATGGCCCGCCACCTCAACGTCTGGGTGTCCTTCGAACTAGGCCGCTCGCGGGTCGTTCTACACGGCGCGAACTCGCTCGCTCCAGCGCGCAGGGTAGACGTCAACACAACCCAGTTCTACACTGAGATCTTCGAACTCCTTCCTGTCTCCGAGAGCCTGGATCCAGTTCGATCGTCGGACTCGATGGATCTCGAAGGCGCGCTATCGGATGTCCTGGATGGGGAATACGTCCCATACATCCTCATCCTCGTGCAATGCAACCTCGTCCTCTGCATCTACCGCCGTCTCCGCGCACTCAGCCACTCCATCTCCGCGAAACTACTCGATCGCATCGTCGCCCTCGCTGCTAAAGCCCTCCATGCCACCCGTGAACTCACAGCCGCTGTCTGCCCATGGCAATACATCGCCATAGTCCCATTCCAGGTTGTCTGTACACTACTGGCAATGGATAACCGCAATTCCCTTGCCTTGTTGGGCGACGCAATGCATACTCTCGGTGAAGTCGCCGCTGCATACGACACAGATGTCATGCGGGAGGCATACAGCACGGCATATCTGCTTATCCTGCTACACCAGCGACGGAAAGAAGAAGATACAAGGGTCATTGGGGACGTGTTGCAGGTTAACAGCGTTGCGTCGTTATTGACACCGCATAACGCTTCTGCTTCTACTTCTGCTTCTACTTCTGCGCCTGCTCGTACTCATACTCATCAGCAGGCTATTGCTGCGCCTGATGACGCTACTGCGAATTTCCACGATGGTGCTTCTACTTCTACTGCTGAGAGCAATCATATGAACCACGCGCACGGTGTGCCACTGCCGACACACTCCGAGTTCTCGTGGTTGGGCGATTTGATGATCGATATGCCGAGTTTGCAGAATTTCGATCTCGATCAGTTTCTTACTACAGATGTGCCGTGGCCGTTGCCGGAGATGGGGATTTAGTCTCTTCAATTATCTGAACTATGTTCATGGTATATAAGGCTAGGGTATACGGATGGCAAAGCAGCTCATTCAGTCTTCCCCTGCTTACTCTTCTTCCCCGAAGACGAAGACACCACCAACCCAAGCTTCCACAACACCCACAAAAACCCAAGCACAATGACCGCAACCGTACCAAGCTCAATCGTCTTACTCCGGAACAATCCCTCTTTCTCGTCCAACTGCAAAACAGGAACAGTCACCTTCTCATAAAGATAAACATCCTCACCCCCAGGATGCACCTGGTAAAACATCGTCCGCGGCCCAAACAACCCCTCCCAACCCAGATTCACCCGGTCAAACGGGTTGATCCCCATCTTCATCCCTCCGTCGGCCGTGCACGCCCAAAAGACAACCGGCCATGGGACCTGTATGGTACGGTATCCGGACTCGGAGGGGGGCAGGTAGCGCAAGTGCAGGGGGATAGTCACGTTCCATTCACCTGTCACCTCGTCGGGGTTCTCCGGGGTAGCGAGCTCGAGTAACCAGTTCGAGCCCCACCGGTCAACGGCCCAATCTGGTGCTTCGAGGTCTGTTTCGCCGAAAACGGCGCGGAGGGCGGCTAGATTGTGCGATTGGAGGAAGAGCGGGTCCATCGTGGAGAGTTGGTATTTGTCACCGAAGATGGATGATGGGAGGGTGAGATACGTATGCAGCGCGCAAGTTGCGTCTGCCGGGGCGGGGGGTTCTTTCAGCGCTGACGGAGAGAGGGAAAGTGACATTGTCGGATGGAGACCTTTCGGATGGGAGAAGGAAGCCAGATACGTTGCGTCATCTGGTAGAGCATGATGCCGCGATGGGAAGGAGAACATTGTCGGGTCTGCTCTTATTAGCATATCTCTCAGAATCGATTTGCAGGCAGGAAATGAACATACTCAGCTTCTCATCCTTCCCTACAACACCCAACAACCCACCCATCTTAATATCCTCCGCATCCGCCGCCTTCTCCGTCGTCAACAACCCAACCTCCACCTGATCAATCCCATCCCTTCCACCAGTACCATTGCCCTCTGGCTTCGCAATTCTCTGCGTCCACCCCTCGTCGCCAGGTGCTCTACTCGACACCGCCGACACAGTCAGGGCATGCGAGATGCCATCGTAGCTGATATCAAATGTGTCTGCGAATAGCGACGAAGCGAGATCTATGCAGTCGTCCGATGCGTCGAAGCCTCTGGGCACTTTGGCACAGATGTTGTCTTGGATATAATCGACCAGCGGAGTTGCAAAGGAGAGGAGGCTGTAGTAGTACAAATCAGCGGTAGACGAGAAACGCTTCGAAAGGACCGGCGGCTCTATGAATGATTTCTATACCAATTAGCATTACATCCCCATTCCATTAATCAACCTTGTGATTCAAGCGTACAAACCTCAGTACTCAAACAATCCACCTCCTCCCCAAACATCCTCTTCAGCAGTGGACATAGTGCATCTTCCCTATCAACCAACGAGCAATTAGCAACACACCACCCCAGATAAAGTAGACCAGAACTCACCCCTCAGCACGTTTCTCCCCAGAAACGAAAACATGCAAGCCCGACGAGATCCTACTCGCAAACGGCGCGGGAGCTCTATGCGGGTGTTCCGTGGCCCAGCGGATGTGGATTGCTTGGTATTGGTCTAGAGCGGTTCGTATCTATCCCCAATCAGCATTTATCCCATGTCCCATATCCCATATCTATAGCTCATAGATATGATAGTACGGTTGGGAAAATACCTCGTCCGGCAATTCATCATAGCTAACGGTGAGCCGTTCTTCGCGAACAGCATCGAGGTTGGTGACTGAGAGGGCGTCGGAGGTGAGGACTGCTTGGTCGGGGGAGAAAGGGGCGTTGGGGGGTTGGATGAAGGTGATTCTTCGTCTCATTTTGTTCTGTCTCTGGGTTAGAGTGTAGTGTAGTGTAGAGGTGTTGGAGGTGATATGGTGAGCTGTGAGCTGTTCGGATGCTTCTCCGCACCCGATCGGGCTAGTACTGATAAGATAAGCTGGTTTGAATTCGTCATATCATTGAGCAGGTACATATAACTACTTCGTAGTCAAACACGGTGTTGTCTTCGCTATTATACATGATGTATATATAAAACACAATCCATTTCATTCAAACAAGAGTATCAATCCAAGAAACGAGTATCAACCATCGCTCGCACACCGCAAACGCCAAAACAATGCTGAACCATAATACAAAAAGGAAAAGAAGAAATCATGGAAGGACATCCCTCAGGACGTCCTTCTGCGATGGAGTGAGGCTGGCCGGGAACCGCACGTTGACCCGGACAACCAGGTCACCGCGTTCAGTCGGCTTCTTGGATATCGTCATACCCAAACCGGGGAATCGTTCTTCGTGACCAGGCTGTGTAGGACCTGGTTTCGAGACGCGGATCGATTTGCCGTCGATTGTGCGCACGATGCGCTCCCAGCCGGTGAGGGCTTCTTTGAGGCTGATTTCGACTGTTGTGATCAGGTGGTCGCTTTGGCGCTTGAAGTTGGGGTGTTCTTTCTGTAGACTTGTTAGTACAGACCTTCAAGAGTCTTGGGTTAAATGTAACTTACCTCCGCCACAATAAGGTGGACATCCTGTCGACCACCCTCCTCCTGATCTCCAACACCCTTATACTTGATCTTGGATCCCGTCCGCAGACCCGCCTTGATGTTCGCTTCTAATGTCACATCCTGCACAGTCCGTTTCCCACTAGGATCAAACGCCTTGCTCTTCGTAGTAACCTTCTTAACCGTCCCCCGGAAAAGTTCCTCAAGCGTCAACGGCAACTCCTTCTCCACAACAGTCGGCTCCGGCGTAGGTGCGCGCCGGGATTGCTGGAAACCCGGCCCGCGACCGCCAGCCCCCGACCTGAAGCCACGACCAGCGCCGCCGCCGCCGCCAAAACCACCACCAAGCATCGAGAAGATATCATCATCGTCCATTCCACCCATTCCACCACCACTAGCCTTGGCGAAGTTCTTGAAGATATCGTCCGCGGAGCTAAATCGGAAGCCGTTGGCACCGCCGCCGCCGGGGCCGCTCGAGAAGTGGAATGACCGCGCACCACCACCACCACCACCACCACCGGGCATGCCTCCACCGAACCCGAAACCACCGGGCATTCCGCCGTCGAAGGGCGATGCACCGGCACCACCACCGGCACCGCCACCTGGCGATGGCGCAGGTCCGCCGCGGAGGAGATATTCGAGACCGAATTGGTCATAGACCTTGCGCTTTTCAGGATCGGAAAGGACTTCGTAGGCTTGGGAGACCTCTATATGTTGTTAGTACAATTCACACGGTTCGTTAGAAAGAAACCCACCCTTGAACTTCTCCGCTGCACCGGCGTCATCCTTGTTCTTGTCCGGGTGATACTTCAGCGCGCATTTCCGGTATGCCTTTTTGATATCATCCTGCGACGCATCGGGCTTGACGCCTAACGCATCGTATAATTTCGATTCCGCAACCATGGTGCAGATTCAATTGTTGTAGCGTTTGCGATACCGACAATTGCTCAGTTGGCCAGCAACCGTTAAAATCACGAGTTCGCAGAGTCGAAGTGCGGTCTGGGACGATCTCGAATGACGTCGAAGCTTCGAGACGACTTGCTTGATCTGACGCAGTTCGTAACTCCTCGGTATGTTTGTACTATGTAGTCGCTTTGATAGAACGCTCAACACAGCGCAGAAGATAGTGATATAGTAAGAATGAAGAGCGAAAACAAGTTAAGACGAACAAGCGACAGTCCTCCAGCGGTGACGTGTGACGTGACCTGAAAACGCTCGGCCAAGCGAGGAAGGTTCGCGAAGATTCTGCGGTTTCAGCGACGCCCGTTACTATCATACTACATACAATAGAGATTCAATGCGTATCAAGCGAGATAGCCTCTGCCCCTGCCAATATGTACGATGCAAAAAACAGCAATGAGGGGCCCGATTGTTAGCATCACTTTGTGCACTTGCCTAATGCGGGGTAGTCTGTGCGCAGTCACGTGGTTTATGCTTGCTTATGTAATTTATGCATATCTCGAAATGCTTCAAGCCGTAAGGTGATGCCCCTTCGGCGTGCAAGTTCCTCGGCTGGCTTCATAATAGCCTCTTCGCTCACAATATCGTCTGCTTGTCAGCCGTGCAATGAAAGACGGCCATGGAGCCTTTTCCGGTGATGCATAGTCTTATTACAAGTACAAGTAGTAGGGCGAATATAATATGTATGCTCCCGAGTACTCTCGCTAAAGTGGCATTGTCTAGGAAAGGATAGCTATAGTCATTCCAGAACGTATATACAGTTATGTACGGTCTCTATCAAACTAGCTCAAACCGTTTGCTAACATGCTCATGCTCAGCCTCACCCCCCTCAACAACAATATAATCTTGAATCAGCGCAGATCCATTCAACACAGCTTTCGCCTGCTCCTTTGTGCAAGATGCCTCCAGCGAGAGAATATAGCACGTTGGCGCCGGACTATCCGGCACCTCATTCTTGACCGACCACGACGAAGACGGTCCCTGTGTGGAATACGTGTCGTTGTTCGCAGTGGGAACTTGTCCCGTCGAGATGTCGCGGTTGAACATGGCTCGATGGAAAATCTCATATGCCGTCTGTGGCTGGTAAGCGGGTACCTCGTGGCCAGCCTCGAAAACCCGGCTAAAGGAGAAGTTGCCGTGCTGCCGCACCAATCCCCCGACGTAGGAGGCGTTAGTATGTAGCGGGGCGTACCCGGCTGAGCGGAATTGGTGGGCTTCTGCGTGGTCTACGCGCAGACTGACTGCTTCTCCGCCGTTCCAGGGACAGGCGTAGTCGCGGTCGCCGTAGACGAGGGCTACTTTCACGCCGGTGTCGAGCAGGTACGCAATGTCGCTGAGGTAGCCGTGGATGTCGGAGCGGGCGTAGTCGCCGGTAGCGCTGAAGGCGTTGTACACGCTGTTGACGGACTCGGTGAAGTTAACGGGGACGCCTAGCGCGCCTTGCACCCAGTGCTGGCTGAGGAAGCCGTTGTGGTACGGCGGGGGGAACGGGTCGGGGTCGAAGTGGGAGATGTCATAGTAGCCTCGGCCGGAGGTGTTGATGTATGGGCCTTCGACTTCGTTGCTGCAGAAGTCGCTCGCCTTGGAGCAGAACTTGTTGACGGTGGCATTGCGGCCGGTCATTTTGGGGTCACCCTCTGCTGCTAGACGACGGCACTTGAGGATGCCATCTTTGCAACCACCAGGTTTGCTCCATGCGCGCATTGCCTTCTCATACTGAGTCTTGTTGATCGCTTCGATGCCGTAGGTGTTGTTGTAGGCCATCTGCGGATAGTGCGGTGACTGCGTCAAGAGGTCCACGCAGCCATTGAGAATACCCAGCGTATCCATATGGATGTAATGATATTTAGCCTTCTCCTTGACAATCTTCTCATTCTGCTCTTGGAAGAACGCCGCAAACGAAGGCCCGTACCGTCCACCATACGACTCCGTCCAGATACTCACGCGATCATCATGCGGCTTATACTCGGGGAACTCAGTAAACCACGTCTGTGCGAAATGCCACAATGCCTTGGCCGAGTTCTCCGTGCTATTCGCCGTGGTATAGTTCTTCTGGCTAGGAAACGTTCCAACATAAAACGTATTGTTTTGCTCCGGCACCACGCCATCAGGGAAAGGAGACACGTCCCAGTTGCCAGATACCTGGTCATAGGTCCCATTCGTGGGTACGTCGTAACTGAATCCGACCTGATTTGGCTGATCGATGTACAACATGTTGACCTCGTTGTTCCACGACCACGGATTCAAGACGGTGGAGTTTGAGTCCTCGTTGACGCGACAGGGGCCGTTTTCTTGCAACAGGCCGATCATTGAGGAACTGCCAGGGCCACCATTCATCCAAATAGATAGCGGCGCATTCTTGGGGTCTTTGCGCGATTCGAAGAACCAGAAGAACGTGTTGATGGGGTACTTTTGTTGCACGTTTACATTGGAGAGTGCGCCGGGAGAGAGATGGACGTAGCCGGCGTAGCTTTTGACATTGGGAGTTGTTTCGCATATTCCGGGCTGTTTTCATTAGCTTCACACATTATAGAGGAAATACTAGTAGGGACGGTACCTCCTTGTACGATATCTTCACACCCTCCTGGTGCTTCGATTCAACGACCGTCAGCCCTTCCGGTGATGGAGGGAAATAGCTGCGGTCTTGACCAGCGGCAGCAACGCTCGCCAGACCGGCGACTGTGGTGATCGCAAGCGATTGTAGAGAAGGCATTTTCTCTCAGTAGTGTACAGTATACACCACAAGTGATGGAATTGAATTGGAGAGGGGATCCCGAGCTTATATGGGGAAGCAAAGCGGAGATTGCCGATCATGCAACTGATAAGGAATGGGTCGTATCAGGGTCCAGGGACCCTAGCAAACAGTACTATTGTCATCGGCCATTACCGATCACGATATCGTCGGATAGTCTGGTAGAAATATCGCGTCTCTCGGGTCGGTGCCGAGAAAGTCGGCATTGGCAGGCTAATGACAATTCTTACATATCAGATCCAACGTTTTTGCTTGTTTGCCAGTAGCTGTAAAGAGATAAATAACCGTGCCCGTAGAAACCATCAGACATTCTCACCGAGACCAGTACCAATGACAGCACTAAAGCCACACCCAATGGATACTATCAAGGATCTTGTTCCTGTGAGGAATGAGGTGAACGGGTGGAATTCGCAGGATTGGGTGTTGGATTTGTTGGAGGCGTTGGAGAAAAGAAAGGTGATTGATCTGGATGCTCGTTATAATTTGTCTAAAGCCCGTATAAGGAAGCTGGTTGAGAGGAAGGTTTGGGTAGAGAATGGACTCGGGAAATCGAATCTAGACCATGGTTAGCTGCGGAGTAAAATTTGCTTATATTCAGGAACAGACATCTTTTACCATTGTTTTATGCATATTTTAGCCTCGCCTCACAAATAAATATCTTCCCAATCCAACATACTTGACAACTAATCAGCGTTGGTCACATCAACAACCCCGCTTCTTCCTAAACCATTCTAATATTGTAGAAACTACAACACCACCATGAACCTCTCCGTCGCCATCATTAATGACCCCGGCAGCGTCTTCAAACACTGGGCCCTCGCTATCCCCAATCCGGACGACCCCGGCTATGTTCTCCTCCAAGCCAGAGGCTCAGACCGTCGCTTCCGCTACGAGCCAGAAACAGCCCGGGATCTTGAATCCATAGGTCTGGTGGAGCTAGTCAAGCTATGTCGCGTCGATGCTGGCAAGACGATTCAGATCAAGGATGTTGCGAGCAAGATTACTATCCGCAATGATATCAGCGGCTGGAATTGCCAGGATTATGTGCTTGATTTGTTGGGTTCACTGGAGGGGGGAGGTATTATTGATGGGAAGGGCGAGCGTTATAAGGAGAGGAGGGCCTATGTGCAGGGGAAGGTTGAGGGACTAGCGTAGGGTTCACCTTCTTGGTTAGAGCCGAGTCTATTATGGCCTCTCACGAGGACTGTTTCTATTATTCCACCAGACCATCTGTACATGATGGTATATTCAATCATCCAACCGAAACAAATCGCAAATCGATACGGACTCCTAGTATAGGGATCCCTCGCTCAGGATGAATGTAATGCCATTATTCACCTTGAAATCTCCCAAACCCCTGATATTCCTGAATACGTTAGAAAAGAGTCAGACATACACAGTGGCATTCACTGGCTGTTGGATCCAAGCTGTTTGTATGTTTATACAACCCCAGCTGCAGATATAAATATCTGTCACCATCATCTCACCCAGCTCTTCACAAACAACTCAAACAAAACCCGCGTATAACATCACTGTAAGTCAACCAAGTCACCCTTTCTCATTCAATATCTAACCATAAAAAGCCACCATCCACAAACCATGAGCATCTCTATCGCTATTACCAACAACCTAAATAGCGCCTATAAATATTGGGCTATATTGCTTTAAGGATATTACGACTAGAGCTCAGGAAGCCTCCTCCAGGTCAGAGGCCGACTTGGTAGCCTTTGCTACAAGCCAAGGACCGTTTATGAGTCTCATGGATGGGTCCCCTCCCTGCCAGGTCTAGTTGAACTGGTTCACTTATCCAACATGGGCAGCAGCAAAATGGACGATATAAAGGATATTGCGAGCAGGACTCCCGTGAGGAGCGATATTAGAAAATGGAACAGTCAGGATTATGTGCTTGATTTGTTGGAGCTGTTGGAGCAAGTGGGTATTCTTGATGTTGCGGATGATGATTATTGGAATAAGAGGGATATCCTCGTCACCATCTCCAACCCCCCAGACCCAAACAACACCCACGAACACTGGGCCCTATACCTCAACGACCCCTCCAACCCCATCAAAACTACCTTCGAAGTCAAAGGCTCAACCGGTCGCTATCGCTACGAACCAGAAATCAAACCCCCAAATGTCCGCCTCTCAAGAGATCTTGTCGGGCTAGTCCCCATATGTACTGTGGAACCTAGCAAGGCGAGCAAGATCAAGGAGATTGCGGGTACTGCGCGTGTACGGAATGAGGTTGAGGGTTGGAATAGTCTGTGTTTTGTAGGGGGATTGTTCAATGCTTTGAAAAGAGAGGGTGTCGTTGATGGGGAGGATGAGGATTACCTGTGTCAAATGGCCCATATTTGTCCGGGTTTGTCCAGGAATAGAAGAGAGTGGCGGATTCGGATATTCTTGGGTTGATGTTTTAAGGATGGAGCACCGTTCGTAATCCATTTAACAGAGACATCGGTGCATGAAGATCATCTAACTGTACCCAATCTGGAAATCAAGCAAGTCGAGGGTACAGATTCTATTTGCTATGGCCTCTTTTAGAGCTACTTGAGGTAGAAAAGCTTCATAGACACACATTATGGCATCCACTGTCCTCACCGTGTCCATGATATTAAGGCTCTTCCTGAAATCCCTGAAATCCATGAACGACTTCGGTTTCAGTTCCTTAGGTTTACAATCCTTCCTCATCATCTTCAATCGTCGGGTGTAATTCTTCGGAAACACATCCAGCAAGTCCTCAGGATCATTGTTGAGATACCACTGCAACTCATATATTGTTCGGTGGTTGTGTTTTGCTGCGCCATAGTCGAGGATGTCGAGGTGTGCTTTTCGGTGTCCGTCGTGGTAGGTTTTGGGGAATAGAAAGATAGTCACGGCGAGTGGTCGAGTTGTAGAATCAAAAGAGGACTGGCAGTGTTTACTTGGTGAAGTGACGTGCGTATTGTGCTATTCAGATATTTAGGCACAGTAAGAGAGCATAAGAGCTTTTACATTATTCGTAAATTATCGTACATATGGTATAACCATCCAGCCATACCCAGTCGAGAGATCCTGAACGCCAACGTGCTGAGAAGCAAAAGCAAAAGAAACAGGAAGAGGCTATCGCATATTAACATGGAACAGATACCGCTGTCGAATCTGCGCAATATCATACACAATGTACTCATTGTACATCAACGAACACCCCTTCTGTTCATTCTTCGACCCCATGCCCACATCCGGCATCGTCACCCCCTTGAGACTCTCATGCACGGACCCAGCATCCTTCCAACCGGCTGGAATACTGCTTCCACGTCCAAGTGTTGCAAGTTTGCCTTCCTTTTTCGAGTCCTCAGCAGCGTTGCAGTTGGCATATTCTTGCTCGTACATGGGATCTCCCAACTCCACGTCGCACAGCATCAGCAGACCCATGTTACCAGAGTTGTAGGGACAGCAGTAGTTGGCGGACTTGGAAGACATATCGGCAAAGTAGACACCCTTGCCGAACATGTAACCGTTCACGGGGGCTTCGGGAGGTGCGATGCGCAGACCTTGACTGAGGATACCACCGAAGTTGGTACTGCGGGAGCCGTGCCAGAGGAGACGGCGGTTGGGGTTCTGAATGGCACCGTAGGAATTTGAGAAGCGGTCTGTTTCGCCGGGACGTTCAATGCGGAAGATGTTGATTACCTTGTAGCTCATGTTATGGGTTGCTCCGCGTGAGTGGTTGAGGTATTGCTCGAGCTCAATGAACTCGGCCGTACTGGGTTCGACTGGGATTGTTAGCTGATACATATCAAAATCAGAGGGAAAAAAAAAAAAAAAAAAATACCTGGAGTCATCTCCTCCATTCCCAGGCTGTTATACTGGAGATCCAGCTGATGAACTCTCTCCCTCTCGACATCCTTGGAGTCCTTCATAATCGCATTTGTAACGCCCATGTCCGTCAACGCCTCCAGCAGCTCAACCTCCTTCTTAATCAACTTGTCATGAAACAAGACCGGTGGTCGATTGCGACCAAACACATGAGGAATTGTCGTAAAGTACCGATTGCTAAGATCCTCCGCGGCAGCCGGGACAGTCCTTCCGTATTTCGAATTGGCTAAACCAGGGTTGGCCAGAAGATCCGACAGATCTTTCAAGATCTGGTATCCATCGTGGAGCGTCCGCTTGCTCAGCTTTCCCAAAGGCATTTTCTTGACATCGTAAGACAGGGCCTCCATGGCGGAGACGAAGTGCTGCTGGTTGAAGATGAAGGTCATGAGGTTCTGGATCGACTGGGGCAGAGCGCTTTCCACGGGCGTCTCTTCCCTCTCTTCCCTCTCTTCCCTTTTGACAACCTGATCTTCATTGTCTTCCTCGTCGTCCGAGTCTTCGTAGTTGCGCTCGAGGAAGGCGTACTTTTTGTCCTTGGGAGTGTTCAACCGATTCTCCCAGGTTAGACCGGTCTTGTCCTTGAATTTCTTCTCGAACTCTTTCATAGCTTGATTTAAACCGCCACTTCCCAGAACAGCCGATTGACCTGGCTCTCCGACGCGACCCCAACGAGTCCACGTTCTGTAGTCGGAGCTGGGGCTCACGAGAAGCTGAATGCGGTAGAATTTGTTGTTGTTCTGGCCAGCGTTGGTCTGGTTCAGAGTCCCGTCCCAAATCAGACCTGAATCATCGATATGAACGGAGTAACCTATCATAGTCAGCGCCATCCAACCAGCAGGTATCGCTCAACTCACCACCCAAGGTACAGCCCTCATCAAGAGGAACAACAAGCTTCTTGGACGACGCTTTCTGCGAGTCCTTCATCTTCTTCGACTCATCTTCGTCCTCTCCATTGGCAGCCCCATTAGCACCTATCGCATCATCATGAGTCCGCTTCTTCGCGCCGCCCTTTTCTTTCTTAACCTCCTTCTCCTCCTTTTTAACGGCAGTGGCATCTCCATTACCCTGCGGGACCGGAGAACTTGAATCATTCGTAAACAAATAACTCTTCACCGGAAGCGGCTTCTTCGCCTCAACCGACTCCAGTAACCAAGCCAAATTCACAACCTCGCAGGTACTAATCCCACAAGCAGTCTTGACTGTTCCGTTCATCAGCACCCCAGATCACCATCACCAACCACAAGACAACATACACTTAACACCCCCCTTCTCAACATCCTTCTCCGTCGTAACCAAATGCGTACAATCCTGCGACACACTGCTACTAAACGTCGCGCCCTGACCTTCCACCAGGGTCTTCAGGTCGGCTGTATGTATACAAGGATCAGTTATTGTTCTTGAGGGCTGCAATGGTGAGTGTGAGGAATCACGTACCCTGCTTGTATCCGGGGAAGGTGCCGCTCACGGCGACGATGGCTTTTTTGAATGTTCGCGGTGCCATTGTGGTTGTTTGGTGTGGTGGTGGTTATCGGTGATATATGTTAACTAGAATGATCAGTTCAATTAATTGGCATGAGCAAAGACAAATTATTGAAATAGAGAATATAACATAAAATCAAGTAAATTGAAGAGAAAGATGAAGATGAATATCAAAGGAAAGAAATACGAGCCTTTTAAGCCCTCGAAGTGTCACCAGGCACGACTCTTTATGCCTGTTTATTCAGGCATCAATACCGCTGCTGCCTGCTCAGCTCCAGGCAGACATGGGGTCTAACTAACTTAGTTAACTACATGTAACATAACGTATTTCCCAAGCGACCCGCCACCCCAAGCGACCCGCCACCCTACCGCCTACCCTACTCTTTTGAACGCATTTTTAACCACATTAACGCCAGTATATTAGGTAAAGAACTATCTGTGAGGGCAATGGTTTGACCTGTGTCCTTCCTGTCCGCATATGCTACATTTTGGTAGCTTCCTTCTCGCAGGAACTGGCAAATTAGGTGAAATTGGTGCTTCTGCAGGGACGGGTCTTGGTGCTTCAATTGCTTCTATAGGATGCTGTATGATCTGCTGGCTCTCCTGAACAGTCATTCCACCCTCATTTAGTATCTGTCTATTAGATCGTCGGCGCTTTTGCTTCTGCTTCTCATGGGCAGCATGTAATTTGCGTGCTTCAACCTCTAGTAGAGCAGTTGAATGCATTTGGATCTCACAGGCCTTGAGAACTTGGTTGATTTGCTGCTTCAGCGGGCTTGGAGGGCTTCTTGAGCGCTGCTTTAGCAAAGCCTTAATTGAACTAGCCTGCCGCTGAAGTTGTATAGGATTTTGAGGTGTCTTTGGTGAAAACTGGCTTGATTGACTTATTGGACGACTACCCGGGGGTGATGGTGTTTGGAGTATAATATCAAGCTTTGAAAGCACTCGCTCTGGGTTATATGGCACTAAACCAGCTCCTGCAAAGCTATTTTGAATAGTCTGAGATTGGAAAGCTTCCACACGAGCAATTGGGTAGGCGGCAAGAAAGTCAAACTTGTCAATATGGTTGAACCCAAGCCGCATCTGGTTCTCAACTAGCCGGCTGTACGCACGCTTTAAAGGAGCAAAACACCCAATATCAAGTGGTTGCAGAAGATGTGAAGAGTGTGCTGGCATGCAAATTGGTATAATATTGTTCTCTTTGCAAACTTGGTCGAATTTAGGAGTTAAATGACTCCCATGGCCATCAAGGATTAAAAGTTGATATTTCCCATGTGTACGACTAGTTGTCGCTGGAATGAAGTGTTTTTGAAGCCATCGAAGTCCAATTTCATCAGTAGTCCATCCATTTGGACTTGTTTCAAAGCGCCAGTCATATGGGAGATCATCGAACCAGCCTTTAATAAGGACCTTGCCCTTGAAGATAATCACTGGTGGAAGCACCCACCCAGAGGCATTAATTGTTTCAATGGCTGTAACCCACTCGCGATTTCCAGGTTGTAAAAGTGAGCGCCAACCATAGTATTCAGATCGAGTAATAACCTTAGCAGTTGCTGTGAGGCCCATTGCAAAGCCTGTCTCATCAAAGTTATAGATATCCTCCTGAAGGATACCATTCTCTTTGATTGTACAAAGAACACAGTCAAACCACTCCTGGATGACCCTTGGATCCTCTGTTTTTGCACGCTCGTAGTCATATTGTCGTGAGAAGCGAGAGGCAAGCTCAGGATATCTTTTAACAAAGTTTGTAACCCAATTCTTGCCGACTGTCTGAGGGGGGGTCTCGCCGCGCTTTGCAAGTAGAAGATTCGCCATTTCCTGCACAGTAGCAGGCCGGGGGGCTGCTC